CGGGAAGGTTACGAATTACGAGAACTGAACGGTTCACACTCCCATTTAATTCACTCATTGTGGCCGATCACCTACGTCGAAGGATCGTTTGAATTCGTCGAAAGCGTGTTCTGACTCGATACTGGTATCGAACTGTTTTCCAAAACTGACGACAGCCTCGTTTCCTGGATCGCACAGACGGATTTCGGTGGTTTGGATTTGCTGCAGATTGTTAAGGGACGTAAGCACAAGGGATGTGCTCGGCTGATGGTTCAAACAATCGCTGAAGAAATTGCCGAACAGAAAGGCCTAGACACCATTCTGTTTATTATTCATGGCAATGAATCTTCACGGAAGTTTTTCGATTTATTAAGATACGAGAACAGAGGATCCATTTCTTGGTATATTGTCTGATAAAAACTGTTGACCAATACTACGTACTCGGGCAAACCATAAACAGAGCTTTAAATAACGTTTCAAAATACTGTCACTTGTCATATACGACAAATTGATTTGGCATTAAAGCTGATTTACTAATACAATTCTTATCTTATCGTTTTATTGATGAAACATTTTACACGTTGCGTCCTTTTGCTACTCTTGAAAGCCGATGGCTATGCATTGCGTCTGACGATTCTGGCAAAGATACTTTTGTCTTCTAGATAGCTTGAATAGTTCAACAAAAATGAACAAAAAACCTTTAACGTTTGAAAATACATCGTTGATGCCTCAATCGAAACAAAATATTTGTTTGAATAAATATACGAATATTGAAGAACAATTAATCGGTCCATATCCATGCTCGACAAAGTTAATTATTAAATCAATGATTTATTTGATTGCTCATGAAATTCGATGATTTTAAAGCGAACGACGGAGACTATTGAGGAAGACGAACATCGGAAGAAAGTGAAAAATAATGAATTGTTCAGATCAGTGACACCGATGAGACATATGTGACTGAGTATCGATTTAAATCTAAAAAAGAATGATTTTCAGCTGAAATGCAGTTAGTGCAGAAAGTAAAGGGCACGCTGATTTTTTGTTCGTATCTCTGGATGATACTTTGTCGAACAGTGTACCAAAGGGATACAAAATATGAGAATTTGACAGTCACACTCCTACTTAATTCACTCGTCATAAGAGCACTACAACGTCAAAGGATCGTTGGAATTCGTCGAGATGGTACTAAAATGAAGTGCTGGTATGGGTCTGTTTTCCAAAGTAGACGACAGCTTCGCCACTTAGAAATCGTGAATGAATTTCAGGGGTTTGGGTTTGTTGTAGACTGTCGAGGAGCGCGAGTGTAAGAGTGCGAAGAAATTGGCTAAATAACGAAGGCTTAGATTCGTTATTGAGCTCACTGCTCTTTCACACTGCTCGATTCATTGGGATACGAGAGTAGGAATATTATCAATCAAAATATTGTCATTTTTTATATGTATAACCAATTTATTAATGACCCCTACCGCTTTTGACTATATGAATAAAAACATTAATAACAATTTAATTAACGACATCCAATTGTGAAATCAACCAGTGAAAGAATTTTTATTCTCCATAATTTAACGGTTGTCGTCTGGTTGTTCACATTGTCGAGAGAGAAGTTTAATTCAGGTGTGGCATTTAGGCGGCAAAAGAGGAGTGTTCATGGAAAGGTAGAGCAGCAGCATTACATAAATGAATGGTATTCAGGTCGCTTCGAGCGAGTGCTCTTCGCATGATATTTGACACTCCGAAGTGTATCAATCGACATTTGGCCAAACGTTTCCTCGCGCCTCGCTGCCTCCGGCAATAAAGTAGCAGAAGTTATAGAAGCAACAGCAAACGCGCAGAGGTAGAGGTGCAGCGCGCGATCGGCGAGCAGTTCTCGTTGTCGCAGGACGCCCGAGAGCGGTTGTACATGGTCGCGTTGGCGCGCCACTTGGCGAGCGTTAAGTCGCCCTCGGGATCCCAAAATTTGTCTGCTCGTCGTGCGCGCACCTGAGCATCAAAGGAGGCTCGATCGCACGCGCCACCGAGAACACAGTCTGTCTTGCACGCGCAGAAACGGACACTGGCTGTCGTAAAGAGACTTTTTATCACTAATTCGTGTAACTAGCTTGTTACACGATGTTACGCGGCAGTTTCGCTGAGACTTCCCTACGTTTCTACGTTGCTGTTCTTATTATTATTACTTTGAGAACTACGTTCACGTAGATATCTGTACGCATTAGTCTTGGTGCCCTACAGCCGTAGGGCATGTAGACTTATCGTCCCCACCACGTTTGGAATAACGAGTGTTGAGTGGATTTTTACGCGCATCATCACTGGACCTACAATTTAAGCTGGAATCCGAAACACTGGAATCACGGTTACAAACAAATGAAAATTTCAAATTTCTAAATATTGAAAATTGAAAATTGATATTTTTGACGATTTTCGAACACACGACCTCTCGTACAGAAGCTTGAGCTCTTATCTACTGAACCATTGAATCTACGTTTGATTCCTTATGCATTCACACGTTTACATTATTCTGGAAATTCGTACTCGTGTTGACCTGCTTCGTTCATCGATTAAAAAAAAGAGAGAAAATCCCATTACACGAAAATTATCTAGAAATGTAAATATTTCACAACTCTGTATACATTTCGTTCTGCGCTTGAACTGAGCGGAGAAAAAAGAATATAAAAGCGTAGGTAAAATGCAATTTATACATAAAATCATCGTTGATCGCAGAATTCGATAAATTCAGCCTTGCGGAAACAAACATTTAAAGCCACAGAGGTAGATTTATTTTTCGATTCTCTCGGCGATTTTTACAGGCGCTCGCGCGCGATAAACCGAAAGCGCGGGGAAATTGAAAGTTCCGTCCCACCTAAAAACAAGAAAAAAAAACGATTATTTTCTCTCGCTCGTGGAATAATTCGAGCGATAGGATTTTGGCTCGCTGCTAATTTGCTCGGCAACAGGCTTTAACGGTAAATATTCGAGGCCTTTTCGAGCGGAATGCAACGAAAAGGTTAGAACGCGACTAGCCGACTTTGCGACTTTCCGAATGGCGCTTTGTTGCTCGATCGATTTGCGCGGCCGTCGAGCGTTGCGTTTCGTGGTGTAGGTTCGAATCCGATTGGAATGCGATCTGCTGGTCGGTTCGCACGCGCAAAAACAAGGATTCAGCCGGACGAGGATGAAAGCAAGAAGAGCGGCGCGTGCATCGCGCTGCAGCGGAGCAATAACTGCTCGGGCCTCCCGCTGCGGACCATTCTCGGCAGCGAGGCGCCCCCACGAGCCCGCGAGTCCGCGAGTCCACGAGTCCACGAGTCACGTGCCCGCGCCGCGGACCTTCACCTTCGGCGCGCGCGTGCAGGAGAAAGTCCCTCGCCCCGCGCTAGCGCTGGAATTCGCCGCCGACCGATCGCGTGGACTAATGAGTCCTCGCTCCAAGCGCCACGGTCGTTGTTCTTTCCTCGGATAAGTAGGTCGATGTTCGTTCCAGACAACGACGGCGCGCGCGCTTTCGCGCTCTCTCGAGCGCCCTGACCGGCGAGCTGCACCAGCGCACCTTCGAGTTTGAAAGATGGAGCGTCCGAAGGCAATCCGAGTCGGTTTGACGACGGGCAGTGAGCCAAGAATCTTCGCCGGCAAACAAAGCGCATAGCTCCGCGCGCGCGCTCGCGGCCAAACTTCCAAAATAGCGGCGGAACTTTGACAATTTTATGAGGCGCTGTATACCTGTAGCGCCGTACGCCAAGCTTCCGTCGAGCCACCTTTTTCGAGCTTAGCTCGGGGTTTCTTGGTCTTGCCGTTGCCCGTGTCCAAATACTTTTCACTATTGATTTCACTGCTTGCTTCTTTCCGAAGTTCATCGATTGAGTAGCGCGTAGATGGTGTGTGCACGCTAAAATCTGACTTTTTCAACGTGACATTGACGATTCGTTTAGGAATTAGTTCTTACTTCCGACGAAGCTGAACGCAGTGATTCGCAACGCAGATAAACGATCGGTTGACTCAACCTTCGCTACCAAGTGCGCAAACCAGCGTGACTCAGAATAAAATAACTGCACGTGAAAAGTCTGCTTCTTCTTTTATTAGACGTGCAACTTCCTCCTCGCCAACTGCTACACCATCGCGAGGTTTTTTATGATCTATGTGGCTGTCGTATTATGCATGCGCGTTATTTTTATTGATAAAACGAATAAGTAGTAAATGAAGCTCGCATGCGGTAAATGATTTTCACCGAATGGATGATTTCACACGACACAACTGTACATTCGAACGGAAGAGCAACTTCGAAATAAAGAGAGCCAATCGACGACTAATTAAAGTCTTTCGCTCTTGTTCTTCGCGTAGCGATTCAAAGCCCCAACAAAAGAATTAAGCTTGAACGCACTTACACACATGCGGGTTTCGCACAGAAAGCTTTTAGCTCGGACTCCTCTTGGAGTACCTCTTTCTCTCCTTTTTTTATTTCGTGAAAAAGCCCTTCCTCTCTCTCTCTCTCTCTCTCTCTCTCTCTCTCTCTCTCTCTCTCTCTCCTAGTTCTTCTTCCTATTGTATGTTTCGTGCTCGTTACAACGACTTGTCCGATTTCCTTAGTTTTTTGTAAATTTTCACTGGTCAATTCATTATCGTGGGACGTGAAACTTGAAAATAATTAGTTAAATCAAGCGTTCACATGCCCTCATTGTAAGACGGTCAATCAATCTTCACTGCACCCACAGCGAAACAAAGAGATAGCGAGAGAGGGGGGGGGGCTCGTGTCGCCCTTTCATCGTGCGTTCTCTTTTATCGAAGAAGCAAACCATCAGAATCGTACGTCTACAATGGAGACATTCTTCTTTTTTTGTATCTCGCATAGGCTGCATTCGCGGCATTGTCGCTGCGTCAAAGGAGAAGGGATCATGCTGGTACTTGCCAAGCGCAGGTGTAGCGCCCTTCTGTACTGGCGCAATTCTTCGCAACCCTCTTTGCGATTGTTGTCCAGCGACCTTCTATGAAATCCAATAACTTTGCCTTTTCTATTACGAATGTTGCAGAAGGTTTGCGCGTTCCAAAAGTCCCTGGAAGAATTGTCGTCGCGTTTGGCTGGTGCAGAGGCGATACAGAGTGGCTGGCAGCAAGCGGCGACGACAGCGTCGACGAACGGAATAAACGGCAGTGGCGGCAACGAAGCGGCGTCAGAGCAGTTGGAACAGTTGCACAAATTCGGCGAACGACTGGCACCCATAGCGAGGCTCATCGAGGAAGCCAATGATCAAGCGAGCTCTTTCGTCACCAACAGTGTCATTGTCTCTCACGCGTTACTCGCTAAGCTCGAGGATCTGAATACCAGGTGGGTGCAACTCGCGCGGGCCCCGTGACAATTTGTGTCCACGACGAAGTTGCACGCATAGTTGCACGCAGGTTTTTACTGATAAGCGTCGCGTATCGCGTATGTTTGAGTAAAGGTGGAAGGTGCTGCAACTGGCAGTGGACGAGCGTTACAAGCAGCTGAGCGGTTTCTCAAGCAGCAACAAGGACGGTACGACAGCCGGCAGCCAGGCCTTCCTTGCGAGCAGCGTCGAGCCACCATGGGAGCGCGCTTTAACAGCCGCCAAAGTGCCTTACTATATCAAGTACGACCAACTGATTATTATCGCTAGTAGAGCGTAGACCGTCGAAGGTTTGCCCGTTACGATTGCGACTTAACCGAATTCGCCTGACACAGCCACCAACTGGAAACGACGCATTGGGACCACCCGAAAATGATCGACTTGATGGCGTCGTTGGCCGACCTGAACGAGGTACGTTTCTCCGCTTACCGGACCGCCATGAAACTACGAACGGTGCAGAAGAAGCTCTCACGTAAGTGCCTCCTATGACAAGCGAACTAAAGTGTGCTCCCCGCAAGTGACGTGTTTGCCCCCGATGCGCAGTGGACCTGCTGAGTCTGTCGACGGCACTGGAGCAATTCGACTCGCACGGGTTGCGCGCGCAAAACGACAAGCTGATCGACATCCCGGACATGGTGACGGTGCTCGCGTCGATCTACGAGCACATCGCCGCTGAGAACCCCGGGCAAATATCGAGCCCGCTGTGCATCGATCTTGCCATCAATTGGCTGCTCAACGTTTACGACAGGTAAGCCTCGACCGTCGGCCACTGTAGCGCAAGCCTCTCGACACTCTTGCTCTTTGCAGCCAACGCACGGGGCAGATTCGAGTGCTGTCGTTCAAGGTGGGGCTCGTGCTGCTTTGCAAGGGGCACTTGGAGGAGAAGTACAGATGTGAGTATCCATCGATCGGCCGGCATTTTTCGCCGAACCGGCCTGCGATAGCGAGCAGCACGCAGGCCTTTCAGGGAACGCAGCGCCGGCCAGCCGCTTTTCGATAACGCGCAATCGCTCGGTTCTCCCCGCAGACTTGTTCCGGCTGATAGCCGATCCGAATCGGCTAGTGGATCAGCGCAAGCTGGGTCTGCTGCTGCACGACTGCATCCAAGTGCCGCGGCAACTCGGCGAAGTGGCGGCCTTCGGCGGCTCCAACATCGAGCCGTCGGTGCGCAGTTGCTTCGAGAAAGCCGGCAAAGACAAGAACGAGATCGAAGCCGTTCACTTCCTCGGCTGGCTGCAACAGGAACCGCAGAGCATGGTTTGGCTGCCGGTCTTGCACAGACTGTCGGCCGCCGAGGCGGCCAAACATCAAGCCAAGTGCAACATCTGCAAAGAGTATCCGATCGCTGGATTTAGGTATCGCTGCCTCAAGTGCTTCAACTTCGACATGTGCCAGAACTGCTTCTTCTCCGGCAGAAGAGCCAAGAATCACAAACTCACGCATCCCATGCAAGAGTACTGCACGGCGGTTAGTATTGGCGCGGCTGAATGCGCTCGCGTCCACTCGATTGGCCGTTGATCGGCCACGGACGAGCTTCCGACTTTCAACTGTATTGTATTCGTTGTATGTTTACTACAGACGACATCTGGCGAAGACGTGCGCGACTTCACGCGCGCACTTCGCAACAAATTCAAGTCGAAGCGCTACTTCAAGAAACACCCGCGCGTCGGCTATTTGCCGGTCCAGACGGTCCTCGAGGGCGACGCGCTCGAGAGTCCAGCTCCGTCGCCGCAGCACAGCTCGCTCAGCCAAGACATGCACTCGCGGCTCGAAATCTACGCCTCGAGATTGGCCGAGGTGGAGTTGTCGCGAACCAGGAGTAACTCCACACCCGACAGCGACGACGAGCATCAGCTCATTGCGCACTACTGTCAGAGCCTGAACGGCGGTGACGGCGTGAACGTGCCGCGGAGCCCCGTACAGGTATAATCCTGCGTGTGGACCATTGGTCGAGAAGGATCGAGATTGATCGAGCGACCAACGGTTTATTTGCCGCTTGCAGGTAATGGCAGCGATAGACGCTGAGCAGCGCGAGGAGCTCGAGGCAATGATACGCGAGCTAGAGGAGGAGAATGCCACGTTGCAAGCCGAGTACGAGAGGTTACGCTCGAAACAGACACCAGGCTCGACGCCCGAGGACGGCGTGCACGGGGCTAATGGCCGGCAACCCGACTGTGATATGATCGCCGAAGCTAAACTGCTGCGCCAGCACAAGGGTCGACTCGAGGCGCGAATGCAAATACTCGAGGATCACAATCGCCAGCTCGAGGCTCAGCTGCAAAGACTTCGGCAGCTGCTCGAGGAGGTAAGTCTTCTGCTCTGTACCAAAGTAGACTGTGCAACTTCACTTTTACGAGAGACATTGTGAATTGAATACCACGCGAACTGGCGCTCTTTTCGCATGTAAAGTGAGAAAAAGAAAAAGGAGTGTCTCTCTCGTCTGGGGAGTTTAATTTATGCCAGTTTACTCGCCTCCTCTCGGCGGGATATTTTTGACTCGCGCTGACTCATGCAATTTTTTTTTTTGGTCTTTGTCTTTCCCTCCGACAGCCAAACGCTGCATCGCCTTCGAAGACTGGAACGCTGCAAACGCGAAGTGTCACTGCGTCGCAACTTGCGACTGATTCTCCCGCGAAAATGAACGGCCACTACCACGATTCTCCAGGTAACGAAGAACATTTCTATTTTTAGTTTTTCTCTTTGGCCGACAGCAACTTTTAACGCCCGTCTATTCATTAACATTACGTTTGTGAGGGAATTCATATGTTTTAAGGAGTCACATGACATGGCATTTAATTTTTTCATTACTAATACGGCAAAAGGTGTTTCTCATTTGGTTATGGTTCTTTACTACCATCTTACGTAAGGTAAATGACGGTCAATCAGACGAAATTCCTTCCCTTCAGCGGCCTTATAATCTTGACTTTTTGCAAATATTCAATCGAGACTAAACGATAGCGCGCTATCCGGTAACTCTAATTGGCTTAGTTTATAACAAAAATAACACCAACCATTTACCTTGCCGCAAACTCATCCGCTATCTGTGTATCTGCCCATTATATCACTGTCGATGTAAAACTCTCGCATGGGGCAAAACCAAAAAAAACACACACAAAACGAACAAACCCATTGGTGGCTTAGGTGGTGGTGGTAATGGAGTCGCGGGTGACGGACGAGTAAGCAGCTTAGAGAGGCCACCGCCGCCCCCTCATTCTCACAACGTTGCTTATAACATCGGCAACCTCTTACACATGGCAGGTTTGTGCTCACATTCGTTCGCTCTCTACTTTTTTATTTACTTCATACGCTTATCCCATTTGTGCATTTTATTATCGCTTTCAATCACTTTCATCCCTAGTAATAAACACCTTGATGTACGTGTAAGGATGAAGCATCGTTGCAATGAGCCAACTATTTTATAACGATTGATCGTGCTTCAACCTTACGTCATTAAATGTTCCGAATTTTATTGAATTTTTAAGTGTTTCAACTTCAATCATCGTTCATAGTTGGTTGAAAAATATTTGAAACCAAACTCGCCCCCCTGTTTGCAAATGATCCGACGTATGTAATACTTGTTAAGTTGTCTTTCATATCTAATCTAAGTAATACCCTTTATTGTTCATGTCGATTGCATGACAAATTCGTTCAACAAATCTATAAAAGTTCTTATGTCCTGACTGCTCTCGCTTAATAGGAGGATGGATGTAAGAAGGTGAGCTCTAACAAAAAAAGAAAAAAAAAGCTAATTTTTCATACTTTTTTTATCGCACAATTATTACAGATTAATTTATTTTTAACACTTCATTTTCACCACAATCCATCACAGTCATCTTTCGAAACACCTTTCATTTCATACTTACGGCTTCGTTTTATTTGTGGAATAGTTTATTGTTTTAAACACGTTTCGAGAATTCAACTGTATATACAGTTACGAAAAAATGTAACACGCACATCTTATGTTTACCAAACACGTTTTGTGTATACGTTTCTGAAAAGACTTAAAAGTAGTTTGAACGTAAAATGCTGATTTGCAATTTCGATCTACTCAAGGAAAAAAAGATACATCGCTAGGTTGGATAATATTCGATTACTATTATTGCAGAGGACTTAAGTAAAGCTGTTGGCGAATTGGTTACCGTAATGACTGAAGAGAGCAAACCGGAAACGAACGGCCAACAAACGCAGCAGCAACAACAGCAACAGCAGCAACCACAGCAACAGCAACAACGAGCTCTGCCTCCAGCATTTAAACAATGAACGCAAAAAAATAAATTTTCAATATACATATATACATATATAAATATATAAAGAACATAATAAAAGATAAACGCAAGCTAAACTCTAAGAAACCAACAGACCAACACATACATACAGACAGACAAACGCAAAGACAAAAAAAAATCATCGCGCTTTATTCACCGAGCATAACAGCTAAGTATAGCACGCAAGAGCGTGAAAGAGGGAGAGAAAGAGAGAGAGAGAGAGAGAGAGAGAGAGAGAGAGAGAGAGAGAGAGAGAGAGAGAGAGAGAGAGAGAGAGAGAGAGAGAGAGAGAATCATGTTAATCGCTGTTGTAGGACCATTTTATCGCAAAAACTAAGCATCATCAACTTTGTAATCATCGACCAAGAGCGACAAGTCTGTTTTATTGCATATCAGTGAGTGAGTAATTTTAAATGACGAGGATTTAACAAAAATATGTGAACAAAACGTTGCAATTATTGCGATAGTTTTGGGTATTTTATAGGGTTCTTTTATATAAGTCGACAAGAGAACGACTCTTTTATCGGGGGACTTGAAATAAAAAAAATAAATAAATTCAGAGCTTTCACGTATGATGGTTATATACATACGCGAGAGGAGATAAACTACATATTACGACTCGTCATATCATTGCCAAAAGAGAATAAAAATTGAGAGAAACGCTAGAGGAAAACGATGAATCAATAAATAGAAAAGAAATGTTATTGTATTGTAACGAAACGAATCAATTGTTATACGCGCTTGCTGTAGTTAAGCAAGTTATTGATACTTATAATGCGAATTGCGAAAAAAGGGGATTTAAACAATTATTATAAATAATATTAAACTTCTCAAATTTAAACGAGGCGATTAAAACGACGTTGCTTCTGCAAAAGCAACGTTATTAATTAAATGCATGCAAGAGAAAGCAATGTGTCAAATCGCATACTCTCATAGAATGTAGTATTGTAATTAACATTCAACATACGCTCATTAGTGTATTTATCTAGATATCTATTTCAGATTTTCTTCCGACCCCCTTTTTTTTCTTTTCGTGAAATATTTTATCGAAACTGCCCTATGTACTTTTGACCAATTATCGTGAGGAGAACTAGAAAGATAAAAAAAACCAAAAGTAACTTCGTTTCTCCTAGCACGTTAATTGCCGATGATTTCCTGCGACTTCTTTCTATAGATTTTTTTAAACGATACAAAATACAGAAAAATACAAATGAAATGCATGTGACCAGGATACCCTTTTGGTTTTCCGATTTACGTTTTGACTACTAAACGAATGTTATATATATATATATGTTGGAAGATATTAATAAACTATCAAACTAAAAGCAAATTGTAGTCTGTATTCTAACAACCTGCAATAAAGCTATCTTAAACAAATATAAAAAAAGTATCTTCAATCTTTGTGGTAAGTTGTTTGGTGTTAAAAAAACAACCTGCACTTTTAAAGTATAAATTTATAAAATGCTTTTTGTATTATTGTATTGAAACTGTTTTTGTTTATATTTTATGAATAAAAAGATATTTAGAATATTGTTTTGTTTGCTTTTTATTAGCTTCTCTTTTTTTTTTAATTTATTGTACGTTTGCTGATCACTGTCTTTCATCAATATCCAGGTTATTGGAATTGTTCATTTATCATGAATGGGAAACATAAATTTAAAACCATAAATAGTTTTTAAATAGTAAATATTATTGAAACAGATAGTGACGGTCACTAAGAACATTTTACTCAAAGAAATTAATAGATCTTTAAAGATTGACTTCCATAATAGCTACAAATTGAAGCTTTAATTACTTCAATATCGAGATCTAAACTTGAGTTCGAGTTTTTTAACGATTACATAAGTAATTAAGAGTACTAATAGGTTTTCAGAGAAGGCAAACCGTCGATGCATACGAAAAGAATTGGACACTGTTCTGGCAACTGATTTTTATTTAAAAAATATGTTACGTATTTCCTTGTTTTTATTTTTAAATTGATTATCTGATCTCTGCCATGTAATTTTGTCAGAAATATAAATTAAATATAACTTAAAATTTTAACAAGCCATAAACAAGGCTGTTTGAACGAAAATACAGCGTCGATAAACATTTCAGTATTACAAATAAATAATTCGAAATACGCTGTGCAACACTAAACACACAATGTTCGTAAATTTGCTGCAAACTTGAATTACTTATTCAGCAAAAAAGAAACTTGTAAAATTAAGAATGTTCCTTTCTCAAAATAAAAAAAGGGATTTTTTTAAACGTAGCATTTGATAATTACTTTTTAATTTTTTTCAATATGAAATAAGAATACTGGTAAGGATTTGGAAAAAACGTTAAATTAATTTTTTTAATTTAATTTTTATTAAATTAATACAATCTCAGTCGAGTACTTTAAGCTATTTTTCATTTTAATTGATATGACATTAACGTTTTTGTTAAAAAAATAACCATTGCTAACCCATAATTTTTTGTTTGTCAATATTACAATCATTATTTATACCTTCTTAAGCTAATATCACAATGGCTTAAAACAGTAGAGACTTCGATTAATTGCGCAAACATTAATAAACTTCTTTCACTCGTAGTACAATTTTGAACAGTCGGGTTTGAAAAATGAAAAGAAAAAATCTATATCTCTATCTCATTGGCTACACAGTCATTATCTTGAGATTTTAATCTTAACGAGCAATGTCGTGAAATAAAAAAATTAATCAATGTTGTTTGGTGTATTCGATATTTAACAACTTGAATGGCAGTTTTCATGAGAAAAATTAATTCGTTTCAGTAGTCAAAATCTTTTCTTTTTTTTATACAAATATTACACGACAATAAACAAGTGCCATTGCATTTTCAATGTTGATCAAAGGCACAGTCATTAAGCTGACGCTAAGAACGATTTTATTGCGTTCGTTCTCCAGGGGGTATAGTAAGTACTGTACAGACATTTTTATTCGATTGAAATTTATAAAAAATTTTTGCTCTATTAATAAATAAATATCCTACTACATAGCATTGCTCTTATCGTAGGTCTATTAAATAAACAAAAGCAGAAACGAGCAATTATCAATATTCAGATTGTCACATACGTGTCAAGATCGATATTTCTATGAAAAGAACTAATTAAGTTTAAGAAAATAGGCAATACTTGGCAATCCATCTGTAAAATATTCAAACATTTTTCCAGCATCGTGTAAACAGTAATTTTATTTTTTTTAGTTGTGTAATCATTCTTATAATCATTGTTAATTTCATCTAGTTTGCACTATTCGTTTCGTATTACGAAAAATTTTATTCATTGACCTTATTTGAGCATGATCCTAGAATAAAATCGAAGAATTCCGCTTATTGTTTCGGTTTATTCCATATATTATCAAGAATAAAAAATTACACTTTATATTTTAGTGCTATGCACTTTCACGTAGCTGTGCAAATCATTCATTCATTCAATCACTAAGTATTTAAATTTAAAAATAGTTACATTCATATCGCTTGTTTCACGTCGTAAATGATTATGCCTACACTTGCAAACAAAAAAAATTTATAAACTACTTAAATCTACTTAAATTTCTATCAGTTGATGAACGAAAAAGAAAAAAGCAAAAGTAGCATCTTCTAGATCAAACACATTTACGTTATGTATTAGAAATGACACACCCTTGTTTGTAAAAACTAAAGATCTCGGTAACTCACACTTTTTTCTCTATGTACAAGTCTATCATTACCGTAGTGCAGACATAGCTTTTGGAGTCATTTTCCTCACTCTGCCACGACTACTTACACTAATTCCTCGAGTAGGATCATTTCTACCACCATCGTCATCGCTTCCATCTTCACCGTAGTATGGCCTTTTGACAATCCGACGAGTTTTAATTGGTGCATCTTCATCATCTTCATCATCGTCATCGTCCTCGCTATCATCGTTGTAACGCATGCGTTTGACACCAGTGCGACGAAGACGTTTCACCGGGCCACTACTATCGGAGTCACGAGAAACGATGCGAGTTTTACGCGTCTGGATAGTACTTGTACGAGTATAGTTACAGTTGCTCAGCACTTGGTTATTCTCTGATTCGTCATCACTATCGCCGTTCTCTTGCATTTCCTCATCTACGTAATCATCATCATTTTTCATTTCGGCAGTAGGTTCCTGATCTTCATCTTCATCTTCTTCTTCTTCTTCTTCTTCTTCATCTTCTTCATCTTCTTCATCTTCATTTACTTGCATTTGGTGGTTATTCTGCGGAATTTCACCGTGATTGTCTTCTTCCTGTTCATCTCCTTCTTCTTCTTCGTCACTCGAATCTTGGATATTATTCCGAGTAGAATTTGGTATATGCCTTGTCATACGGGTGTATCTCTGCCCAATTTCTACGCTCTCCTCACTTTCTTCGTCCTCGTCCTCGTCATGCTCAATCACTTCCTCCTCTTCTTCCTCGTCATCATCATCTACAATATACTTTTTCTCTGGTGTTCTCATTGGTCTTGTTTTCATACTATTCTTTGCCCTATGATTTTTTGTTTGCTTGCCCTTTGCACTTGGCTCATAGTCGTCTCCAGAGTCGCTATCATTATGGCCATTCGTCATTGTAGTCTTCGGTTGTCGTGTTCTTGTGCGTCTCATGCGTGTATTTTTTTCATTATAATCGCTTTCACTTGAACTTGATGATCCACTGTCCACGTCGTCATCGTCGTCATCATCGTCATCGTTATCGCAATGGAAATGTTTAAGTTTTGATTTGCCATTGACATTACGAGGTCGTAAAGACGGTCGATTTTTGGATGCCCTGGCAAAGCGTTGCGAGTGACCGTTGGTAAGAGTTGAGGGCCCTAAATGCAAGATAAGAGTATAAAAAATGTGTGTTTAGACTCAAATTATATATTGTACTAAATATACCTGGCTGTGCTTCCTCCTCTTCTTCCTCGTCCTCCATATGATCGTCCTCAACATCAACATCTTCTTCATCTTCATCGCTGCTATCTCTTTTTCTCTTAGATGGACCTAAAAGAAACAATTTAACTGGAAATTTAAAAAAAAAAACCAAACGATTTCTTTACAAATGAACTTACCTGCTCCATTTGTCATTTGATTCTTCGTAGGTGATCCCTTGTTGCTTCTCGTTTTACGTTTACTTTTATTTCTACTTTTAATAGCATTTCGATCTTTGGCACGCGAAGCTGATTTCCATCTATTCAGTATTTTTTTCATATGTTCTTCGAACATAGCCGATAATCGCACCGTCATGGAGTAAATCTAAAAATTATAAAAATAGATTTTAATGTAATTTTTAATAATGTCGATTTGTATAAATTTGTTTGTACCTTCGAACGCTGATTAGTATTAAAATTTTTACTGTTTGTGAATATTAATTTCATATCTTTGGCAAATTCCACGGGCGAATCATAGTTGCCTCCTAATAAATCTTCTTTTACAGTTCCCAAATCCATTGGCGTGTCTATAACTTGATGATATTCCGGATGTTCCAAAGTATCAACGGGCTCTCTAAAATATTACAACAAAAAAACTTCAATGAGTTAGAGTTTACGTCAAAGACATTTGATTATCTCGTTTATTTTGCATACCTGAACGGTATCGAATCTTCACACTGCCATAATAAATCTAGCAGTTGCTTGCAGGGAATTCGCCAGTCTTGGCTCATTATCGGTACAACGTTAATGTTTTTTAATGCAGCCGTTCTTGTTGGTCTTTGAGAGCTTGTCGACGGTCTGTTAATATCTTCCACATCAACATCCGTGTCAGACGACGAATGGTAGATATCGGCAATCTCGTGATATAACGCCAGAACATCGTGCTGAGTGACATCTCTGTAAAAGCAGAAACTTAGCAAAGTTGTTCGTCATACAAAAAAATTGAAAGAATTGAAAGTTACTTGATAATTTTTAAACAGATATCTGTGACTATCCTTGCTTGTTTAATAATCTGACTGTGTGGCTCGTTGAAGGTTTCAGCATTAGCCGCAAGATATCTCACATCAAACTGCGCGGATGTAATTCTCCTGTAGAATCGATTCTCGAAACGAGCTTTAATGGTAGACAGGTCGATCAGATATTCAACTACGAAGGCATAAGTCGGATATACGTTCAAATCTACTGGTGCGATAAATGGTTCGGCGATGGCCAAAGTCATCACTTGATCGAGACCTTGGATGATACGATTGCACGCAGTGTCTCGATCGCCCATTGGCCATTCTTCATGTTGCGGTTGATAAAGAGTTTCTTGAATCTCTTCGGGTAGAACTGGTACCGAACCACCGGCTTTTGTTGGTAGTCCTAAAATAAAATAAATTAACAATCATGAATTTGTTTTAAAGCTCAGAATTGCTGCGTATTGAGTAGGGAAAATTGTCAAAAAGTTGACTCACTAGCTTCGTTAATAGGCTCAAGATCCCAAGGACTCATAAACTCAGTCTCTCCGCTGTCCCATTTGATATTGAAGCACATGAAGTATGAGTCGGGAAATTCTTCATCAAGAGGCTGTACCGAAACAATTGTTCCCATCCACCATCCATCATCGATCATACACCTGAATCTATGACCGTTTTCCCAATTTCTTTCGATCGCAATGTCGTAAGTTTGACGTAATACCAAGAAATCCAATACATCCGGCATATCGTGATACTTGATCGTGAACGTTTTGCCTGTCATCCGACCGTCCTCGCTCATCTGCGCAAGTTTCAGACAACACAATCTTGGTGGACGGATAACGTATTTTATCCCTATGACTTTAACGAACTCTTGTGCCTGATAAATTAATTACGTTGTTTAAAATCTAATTTTTATTTTTATTTTGTTTTTTAATTATTCTACAATTACTTACTTTGAGATCTAATTTGGCCCAAGGTTCGGAAACTCGAGTAACTTCGTAAATCTTTTTGGCTCTAACAGCGTCCAAGTACCTCTTGTGACCCTGTCGGAAATAAACAATCTCATCGCCCATCTGCGGATAGTAAGGTGCTTTTCTTGGAATAACTTCGCTGAGCCAATCCGATGGACGATAAATTTCAGGTACTTCAGTGATCTCCGAGCTTGATTCTGGCAATGTGGGCACCGTCTGAGCATACAAACGTAATATTTAATTGACTGTGTTTCAAAAAATAAAAAATACATACTTTCTTCTTTGGTCGTTGACTTCTCCTCCTTTCTGGATCACTACTGGGAGTAACAGCTCTAGCAGCTGAGGCAGCAGGGGGTGGCCTCTTCTGAACAGGTTTTCGTTTACTTCGCTTAGGCGGCTCTAAATTAACACCAGTATCTGCTATCCAGTCTGAGTATTCGGTACTGCTGTCAGATGTTGAGCTATCTGAACAAAGTTCTTCCTCGTTGGAAGATGATTCATTGCTGGTTCCGGAGCTTTCTTCGTTCTAAAATCAAACGCAGTTAATGAGCATCTTTCATAAATGATTTCGTAGAATTGTGTCAGCTTTGTTAATATCACTTATTATTATTACCTCAAAATCCTCATCTTCCTCTTGTTCTTCGCCTCGAGTAGCTCTGGTTCTATAACCGTGTCGAGCTTGATTTTTCTTGCGAGTTTGAGATCTGCTTTGGTCAGGCGTAGTGGCAGTGGAAACTTCTTGCGGTCGTCTTTTCATTTCACGTTTATAACAATCCATTTCCGCCTCAGCCGTTGCATTTCTAGGAATTTAAAAAAAACATTTATCTGAAAACTCAGGTACAATATACAGCTTACAGAATTCATAGAATAATCAACGTACAATTGGCGATAAACAGTATGTAATACTGCTGGATTAATTGGCCTTGCAAGAATAGGTTTGTTCCACGGTGTCGTATTGTCTCTTTGCCAATTACCGCTACTTTGTCTCACGCCCTCAACATCACCGACACGACGTAAACCAGGTCTACTACCTCGTGGACTAGCAACTTGACGAGCTGGATGTTCTTCTTCCAATTGCTGGTCAGCGTATTGATGATCATTATTTTCGCCATGTAATCTCTGACGCTGGGCCAAGTCTTCGATCAGCCTGTCAATATTCGAACGTGGTTGCTGCCCATCTTCTGGCAATCCCTCGATTATCTCTTGCTGCCCTGTAACATATAAAAATACAGTGTAAGTGTGTTATATACAAAACTATCTCGATTACAGGCTTAAATAATTTAGTTGTATACTCACCACTGGCACCAACAGCGATATTTGGAACCAATTGCTCACCTCGACAGTTTTCTCTACCAGGTACTAGTCTTTGTAAAGCGGGTGGGTAAGGATTACCGTCGACGTCGACGAGAAAAGGCGGTGGCATCAGATGTGGTGCCGTTTGCGTTTGTTCATCTAGCACATAATTATTGGCATCTCTTATTAAAGGCCGGTAGTCAGTGTGGAAAAATAATTCTTTCGGTATCTGCAACAAATAAATATCATTTTATTTATCATTCTTTAATTGTAAAATGAAAATAAGTCATCAAATATTATACACACAATTTTCAACCGTTCAACGCCAGAACCAAATCCATACATCATCAAATGCCCGTGTGAATCTGTAGCTGCAATTTTGGTACCATCCGCCGACCACTTAGCATCGTATACAGCACCATTGCCTTGACCTTCGATGAAGTTTTGAAAGCACGCAATTGGTTCGGTATTGAGCACATCCCAAATAATAAGTTGACCATCATGGCCAGCACTCAGTATAACTCTTGGATCAATAGGATGAGACTCCAAAACGAACACTTCATCTTTGTGACCACGTAGCACTTTTACAAGCTCGGCGGTCTTCGAGTTCCATACTTTCAACGAACTGTCGTTCACTGCTGTCACTACCCACTCGTCACTCACGTCCCAGCATACCATTGTCACTTTCATTTTCTTGTTGCTATCTTCATCTGTTAATGGTTCACTATAAAAGTTTGAAAAATCATAATTAAATTAATTTGAACAAAATAATATTCACACTTATTTTTAGAAAATGAATATATTAAGATATATTTAAAACGTACCCTGCTAACTTGGTATGCATAACCAATACATTATGCTGCCATTGCTGCTGCTCGAAATTCCAGACGTTTGCCGTGCCGTCCTTGGAACCTGAGATAAACCTCAATCCACTGTGAGCCCATTGTATACTGTCGACAGTATCACTGTGTGCTTCGACTTCGAGTACACGTTTCGGTCCCTCGTCGCCAAGCATCATGTAGACACGTACATGATGATCGGCCGAACCAGCGGCCATGAATGCACCACCGGGACTGAACGAGGCACAAATCATTTGCGCTTGACCTGGCCGCATTTTCTCATGGTATTGAATTGGTTTAGGTCTGTAAATACACCGATTCATTTTGAATACAGATAAATAACGTGTTTAAAACATTTAATTTAAATTTACTGAATGATCATAGTTTATAAAATGGATGAGATGATAATGAATAAATGAAATATAATACTCACTGAAACAATACTCTTTCGATGCCTTCTCTCGCGTGTGACCAAAACGCAACGGAACCGTCACTACTCGTCGATACTAAATAATTAATTCCTTTACATGAAATTGGACAAAAATTCACAGAGGTGATCATTCCCGTATGACCTGACAACACAGCAATCTACAATAGAGGTATTCATGGTTAAATTCGAAAAAATTACTCCAACATAATATACATAAAAAAACACAAATACACACCGGTGACATAGTTTGAAAACACCAAACTCTGATGATTTTATCCAGACTACCAGCAGCCAGCAAAGTATTATCAAAGTTCACAGCAATGTCCATAATTTCGGAAGAGGCACCGCGGAAAGTAGCGAGCAATCGGCCGTCAGTCGAACTCCAAACTTTCACAAGTAGGTCATCGGCACCAGTAATAATATACTTTCCTGTACGATCGAACAGTACACAATAAACTGCCGAGAGGTGGCCCAACGTGTGACGATAGAGCTGCATTTTGCTGTAAAACAAGGTGGAGACGACTTCGCGACGACTCATCGGTCCGGAGTTTTCTCGGCCTTGAAGCACTTTTACTGTAATAAAGTTTCGCATTATTTATATTATCACTGGATGATCGTCGATGTATTATATATTGTTGCTATACAATTGTATAGCAAATCGCGATAATATTCGCGACAATTCTTATGTCAATGAATTATGTATGAAATTCAATTTGACAAAAAATAAAAATCTTTATTAGAATAGAGAATAAAAATTATCCTTACATATATTCAACACTGGAAAATGTCCTGATGGATTTAGAAGTGGTTTTCCTCCATTCCTCGTTGTGTAATCGGTGATTGTCCGAAAGAATCGCTGCATGTCTGTACCGTAATTTTAAAAATTAGTGTCTCAGAAAATTGTAATTATAAGTCGTCGTAGTTTACCTTCTTTTGTGCGCAACAAGGATTGTCTTCCCGCACCAAGCAAAGAAATAGCTCCTGCTACACATGGAGGCACCTCTTTTTCTAAAACCGGACCTATTCGAGCGCATATTTGCAGCAAGTGATTCGAGCCTATGTGAGAGTATTTCCTTTCCTAAATATTAACATATTTCAATTAATATTTAATTTATTCAAATTATTCGCTGACTTTTCGAATTAAAAACATCCTATTACTTAGATAACGAAAGAAAGCTACCAAATATTTTATATCTATTTGTATAGATATACGCCCGCGCGTGCGCGTGTGTATGTATATATGTTAAGTTGTACACGTACAGGTAAACTTGATCCCACATCGATCATCACGACGAACACATACACGCAGCGCCACGAGTATCCCTTCACGTTTGCCTCATTGGCCAATAACGATCTTCTATATCGTCACCCTCTCCACCTCCTCCCCCTCGAAGGAAAAAAGAACCGAACAGCTGCCGAACAGCAGTATTTCAACCCTTTTACGCTCGAACTCGTTGCATAACGAATATTTGAATATACTTTCCATTATTGTTTAACATAAATATTGTAAACATTATATTTATAGTATTAAGCTTTTTATAAATTACAAATGAAACTGTAATGGAAAAAGCATGTTTTATTGCTGTCGATTATTACACATATTTAATTGTTTTAGCCAAAAATCAAATATTTCTTTTTAGCAATTTAAAACTAAAAAATAAATTAAACGTTATTATGATTAATTTAATAAACTAACAATACAGCCAATCACATCAGTGTCATTGAATAGCTCTTTATTATAATCTTACAAAATAACCAAATTTAATTCAGTTTTTCCTTTTTTAATGTTTTTCAAAGCTGAATTCGGTTCTATACCGAAGAATGAAAGTGAAATACAAGATTAAGGAGAGAACAAATAAAATAAAATCAATAACAATATAATTTAAAGTGCTACATTAAAAAAATTCATTGAATCTTTCATTTTGATTATTTTATAAAAATAATTAATAAAATATTGTTTGATTAAATTACAAGAAAGATAATAAGCAACTTGATGATTCTCATATAATTTTTAAATCTGAACAAACCTCCAATCCTGCAAAATCTCTTGAGCGTTTGACAGTGTAACTCTGATAAAAATTAAATTATCTACTTATAAACATTATAAAATAAATAAATATAATAAATTCTAAACTATGAAGCCATATAAATACCAAGATCGACTATTTATCGTCGAAGCATTGTGACGAGCTTACAGCTATTATAATTTATTTAATTATTTTTTCTAACTTGTTAATTAAAAAAAGAAAGAAAAAGTACAATAAAACAAGAAACCATAATAATAAAAGTCAGTAGCGTGAAACGGTCGAAGAGTCGCCCTCCCTTTGTCGATATACACTCCTCCCTCTTTTTCTCTCTCTCCATTCCAAATAAATAGGTGCGACGAAGACAGAGAGATCACGAGTAAAAGTGGGGATACATCGTCTTTGCTGAAGCCTCGACAAACTGCGCGAGCATAGTGGTGGGGATATTGGATTGAGCGTGATGCTCTGGCGAGAATTGAAAAAAAACGGGTCTCGCTTTACCCTTTCTGCAATCGCTACGGCGTCGCGCGAAAATTTTTAGCCGTAAAGGTTTTCTCCCATCACCACGCGCGCGCGCTGGCACGCGCGCACACACACACACACACACGCACGTGAAAAATTAACGATCACTCACCAATTCTGCAAAACTTTGACCATGCTGGTTACCAAGCCAATCCAATCTCTGTGGCAGGATCTGCGATCAGATAAAAAATCAATTGCTTATTAACTTGCAGAATCCTAAAATTGCTAATTAGATCAACAGAATGGAAAAATTAAAAATTTGAAAAAATCGATAATTATCGAATTTTCAGTTTTTTCACGATTGTTGGCATGTTTAATGCACGGCACTGCGTTTGTTTTGACACTGGCTCGATGTGTACGCGCGAAACCACGTGCGAACCATGTGGAAAACGTCAACTGAATCAGTCGCACACAGGCTCAAGTGTGTTCAAGTCGTAGCGTAATGCCTTACCTTGGCTCGCTCCAATTCTTCTTTAAGCACCTGTAAAATGGTCATAATATAATATTTTCGAAAATAACATCAAGTTCATTTAGTATGCCTAAGCTTTTTCAACGAAAAAGACAAAAAAAACTTACGTCAGCGACGGCACGACAAGGGCCCTGCGCCAGGAATTTCACGATGAGGAAGTAGAGCTCTAAAAGATAGAACACGGCTTAGCTGGACGCACCGTTATATTTTTTCACTCAGCGTCGTAGTCACACTCACGAACAATATTAAAAACATTACCTGCAGCGAGACTCGACTCCGACGACACATCTCGCTCCATTCTTGTGGAGTTCTGCATGAATCTTGAGTTTGGATTCGGGGCGACGAGTCGATCAGGGGCCGCCTGCATCATCCTCCGAGCGTAGCAGCTCCATTTTACTGCTGGCAGCAGCAGCGCGCACTGCTAATGCTATCCTTCTCGCACTCCATCCAGTGTTCTCTGACGGTCAATAACACGAACTAACCTACGTAATAAGTGAGTTTCATGTTTTTCCATCTCGAGGCTTTTTTGGAAAGACAGAGAGAGAAAGAGGAGAGAGAGAGAGAGAGAGAGAGAAATGTGCGAGTTTGACCTAATTCCCGGGTAGTAATATTTGTGTGGTAATGTTGATAAATTAATGATGAATCGAGCTGAGGTTTTAAGAATGGTAATCGTTAAAATGTCAAAGTTGTAAGTTGTTCTGACTATGAACTGATATGTGTTTTATATCAAGCATATGGTTTTGCATTTTATCTTGTAATAGTTTATAGATAAAGTTTTCATTTTGTTTCAAGAGAGATGAAACGACGTATCAGCTAAAGTTAACTTTTAATAATTTTAATTATTTCACGTAATAGAAATAATTTGAAAAATGAAAGAACGAGTTAATGATAACACTTTTAGTTGAATGAAAAATTATTATTAATTTATTATTTGCTGTTTTATTATAAATATTCCTGCTAAGTAATCGACATCAATTTATAATATAATCTTACTACTTGTATTAATTAATTCATAAAATTATTAAGTTCACGAAATAGATTTAAAAAACTTGTCGTAATGAGTTAGAAAATAGAAAAGTAAAATACAGACGATTACGATGCATATTACGATCATATCTTAGAATCAAATCATAGATCATATCTTAGAAGTCATTAAAATTATTTATCATGATAATCTATAAAAAGCATACGAATTCATTTTTTATTTTGGGCTATTCGACAAAAAAATATATAATGAAAATATCCTAAACATAATCATGAACCGCACACACCTCGTTAAAAAAACGAAAACTCACCAACAATCATCGAATATCGTGCCCGTCGATACTAAAACGATAGCCAGTAAATTGACTAATTCAATAAAATACACAAGCACAGGGAGAGAAAAGTAGAATATTCATTGGGCAACAACAAACATCAACGAAAAAGAAAGAAGAATCCCAAGCGTACTCTGACGGTCACGCTTCACACTCAGCTGCAGGCGATGTATTCGCTACTATGTAACCTCTCGTACGCGCGACAGTTCGTTAGCCTCGCCACTCTTTCGCAGCCACCCCCGCGCGCGAGATTATACTTCCACCCGTTTACAGTTTCTCGCAATAATATATCGCACTTGTACTGTACAACAATGCCATGGTATACTTCCGTTAACAATGCTCGTTCATCCGATTGCTTTTACAACTTTCACTATTTCGCTTGAAAGTTTACATTATTATTCAACGATCACGACAGGGTGAGAATAAGCCAATACATAGGTTTATTTCGCAAACTTACAACCGATCGTCGTGAGTGCTTTCCGTAGTCTTGCACGCGCTATATATTGTACCACATACAGCACAACTGTCGACGCGTCGTCCCACGGGCGACTAACACCACTATACCATCAACACCTGACGCTGTGTGAGTATGCTTGTGACTGTCACAAAACATGCACCGTTGCGTACGAGAGCACGGGAATTCTTTCTCGAGTAATTCATTGCATATGTGAGACAGCTCAGTTTTTAATGCACAAGAGCTTTTGCTTTTGTTTTTTTTTCGCAAATCGCTTATACATAAGCTACAATGAAATTTAGCACTCGAACTTTTACGAATTTGTTGTGAAAGTCATCGACTTTCGGATGACTGAAGTTGGGTCTGATCACGAGTGAATTTTCACTGATGATTCTCGAAAAATCAATGATTATTTACATAGCATCCTGTTGGGACGCGTAAATCCACTGCACCACGAGCATCATTCATAAAATTGAAAATCAGACAGAGATAGACAAACCTGTTTGTGCGAGACAATAACGGCGAGAGAGTGAATCTCAAAGCGTCTGCGCGTATGCCGTGGTGGATGACTATAAGTGGGGAGATTCGAGCCGCTTTACCAGTGTGACGTGTTAGTACTCTACAGGCGCTTCTGTGTGTATTTACGATTTCGGAGATAATTCTGATTATTATATAATTTTTTATTATGTTTCCATTGTAATTTCTTTTATATTTATTTACACATTCATTTTGTTATGTTTAATTATTTGTCAAAAGCTTTTATTGCTTTCAAAATGGATAATTTTTAAGATTGCCCTTATGCTTTCATTTGGTTCAAAGTTTAAGATATACTTTTAATAAACCATTTTTTATAATTTGGAATATAAGGAACTTTCTGCATAAGGAGATTTTGAACATTGGCTGATGGACATCGGACATGTATCGAAATTATTAAGTTACAAAACAAATTCTTTGTTTAACATCTGTTCGTTACTGCGCAAGATATGAGCAATGATAAAATATATATATATATATATTAATATAATTATTACAATAATATAGCATGACTATCTTTTTTCCCCATGGTAAACGGCTGATGGGTGATGTTTGACATCTCATGTCTCCTTACGTAAAAAGACCATAATCTCTTATTCTCACTCTTGCTTATAAAATTCCATACACTCATGTCAAATTTTATAATTGAACTTACAATTTTATTCATTCATTCATTTTTCTATTTTAGTGCATATCAATGATAATCATTGAATGTGAAATTAAAAACATATAAACTTATTAGTACACATATAATACATTTGATTTGCCTTCAAATTGTGAAATATGTCAAGCTTTTGTTAACTTTGAACGTTGAAACATAAAAAGATTATCACAGTGTATAAATAATCAATGAGCTATTCATCGTTAGTTAATGAGCATTGTGCGAAGTAATATAATCATTTTCCATTCGATTCTAGTTTAAGAAAAATTAGGCAATGAAAAGGAAAAGAAGATACATAAGATCACACTTTTCTCAAAGTAATTTTTAGTTGGAAAAATAAAAAATTTCTTGTATTAAAATAAATCGTTTCATGCTCTACATGCATACATGCAAAATAAACAATTACATCGTTTGCTAACATTACCGTTCACAATTCGATTATTTGCGCTGAGAAACATAATTGAATAGATCATTTTGTGTTACAATTCCAACGAGAGAATCATTATTATTTTCATCGTAGACAACAGCGTACAATGAATGTTCAATAATTCGGGAAAGTCTACCGAGTGTAATCGTCTTGGCAACCCTCTTGAACTATTTAATGAGCGCTTTCATTGCAAGATCAGAGGACTTTATTTCTCCAGATATCAGACCACTTAACAGTTTGTTGCGAGTGACAAAGCCGTTGATACAGCCGTTCTCGTCAACAATGGCTACTCGATGGATGCCTTCTTCTGGCAGCAGTGTCAGAGCTTTTTCACAAGTCGAGTCATTCGGTAGAACAATAGGTTTATTTAGAGATATTTCAGAAACCGGTAAATCCCACCACCATTCATTAGTTTTCAACGGTTTCGGTGGATCCTAAAATCAAAATTGTAGATTTTCACAATTGAAAACCGCGACAAGTTATTTATAAAAAAAATTACCAGGAAATTTTTCCATTCCATCCACGAATCGGCAACAAACTGGGTCATGTAATTGTAAATGGTATCTGGTAAAATGACCACCACGCGTTTGTTCGCAGGCAAATCTTTGGCGACATTCAATGCTGCCGATAAAGCAGCCCCGCTACTCCCACCGCAAAGTAAGCCTTCCTGTTTGCTCAATTCTCTAGCTAAATTCAGACATTCCTTTTGCTCGGTGTTTACTTGCATATCCACGATATTAAGATCCGTGGTTGTTGCGACAAAGCTTATTCTATTTAATGAATAATATAATATTTCATCGACATGAATAACCAATTTAGAAAAAATCCATGAAAAAAATCAACAAACCCAATGCCTTCGACATGATGTATTTGATCCTCAGGATCCAAGCATTTATTATCACGAAAGGATCTTGTAGGGGAGGCTACTATAATTTTTGTACTCGGCGATAGTTCTCGAAATTTCCGTCCGATTCCAGTGATGGTTCCACCAGTTCCGATACCTCCAACCAAATAATCAATCTTGCCATTACATTGTTCCCAAATCTCGATAGAGGTCTGATTGTAATGAACCAACGGGTTGTCTGGATTGGCAAACTGACAAAAGAAAAATAATTGTAGTTTTAACATTCGAGTTCAGCTAACAGCACTTGCTGCTGACCTGATCGAGGATCACGCTGTTGGGAGTTTCTCTTTGCAATGTTTGAGCAACTCCGAATGGACCTTCAGGGCCATCCCATGCAGCATCAAATCGACTGCGTACTATTTTGGCGCCTAAGGCTTGCGCAATACGACTTTTCTCTTCGGAAAACCTCTCAGGCATAACTATGATACACGGATAGCCCCCTGCAGCGGCTGCGAGCGCTAAACCTACTCCTGTGTTACCACTTGTCGGTTCAATTATCGTACAGCCTGGTCTCAAAATACCCCTTTTTTCGGCGTTCTCGATCATACTGAACGCGATTCGGTCCTTCACTGAACCTCCTGGATTCATAAATTCACATTTCGCGACTTGACAATAGAAAATCGTTAGTATTAGTTGAGCATTTGTCATTCAACGCATTCGTAACTATGACACTTACACACTTCACAATTGATTCCATAGCTTTTCGGTAGGCGATTGAGCTTGACCATCGGCGTCTGTCCAATTGCATGCAGAATATTTGGCATGACATTTTTCCAATCGGTCGGTCTACGAAAATATATTTTTATTCGATTGTCAAAATTTAATATTACTGTTTAAGTCCCACATTAAATAAGCATGGGATCAAAAATAATAATAACAATAATAATTTGAACCCATACAGAATTGTCTACCAAAATCCTACGTGGAATCCTATGAGATTTTCATGCGTTTATCATATGGATAATTATGATGATGATGCGGTAATCTCTTTTATTATTACATTTATGTATGAGAAAAAATTTTCTCTTTGCGAAATTGGAAACAATATGTACGCAATGTTTAAAAATGAATTGGCGTCAAAGTGTTATTGACGTGTCAATTTAATACAATTCATAAGCTTACGTCGATTTAGTTGTTCTGATTGTAAATAATTGATGAACTGTATCGAAAATTATGTGTACTACACGATTCCAGCTGTTTTTCATTGTATCAAACTTATTTTTATCTCCGCCAATGAATGGTCCGGCCAACACTTTAATTGGAAATACGTAAATTCAGATTGTATTTGATACTTACTGTCTACAAGTGACGCGATGAGGACTGTCTGCTGCATTAGGCTTCCACGTGCATTTGCTTGCTCTGTCGGGTCTATTAAATTCAAACTCCATTTCTCTCAACTAGTTGAAAATACGATTGATCGAGTGTTATTTCAGCGACGTATATAAGTTCATGTAAATAGTAAAAAGAGACAGCTGTAATCTTCTCAATTAGCAACAGGTCGGAGATTTGAATAACAATCAAGTGGTAGTGACAACAATTTAGCCCAGGCACGGGCAGTACTGATTCTTGAACTATAAATAAATCCTTCGGCTCACTTTAATCGGCAAACAATGACGTTCTTATACGAATGGCAGTCATAGGGCCTTCTCACAACGATTCTGACACTATGAAAATGACTTGAATTCTGACGCCTGGCAATAGTTCTGACTACCGAAAATGTATGGCGCCACCATAGCTGCTCAAACAAAGTATAGTTCAATGAATGAACTTCAATCATTAATTGAACTCACATTGTACGAAACCGTACTTTCAAAATGACAATGTGGTCATTACGCTTTTATTTAGGCGCGTATGTATGTAATAAGATTTATTGCTGTTGAAGGTTTTCGATAAAATTAAATCTCGAAAAAACGACGAACTAATATTCACCAAACTCAATGACTGTTTTAATTTTGGATAAAATTGTTGTTTTAAAAAATGTATCCTTTTTATTCAACCAAATTTTATAGTTACTTTTAGATGCAAAATATATTGATGCGACGGTTGATTCATTTCAATGGTTTGTCTTACAATGATGCATTAAAGAATATTACGAATTATCAATAATATGTAATTTACAAGATATTTCTCATGAATATCTAATAATATCGAGCGATTCAAATAAACTGTGCAGTGGAAGATGTCGACAATTTCCTCGGAGTAGGCGCTCTCTGCATAGTCATAAATGAAGGATTAGAATTGGCGCTATTTGCCAGAATCTTCTCATCCATGATATCCCGATACTTCGTGAATCCGAAATTGTAGAATGCCGTGATCATCATATTTTCTTCTTGTGCTTTGACAGCTTTCGTGCTTTCATCGTTTTGTAAAGCAGCGATATTTTCTTTCTCTTGAAATGTGCTGTCTCGCGCCGCTACTTTCGCTCGTTTGGCACTTTCGATCATTTGTTTCTTCTCTGCATTAATCTTCTGTCTCAATTGGGATAAAGAAAGTAAACTCAAACTGCTAACTTGTTCTCTTGGATCGAGGATTTTTAATACTGATTTTGCTTTGTCCACGTAACGCTTGTAGCGTTCTTCCAAAACCGACAATTCTCGTTCTTTTTTCAATAGATGCTCTTGTAGTACGATGACTTGTCGTTTTTGCAGCTGTACTTCGTTTTCGCACTCCTCGCTGTGCGCGGTCAGACGCTTGTACTCGGCTTGCAATCGGTCAACGTTGTCCTGCACAATTTGGATTTTCTGCTGTTCTTTTATCGACTCCGACATTTGGTTTCTTTGCAACTCCTCGAGTTTGTTCTCTGTAAATCGCAGTAAAAATTAACCGTATTCATTTTTACATAGCTACCTTGGAAATAATAAAGCGCACTTACCTAAATCCGTGATTTTATGATTAGCCTTTCGATTTTGCGCTCTAAGTTCATTAATTCTCTCCTCGGAATCATCCAATAAAGTTTGCCTTGGCAATTTATCTTCAGCTTTTTTCTGTTGGTTTAACTTCAGTATTTTATTCTCCTGTTGAAGAAGCTCAAGTTTTTTCTTGACCGATGGTGGTATAAAATCTGTACTGGCAACTACCTCCTCATTACTCACGTACATTATATTTTCCGTTGTAATAAGTTGATTGCATCTTAGCTCTTCGTTTGTTTCTTTCAGTGTGCTACACTCTATGATTACTCTATCTGTTTCGCGTTTAGCAGAGTCCAACTCAGTTTCGAGTTTCTTCATTTCAAATTCAAGATTGTCGCATTTATTTATTTGCTTGTCCAGGTTGTCATAAGCTTCAGTTAACTGTTTTTTACATAATTCCAAGTGACTTTTTAGCAGACTATTTGTTTTGACTTCTTCCTCGTAGTCAAGTTTATTCCTTAAAAATTCTGCGTTTTTATCTTCCAAAATTTTCACTTGTTTCTTTAATTTACTGAAATCTTCCATTTTTTTCTTATAAGACTCAATCGTCGATTCGTATATCAGCACTTTGTCCGCAGTTTCGCGCAACGCGTCCACTTCGTCTTTCAAAATCCGTGACTCTTCCGCAGATTTTTTAAACTCCAGGTGTTTTCTTTGCAGTTCTATTCTGTCCTTCTGCAATATATCTATTTTCGACAAATAATTGTCTCGCGACGTTTCCAACTTGTAAATGTTATCTTTCAACATTTCTACTTGCTTTTGAACCTCAAATAATTTTTGGTGCGTCTTTACAGCATCACTTTCTACATTTTGAAGCTCTGACAATCTTAACTGCAATCTATTATTTTGCGAGTGGAAGGTACTGTTTTCCTCTTGTAAAATGCAAAGTTGCTGATCTAATGCGGTACACTTGTAAGATAATTGATCGTTCTGTTCTTTAGCAGCTTGCAATTCGTCTAATAATAATTTCTGCTGAGTTCTGTCATTCTCATCCAAGAATTCGAAATCAACATTTACGGCCAATCTCCCTTTTATATTTCCCTCCAAATGTTGAATATTTTGCATGATGATCTGTAGTATATAATATAATGTAAATTAAAAAGTCATCACAGAATAATGCCATTCAGAATATAGCTGAAGTTAAATGTCCATACCTGTTGTACCGACTCTTCCAATTCCATAATTCGAATGATGAATTGCTGCTTCTGCTGACAGTTGACAGCGCAGCCCAATACCAATTGTAAAAGTCTCTTTAACTCGTCAACATCGCAATGTTCGCCAATTTTTTGAACGTCAGGTTTAACGTAACCAATCAATTGCTGATTAAGACACTCCACGTAATACTCGATCACAGCTTCTACAATTTTCTTGAGATTGCTAATCTTAATATGCTTGTTGGTGCCCACATTAAATTTGATTCTCGAGTACCATGATGTTGAAAACCATTCTGGTGCGATTTGGGTAAGTGCCTGTGCTAAAGCTACTCCAGTACTTATTTCCTCCACAGTCGAATGTGGAGCTTCCAATTCGAAAGTGTTTAGCCACGTTACCAGGCTTCTCAAATCTTGATCGGTCATTTTTTAAATGTAAACACAAACAGTACACTTTGACAAAAATAATATTTCAAAGTCACAAATATGAAATAACACTATGCACGAATACTTCTCGCAAGAATTGTTTTACTGAGTCTTTTCTTATGAGCTGTCTCACCAAAGATAAAGCCTATCTCGTTCCGCCGATTGATCAATATCTCATATGACCGCGCTATACATTTTTTCAACGCGAGCTAAACGACAGTCAAGATCTTATCGTCTCTCTTTCTCTCTTTACACACACACACACACGCACACACACACACACACAAATGTAACGATATTCAATTCTAAAGTGGAATGTTTAAGGTATTTGTCAAATTATTTCGTGAAAACTGATGATAAAAAGGATTGTAGTGCATTTTTATGAAAATGACATAGAATTGATTTTTGTCATGTAAATTTATATTTATATTTAGTTATAGACAATTACTATTCTTATTCTTTTAGTCATATATTCTAGTCTATTTTATAATTGGTATATTTTATAATAAGTAAGATTTTCTTGTCAATATACATAAATTATAAAAGTCCAATCTCCAAAATAAATTTGGAAATCATTCCATATCTTCTTGCTCTGATTTAGATTGCCTACACAATTATTAGATGATTAAATGATTAAATTTTAAAGAATTTAATGAATTCTATAGTACCTCTTATTGCTTTGCTGTTTCCTCTCTGTTTTCTCTTTTTCTTGTTTAATAACTGTCAATACGTGGTGTTCAAAATTAATGTAATTATTTGGCTTTTCATCATAGGGAGCAGGAACATTCATGCCTAGTACTTCTGGCAGCATATATGGTTTTAACCATACAACCAAAGGCGTTTTGCCACTCGTATAATGAACTTCTTTGTGGTAAAACAATAATCCATCTAAATTCATAGATGCTACAATATTCTCTAAATTAAAATAATTAACTTTATCACAAGATATATTTGGCAACAATTCAAATGCGTAATCATTATATTCCTTTTTTATTATTTTCATTTCGTCCAATTCCTCTATTTGTGATTTTATCCAAAAAAATCTACATTCAGTCTGCAAGAAAATGAAAATTCCAATGTAATCACTCAAAACTTATTGATATTGTGTATTAAATAAATTTTTTATTTTTAATTTACTTCACAATAAAGCATTTCTTGTCTTGACCATGCAAGCACATCTAAAATATAAAAAATTTCCTTCGATTGATCCCAAACACAATCTAATATTGTACAATTATTTTTATAATACATTAGATTGCCTCCTGGAAGAACACTTTTGAACTTTTTTATCAGTTTCCCATTCCTACTGTACAATTTTGTCCCACCCTACAGAAAATAATGTATATTAAAAAACACAAAAAATGAGTAATAATTTTTACTAATATAATTAAATACATACTTTATAAGCTACAACTAGAGATCGCTTCCCTACAGGACAAGGAACCATGATCCATTTCTCTACAAAATCTTGTGGTACTTCAAGCATCCATTCTGATAACATTAACAAATTTGCATACTGCCTGTGCACTTTGTAGAATTTTTTCCTAACTGGATCCACATCCATATCCCGTGAATCTTGTTCAGCTTCTATTTTCTCTTCATTGTCAGAATTAAAAACACCTTCCAGTAGCCCACGCCGAGCATTAATAACTTCATCTCTGTTTCTAAGAGGATCATTGAGATGATTCATGAAAAATTTATTATGGTATAATTATAAATTAAGATATTCAAACTTACTTTTTCTGGTAATGTAATATTCTCTGTCTTCTGATTTCTTGTGGTGTGTCATTGAACTCTAATTCTAACTTAATATTAGTCTTTCTGATTGGCTTTTTATATAATGCAGCTCGTTTATTGTTGCTTTCTGTCTTGTCTATAATATTTGCAAAATTTGAGAATTCAGGTTCTTTCTGACAACTAGCCTCATCTTTAGAACATATAAAAGTTCCCATTTTCACAAACTTATTTTAATTATTCATAAACTCAATTCAATCAAATAGTACAAGATTATCAAATAACATTCATGAAAAGGTAATTTATCAACATTTGTTAGGGTTAAGATTATTTTCCCGTAGTCTGAACTTGTCAGATATATTATTTATTACATTCACTAATTAAATAACTAGATTATTAAATAAACATTCATAGTCGTTATTTATACACAGGGTCCATACTAAATAATATTTGTTTACGTGAAATCAATGTTTATATCTTAGATTTACACGTGACTGCGTAACATGACTCGAGAACCGAATGAAAAATCATCTGTATATAGGACTCTGTGGCAAAGAGCTAAAATGCCGTTGCATTTAATTCAGATAAGTTAAAATTTACAAACTTTTTGGTTGAAAAATTAATAGTTTTATTCATAGAAAATTTAACAACTGCTTATAATATTACAAGATTTTTATTAAATCGAATAATTAGACAGTTCAACTGATTTATTTTATAAAAAATAGTTATCTTAATTTGAAATATTTGCTCACTTCATTACAATAAATTTCAAAATTAATTAACAAAAACAAAATTTCTGTTTGAAATATTAATATTTCCACGCACATACATTGTCAAATTTGATAATTCATTGCAAACACTTTGGCAGCGCCTGTCGGCTGTTTGCCATGGATAACAAAAGCGCATGCTACGATGCCTATATATACGACACTGCGTTACCCAAAACAATAATATCACCCACGTCGTCTGTATCTGTGAAGTTCGTTGAGTCGTCGAGTCGTATTTCACACATTCAACACAGTTCATTCTCTTGGGAACGTGAGAGATAAGCAGATATATAGTATATAAGGACTACATATATTCGTACGTTTTCACCAGAATAATAAATAAAACATTGTATTTTTTGTAATATAACTCTGCGTAATTAAAACGTAAAATGGTGCCTTTTGACGTCTCTCTTGACGTATGCAATAATGCTGTGGCTTTCTCTAGAGCGCGCATTCCTAGGAGTCTGTAAATAAAAATTATTTATGTACTTGTAAACCTCGACGATTTATAGTCTCTGCTACGAAAATGAGTAATCAACAATTAAGCAGCTTAATCAAGTGGTTGAATACGTTTGAGCTTTGTGCTCCACATTCAACTCCAGAAGATATAAGTACAGGAGTGGCAATAGCAGAGGCTCTGGTACAAATTGCTCCGGAATGGTTTACTACCACTTGGCACTCAAAAATCAAATCCGATGTAGGTACCAACAAGCATATTAAGATAAGCAATCTCAAAAAAATTGTAGAAGCTGTGATAGAGTATTACGTAGAATGCTTAAGTCAGCCACTCTCAGGTTATGTTAAGCCTGATGTTCAGAAGATTTCTGAACACTATGACAGTATTGAACTTAAGAAGCTTCTGCAGCTTATACTGGGCTGTGCAGTCAATTGTCATGAAAAACAACATTATATTACTCGTATCATGGGTTTGGAAGAATCAGTACAACAGGTGAATAATTTTAGATGACCTCAATTTTACTTTAACTAGTGTTTTTTGTTAAATTTGTGTATTTGCAGGTCATAATGCAAAGTATTCAAGAGTTGGAAAATAGTGTACATGGACCAAGACTTAGCTTAGGAGCTAGCTTAAATTTTGAATCTTTTGATGCTACAGATGGAACTCAACAGAGGCTGTTAAATGAACTTCAAGCTGCTATTGATGCAAGAGATCAAATAGAGCAAAAATATCATGATTTTCATAAACAACTGACTTTCTTACAAGAAGAAAATCGAACGCTACAAGTTGAAAATAAAAAATTGCAAGAAAGATTGGATGAATTTGAGACTCCTGATGAAAATGGTGCTTCATCAAGCATCAAATATTTTGGACTACGAAAGCAAGTTGAAGCATTGAAAGAAGAAATTTTTAGAGTAGAAACAACGCGAGATGACTACAGATCTAAAGTAGAATTGCTAGAGAAAGAATTGGTGGAGCTGCAGAATAAACAAATTGATCTGCAAAAAACAGCTGATGAAGCTCTCCATCTTAAAGATGAAATTGATGCTCTGAGAGAAACTGCAGATAAAGTTGCCAAGTATGAAGTAACAATTGAATCATACAAAAAAAAGATGGAAGATTTCAGTGATCTTAGAAGACAAGTGAAAATTTTGGAGGACAAAAATACAGAGTACCTCCAGTACAAAGTAGACTACGAAGAGGAAATGAAAAGAATGAGCATTGTAAAGACACACATGGAAGTAGTAAGAAAGCAGCTCGCAGAGGCGACTCTGAAGCTTGATGAGCAGACTAACAAGTGTGATAAATTGGAATTTGAAGCGAAGAAACTTGAGGCACAGTTGAGCGCTGCTCAACGTGAAAGGGACAGGCTAGCTAAAGAACGCGATACTCTAAAAGAGACCAATGAAGAACTCAAATGTACTCAACTAAATAACGTCGAAAACATAACGAATTTAAGTACCGATGAAGCTCTAGTTAATACCGAAATAATTCCACCGGCGATCAAAGAGAAACTGGTACTTTTACAACATGAAAATAAAATGCTAAAACTCAATCAGCAAAAGGGTAACGATGACAAACTGCCTATACAGGCATTGCTGGAAGATTCTGAGGAAAGGATGAAAGCTCTTAGGGATCAAAATCGCCAGGCTAATCAGAGGATAATTGAATTAGGTAAATTTTCTACCCTATTATTTTTAAGTTTAATAAAATAGATTTTCTGATACTAACGCGTTGATTAACTTCATTTACAGAAGCCAAACTTGAAGATATAAAAGGTACTCAAAGCTCAGAATCGAAAACTGAACAAACGAAATTGCATAATTTACAAGAGGAACTGCGTAGATTGCAAGCCGAGTGCGAACGTCTAAGTATGCATAATGAAGAGCGCGAAAGTAGCTTGCAGATGCAAAAACAAAAAGCCGTGTCACTCCAAGAAAATTTGTCTCGCAAAGAAACCGAATTAGCATCATTGGAAGATCGCTACAAGAAGTACGTGGAGAAGGCTAAGAGTGTCATCAAGATGTTAGATCCGAAACAGCAACACAGTACCAATGCTTCCCCCGCAGAATTGGCTGACAAACGAAAGAATATTGAAGATGTCGAGAGATCGTGTAAAGAAGCAAAAATCATTCGAGAGATGGAAGAGAAACTCATGCTTACCGCATTTTACAATTATGGCATGACCAGACAGCGTGATTCCGTTGATCAAAGGCTCGCGGCTTTAAGTTCAGGGCAAGGGCAATCATTTCTTGCCAGGCAGAGACAATCTACTCCAAGAAAAGTCTATACTGTTTACAACTCGAAGTAAATCGCATGACCATCTAGGGTATCAGTAAACATCGTTTTTTAACATTGTTAATACCCCATTTTTCATGTCATTGATATTAATTAAGTCTCACTTTTACATTTACCTTTTTTCAATATTATAATCCACGTCTTGTTTTACTTCTAGATTTTTCTCGCAATACTTTATCAATTATTAAGTCTAATTTTTAAGAATTGATGTAGCTTAAAACACCGCAATTTCAAATAACTCGTGTAAAATAATTTAATAGATATTAACACAGATCTATTTTACTATGTTGATAAATAAAACATTTTATTTAGTTGAAATAAGGAAATTCAATTTTCTGAAGAACGATCTCGAAAGAATAATCTGATTTTTATGTAGTTTTTACTCTTATATTGTCTATACAAATTTGCTGTGAGGTTTCAAAAATGACATCGATCTGTAAAATCATTGTAAATTATTAAAAAATCATATTCTTTTTAGTAACAAATTATTCAGATATAGGATCTGTATTGTACAGCTATAAGTCGGTTTTGTTTTGCAATGTTTCATCGTGATAATTTGTTTCTAATCTGAATTATATAATAATATTACACATGTGGAAAATTCATAATTATACATAATATTGTATAAATTGTCATATTTATTCAATGTGAATTACTGAGCACGTGCAATATTTATACATTAACATTTTTAAAAGCAAATATTTTTTCTCGATCGCACGATTTATACATGGAGTTTGTACAAAGAAAAATGATAAAATCGATTGAAAAATATATATAGATATTTATGATGGAATCATGTAAATTGTAAAAATATATCAATTTTAATTATTTAATGAACTGCATATTTTTTTCATTGGATGAAACCATGAAAAATAAATGTTTTTCGCATCATCCTTCGAAGCCTGCATACCCAAAAAATTATTTTTATTGAATTTTTACGTCTTGGCATTAATTTATACAAATATATTATTTATGTTTAGCACACAGCAATTTAACCCAAGAACTCATTTAAAAATAATCTATATATTCACTTGATCATTGTAGCAGTATTATCATCTTCAAGCTGTAATTCCCTTTGTTTATATAATCTATTAACAAATTTGCTAGTTCGTTCATTTAACTCAGAATCTTTGTTTTGGCTTTTTATTTGTATTATATCACTTTTCACTCTCATAAGATCACTGTAACACCTCTGATAATAAAACACTGCATAGATAAGGTCCCAAGCGCTGAATTCTGGCCAAAGAACTGTTGTAAAATACAGGCAGGTATATGTTGACTGAAAAGAAAATTTCATTTTTAAACAGGCATATAATGCATATTTATCATAATTTCAATACTCACTTGCCACATTAGAAAATCACTAAACCGAACTTCTCCAGAGGTACGGATAAGTAAATCTGGATCTTCAGAATTGTGCGTGTAAAGGCACTTTGACATTAAATCCTCATCTATATCATCTACAGAAATCTCACCACTTTTTACACCTTTAACAACATCTTTCACAGCATTTGTTATTTCATCTCTGGCTGGAATGATTGTCTTCGTTAAAATTTTTTTTTAAATATACATATTAAGAAAAACACTTATATGTGAAAATGATTTTCTTTGTAAATATATAGCTATTGTAATTAGGCCATACAGATAACATTCAAATTATTATAATTTACTTACAAGTATAAGAAAATGCAACATTCAAAATTGCCTTATTGTTGTCCTTAGTAATTTGCATAGCTTCAACCATAAGCTTTCGTACATCTGGAGGTACATAAGATAAATTGCCTATTACTCTAACGCATATACCACGTTCCATCAATTTATCCCTGAAACCAAATGAATATTGTGATGTCTTCTAACAGAAAAGTTTCATAAAAATATTGATACAGATAAAAATAAGTTATTACTTTTCATCCAAAAGTCTTTGAAACTTTTCCTTGGCAAGATCCATAAGATTTCTGACTTCCTCATCAGTTCTTTTGAAATTTTCCAAACTAAATGCATAAACTGTCACTTCTGGAATGCCAAATTCTAAACACCACTGCAGGACTTCCGCAAGTTTATTAAAACTATAACAAAGTCAATAATACATCAGTATTCAGCTGAACACAATGGAAACAAGGAAACAAGTGAATGATGTAATCCTCACCCTTGTTTGTGTCCCTCAATTTTCTCAACTCCAGTCTTTTTTGCATATCTCCTGTTGCCATCCATAATGAAGGCAACATGTTTAGGCACATGTCCAGCTTTTAGCACTTTGATAGCAATAGATTGCAACCAAGTCAGCGAGTTCTTTGCTATCCACGACATTTTATCTGTATCAATTCACGCAAGTCTATCCTTGGAAGCATATGTCTATCTTGATAATAGTCCACTGATGATTTCCTTGCAACAGACATCAAGCAAGATCCATAGAATCCGTTGCTGAAAACTACTAATTCATCAAGAATTCAGAGATTTATCTGTAGCACAGTAAGTGTCAAAATCTTGTAAATACAGTTGTAACAGTGTTTCGTGAAATTTTAGTCACGTTTTAATGCATGCGAAATTAACTCAACTAGGTTGTCACGTGTATTTATCTCGAGCTGTACACTGTATAGCCACCACACCTCCTCTTACTATATACACTCGTCATAGACAGCCAACACCTACTAAAGATCTTCGAGCGTAACGTTTTCGCTTTGACATTAACATTTTTCTCTTTAATGCCTTGCGATCGAAAGTACAAAATCAGTAAAATTCTTTTTTCCCTCGTACATTCTCGTCCGTCACTGTGTACAACAAGGGAAGATGTCTTACGTGTACCGCTCAACCGCGAATGGCACTCGGCCACACGACTCGGCGGTGACTCTGCTCGGCCCCCCTCTCGCCAACACCCCTCGTCTTGGCAATTATATACAAGCACCGCGCCGTTGTCATTCTCTGAAGTCTGACGTGACTATCATAATACGACAATACTTTATGATTTTAAAAAGTTTTATAAAAAAGTTTTAATGTGTATTACTAATTATAGGTAGTATAATTTGCACATATGAGTGAATAAAGGCTCGTTACATTGGTGAAAAATTCTTGGTGATTGTTACGAATAAAAAGAAAAGAACTCAAGACTTTATATTTCCAAACGTAACTTTTGATTTTTCATATATATGATTTATCGATGTAAAAAGTACAGAGCAATATTGGCTATTAATGTGTGTGTGTGTGTATATATATATATCGCAGAAAGTTGACATAATCCGGCCGTCTGCAAACTACCTAGGATAGTCGCATGGAGACTACCGCATGGAGTTTCCATGGACTGTCGTTAAATGAAAGAATGCACCAGTGAAACGACAAATTATTTGTTATCTGTCTAGTTTCGCTTAGGCAGTCTGCAGACTGTCAGCAATTGAAATAGAAAGATCGTCTAATTTAATATAATCTAACCACCGCCTATAGGGTAGTTTGATATTGACATACTGTTTTCGTTTGAAGGATTATGTTGACAAAAGCTATAGTAATCTCATTACCACCCATTTCTCACTTGTTTTAATAAATGATTATCGTTGATTATACCTTTTACTATGTTGTGATAGAAATATAAAAATTGATACATTTGTGTACAAATTTTAATATTGACAATATTTATTAATAATTATCCTTGATTATACTTTTTACGTACAGACTGTCAATTCCCCGTAAGCTACAACCGTTCTTTTATGACTGCCGGTAGCAGCCGGCAATATCTGCAGACTGCTGGGTTCTGTCAACTACGCCTATGACATATATTATACGTGATTAATATTTGCAACACCGCGTTATATATTTTTGGATACTAAATATCGTGTTATTTTTTTCTATTGATAACTCGACAATCGTATATTAAAATCAATAAATATACAATTTTAATGACGATTTGATAAATTCGAACGTTCGTTATAGAAATAATCAATTACATTGATTATTTAAGTTATTTAAATATTTAGTCGTTTATTATAGAGATGGGATAGAAAAAAGATTTCATCGATGTTCTTGCACTATATACTATATAATTTTTTAGCAATCGAACTATAATTACAAGATATGAAGCGGTAAGAACAGGGTTGTTATTGGCAATTGTTTTAAAGTACATTGTTTCGTCATAAGTTATAAACATCATTCATAATTAGACTGACAATGTGTTACAACTCTAGCTTACATATATATTTACTCTTCAAACGAACAGCTTGATAATTTCAGCGAAAGTGCCGACGAAATGTTGTTGACTAAATTTAGTGAATTTATTTTATTCATTTACTTCTCTCTTGTTAAATCATAATATTTTTAATTTTATTAAAATCACTTTACAAATACAAATACAGTAGGCAAGTGCAAAGCACAAGTATAGGTATCACAGTTTTACTACTTAGATTCACTAGAGCGGACCGTTCGTCAATTTTTTCTTTTACAAAATTCCATACACACATCACACAATGTTCACATAAAAAAGTGTTATAATGATAAATACTTATTTACAATCGGTTATTTAACAAAACATAATGATTTTATCATTCTATTTTTATCGTCAAAATAAATAAATTACAGTTCTACTGAAAACTACATTATACAAATGCTAAAATACACGAGATATTTAACGAAAATTTCATTGAACTGTATAAGCACATTGTTGTCGTGTATTCAGATAAGAAAATTAAATGCGACCTTCGAACAAGGTGTGAACAGTTTTTCAGCTTTAATTTTCTATTTTTCTGAATTCTTAAAATAAACGTTCGATTATGTATATATAAGTTTACAGTGTTTCCTGATAAGGTTCAATTTTTCTTATTATTTACATATTGATAATAAAAAATACAGTTAGTATGAAAAAATAAATATAAATATTGCTACTTGGAGGTACTTAGCTGTGATGTATTTAAATGAAGGCATTCCAGTGCTTTTTCATTGAGATATGTCAAAATTGTATTCATGGTTTCAACATTCATTATTTTCATCTAAAAGGGAAAGTGGTACAATTAAATAAATAAAAATTAATGAATAAAAACCGCAATGTAAAAACAAAACAATGTAACAGTAAATACCTTTGACTCGGATATGACTATTGAAGGAAGGTGTATCCTATGCAGTAAACAAAGTCCTAAATGTACACCTCCAATTTCCATGACTTGCTGCTGTAGTATTTTATGAAATTCGTCAATTTCTTCTACATCTATTCTATCCTTATCGTCTGAAACACTAATTGTAGAATAACATATGAAAACTAAATTAAATTTTCTGAAATCCAACTTACCTCTTCCACAATTCCATTAAGTCCTTAATCAGAAACCTAATATGGAGGCATTCGGATTTGTGTAGTCCGGGAACAGAATATTCAAGTAATGCCTCGTGATGTTCTTTGATCGTATCTTGACCTCCACCAGGACTGATAAAGATCGGTAGTAACCAAGCGAGATCCTCCGCATTAGTCGGTAAAGAGACGATCATACAGTCGAACATTCGACCTAGAATCGCGTGCACTGCGCGCATTGTTCTCACTGTACCTCGACACAAGAGTAATGGTAGACGCGTGGAGTTTTCGGTGAGTAAGTCAGTTGGTTCGGTACGCCAGGATATCAGAAAACCTCGGTACACTAGAGTCTTTTGCTGGGTTTCCCTCGTCATTATTTTCGCCTGGACTTCTATCTGAAATTATAAAAGAAAATTATACTTCATGTTTGTTTTGTAGTTATTTTACGATTTAATATACTTGAACAATAGGGTGATCCGTTTCTTTAGGTCTCTTAATTTCTAACACGCTAATTTTAGCCTCGTAGCTTACATCCTCATTTGATAAATTCGCTGCAACTTCTTCGCGTAGTTTCTTGCCGTAACTTTTCATTCGCACTTCGTCGTCGCATTTGAAATCAAATAGCGCTGAAATGCCAAAAATATTCCAGGTTTGTCTTAGCAGCACTGAAATCATTACAAATGACTGGTATTATTTTTAAGTGTTGAATTTTATGTTTTGCTTATTTTTTAAATTACGAAATTATTTATTTAACATTCCCTCAAAAATAAAACGAATCTTTCATTCTAATGCTACCTGAAGCATTTAACAATTTTGATCGCGTACATAGCTGAAAATCTGTAATAATGCTTTTTTATAATTCACAATTACTTTTGATGTATTTAAACTGTAACATTTTTTTTCGGTCTTCGAATTGAATTCAGTGATAGTAAAATCAAGTATAAATTTAATTTAAAAAATAGAATAATCCAAATTTATCATTCTAAATTAGCAAATACTTATTGTGACTTGTATTTTACAGACCTACTATAAGCAGGATGATACATATTAACAGATAGTTTTGTAGCAAAAGCTTAACCAGACTTTTAATGATTACAGTGACTTATAAAAAGGTATATTAAAAGCTGTTGCTATAAAAAGGTATACAACAAACTGCACTTGTCGAATTTCATGAAAAATTATAAACATATCTTTTTAGAATTAAAAATCATTCAAAAAACATCGAACCTTCCAAATCGAGAAGAGGGTCATCCTCGTGTTCTTCATCTGGGGAAGGTGTGAGTGTCCTGGACACAAGACTAAAATACCTTCTGAACTCCCTAATACCTGCAGTTCGTGATAGTAAGGCGGTTGTCCTGCTACTATCTCTCGATCGCTGATTACTATCCATCCTGACATGAAAACAGTCGTGACTCTAAATAGTCGTTGATTGGCGCCAAAATATCTCCACTTAACCTCACACCTCTCCCTACTCTCGACTTCACTAAGCGTCGCAACTCAATGCGTTTTAGATCGTTGAAGCACTTTACTAACACATTATTATTTCTTTGTTTCAAACATTTGCAAATAAGCAAATCACGAATTAATAATCGCCTGTTTTGTTTACAACGCGCAAGCGCTAGATGACTCGAGAACGGAGTCTATGGAGACACCGCAGTTGTAGCGCGACACATCAGCTGGTGGGTTCGTAAGGTAATGACGAGAATTTGACGTCCTAGAAACGTCCCCCCCTGCCTTCCCTTTACATGATATCGATGACTTTTTTCGTCATCGTCGCGCAACGCAAGAGCCATGATCTCCTTGGAAAGTAGTAGACGTCGACTGTACGAAAATACGGAAGTGTAGAGAGGTTGTAGCCAGCCAAAAGTTCGAGAAAAAAAGCGTCGTGTGTCATGCACATTAGGGAAAACTAATGATCGTTTGATAAAGTGTATCAAAAGTCTTTCACGTAAGTATATATTACGTAGAGTGTGCGACAGATATTAGGCAAAAAATGAGGAATTTTTCTGTGTATAGGCAGTCGTAGTACATACTTTCACTTCCGCGTGCGACATACATTAAACATATATACACGCACAATTGCGGACACAGTTTGACTCTAAAAATACGTGCTTGTTTTGATCACCTGTCGCACTGTGCTGTTATAATTACCTGCTTTTTTAATGAACCTATAAACACGCGCGAGAGAGAGAAGTTTATGTAAGGCTATAAATAAAGCTCCATTGTGTGTTGTGATTGTGTTTCAGAGACAGACTACTTGGGTACAGAGATTACCATATAATTGTGAGTGCAGTGTTGAGCTAAGCTAGTTTAAAGTGGAAGACTTAGTGTTGAGGAGTCAACATGACGGAGGACATGTTAAGCGCTGACATATGCAGAGTGTGCCGGTCAGAAGGTGTAGCTGAACGGCCACTCTTCCATCCATGCATCTGCACTGGCAGCATCAAGTGGATACACCAGGAATGCCTCGTACAATGGATGAGGTACTCCAGAAAGGAGTACTGTGAGCTCTGTGGCTATCGCTTCTCCTTCACACCGATCTACAGTCCTGATATGCCAAGAAGATTGCCTCTCAGAGATGTTATTGGTGGACTTTGCTCCAGTGTTATTACAGCTGTCAAATATTGGCTGCACTATACTCTTGTGGCTATAGCTTGGCTAGGAGTTGTACCTCTTACAGCATGCAGAACCTACAGAGCTGTATTCAGTGGATCTTTAGACCTTGTACGGGTATGAGAGGTGTCCTAAGGAGATCAAAGAGAATATGTGTCATGAACTCTTTAGATGCCAGGAACTATTTTTTCTTTTATTTAGTATTAGTTTGTTTCTTATTTGAAACTATACTTTTGCAGGTGATGTCTCTGCCCATGGATATGATTTCCCCAGAGAATATATCTTCAGATGTATTTCATGGATGCTTTGTGATAGCTTGTACGTTGGTTACTTTTCTTGGACTTGTTTGGCTGAGAGAGCAGATTTTACATGCTGGTGGCCCAGATTGGCTTGAAAGAGATAACATTCAATTACCACCAATTGACAACCCTGTGCCAGATGATCAGGGACAAAACCAACAAAGAGCAATTCAGCCAGAAGCTCAAAACAATAACAATATACCACCTTTCGTTGAGGAGCCAAGGGCTGAAGATCCTAACTTTAATGGTAAGTTTGATTTTTCAAGTTAGTTTAGACATTTTTTTGCAAAATTGGTTTGCTGTAATTTTGACTTCATTCTACGATTTCCTTTCATTATTGACTCGTTTTATTATTATTGATTCTCTTGATTATTTAATGATTAGTTTTTTCATTTTCTGGTCATTTACCTTGAAAATAATTTTTCAAAATAAGCTCTTTCAAATTCGCAAGTTTAGAGATAAGCTTAAATATTATTAACATAAATTATATAACTTTCATTGCATATTCTATTTTTATTGTTAATTCTATTTGCAATATATTGTCAAACTTAGATATCATAAAAACCTCTTTTTAAATTTAATTGCTATATAATACTTTTATGATATCATTGCAATATTGTAGTTTCTATTTATTATATGAACATTAATTCATCTTTGACCACCGATTTTTTGAATAGCTGGCAACCCATTAGGAATATTATATGGGATAGGAGATGAGCGTCCAGCACCCGGTATCGTAGTTCCACAAGCAGCTCAACGAATACCAGCTGAAAACGAAGGCGTAGCAGCAGCTGCTGAAGGTGACGGAAGGCCCGAAGTCGAAGCTGCACAACAACAACAAGCGAATGATGGAGCTGAGTGGCGTGAGCAAGGTCAAGGTGAAGCTGAGGAAGCCAACTGGAATCCTATGGATTGGGATCGACCTGCTGAAGAACTGACTTGGGAAAGATTACTTGGATTGGACGGCTCACTTTTGTTTTTAGAGCATGTGTTTTGGGTCATGTCGCTCAACACTCTGTTTATTTTAGTAAGAAAGGACGACGAGAATACATTCTTAGTGTATTTTGATGAATGAGTGACGATATAATTTGTTTTTTAGGTATTCGCTTTCCTGCCCTACCAAATTGGCAGCTACGCGATTCTCTTCATCGGCGCCCAAGAAATGGTTGCCGCGTCCCATTTCGAGGGATTGCTGACTACCCTTTGTGGATATTGTGTTCTGGGTGTTATGCTTGTCGTGCTCCATGCACTTGCCGCTCTTCTTGGATTTCAAAGATCTCAGCGTATTCTTGGCCTCGGTTATGTCATCGTCAAGGTAATGGATAATTTGACGTCACAACGGTCATATGATGTAACATTATTTCACATATTTGTGATTTATTCTTTCAGGTGTCCCTACTAAGTGTTGTCGAAATCGGTGTACTGCCGTTAGTATGCGGTTGGTGGCTGGACATCTGTTCGTTGGCAATGTTTGATGCAACTCTAAGAGATCGCGAGTCATCGTTCCGTTTAGCACCTGGAACGTCAATGTTTATACACTGGCTTGTTGGCATGATTTACGTTTACTACTTCGCCTCATTCATTTTATTACTTCGCGAAGTACTTCGTCCAGGAGTATTATGGTTCCTTAGGAATCTGAACGACCCAGACTTTTCACCACTGCAGGAGATGATTCACTTACCGATTTTGAGACACGCCAGGCGTTTGGTCGTTTCGGCTGTGATTTTCGGCACTGTTATATTACTTATGTTGTGGCTGCCAATTAAGATTCTTAGATGGATCTGGATTGGATTCTTGCCCTACACCGTAACTGTTCAGACTGAAACACAAGTAAATTTTTGTTACTTCACAGCAACAGACTTTATTTTTCAATAATTAATCGAAAAAATTTTAGATCAGCGAACTCTCTCTCGAGTTACTGCTACTCCAAGTAATCCTTCCAGCTCTACTCGAGCAGTCTCACACGCGTACATGGTTGAAAGCCCTAGTACGCGGTTGGTGTCGTATTGTCGCTTGGCTACTCGACTTGCAGTCTTACCTTCTACGCGAGCCAACGGATGAACCTGGACCAGCTGTAGTCGAAGAGCCGCAGCATCCAGATCTTGGTGCCGTTCATCAAGCTTTACTACAACGAGAAGGTCCAAGTGGATTCCAACCGTATGTTCGACCAAAGTGGTTTGGTGCGCGTCTTGTTGGCCTGATGCTGTGCGTTTGCATTTCCTTCGTGTTGGCTAGTTTAGTGGCTATGACTCTACCTGTTTGGATAGGCAGAAGAGTCATGGCATTGTGGATGGTTGGCGCACCAGCACCTTCGCCACCAGTTATGCCACCGCCTATGCCTGTCACAAACGGTGAATATTTATTTTTAATAGTCTGTATAAACAGAAAGCAACGAGTGATTTAATCTGACTATAGAAGGAGGTGAAGCTCCAGCACTATCAGGCCGCGTACATGAAGTTTATACGATCGCCTGTGGTACTTACGTCTGTTGGGCAGCAGCTCGAGGCTTGGCTCTGGCGTTCTCGTGGTTACCTCGTGGCCGACGTGCCATTCTCGAACGAGTCAAGCACTGGGCGATTATCGGCGTTAAAGCTTTTGTCTTCTGTGTTTTACTTGTTGGCGTAATTCCGCTCCTTTTTGGACTTTTATTGGAACTGGTGGTTGTTGTTCCACTTAGGATACCTCTCGAGCAGAATCCTATCTTATTTATATGGCAAGATTGGGCTCTAGGTGAGTTTATAAACGAAATATTAATGAAGTGTAAATAAAATTCCAAAGATTTTGTTTAAAATGGTATTTTTATTATTTTTTAAAGCTAATTGATGAGTCTTATGATTAATTGCAGGTGTTCTTTATACAAAAATCGCCACGGCAGTGACAATGATGGGTCCCGAGTGGCGTTTGAAATTGGCAATCGAGCGCGCCTACAACGAGGGTATTCGTGAAATGGACTTACGTTTCATTATTATGGAGCTTGCAGCCCCAGTAATCTGCTGCTTTGGTTTGGCATTGGCGATTCCTTATGCCGTTGCGTATAGCATCGTTCCCTTATTTGTGACAAATATCCAGACGCAGATCTTAATCGCACGTAGACTCTATCCTTTCCTACTGCTTTTACACGTGGTTTGTATAGTGATTAGTATCCAAATCAAGCAGTTTAAGAAGCTATACGAGCATATCAAAAACGACAAGTACCTGGTTGGTCAGCGACTCGTCAATTACGAGCATCGAAATAAACAAGCCACCGCCGCAACAACAGCAGCTTGCAGCTAATCGTAGGCACTCTAAGAGAGTAATAAAGCAAAATTTTGTTGAGGAACGGATTCTGGTGTATGTTTTTCGATCTCGCGAGAGCATATTCGTTATGTTTGTTAAAGGTTTTGGGGTCGCAATTAGACGTTTAAGTATAATGCATAGTGCTTTCAACCGGAACCAGTTGGAATTGTACTGTAGCTTTGAGGAATCAGCTAGATAGGATAAAAACATGTTTTTTTTTTTTCTTTTGTTGACGAGACAGATTCCGACGAATTGTGGACGACTATGTAATAGGTCGGCTTTTTTCATGCCGAGAATTTTTTTTCCTTCGTTATTCCTTGAACAACCGTACTTTTTTCTTCTCTTCCTTTCACGTGAGAATTTTTGATAGTAAAAAGTTGATATCACTAAGCATGTTACTGTGTTAGTTGAGACGGCGGTTTTTAAAAATTCTGTTTACTATATATTGCCGGATGAGCTGCTGAAACTAGAATGCTTGTGACAAATTTTGGCAATTGGGTGAAACTGTCGTATAATTGAATTACAACGTTGAATGATAACGCCGTTGAGAAAATAAAAATAATTTATAGCATTATAACTATAATCTATGTTAGAAAACAATCCTATTACTCTAAACACATTGAAAACAGCAAAGCCTATAACTGACAAGTTTTGAAAATGCGCTATATGAATAAGCTTTTTTGTGATTAAATTTGGATTTGGCATCGTGTTTATTTTTAAAGAGTGCGAATTATATCAAAAATACATTAAAAAAACGAATACTGTCACTATTTTACAATTTGAGTATAATGTTCGAATATCTAGCATCAGACATTTAGCAATGTGGAAAACTTACATTTTAACATATCCATTCACGAATATTTGTAAAACTGATTTAAAAGCGAAAAAAATCGCGTTTCATTACTTTAGTTCATAACCTTCATAAATCAAATAAAGAAATAAAAATTAAAATAATAGAAAATGAAAACTAATGGTTTTACCAATGCGAACTACGCAGTTTCGCCATTGGAAGACAAATATCTTAAAAAGCTTTATCAAAAACTACATTTGTTGAGTCAATGTTCGTTATTCTTAATTTGTATAAGTATGTACTTGTTATTTTTCTCTTATTTTTATTTATAAGAACGAAACAAATTGCATTCAATTTTGTACACTTTCGAGTCACTAGCCATTAAGTTGAATATTATTATCATCAAAATGAAATTACGTATTGGATTATCTCAGGCTCATAATTTGGGATGTATTGTAATTGTCCCAAGCACATTACATTATTCACTAACATCTGACGATCTTCTACAAAGAGTTGTATGTGCAACATTGAACGACTTTTTATGCGAAGGGCAAGAATATTCACTATAGCATAATCCTATAGAATGTAGACCAATAGTAGGTCTTAGAGAATAACATTAGTCGTTAAAACTAAAATTCATACGTAATTGCTTGGAACGTCAATTAATCTTGCATTGATTTATCTTATTCTTGATATTCATAATTTCCATTTACTCATAAATAAAAAAAATTATACACTAGAAAAATTTCAAAGTCTCAGTAAATAGCTAAAATGAAGGTTTGTATATTGTAAAAAAGAAGTTGGATACGAATATGTATGGTATTTTTATATAATGATGATGTGAGCGATTCATTAATGATTAAGTATGTAAATGCAATGTGTAACTATATTGTGATTATTCATTTTCAGGGTTGAAGATGAAAATAGTCCATAATGGTTTATTTTTTTCTTCTTTTATTGTAACGAATGTGCGTGTACAAGAATGCGATCTATGTAAAATAAAAAAGAAATAATATAAATACATATTTATCATAATCATTATTATAGGGTAAATGAATAGAGAAATTTTTCTGAGAGAAAGTTTATTTAGAAAAGATGTTATTTATTCATATATTAGTTGAACTTTACTGAGTACATACTAGTAGTAAACAGCGTATACTTTCTGTGTATCTTTGAATTTCACTGGTATATACAAATTTCTCAATAAACACATTTTCATGCAAATAGCACATTTTGAATATTCTTTCTATACATTATTACAGATATTAATTTGAAAATATAAACACAATTGCTTATTATTCATTCTAAAGAAATCGGACGCGTTGACAAAATTTTCGGAAATTAAATAATGCATTAAAAATTATAAGAATTTTGTTGGTTTCCATAACAGCTTGGATAACGGAAAATTAAATACTCAAGCAATTGTAAAGTTGAAAATTATTTGGCAAATAGTGGAGCAGTGTTCACGACAAATTTAAAAAACTTACGATACAATACTCATTAGTCGAACGTGAGCCACAAATTCTCATGTATACTTACTCTGAAGATGTAGCAATTGTATCTTTACTCTTCGTTGCAAAAGTAACCAAAACCTAGACTATCACTTTAAACAGCTTCGGAGTTGTTCTCTTGATGCTTGGCGTTGATCTCCCTAATCACAAATATACCACTTGTGACCAGTTCGTCGTGATATGCAAGATAACTTATTAATCGGACAATCTTAATTTGTAAAGCTACGTAGATGTTTGAGGATTGAATCGATTTATCGATCTGACGAGGATAAGGTTTTTCCAATAATAAGAGCAAATATAGCAATTTTTCGAAAGTTTTTCAGAATAACAACTAACTGCTCAAACTATCAATCCTGCCCAGTCTTGCTTTCCTTCTTTATCTTCGTAATAAACAAACTATCCACTTATATTTCCATGATCCGATGATGCACCGCATGAGCAAGTGCTTCTCATTCTAAAACTTATATGCAAACTGCGGCAATTTCAACGCCAAGAAAAGTTGCTTGTTTTTCTTAGGAAACTTTGCTTCGTTTGGTCAATTGTCTTCTCAATGAAATAACCTTTTACTCGTAGCCTACAGCAACGAGCTCTGATCAGCCGTGGTGAACGACAAGGTGGTTTCCAGCTAAATGTTTTTTGAAGCTTTGCAGAACGTCTATGATATCCAGATACAATTGCCGGTCATTCAACTAAATTACATGGCTATTTTTAAGACAAAATACAATCTAGATATTACCGAAACTCGATTTCAGAATGTGCACGGCCAATAAAACTTACTTAACGCGACGAACTGCAGAAGATACGAAATATCATGTGTCTGATGTCTTACGGGCAAGCCAAACTATATGTCATAGATAAACTGTACGGCAATTCCGTTATGAAAATCGCCAAGCCTCAAGGTGCGAGAGGCCGATCTGGTATCTGTAGGATTGCAATTCTATGACATCAAGAAGACTAAGAAAGGACGGAAAAATATTCTAGCAACTACTTTTTATTTTAATTTTGTTACACGCTTTCTCTCTTTGCTTTCATCTTTTAATTGATTATTAATCCTTCAATGCACAATTACTTTATCAGTCATGTCAATATCAAACATAGATATCAATGGATAACGAACAAATGAAACGAATGATTAGCTATAAACTATCATTGGTTACTTAGTTGTTGTAATGAAAATTAGTTAATGTTTATTAGCAAGCTTTGTAAAACTTTTCATGCTTGTTATATTCCAGAATTTTTTATTTAATAATTTCATGTTTAAAGCGAATTAGGCCAAATTACCTACCATGTTCCAGAATGAATATGCTGACTGACGGATCGCGTGTAAACTTTATCGTGAATGGCGTTCCACAGAAGAAAATTTCAGATTTATTTATAATTGTTCAAAATAACGAGATTTAATTTATTTACAATCTGAAGCCACATTTTTTTATGCGTACAGTAAATTAAAATTTTTATCGAACATCCTTATTATTCTAAATAAATCGATGACATTAACAGCCACCCATTAAAACTATTCGTGTATAACGACCAAAATTATCACTGCGGAAAAACTGAAAAATTTTTGATTATGGATATTTCTTCTTTCGTTAACGATTGTGATTTTAAGTATTCAAAAATAAATAAAATTGACGTCGATTGCGATTAATACGCTTTTTTTGTGATGGACATTCTTTAAAATTTTAATGACATAAGTCATATAAATTAATTCAAATTGAGTTTTATCATAATAAGATCACGTCATTTAAATTAAAACATTATTATGGAAAAGAATTTTTCATTTTTCATGGTTATGGTTCATTAATAGCACATTATTAAATTCAACAATAAAGTTGAATTTTTATTCAAACTCAAGGTTTATAAAATTTCCTCAGATTCAACAAAGTCAAAACTCCGTTTACATAATATCATTATTAAAAAAAATAATTTACGTACCATTTCACAAAATATAAATAACATTTGAAATTCTTAGAAATTATGATTGGCTTTTGTTCTTCTTACTTTCTTTAATAGAAATAACGTAGCGTTGTGGAACATTCAGTGGAGGTGAGTATCCATCAGCATATGTGGCATCTTCAAAAAGTACTTCATATTCTTCTTGTGCTGTTGTTGGTAAATGATTTACAACAGCTTTATAAAAGCATGTCGTCTGTGGATATAAAGCCATAACTGAAATTTTATTTTAATTAGTTATTTCATTATTCAGCTGCGCATTTAATTTTTAGCATTGTCTGTACAACAAAAATGAACAACAAATTTTTTTTGATAACAAACATACCTATTGATCCCTTTGGAAACAGTGCATGTGGATCTGTTTCAGGATCAGCTCTCATTAGAGGTAGAGGAATAACTCTACGTCTAGATAGAATATGCCTATCCTTTTGCTCCTCATCAATATCATCTACTTCATATTTATTGGCTGTAGAATTAAAATGCACTACTTCTGCTAGGATCCAGTTTTCTTCATCTTCAGAGCCTTTCACCAAAGCAGCCACCATATCACCCATCTAAAATATAAATATTGACGTTAAAATCATAACTGGTATTGGTAAAAACAGTTTTTTTTTAATTTTATACTTTAGCTATATAAGTGGCTTCTGCAGGTATAGCACCACAAAGAGGTGGTGCTTTTACACCTGGTGATTTTCCAACGTGTAAAGGCAGAGTTTGTGCTGTACTAAGTAACATTTTCATTAGTGCACCTCGTCTAATAGTCTCTTTATTTCCTGCATTTCGTGCCTGTAATTATAATAAACAAGCACCATTCCTTAAAGCTCCCTTATTATATTCACTATTGCCTTAACGAGATATACACTTTAAGTATCTTACTTTAATTTTTAATATCAAATAACTTTATTTTTAATAAAAAAACCATTATACTATAGTTTAGATAACTTTTTCTGTTTTTTCATACCATACATGTTTTGTTAATTAATGAAATATAATATGAGTTTGAATATTAAAGAAAGACTATCTTAAAGTTTACGTGTAAAAAGAACATATGTTACTGATTTTATAATGAACTGACTTGTATTCTCCTTTCATTTCTGATCAACCTAATTTCATTAATTTTTTCCAAAGCTTTCCTCAGTAACTCTTCTTCCTTCTGAGCATCAACTACTGCTAAGTTATAAATGCTTTTTAATTTTTGCTGGTAGAAAGAGGAAATTTTTTCATCAGGATTGACTTTTTCATGAGTTTTTGTAATATTATTTAAATTAACTTCAGAATGATTTCTTGCTTTTTCAATGTCATGAACTAATTGGTATATACTTTTAAGTCTTTCCTGCAAAATGAGAATTAAGATTGCAAGCCCAATCACTCCAAAACAATAAGTATTGACATATGAAAAGTGCATTAAAAACGGGAATGAAATAAATTGAAAAACCATAAGTAATTTATCAATTACTTGTATTTGATGTGCTGCAGCATCAGCTGTAAAAGGCATTTTACAATATTGCTTTCTATTGATAACAGCAATATACAAATTTTTTATCAGATCAAACACTTGGAAGCACGATTTATTATATTTTTCGATCACATTTTAATATATATATATATGTCATATTAATATCAGGTCATTGAACGTTCCCATATTCCATCATAATCAACTTATTCATAAAATAAACAACTTTAAAACTAGAATTTGCCTCGTTATTGTTAGTAGACAAAAAGTCAGCTGATAACATTAGGCGCATGCGCGTACACTCGTAGGCTTCGACGCGGCAAACCTTTAAACGTTTTGCATATTAATATTTTTTTGCTTGTATTTTTACCCGCGCAACACCATTGGCATATACTACCTATGTATACAAGTACTCAATCATTATTCACCATACAAAAGAAAAAAATATTCAGAATCACTCAAATCTGTCAAAAGAATAGAAATCATCCGGGCACTTCAGACTTTGTTGCTGCTGTGGTTGAATTAACCTCTTTCTAAATCGGGTAATCGGTATACAGTGTGAAACCACCAAAGAATCTGGTGGTGATGATGCTCTGGTATCGGATTTTGAATCTAACGGGACGGCTTGAGCTACATTTGATAATTTTTTCTTCGCTGATCACATGCTCAACATGTCGCGAAAAACATATTGATACAAAAACGAAAATACAGATTAGTGATCCAACCAACTCTGAATAATATTGTACATTTAAAAAAATTTTTTACATTTCTTATTGAAAAGTCCAAATAAATATATAAAGTTGACATTATTATATGCGTAGAGCAGTTTGTGGTATGATATCTACTTTGACGAAATACGTACATCACGTACTCGTATATATGTATATACATATATATGTATATATATACGTATATATATAAATTGTGTGAGTGTATATGTGTATATACATATACATACATACATACATATATATATATATATATATATATATATATACGTATAAACAACAATCATAATACAAATAATTTAAACAATCCGCTTAGGGCGAAGGAGGGAGTTAATAGTGTAATTAATTTAAGCTGCTTCTCCTAAGTTGCCCTCAGCTCCCTAAGCGGCTCGAGAAGGAGACAACACCACACCGGCGGGGATATATAAGGAGCGACGGTCCTCACGGAAGCCAGAAGGGAGGACGCCGTCGAGCTGGCAGCAGTTGCTGCAGTGTTCCGGCACCCGCTTCTGATAGCGAGTCCAGCTTGCTTAAGCCGGGTGCAGTATATACGTACGTATGTGAGTGTGTGTATGTTGTTTAATTTTTAAATCATGCATACGCGTTGTCTTAGCCGGAACACTGCAGCAACTGCTGCCCGCTTGACGGGGTCCTCCCTACTGGCTTCCGTGAGGACCATCGCTCCTTATATATCTTCACCGGTGTGGTGTTGTCTCCTTCTCGAGCCGCTTAGGGAGCTTAGGGCAGCTTAGGAGAAGCGGCTTAAATTAATTACGGAATTAACTCCCTCCTTCGCCCTAAGCGGATTGTTTAAATTATTTGTATTATATGATTGTTTTTTTATATGTATATACATATACATATACATATACACACATATATATACATATATATAGATATATACACTTATATATGTCTGCATATATATATGTATAGATACTTATAAATATATTTATATATGTATATGTATATATGTGTATATGTATACATGGCACATTCCAGACTATGACGATCAGCTTTTCAGGGGTAGGTTTCGGATTTTCTTGAAACTTGGTCTACATATTGCTTATATGGTACTGTATTCAAGTATGGATTATTAAATCATTATAATAATTATATCAAGAGTTATAAACAATTGAAAATTGTTGACGAAAAGTCGGTAAGTCGGTATGTTTGATAGCAGCGCCGATGCGCGGCCGACAAGCGTCGTAAAGCCGTCAGCGTCAGGATCCTGTCAGCGTCCACTATTATCGTTCACTGTATGGCATTTAATGATCGCTCGATGAATTTTAAAACGGAATCTTAAAGAAAAAATGTCAAGGAATAAAATAAAAAAATAATTTTTAAAATAAAAATAACACTTTTTTAAATATGGGTAATTGTTTAAAAAAATGTTAATAACTTTTGGAAAAATTGATATTAAAGTATTGTTCACTCAATATTTTCAAAGTACACCCTTTTATGCTTAATTTGAAAAAATTTGCTTCAATAACTTAAATGGTTGCGGAGATATAAATTTTTGAAAATTTTTCGTCAAAAATTTTCAATTGTTTATAATTTTTGATATAATTATTATAATGGCCTAATAATCCATACTTAAATACACTACCATATAAACAATACGTAGACCAAGTTTCAAGAAAATCTGAAATCTACCCCTGAAAAGTTGATCGTCATAGTCTGGAATATGCCATATAACGATCGAAGAAGATTGATCTTTGACTGTTCCACTTATAAGTGATAGCATTTAAATGCTATATCATTGCTTAGTTTGAAAAAATTTGATGTTCCATTATGTGTGCATTGCGTGTGCTTATTTACTGCAACTATCGATCATTTTAGTTATAAAAGCTATACTTAATTTCGTTTAATATGACGAGATTTCGCACCATTATTTTAGTCATTTTTTACACCATTCATTATATAAAAACAAAATCTACGATCATTGAAACATCGAAGGTATCTGACTTTTTATATCTAACAGAATCGACAGAAATTTCTAGGGAACCTATTATAATTAAGGTAATGTATAAGTTTTACTCTGAATTTCACATTTTAAAAATGAATATGTATAGCATTTCTGGCTGTATACATTTAATCGTAGATTTATATTTATTTAAGATTATTATTAGTGATAATTTTTATGTTTGATATGATTTTTATTTGTTGGTCAAAAACTTTTTCTATCTTCAATTTTTAAATATCTTGTAAAATATGTTTTCTCTCATTTTGTATTAAACTAATTTTTCTACATTACATAATCTAAAATTACAATTTTTTCAAATTACTGTATATTTCATATTGTGTTTTTAGGTTGATCAGTCTCGCAGACCTTCAACAATTTATGGTATACCGCGTTGCACACCTAACGAAAAATATATACTTGGAGCTTGTCGAGAGTTTGAATGATTGGTTTGTTTTGCGTGCACAAATATTCGCGCTACCTAATGACAACGTTCGTAAAACATTGTTTTATACAATATCGCAATCAAGTATCATTTTTACCCTTTTACGAAAATATCGTGAGAGCATAAAATTTGTTCAAGGATATGAATCAATAAACAGATTTATATGGTTAACAAAAAAAATTTATTTACAAAAAAAATCATTCGCCATTAATTAATTAAGATTTATGTTGCATTATAACGGTAAGCCATTGAGTATTTCGTTTTATTTATAATTTATAAATATTCATGATTCTGTAAATTACTAAAATTCTTCAAATAAATTAGTTTTTATGCATTATATCTGAATATTTTCTCTTGGAAAAAAAAACTTTTCCTATAAATACGTCATTGTATATGATTGTAAATATTGTGACTTAAATTTAATTTATTTACTCCGTAACAGCCGGCAATATGATTCCCTGTAATTTAAACAATTGCGGATGTTTCGTAATTTTTACACGCAGTATACTGAAAATGTTTATAACCTGAAACATATTATTATTATTCTTAGTAGTCCAAGTCACAGTAAACATCAGTCTATTTAATAAGTCTGCGATTTAATAATTGTAAGTGGACAGCAATAGTATTTTTATTAACAGAAATTAGAATTCAAACTTTTTTTTCAATTCATGAATCCTATAATATGTAAAAATTACGTTAAAAAAATCTTAACTTACTTGTACAATCTGCCGTTGCTTCCACGTAAGCTTGACAGTTGGTACATCATGCTCCAAAGTAAATTCGCTCTCCGTTTCCTCGACTGTGTCGGAGAAATAAAGTCGTACTTTTAAACCTGTATCACATAGCATCGCATCTGCTGATCTTTCTTTCACATCCATCACTATCGCGAAGGTGTTCATCGAACCGCGTAAGTCTAACATGTAAGTGAAGTACAAAGCACTACTTTGTTCTTGAGCCATCTTTGCTGAATATTTTTTTGTATTGCAGTTGCTCGCCACTCTGCAAGAATATACAGATGTTCAATTTAGTTTTTATGAGTTTAATGATCACTCAAATGAATGAAACAAAAAAAACTTACTTCGCGCAAATAGCAGATGACCATTCTTCAGGTAGTGAATGATTTTTTAGTGACGCATACAACAACCGATGAACCACACAGTCCGAATACCTTCTAATCGGTGAGGTAAAATGAGTGTAAAATTCCGCATTCAGTGCGTAATGTTTCAAATTATCTTTAGTCTTTGCGAATGCTGAACATTTGTACACTGCACGCTGAAAAGAAAAATAAACACTTTAACAACCTATACACTTTAAAAATTGTCACATGACACTTACCGTCATGGATTTGGCACAAAGACTATTAATAACCATCATTCTGTACTGTGCAACAATGTTACTCTCGTTCTGCTCATCTACAACCTCAGGTTTATACATGAGCAAACTATTATGTAACGTTCCAGCTGACTCTATGTTGAGGAGAACTCCGAATTTCGTTAACAGGTCACGAGTTTTTTGTAAAATACGCATCGACGGCTCAGCGTGCGAACGCAACAGAGATACTTCCGGCAATGTTTCGTATAAATGCTTTGCCACAATCATATTCGCTAATAACATAAATTCTTCGATAAGACTGGAAATAAAGAATCTTCGTAATTAAAACAATGTTAACTAAAAATAATTAATTTTTAAAGAATCTATTTTTACCTATTACTTTCCTTTCTCTCTTCAAGCGTATACGACACCGGTAGTCTCGTCTCATTATCCAAAAACACAATTAATTTTGGTTGATCGATCTTAAGAGCTCCTCCATCGAATCGTCTATTTTTCAATTTAGTAGACAACGAATACAAATCTTTCACAACCTTCTGCAAATCCTTAGGTTCATAATCACCAAATATTTTTAAAGAACCATCTTTTCCCCAATCATAATTCTCATCATCAATCATAATTTGCGCCTGCTCGTAAGACATTTGACAGCACGAGTTTACCACAGTCTTGGCAAAGCGATAATTTACAACCTCACCGTTAGCTGTGATCTCGATAATCACCGAGAACGTTAATTTGTCTTTACCCGGTATTAACGAGCATGCCAAGCACAATTGCTTTGGCAACATGTGGTACACGTTGTCTACCATGTAAACTGTTGTTGCTCGTTCGGCAACTTGACGATCTAGTGGTGAGAATGCTTCCAAGAAGTGCGTCACATCTGCTATGTGCACCCCCACCTGCAATTATTTTTTCATAATGCAATAATGTCATCAATATAAGGGAATTCTTATAAAAGATAAATACATAATTGAATTTTCGTTATTCTTATATTGTCATGTCGCTTTTTTCATTAAGCAAAAAATTGATCATTTATATTTACTAATACGTTTTATTCAGGTAAAAATTTTAATTTTTGATAAAAAGGATCATCGCAATTATTACCTTAAAATTTCCATTTTTTAATAGTCGACAAGATACAGCATCGTCCAAATCCACAGCAGTTGCAGGGTCAATGGTAAAAATGCAACTTTTTCTCAAGTCTTCGCGATCTGCCATATCTACATTGGTTGGACTGTATTCGGCAGGTGGAAGACCTTGTAACAATTCGTCCTCATACGGTGTTAAAACTAAATCGTTCTCAAGTAAAATTGCATTTGTCTCGACACTCAAGTCACCTTTACAACCAATGACTTGAACGATTTCTCTGTAAGTAAATTGTACACTGTTCTAAATGAACATATGATATGGTACTGAATTCAGATATAGAATTTTAGTGCTCATACCCATCAGCAAATGCAACTTTTTTCCAATCGATAATGTTGCATAAAAAAAGTATTTCTTTATAGAGATCAGGATTGTCATAGAAATTTTTAGGAACAGTCTTAGGATTTATTTTGAGTATTGGTATCCTATAGTCCCTAGGTTGAAGGATCACAAAGACATCTTGCTTTTTTAGGTATCCAACAGCTTTTCTTGGATGAAATTTTTCTAAAATACTAACTACATAACCAGTTTTTTGATACACATTTTTACTTAATTTCAACCACTTGTCTTTAGAATTTATAATTACAGCTACTAAGTCTCCTTCAAGAGCTCGATTACGGTCTTTCAAACCAATAATTAATACATCTTGTTCACCACTTGCTAGAGAGACATAAGCATTTTGGTAACACCTGGGATTTATACGAATATTACCTTCAATAATATTAGGACATGCAGGATTTTGAACTGCTATAATTTCTTTAACTACTTCAACAGATAAGTGTTCACAAAATACTCTTTTTTCCTTTTTCCGCTTGTTCCTCCTACGAACTTTTTGTTCATTGAAGGCACCATCTTGTTTATAAGAAGTTTCTTGTAAATTAGTGTCATTTGAAGTACTGCGAATAGACTTGATTACTTTATTTCTACCCTTTGTCACAAGTAAATGTTTCTCCTTCTTCCTTTCGATTTCTGGTACGTTTGAAATATTACTCACACTAGGAGTTCCAGTATTATTGAACTCTGTATTCACATGCTCATCAATGTTCTCTTTACTTCTATTTCTTTTCCTTGGCTTCCGAACTCTTTTTTTAGATTTATCAATGATATATTTTTCTGGAGTTGATGGGGTACTTTTTGGTGTCTATAAAATAAAGAATGATTAAAATACAAATAAAATGATAATAAACTATAAAAACATATATACATTGACTGCCGAAGACTTGCTGCTTAAGTTGAGTGTAGCAACACTCTCTCTTATTTCTTGAATGGTACAATCAATTTCATCAATATTCTTGGTATCCTCTACATTCTGAATCGTGCCATCCTCGAGATAAGCAAAGTGTTCACTGCTTTCAATGAGTTGACTAATTGATACACAACGTGCTTGTGTACCATTTGGCAACTTCGGTCTTCGTGGTGGCCTCTTTTGGAAAATGATATTTAGTGCGGCCGTTTCGTCATCTTGATCGTAATTAATTTGAATTTTGCGATTACCACGATTTTCACGACGATGTGGATTTGGAAAATTAAATTTGAATTGTTTACTCGATCCACCTTCTGCCATTGTATCTCTGGAATTATGAACTTATCTACGTATCATCTCCGTCAATTAATTACCTTTCACGTTGCTACGTTGAATTGGATAACTGATAATTTTGTGAAATTTCGAAGACTTATTAAATCCAATGCATTTTTCCAAAAATATGTACTGATCAGGTTATAAACTTGAAACGTTTACTTTCGAGCGTTTGAAATAACAAGGTGTTTTGAAAGACGCTGTTAATCCCAATGAATTCCCCCTCTACAATCATTATGTTTTTTCATTTTTGCTTTGACTCGCGATCACAAAACTCTCGAAACTTATTGCGTATATGTACGAAACTGTGTTTTTATTCATATTTAAGTTAATAATGACTTCTGCTATATACTACGCTACATTGGCACAATCTCTCAATTTTCAGAAATTTCTCTGTAATAATATTTTGGAATTGAATATGAAATGATATGATTGAGAAAATTCAGTAAATTGCAACATTAAATAATTTCCTCGAAATGTCCCAGATATGTATGTATACATACATACACAGACACATTCCCCGATAATTTTTTAGTATATATAGACATTTAAAAAAATTTAATACAGCGGGAACGAAAATACAAAAATAGGAAACGAAAGTCTATTCTATAAATGAATAGTTTATAATAATCAGCAATATTATTATTGATTTAGTTCATTGTATCATCTATTGATAAGTTAGATAATATTTTAAATTATATATTTTATTTATATATTATAAAAGAAACTACTGCTTCTACTAAGTCAAGAATTTCATGAATTATGAAGTAATAGATTAGACTCTCATTTGCTATTTTTGTAGGAATCCGCCAGATTAAATTTTTAAAAATGTTCCATCACTTTAGAATTACCATGTGGTCTATGGAGATTGCGATTCCGCTACTGAGAATTTTTGATTGGCCACCCGCCGAATAAATCGTGTTCATTGGCTATAATGTGTACATGAAACATCGTAAAAGTATATATGTATACGACAACAAATTTGTATGTCCCCTGAACAGTGCTGGGCATCGATGGTTTATATCGAAAAAAAGAGCTCCCTAGAGCTGACTTCAGTTTGTACACTGAAAGAGCTCTTTCCGATTCCACTCGTTCCACGGTTCCGTTCAGTTTTGAATTGAGAAAAAAAAGATTGTCATGCACTTGCATGTAAAAAGTATTAAATTACAATTATTTTCTAATTTTTTTTTGTATATCTTAATTTTTGTATTAATAATTTTATTTACTTTATTTGGATTATTGTTTATATTTTTGTTTTATAAATTACTGAATTGTGTAATGCAGAAAATTTATTACTAGTTATTATTATTGTTATTATAAAAATGTTCTAATTAAAAAAATAAAATGATACTATCAGTTATTATATTTTGTTATAGATTATCTAGAAGAAATTATGATAGGAGTAGTATAATTATAATTTATATAATAATTTATAATAAATACACATTTTTCTTACGTTATTTATTCAACATTGATCAAATTATATATATATATTCTGATAACAATTCCTAAATACTCTTATAAAAAATAATATATATATATATATATATAATTTATCGAATAACTTAATCTTATTGTATTTAACCGAATATCGAAAATTATGAAAAATACACATAGCTAAATTGCTTAGATGTTTAAATTTATATTTATTATTTGCTTAATTGTTTAAATATACAATGTGCAAGTCGGTCCAGACGATCTCCTTGCAATGAATACAATAAAAATACATTTTCAATTATTAGCAGATCATAAATGTTGCATAAAACTAAAGAAATAGTTGATTCAACAGGTTTCCATACTTTTTTTTGAAGAAATATTCGTTTTACAATTATCCTAGAATAAACAGCTGTTGACAGTCTAATAGTCGGCCCAGATGATCTCCGTGCAAAGAGTGCATGAAAAATACATTTGCAATTGTTAGCAGATCATAAATGTTTATTAAACTACGGAAATAGTCCATTAAACAGTTTTCCATACCTTTTTCAGAAGAAATACTCATTCTACAATTTATACCAAAATAAACAGCGATTGACAGTCCAATACTCGGTCCAGATGATCTCCGTGCAAAGAGTACATAAAAAATAAATATGTCAATTTTAGCATATCATAAATGTTTTATAAAACTAAGGAAATAGTCCATTCAATCTAAGATGGAGTTTAGCTAAACATGAATATTAGAGTTATTTTTATTGAGACAAAGGTTACATTAGAAAATATTGCTAAGAAAATAGTATACTCAGCGTGGGTGTAATCACCGCAACTAAAGAAAGTATCAACTTCGAAAAGAAATAATTAAACTTCAAATGAAATTTCGTTTGTGAATGTTACTTAAAATGACAATTTGTGACTACTTTCGTATACTTGCCGAAACATATTCAGATAATGGCTTCAGTAAATGGAAAATCAAAATTAATTTATACTTCGATTGCTGATAGCGCTACCATTTTAACACACGATATAGCTTTTATAGTTTATTGGTACCTAAGCTCGAAACGAACATTCATGCCCTTGATGTGAAAGACATCGCAAATAAAAAGAAACATCGTTGAAGACAAACTATTCATGTAAAATTCGACAGTTTTCATAACCCTGATTTGACAGCTAATTTGTATAACAAACTTCCTCGCTCCTCTCTTTGAAGCATCGATGTTCGATTGAATGCTACAGTGAGCAAAGATAAATTGAATTTAATAAGACGAGAAAAAAAGCTTACTATTAAAACACCATTTACATTATTGGCTTAATTTTTTAAAATTACTCACCACTGTTAGTTTACCTTAAAGTTGAATAAAAATATAAAAGTCTTAAAGAAGCCTTTATGAACGATAGATCGTTTGCAACCTGAAAAATGCATTGATAATATTTTAATATTTACCAATTAATTACGTATTCGTAAAACGCTTGAAAAAAATTTATAAATGAATCTTTCTTTGACTCTGCATTAATTGTATATATAATTATAAATATTATTAAAGAAATGTTTATTACTTACGTGTATTGCAATGTACGTATAACTTTTTAAATATCAAAAAATGGATTTACACAATAATATCAATAATGTCAATTTCTGAAATTAATACAATTTTTATGCACAATAAACACTCTTTATAACCGTTAAAAAAACAACTGATACTAATAGAAGCACGATGTTGCTCTCTAGCCGGCACAAAAGAAACAAATTCGCTCGTTCGATCGTCATTCGGCGGGAAGGCTCGGGTTGTTTTGTTTACATTGCGAATTGCGGAAGTCGTGTATATCATAATAGAATGGGAGTCTGGTATTTAAATAATTTTTATAATTTCATTTCAATATTTAATGAAAAATTAAATAATACTCTGTAAATGCTAGAGAATAATTCATTTTTAATAATTATAAAATCAGAAAAGAGTGAAAACAAAGTTACTAAAAAATTACTTTTTATAATTAATTACAGTTTTTATTATTTATTATTTATTACTCTTCAACAATTTTACAATACATTGTATATATAAATAAAATTTTTTTACATGCTAATATGCGAAAAATATTTTCTTTTAGAATTCATAATTCAGTGGAACCTTGGAACGAACGAAATCGGAAAGAGCTCTTTCAGTGTACAAACTGAAGTCAGCTCTAGGGAGCTCTTTTTTTCGATATAAACCATCGATGCCCAGCCCTGCCCCTGAACCTCAGTTTTGCTATATGTGCCACATGGTATGCGAAGTTTGAATATTTTATATAATTTTCAAATAAAAGTATTTAAATAGTATTACATATTTGAACATATAAAAAGATACTTAACTAATTAGAAAAGAATGGAGGATAATATGAAGTTATTGTTGTCTATTGGGTTGAGTGAACAAAAAGCAAAGGAAACTCTCCATAATGCCCATCTTACAAACAATGTCAAACAAATAATTAATGAAGTAGTGAAACACGCAAAAGTTGAATCAATAAATGGTACCCTTCTCTACCATCTTGCTTGCAAAATGAAATCACAGATTTTGAATCGCATACCATTTATTGTGCCATACATTGTCAACAAGAAATTAGACAATGTTCAAAGAGTAAATGCTGCTCTTGATTATTTTTTAATCAATATTAAAGAAAAAGTTGATGTGAAAGCTTTTGAAAATTCATGCGGTATTGGAGTTGTTATAACACCAGAAGAAATTGAAAGTGAAGTTGACAAGTGTATCCAAAAGTATAAAGTTGAAATTCTGGAGAAAAGATATCGTTACAATTTTGGTCATCTCATGCAAGAAGTAAGAAATGCTCTCAAATGGGCAGATGGTAAAATGATCAAAAATGAGATTGATATTCAATTATTTGATTTACTCGGTCCTAAGAATGAAAATGATAATATACCAGTGGCAAAACAGTCTATAAAATCTGTGAAATCAAACAAAGCAGAAATTAAGAGTGTAGTAACTGAGGCAAAAAAGAAAGTTGAAAGTATTTCAATAAATGAGCTTATCAAATCTAAGATTCATTTTCATAAGCCTGGAGAAAATTTTAAAACAGATGGCTACATATTGACTCCAAACACTAGGAATTTAATAAAGGAACATTTAGCTATTACAGGAGGTAAAGTAATAACAAGGTTTCCACCAGAGCCTAATGGTATATTGCACATTGGTCATGCTAAAGCTATAAACATTAATTTTGGATATGCTGCTGCTTATAATGGTATATGTTACCTACGTTATGATGATACTAATCCTGAAAAGGAAGAAGAGAAATTCTTTACAGGAATATTAGATATGGTTACTTGGCTTGGCTATAAGCCAGCCAAGGTAACATATTCTTCTGACTATTTCGATCAACTATATGAGTGGGCAATACAACTGATTAAGAAAGATCTAGCATATGTATGTCATCAGACTAGTGATGAAATAAAAGGCTTCAATCCACCACCAAGTCCATGGCGAAATAGGCCTGTATCTGAAAGTTTGAAGTTGTTCCAAGACATGAAAGATGGATTACTAAATGAGGGTGAAGCTACTTTAAGAATGAAAGTTACTTTGGAGGAAGGTAAGCAAGATCCAGTCGCTTATCGAATAAAATTTTCTCCTCACCATAGGACTAAAGATAAATGGTGCATTTATCCAACATATGATTACACTCACTGTCTGTGTGACAGTATTGAAAATATCACACACTCGCTTTGTACAAAGGAATTTCAGTCTAGAAGGTCTTCCTACTACTGGCTTTGTAATGCTCTTGATATATACTGCCCTGTACAATGGGAATATGGAAGACTGAATATCAGTTACACTGTTCTATCTAAAAGGAAAATAGCCAAGCTTATTGAAAAGAAGATAGTTGATAATTGGGATGATCCAAGGCTTTTCACACTCACGGCTCTTAGAAGAAGGGGCTTCCCGCCTGAAGCTATCAACAATTTCTGTGCTCAAATGGGAGTCACAGGTGCTCAGACTACTGTAGATCCTGCAACTCTAGAAGCAGCTGTGAGGGATAGATTGAATGTAACTGCTCCAAGGCATATGGTTGTGATAGAGCCTTTGAAGTTGACTATTGTTAATTTTCCTCAAGAAAAATCAGTGAGATTAGAAGTACTTGATTTCCCAGGGGAGCAGGATAAAGGAAAACATTATGTTACATTTGATAACGTTATTTATATAGATTCATCAGATTTTAAAGAAGAGGCTGACAAGAATTTCAAGAGGCTTACTTTGAAGCAGTCTGTTGGTTTAAAGTATGTTGGTGTTGTACTTACCGTAGAAGAGATTAAAAGAGATATTGACCACAAAATCACAGACATAATTGTTCGTCAAGAATCTTTGACTGATAAGAATAAACCAAAAGCTTTTGTTCAGTGGGTATCTCGACCAGCAGTAGCTAGAGTTTTTATGTATGATAAATTGTTCCATCATTGTAACCCAGAAGATGTGAATGAAGTTCCTAAAGGATTTTTGAGTGATGTCAATCTTAACAGCAAGATAGATGCTATTGCTTATATTGATCAAGAATTTAAGAGCAGTTTGAAGCCCTATACACAGTTCCAGTTTGAAAGAATAGGCTTTTTTTCTGTAGATCCATCCTCAACACCAGATGATGTAATTTTCAATAGAACTGTCACTCTAAAAGAAAATATAACTAAGGCATAATGCTTGGAACATCAAGTATACATAAAGTGTGTAACGTTAAAAGTTGTTCAATGTTAATTTTTTAATATTTGCTAATATATGCTTATATTTTGTATAGATTTAAATTTTTTGAAGTAAACTAAAATCTAGAACAACAAATATTCTTGTGGATTCTGAAAAAAACCATTCTATCATTCATTTTCCCTTCATTAAATGAATCAAAGATTATACTAAATTTGTTTCAATTTGAATATAGCATTATTTAATAAATTCAATTTGAAAAGATCAATAAAAAAAACGCATTTCTTGTAACAAACTTCCTTAAATTTATTCTAAAATTAATTTATGTACAATAAAATTATTTGTCTTTACAACAATTCATTCATTTGTTTCCCACCATGACAAAAGTCCAAGACCAGGTTCATCAATAGCCCCTTGTAAAGTATAAGGTGAGACACTCTTGGATTCAGTGTTTTGAGCAACATCTTTTGGTCCATGAGGATTACTGGGAAGGGATTCTGTAAAAGTTTCATTGACTATTCTAAAACGAATGATTTCTCCAACATCCATGAAAAGGTCATGCTTCTCTCCTGTTTCTCCATTGTTATATTCCCAAACCCAGACTTGTTCTGTTTGATCAAATCTAGCTGGATACTGTAATTTATTGGGTGGGATTACAATGTCTTCAAAGAAACCTAATGTGACATGTACTCCATCCATGTTGCAACTGCGAATTTTACCAGTTAGAATTTCCTCTATAAAAGGCCTAAAGACTATGTATCTGAAGTAGACCTTTGTGTGAGATGATCCATCACCAGGAAAAATATATGATTCTTCTACTTTTGTTATATCATTTAATGCTATACATAGCCCAACATTCAAATAAACTTTATTTGATAATTTTCTATTGAGTTCATCTGCTACTGCATCATTTAACTTTTTCTTGAATTTCCAAGGTGGTATTCTAACAGTATCTTTCATCTCAGCTAACACAAACATTTTTTTGATAATTATTTCTAAAATAAAATAATTCATATTAAAAATCCAATTTTAAATATATTTTTGAACAATTTTTTTGAGGTTAAATAAAATGCAAAATTAAATTTAATCAAATGGATAGTGTTAAAATAAAAACTTACCTAAATAATTAATAAATTCTTTCTAAAACATCAGTCGGTGTAGTTACGATCATTTGTTTTATTAACTCTTAAATTAAACAGAAAACAATGAAGTGTTTATATTTTGGAAAAAACTTGAGCGTCAAGTTAAATTCAACATGGCGAGTGCAAAACTGCGAGCATGCGCTGACCAAAGTTCATTCTCATGAAAATTCTCCCTCTCGTATAGGATTCTTATTTCTTAGACGAGGGGCTGAAAATTAATATTCGCGAAAATCTGCCTCGGAAAATTCTGTTGTAATAACGATGTTAGTGCACTCGATAGTAGATAAGAACAAAAGAGTAGCAGTTACCAAGCAGGTAAGCTTTATCGGGACAAATGGAGCATCTCGCAAGTGGTGATATAGATATAACGAAATCTTGATAATATGAAACATGTTCATGCCGATAACAGGGTTAGAGTGCCGCAAGGATAGCAGATTAGTTGAGTAGTTATTTATTTATTGTTGGTTTTTGGAGGTTCCGAAAATCAAGCACAATGTTCGCGTTTTCTCAGCAAAATGCTGTCGAGCCAATGCAAGTGGATGCTCCTAACGAGGATAATGACAATACTGAAGAGGAGCCATACATTGTTGAAAATCCAACACTAGTTCGTCATTTGTTACTTAACAATTTCTAAGTTCGATGTTTCCATAACCACTTATAATGCTTTGTTTTCCTTTGTTTTTGCAGGATTTGGAATCCTATGCTAATAGTTATGTAGGTCTTGCAAAACTGTTCAGGTTAATGTACATAGCAGATCACTGTCCTTCACTTAGGATTGAAGCTCTGAAAATGGCTATAAATTATGTCATGACAACTTACAATGTCTCTATATATTTGGTATTACATAAAAAATTAACTGCAGCTGTGAATGCAGGAGGTTTGCCTGATGTAGCTGCCCAATCTACTTCCCAAGATATACCAACAGTTGACCAAATGTGGGTGGATACAAAATCAAAAAAAGCAGCATTGAAACTTGAAAAGTTTGATACTGATCTTAAGAACTACAAGAGTAATTCCATCAAAGAGAGCATCAGGAGAGGTCACGATGATTTGGGTGACCATTACTTGGACTGTGGAGATCTTGGTAATGCGCTCAAATGCTACTCCAGAGCTCGCGATTATTGTACCAGTGGCAAGCATGTTGTGAACATGTGCTGGAATGTACTGAAAGTATCCATATATCTGCAGAATTGGGCTCATGTGACTAGTTATGTCACTAAGGCTCAAAATACACCTGATTTCCCTGATGTTCATGGGAAAGATAATAATGTGGCTATTATAACAAAACTAAAAGTTGCTGCTGGTTTGGCAGAGCTTGCAACAAAGAGGTACAAGACTGCTGCCAAGCTATTTTTGCAAGCCTCTCTTGATCATTGTGATTTTCCTGAAATACTATCACCTGGTAATGTTGCTCTTTATGGAGGTTTATGTGCTTTAGCTACTTTTGATAGGTAAATTCTTTTTTTGATTTTCAATTGTAACATTATGATTAATCAAAAACTATAATTGTACATTTATTCAATATATTAACAGGCATGAATTGCAAAAACAAGTGATATTCAGCAGCTCTTTCAAACTTTTCTTGGAACTAGAGCCACAGCTGAGAGACATTATTTTCAAGTTTTATGAATCAAAATACGCCTCTTGCTTGAAGTTGTTGGATGAAATCAAGGATAATATTTTATTAGATATGTACATCGCGCCGCACGTCAATTCGTTGTATACCCAAATTCGTAACAGAGCGCTCATTCAGTACTTTAGTCCTTACCTTAGTGCCGATATGAGACGTATGGCGACGGCTTTCAACAGGACCGTCGCAGCCTTAGAAGATGAACTTATGCAGCTTATACTTGATGGACAGATTCAAGCTCGTATCGATTCTCATAATAAGGTAAGAACAAATCACGTAAAGAAGATATGATAAAGGAGTATATATGTACAATTGAACTTTGTTATTTTTATTTTTAGATTTTATACGCCAAAGATGTTGATCAGAGAAGCACGACTTTTGAAAAGTCCATTACTTTAGGCAGAGAGTATAGAAGGCGCACGAGATTGTTGATTTTGAGGGCAGCAATTTTGAAACATCAAATTCAAGTAAAGGTCGGTGGTAGTTCAAAATGAAAATTTTTTTTTATTCTGTAAGCATAATTTAAAATAATAAAATAACAATGTAATTGAAATGTTTCAGAGCCCCCAAAGAGATTCTCAAGTTGGAGATTTACCATTGGGGCCTGGAAATCCAAATCAGGCGCCAAGAAATTAAAACTGTGGTGTTTTTTTTTTCAACTGAATCTTTGATATTTTTGAGAGTCACATACGCAACATCTTCATTAAATTTTTTTATAACAATAGTCGTTACTAAAGTACTTGATTCGGAATACTGTCATCCCTCTTGTATATATGAAAAATTCAACTGTACTTTAGATAGTAACTTCTGCGAGAATAAGTTGAACAGCTTTTGTATAATTGGTCAAAATTGGTCGCATTTTTCTTTTCTTTCTAATGAATACTTGATAAATTACTTTTCTCTATTCTGTTGACTTGCGCCTTCTACTTCGTTTGAGCTCGTACGAGGCTTTATGTTACAAAACTATAAATAAAATCTCGATTAATTTTTTTCTACATAACCATAATCTCTTTTTCTTTTCCTTTCTTTGTTCTAAACTAAATTACATTACTAATAGTAATTATATTCATCAAATTAGTAAGTTCTTAATAAATAAGTAGCATTACGTCGAATTAGTACAAATACTCTAAAATTATGATTCAAATGTTTTTGCATTCTTTTTATTGTTTCTACGTTAGCAACATATTAAAGGGAAGGAAAAGATGACTCAATAAATGATGATGATTCATGAGTCTAAAAAAATTTCGAAATTCCCGCGCATCACATCAAAACTTGGTATGCGCACAAATTGCTGCGTTGTTTTTTTCTGCCCCTCCACCGCATGTGTCTGCCATCGTAGTAGTCAGTACTCAGTAGTAGTATCGACAACAGCTCGGCAGTCAGATTGCATACTCTTTAGTGCACAGCAAAAGGAAAAAAGTCCCATATAGCTATTTCACACCTACGAGATACGAAGCGATATACTCTTCTAGAAAGAATCGTTCAAGTCTATAGAAGACAGCGAGATATTCAAGGGTATAATAAGTGTTGAGAGCAGGGTGCGCGAGTGATCGTCGCGTGGTCGCTCGATAAAACGGTGCAGACAAGAACAGCGCGCAGAGAGAATAATCTATCTCTCATAGACAGAGGGTCGTAAACATGTTCTCTGGGCTGACGAATCAGGTGTCCAATTGGATGGGTAAGAAGGCCGAGGATGGTGCTGAAGGTGCTCCATTGTCGACCGAAGCGCCTGTTCAAGATGCCGTCGAGGCCGACGTTGCTGCTGGCAGGTACATATACATACATATATACGGAGCTTTTCACTTCGAGGAAGATGGCGCACGCGAAAAAAAGGCAACGAATCGATATCTCGCTCTGTGCCTCACTCTCTGGTACTTAGGTCAGATTTTTTTTCTTACTTTGTACCCTTCGTAAGATAGTTTGTTTTTGACCAGTGGCTCGAGGATACATGACGAAAAGACGGCACTTTTATGATTGATTTACGCGCTTAGTTTTCCCTGTGAAACACTGCGTCAGAGTGTGTGTCAAACTTCGTTAACGTTAAATTTATTTTGCCTTCCTTTCAAATTAAATTAAGCAATTCTCGAGATCATTGCATCTCGATGATGGGGAAACTTGTTAAGTTTCTGGTGTAGTGCAGTCAACTGGAAAAATGCTCGTCTACAGTTATCGAATTCAATTTCAATATTTGTTTTCAAATAAACTAACTCGTTTATACATATCTGCCCTAAAGTCTCAGTTTGTGGCATGTACCAAGAGGAAAAATAAATAGTTAGCATATACACGTTATATGCTGTAATCTCAGATTTCATTGCGTAAGTTTACGGAAAGAACCTGGACCAGTTCATTGATATTTGCACTGGTTATTTTTCGTATGTGAACTGACGTTGTGTGTGCGTGTGCGTGCGTGTGCGCGCGCGCGTGTATGTGTGTGTGTGTAATTGCGAATCTCAACTATGTTTGGCTTTGTCCTGCAAGGGGTGCGGAATGCGTATTACCTGAATTCTCCAAGGATACATATATTTTGTAACTCAATGCGCAAAATATCTACATGTATATAGCTATTGAAAAAAAAGGCTAATTTGGCACATGAATTTTATCAAAAAAAAGTAATCAGCCATAATTGAAGTTAATGACTTATCATCGTTACGATCATAATTAATCATTAACAAATCTTCTGTATAAACACACAGACGTCGTTATAAAGCTGTCATCAGATATCGATTTGGCTTTTTTCGTTAAAAATTGTAGGGCTTTTCGCTTCGTTCATCTTCTTTGTCTCATTATTATTTTTACGAGTGATTTATGAAGTCATTGGCACATTGTATTGCATTTCATTGGCAAAGTATCTTTTCACTCGTGTTTATGAATTTGTCGGCGTCTCCCATTAGCGTGTTGCTGTAATCTTGAACAATAAATTGCGTGATACTGTTTGCAACAGGATAGAGCTTCATCTGGTTTTTTCTTTACATGATATTGCACTTTGTGGAATTATAACTTAAATAAAAGAAAAGAAGAGAACATTAACTTCTTGCTTTTTCTGTACTGGAAGTGTAGACATCGGTAAAATTCAGCATTCGCATTGTATCTGTGAAATTGTCGTTAATTCGCCCTACGAATTCTGCAACTCTTTCTTCATTTCCATTGAAGTGTCGTCGAACGATAAAATCATCTACTGCAAAATAGAGTAACAAATTTTGCGAAAGAGAAAACATTGATTCAATGATCAAATGCAATCAACGTCGCTTGTGACACGCAAGTCAAAAATAAGCATTTTATCGTTCCGACTTTGTCGGACTATCGCGTATGCCTTTCTTATGATCGAATCGCCGTTGGCATTGAATTTTTCAATCGAAGCGAGATTCAGCGAGCGAAATTTAACTAATCCTCCGGTTGTTGAAATTTTTTGAATCTCAGCAGTTGGCTCGCCGAAACTCCGCAGATGCAGTCCTATCGACCGTTACGACCACGAGTGCGGACTGGTAGGCTCTGTCGTCGGCGTTGTCCGCAAATTAATGCAGCTAAGCGTAGTGTGCCTGGCTCGAAGTGTTTGGGCAGGGAGAGTAGGGCGCATAATGACGCTGTTCCACTGACAGAGCTTGAACGGGCGCACGCGAGCTCGCCGAAACAAACTGTCAATACAGTCGTAGTGCTTTCGCACTGGTGTCAGTTCCGATCGATTCGCCTTGACAGTTCTCTTGCTCTCTTCACATTCGGCAGACTTGGCGCCTTTGCATTTATTGCTGTTATTACCAGTGCAGCCGGCACCTCTTTCAAACTTTGGCCCGTGTGTATTGCGTGACGTACTTTACGTACTTCCACAGGCTTAGCTTGCTCAAGTGTCACTTTCATTTGTACGATAGAAATATTGCAAACAATTTTTGATTATAATATTTGCCCAATTTCAGTTATATCCTCAATAAAATACTTCCAAATACATGACGATTGCTTCACATCATCGTAGCAAACAGTTATTCTATAAACCTGTTCGTACAGAGTAAACACATCCGAGAAATCCTATTAAAACCATTTTCTCTATTTAATCTTCCGCGAATGCACAAAATATATGTGCCGTCGCGGAGACACTCGTAGCAAATTCTAAAATAAGAATCTCTCTCGTGACCATTTAGTTGGGATTACTTCTCAGAATCCGATACATATAATTTCAATTTCCTCTGGTGCATTTATGCCTAAACAAGATATTAAACGCTTCGATTTCATTCGGGAAAAGATGCCGCACACCAACTGGCTGTACGATAAAAGAAAGCCGTGGCTCGTTTATACCTTCCCACCCTCACATTTAACAACTGATCTCTTGCGTTTGCACACCTAGTCTATATCTGCCGACCCTCCGTAATGACTATTTCCAGGTGCTGAAGCGAACGATAGACTGTAATCCTCTCTTATGGCGCTGCCTCACGAAACTGTTAAACTATTATGTTCCCCAAGCAATTGAATTTCGATAAATAATCTTATGTACTGCGGATATCTTGGTTTTTTCTATCTTGCACAATTTGTGTTTGATTTTATAGTTTTTTTCCGGTTGAATTTTTGTGATAATTGAAAAAAAGCTACTTGTTGTTTGGTCGTCGCTAAATGATGTTTCCACGGAACCTCAATAGCCAAAAATTGAAATGATCTGACAGTTAATTAATTGTAAGAATAAGAATGCAATGAAAACGAAATAAATGAGTCTGCGCCGAAAAGAACTAGGTACGATTAGAAAATAAGAAATCATGTAAACTATAGCCTACGTATGCATATAAATTAAAATATTGTTATTAATAATTGAAAATATATTGATTATTATTTATCCTTATCCATATTTACGGATAGCAAGTAATAATTAATTGGAATTTATACATACACTGATATGTATGAATTCAATTAAGTTAATAATAAACGATTGGCATTAAATATAGTAATTACAACTACACCAATCTCAATAAATTTTGAAGCTACCCCAAATTAAAAAAAAAATGATCGAATTTGATGCAATAGTTCGCGAGATAAGCCTGATTTTTGCGAAGCGCGTCGATTTGAACGCGGACTTTCAGTATTTCCAAGCGCGCGAGGGAAACCCCCACCACCGCCTCCGGCCTTTGGCTTTTCTCGTGCTGGAAATGAAACGTCATTTTAATTGTTAAAAAGCCAAAATATGTAAAGCCTTGTATCGTAATGAGAAAATATAACTTAATAACGATCGAATGCCCTTGGACCGATTTGTTAATTTTCATTATTACAACAATGGCGATTTAAACAAAACAAAAAATTATCTCTGCTCCTATTGGTCGAAAAACAATTTTTTTTTTTCAAAATATGCACCTTGATCTCAGATATGTGAATTTCTAAAAAAGAAATCTCTATAATGCATAGGGAAGCCGCAATTCTAATTGTTTATAAAAGAAAAAAGGCGCACTTTTTTAAAGTCAAAATTTAGGGGTTGCAAATTAATTTTTTGATTCGTTCCCAATCATTTATTAAAATTGACGTTTTGACAAAGAGATTGAGTTGTTTTACAACTCGATATCTTCGGCCAAAAAAAATTTACAGCCCCGTACTTTGGACGTCTCTTAATTAACTAATTAGAATATATCAGTAACTAATAAAAATAAATAGTCGTGCGACGATTCATTTTTTTTAGAATCACAAGAGCTTTCTTTTAAGAGTCATAAACATTAAAAAAAGTTCTTTTTGCAATAAATATTCGATATAGTAAAAATGGCCATTTTTAAGGGTTTTTGGGGCTTTTTTCAATAACTAACAAACGAAAAAAATTACACGATAGCTCAAATTGTAGCTTTTGCTATTGCCTACAACTTTTATACGAAACTTTTTCAGCTAAAATGCATACCGTGGCTTGCAGATTGAAAAAACCATATTTCGTCAACTTTGAGCGCTCATAAAAAAAATCTGACAATAAATTAGGAGTTGCATTTTATCAAGAGTTCCTATTTACATTGTACTGAAGCGATTTCCGTTGAGAAAACCCATCCCGGAATTTTTGTCTGAAACAGGCCTTTTTTGTCTCTGTTGCCTGGACTACGTAGGGAGTTGTTGAAACTATGTTTCATAGTTATGCACTATCGGCGAGCTTAATTATTGCCGCTTATCGCTTTCTATGAGAGCTGCATTAAAAATTAATGGCACGAATTCGTTGTCGTCTCCTTAAAGTAAAGATCTAGAAATTGGCTAACACCCAGTCTTTAGTTAGAAACTAGCTTAAAGTTCAGCTTTCAGATAAGTTCTCGCTCTAGTTTACGCAAGACCGGGCCGCGTTTCAATTCGTAAACAAACAATTGGCGGGTTTCACCGACAAATATGCAGTTGCACGATATGATCACCTAACTGAGAATCTGAATTCGAATCAATTGATGTGTTGACAGTCCAACGAAGGGCGGCAGCAGCAAGCTAGAGATGTTGGCAGGCGTCAAGTCTCAAGTAGCTTCGTCGATGAGCGGCTGGTTGAGTGGAGGTATACCGGGATTGAATCGCGGTGGTGCATCAGCCGAGGTTGATCAAAACGCCGATCCATTGGCGGTAGCCGAGTCAACGAGGGATCCCGCAGTTGCGGACACAACAGAAAACGTAAAAGACGATGATGCTAGCAGGTGGGTCGCAGGGTACGTGACAAGCAACACGCAGCGCGGCCGCGCGACGACTGCCAAACAATTAACACCTACCACCAACCTTCGACGACCTTCTACTACTACTACTTTTTATCATTTTTCTTTTCGTTTTTTACGTGGTTATATTTCTGATTTTCTTGTTGATTTGATGATTGAGATGAACGTTATAGAAGCGTGAATGACCATTGCCGAATTTGGATTTTGATGGGGTTCTTGCTTACTGTGATGAGAAGCTTGCCTGTGCTATCCAAGCTTCAAATGAAACGAGTATCATTCGCATTTGAGTCGTATGTGTTTGATCTGGAGAAAGGTTGTTGCAATCGGTATGCAATTTCGACAACGCTGCTGTTAGTTCTATGTTTGAGTCATGATGCACAAACGACATGACATCGATAACGCGTGAACCTGATCAAAATTTAACTTGCAATTTTTTTCACGCTTTTACCATTTTAACGAATTTAACATATATTGCACAATAAATTTACTATGAGGAAACTGCTTTTTCTAAGCTGTCGTTTAACAAAGTTTTTCTTCTTTTTTTATGTTATCCGGGACTACCATTATTGGAATTTATTAATGTAGTCTAAGTAAACGTTTCTCCAAATCGATTTCAAGAATTAATATCAATTGCTTTATAAATTGCTCTATTATAATTTAAGCATGTACTGTATTGAAATAAGAATACAGTCTTAAGCTCATGCAATTTCGGTATGAAAAGTTCAATCAATGTTTGACCATTTAAAAAAATATCTATATACAAACTGAGTAAGACATAAATTTGTCGTGCAATCTATTGATATGGAAAGAATGGAATAGTTTTTACACTGTCAGTAAGGTTCCAATTCACAAAACCTTCTCTCAAACAATCATAGCAACTGCTATTATTTTTTTATTTATTTTAGTAAGCTACTCCCACAGTTTAAAGTAATTTATTCTTTGTTTCGTTTTATTAACACTCCAAAGAGCGTCTCATCAACTTTCGTTTACAAGCACTCGGATAATAAAGTAAAAAATGGCATTGCTATAGAATTAGCGAAAAAAGTGAAAAGAGCCTGCAACTGGATGAAGTTTTATAAACGGCCAAGCCTCCACCTGCGTGAGCTACTAAAAGTTTACTCCGCGAGTAAAATTGTGTGAGCGCGCGCGTACGAGAAACTTCCGACAGAGAGAAACGCCTCGTCGTCCTCGTCCCCTTTCTCATATTTACAATGGTAATGGGAATCTACGGCGGGATATGTACTTATCCTTGAAAATGTAAATCAACCAGCTATCCAGCCCCCAGCTTCCTTTATTTACGCCGTTGGCATTGCAAAAAGTTTACGCGATGTTAGTAAACGCAAATAAAATGTCTCGGCAATTCAGGGAGTTTAAGGGAGTGCAAGAGCGTGCCAGATGTGAGACAATGGCACATCAATTAACATAAACATCTTGGAGGTAGGGTGTCGCTGTCGCCGCTTGTCATTCCCAATGGGGATACCAATCATTATCGGGCTCTTTCCAGTCCATTATGCCCTTGCGAGGGAGAAAACAAAGATTTTCCGCTGTCGCCACCGCTCGCTCATTCAGTCGCGCAACGCCGAGCCAATCAAGGCACGAGTGCATTAATAACCTGCCGATTTAATCTCTTTTGTCTTCATATCCCTCCTAATTTCTCCACACAACTCAGATTCAGACAGTATACATGATGAATTTGTGTGACTCGACAGCTTGCGCGTGACTGTGTTTATTTTACACTTGAGATATACAGGTTTTTTTAGGTCGATATGTGACGGATAATTTTCATGGTAAAATTATATGATTTCGTAATCCACAATTTTATTCTTATACGCTTTATCTTTCACTCACTTCTTTTACTTTTAGCAGATATGTAGGCACTTAGAGATGTTTGCACTATTTTATTGTCAACTTTCATATTCTAATTTAGGACAAAGTTACTATCAACAATAGTTGTTTCTTCAACATTACGTTTATATAGTTGCACAATAGACACTTGCTTCTTTCATATTCCTTTCGTTCTAGTTGCGATTCATATTATACTTTTATTTTCACGCTTAGATTTGAATTATAAAAGTACATCATTAATGCAACAAATGAGATTCGCTAATTAACGCTGAACAAAAGGAAACTTATGTAGAGTATCATTTTTAAGACGACAATGATATAACTTTTTTTCATCAAAGTTGGTAATTTGGTGTAAAAAAGGAATTCTACTGTAACGAGGCTGACGTTGAATAAAAGCGTTTTCTCGACTTGGATTTATTTAAAAGTAATTGCGCAGTTTAAACGAGATTTGTAACTACGAATGTAAAATTGCTTTTTTTTTTATATAAAAGTGGAAAATAATTACGTCTTACCCGGGGTATCTTATCCTTATCAGCCATGTAAATGTAGATAAACTAAGCATTCATTGCACTGAAATTCATAAAAGATAATAAACAATGATGGGTGTAGCTTTTAAAATAAAAGATAAAGAGCGTCATCCTGGTAGAGTCGAATAAAAGAAAATTCATTCGCAAGCAACAGCAAAACTCACCGCTTTGAAAGTCTCTCATGCCATACGTATCTCATGTGGAAAAAATTATTTTTATTTGTCGAAGAACGCACACCTTCTAATGATAAATGGGATGTGGCCAAGTAATAGTTCATTGATATTTGATAATTTTTCAGTGCGACTGGTGGTGCGGACAGCGGTCCGGGGAGCCTCGGGGGTACGCCAACTGACGACAAGGATGCACAGCAAGCCTTCGGCGCCGGTGGGTATCGCACACGAAACTTTACTTTTTTCTGCTTTTTCTCTTTAAACGTATACCGCTCTTTTGTTCCCGACTTTTTTTTTATTTTTATATCTTTAGCAAGTTTCTTGTGATGCATATTTTAATAAGAGAACTTGCTTCGAGGCAGACTTACATGCATATTCTTTGTAACTGGAGATTTCAGGTATTTCTGTTTGTTTTCTAATCTTTTTAAGCGCATATGAGAGAGTTTTTTTTAATGCAATAAAGAATCTTCGTTTGCTGGAACAAGCGTATACGTAGCTATAGATTATAGAAAATGAAAAATAGGTAGTTCTTTGATAATATAATAATAATAAAAATTTGTATTCTGATATAAAAAATCTGCTGCAAACTCGGATCGATGTTGTAATGATACACAAACCCGTATCATATCTATGGACTTATGATGATAGACTCTACTGGGCAAAGAGGTGCTATAAAAGCTGCAGGTCACAATTTTGTCTCTGCTTACGCTGCGCGTTTTTATTATATACGAGTGTACGGAATTTTTCTTTTACGTGTACACTAAAACGCAAAGAGACTCCGTACACTCGTAGTTTAGTTTAGAATGCGCGTGCGGCACTTTTGCACAAGCGTCGTAGACATATCGTTGCACCTTTTATGAAATAGGTAGAATCTTTTTCAATGCATCTAAAAAAATTAATAGACGAAACAGGCTTCTCATGGAAAGTAAGAACAATTTGGTTGGACCAAAAAAAATCAGCCTTTAGATAATAATGCAGATGTATCCTGTTTTCCTCATTCGCTACTGAAAGTTCAGTCTCTATATCTCTTTAACCAAATTAGATATAGAACAGCCTTACGCTTTTAGATGTACCTTCCTACAATATTTATTTATCAGACTACAATTCAAACAAATACTTTTAGATGGCTATTTTTCAATTGACATTATTAAACATTTCTTGTATTCGCATCAGCTCACTGAATTTTGGTTGATTGGTCAAAAACATTAATTTCGAGTGTCCATTTCATACGCTAAAGCATGAATTCTATTTCAAAAGAATCAAAGATTCTACCAACAACGAGCGCGTCATAAACGTTTCAAAATAGCAAGCACGCTTCATATATATATATATATCTTTTCCCCTTTGCCAGGAAAGAAAGAAAAAAGGGAGCCTTTCTTTTTACGAACGACGAGGCACATGAATCGCGAATTCCGATTGCCCAAAAAGCTCTTCGGGTCCACGTTTGGCCTTTCTCTCGCACTCTCAAACATATATATTCAAGCTTTTTTTTCTTCTCTCGCGCCACGCAAAATAGTTTAATCTCGTACACATAGGCGACGAGAACATGGAAAAATTTATCAGGCTAATTAAAGAAGAATTGAGTTAGGGGTTGTTTTACGAAATTCTTCAATTTTTACGGAGTGAATTTGAGTCTGTTTGACGAAAAAGGGCAAACAAAGGTAGCACAGTATATACCCGCAAGCCGTCTCGCGCAAGAGAGATTAGGAAAAGGCATCATGGAAAGTTAAGATAGTTCTAAATAAGATTGATACTTTATTTCGTATAATGCACAAATAAAAAAATACCGAGAAAAGGTAATTGAGAGATCTATAAGGTTTTACCAAGTATCGTAGACTAGTGTTTCTTTAAGTAAATCTTTGATGTAATTTTTTTATCTATAAATCTACGTCCATCTTCTTGGCAGCAGCATTAATATACAGCGGCTCTATAGTCACGCATCCTACTCACTGAATATTACTAAAGCCTCTGACGCATAAAAGAGCTCGTTAAGAACATTGCTTTCCGCCAAAGCTCTGCACATAGTATTATAATACCAGCTACTACAATTCTCGCTTCACTTGACTCTTTTTTTCCCGAAAACTTATTTAATCACAAGACATTTATCCGTCACAGTCGAACACGACTAACCTACTTCTTTTTTTCCTAACAGTTTCGACGAAGGCATTGGCAGGTGCGAAGAGTCTCGGTGGTTTCCTGTACAGCGCAGTCAACAAGGCTGGCAAGTCGGTTGCTGAAGCTGGCGCAAAAATCAAGAAAACCGTCGAGGAAAACGTGAGTTGCACACGCACGTACAACTCCGCTGTGTCGTGAATTTTTCACGGCAGATCCTCGATAATTTATAAGGGATTTTCTTCCCTGATTTACGATACCGGAAAAAAGGACGATCGAGGCAATAACCAACAGATGATTGCCGCTTAGCTGAAATTTTTTTTTTTTCAACTACGGAGCTAGTAAAATGAAACAAGTTTTTTCAGTCATATCGCAGGATAATTTTTCTGTTGTGGGTGCGGTTAAACGTGTGGCAGTCTTCTTCGTTGTGCTTTTAAGGGTAGACAGCCAAAATTACAAATTATTATAAGAAGAACTCGACGAAGTAAAAAGTAAACGATTGAAAAATCCTTAGTAATTTGTTAGAGAGAGAGAGAGAGAGGGGGCACGAGCACGAGCATGACCTTGCTCAATACATTGCTGTGACGTGCAACGAATAAAAAATTCGAAAATTCTACGATGGTCGTCATCGGGGAATATCGTCGTCGTAGTCTCTATGGGATTATCGTATTACTGTAAGTAGCACGTCTCCGTTGAAAATATTCTCCGCGACAAAAGAAGGAAAGAAAACTACTGCTACGCGCGAGCTTGATCTTGATAGCAGCAGCCCTCTAGTCGGCCGTGGAGAAAAAATCGATGAAGCGAAAGCGAAAGAGCCTCGTGAATTGCTGTGAGCTTTTCTTCTCTCTCACGCTCGATGTGGTAATGACAGAAGTTTTGGCACGTTCGAGAGGTGACAAATGATCCTCTTTTCTTATTCTTATTGATCAGAAGTTGTTTGCGCTGGAAAGATTGCACGACTTGGTTGTGGGAAGATTTATTTACTTCTTTATACAATATTGTTTATTCTTTTTGAGGTAAGAAAGAAGATTAGTAGTGCAAAGACGGATTTTTAAAACTGCATAGATTCAAGTGGAGGAAGAAAGGAAATGTAATTTTTTAACTTTACCTTACATCTTTGCAAATGAAAAAAACTTAGGCTAATTTATTCAGAGATAATTCGTCAGTTAACAACTTTTTGCGGAAGATAGCCTTGGGACGAAACAAAAAGCAAGTCACTTCGAAATCTACAACTTAACACGGCCCCACTTGGCGTCCATTTTGCTGAGCTGTCGATTGTCAGTTCAAGCTTCTAGCGAATTCAATTAAAGTGAAACTGTTAGGCGTCTGTTCGGGTTTTCAAAAGGAAGTTATTAAAGGTTTACGACGACGCAGCGCTTTAACGCGTCTAACCGTGTTTACGACAGTGTGCGGGCCGTCACTATGCACCGATAAACAGGAATTGTTGAAAAGTAGACGTTTAAGGTGATAATTGTTCACGAGTTTGGTTATTTTTTTACGAAAAACTCGATATTTACTTGGAACATGGAAACGTAGATTGAATTTGTAGTAGTTTTTCAGAAGAGCTTATTTAGACCGTGAAATTACTTCAAATATGCAATATCTTAACCCAACCCAGCAAGAAAAGAAACTCCACTTTATAGGCAAACAAGCAAATGAAAAATGCAGCTTCAGCCTCCACTGTACAATACATGTACGGTAAGCTTCGCAATCGATCCTTCGAATATCTAACGTGTCGCGGGCTTAAATCGATGGGTGATAAAGTGTGTCGTGTGCGAGCTCTCGTCTCTAATCGACTTTCACGCTCGTTTTGTCTTCGAGTCCGAGGATAGAAATAAACCTTTTTTTTAACTGCCCTCGTGAATTATTCATTTTTTCGAGGCTATAACAAAGAGTCAACAAGTCTTGTTTTTGGAAAGATGATTCTCTTCTGCAAGACGTACAGTCGCATTAATTATACACGTGTCTTTAACTGTCTAAATGTAGTGGACGAGCTTTGACGAGTTTTAACGTTTATCCGTCGAGTTTCTTCGAAACGCCTTCGCGATTCGTAGCAATACATATAATTTTTTAGTAGGAGTATAAGTAGTCGAAAAATTAAACTGCACTATAGATATGTGAACATTTCTTATATCATTGGAGTTAGAGAACAAATATGCACTTATTTATAAGTTAAAATTTGTAATTTACATTATAATCAATCTTCTCATACGATACATTATCATCACCAAATTTTAACTTTGATCGTGAATTCACGCCATTATAACAATAAATATTGATTGATGATATGAATTCAATGCGGCAACAACTGAATATTCATTATAGCGCTTCCCATTATACTCATTATTATATTAATCGTCAATTATTCCGCAATTACTTCTGATACAAACAATAGCTCAATAATAAATAAGCAAAAATAAGCAACAAAAGTTTGATGAAAATTCGAGGTCTAGTTCATTGTCCACGAAGCTTGCGAGGGACGCCCAATAGTAGTAGTAGTAGTAGTAGTAGTAAAGCTTGCAAGGTATTGATCGTCGTCTTCGGCGCTCTTTACTCTGCGCCGCCGCTGATATTTAATTGTTACCACTCTCGCGGATGCGTTTTTTGTATGGATCAGTATATAAAAAATACTCTCATGGGACCTATATCTGCTAAACACATCGGCAGGATCGGACAATTGTCGCGGATTGTTTTTAATTTTAGACGGAGCGCGTTGGACCATCATAACAACGGAATCTCGATCTCGTGTCACGCACGCAAATGTCAAACTATCGATCTGCTTCTAAACGGAAATTCATACCGAGTCTCGCTATTATTTCGACCACGTACGACTCATCAAAAAATTATTTTCGAATACGTTCGGCAACGACAACGAAGTACGCGGGTGAGCAATTTGTATTCCATGGTAGGCAAACAAGCTTTGAGGGTCATTATAACACGAAGAGAAAAGGAAACGTCGACAACTCTGTGATTTCCCGCAAGAGCTGGATATAAATTCTGGACTTCCTAAACAAGCTGTCGGCAAAAAGACTTCAAGAATCCTACAATTGTCGGGAAACAAAGGGCAGACGCAGAGGCTCAAGTATTCCGTGTCAAAAACTGCACTGCCTCGAGTGTACGTACATAGGTACCTTCAACTGCGACGCGCCTTTTGTCGTTTGCCTGAAAGTTAATTCCTCGACGTTACTGGCGCATACAAATTTTTCTTTTTCAACCGAGGCTTTTTTGACCAATAAATCGAGCCTTTTCTTTCTCTGTCGATATAAGCTTTGTAAATATGAGCTTTCGAATGACCAAATTTGTGAAGTTGTTTGCTCTCTATAAAGCTTTCGTGTAATTCTACAATATCGTAGATTAAAAATTGCTATGAAAAGCTTAGCACTTGCTATCGTAAAACCAAAAAAAGGATTTTCAATACTTTATGTTTACGACCATAAGTTTCCCAATGAGTAAATCATCGGATTGATTTTTATATAATTTCGCGCCAGAAGGCACTAACCCGACTGAAGTTCGTGACTTCAAATTATAATTAACCGCTCGATGAAGACAAAACAACGCACACAACTGCGATCAATTAAGTTGCCTTCGTGATTCACGAAAAAGCCAAGCTCCTTATGCCGTACATCTTAATTAGGTCGTGTATCCGTTCCTCTCTTGTGCCGGCGCTGTTTGCCGCGCACGCGCGCTCAATCGATAAACGCACCTTGTCCCTTGACCTTTCAAGGACGACATCGGGGGAGTATATGTGAATGCGGCACGCGCGTCCAAAAAAGAAACAACGTGAACTACTTGTTTAATAATGTTTTTAATAATTCAGTGGGCTAATGGCTCGTTTCATAATTTCACGTTCGGTTTGATGTAAGCTATCGACATCGTCGGATGAATATAAAACGTTTGCCGCTCACAATTCGTCGATCCGTTTTTTCCCGCAATGAAATATTTCAATTGCGTTTATTATCACTCGTTAGTCAAATACAATTTTAGTGCCAACGGAATCCAATATCCTTTCGGGTCGGATTGGATTTTCTCTCTTTTATTTCGCTGGAAAATAAGCAATCGGTCTTTTTTCCTTTTCATCTCGCCACCGCACACAGACTTGACAATAGTCTATCAATTCCGTAAAAAATTTTTAAAAATAAAATAAAGGTCTTTTGAGTTGTAGAGCTTACTGCTCCAAATTCAAAATCGGAAGGTCAACTCGTATAATATGGCAGTCGAAATGCTGTAAAGGTGCCAGAATCGATATTAAGGTTCTCGTTTTTTTTTTTTTTGCATCACACTAAATCGTAAATACCTCGGGGACATTCTCTGCGCAATAAACACGCGCGAAATGTAGGGCGAAGTTATACGGAAAAATTCATTTCGTTATCGTTGTTCGTCCGAATTTCGTCTCCGCGGTACGTTGTTGGTTTTGTTCTGCGCTTGTGAAATTGGAACGCGCGTATGCATTAACGAGACTGTAGGATGAATAATTTATCATATGTTTTTAACCGTAGAATAAAACGTTAAATGGACAATTAAAGCAGCTGCCAAACGTTCGATTTGCGATGAAAATCAATATCAGTTTATCCAATCATCCGTTTTATGGAAAATCGTAACTTAACAATCATTGACTTCCAAGAAAACAAAAATCAAAGCCACATAGCCTTGTATTTTAAATTTTACGACCAAGTTACACGTAGACAAGTAGGGTTAGCCTGTATTTAGTTGAACGAGCTTTTTTTTTACAAAAGTTTTAACTGCCCTCCTCGAAAGTAAATGTATTTTTAATGTATACAGTACTAAAACTACACTTTTTTTCATGTCTTGCACGTACACACACGCACACACATAGATGAATAATCAGGTAAATCGAATAGCAACTGTCACAGAAGCATTCTCTATGTATGTTTTTGATAGCCTAGCTACTACTTTTGTACCATTTCGCGAAAAGCACGAACTCTACTGTCTGCACGCCTCGGGCACCACTTACGAGAAGAGCAAAAATACAGACGATGTTTTTTAATGAAAAAAAAGAAAGATATTGCTTTTGTCGCACGCTCACTAGTATTATTTGTTTTTGTTTGGCTTTTATTTTTATTACAACGCGTTTGACTTTTAGGAGGAATAACGAGCGCAGTTGCCACGTGAGCTTTTTATTCGTTTTGCTTTGCGCCGTGAGGAAAATTCTTTGATTAAGCGTGCAGCGAGATACGAGCTCGCTTTTGCAGCTTTGTTGCTGAATCACGTTTTTATCTTTGCTTAATGTTTGATATTATTACTGTACTGCTTAGTATATTTCGACCATTATTTCTAAGCTGACGCACAATGACAGTTCAATGGATTTTGACAAGTGATTTCTAAATATCCTGAAATCTTTCCAGTTTAATCGTTAATGCCGACTCATCGAGTTATCGGATTCGTTATGATACATACGATTACATGATGTTCATATTGAACGCGAATCGGCGCCAGTCAATTAAAGTCGTAACTACGAAAGCTTTTGACGCTGAACGAACATTAAGTCTTATACGCGGATAATCAAGTAGGGCCAACTAATGATGACAGTCTGCCGGAAGAAAAATCGACACGCAGATTTTGTATTGTTCTCTTCCTGTTTTCTATTAATCTTACTTTTTTGAGCTTTATCATTTCATCGTTCATCAGACTTCTTTCCAGAATCAAGCTTATATTACTCGCACAAACGAAAAAGCTCGAGTTATCGATGGCTATGAATACTTAAATTTTACAAAGCTAGTACGCAGGAGAAAAAGAGAGAGCGCAGGGAATTCGTACTTCAGATAATGATTGTGCTAAAATGCAGTCGCATATGAAAAGCTTGGAGGCAATAAATATCTTGGTTCGCTTGTTTTCCACTGTGATGTGTGTGTTGCGCAGCATTACGCGAGTACGCGAGGGATTGACTGTCGCGCTATTTTTGCCCTCAGGCAAACACAAGTCAAGAGCTTGCCTCGCTGATTTACGCTGCGTCGATGAAATGCATATGCGGATGTAACGTTAGCAGTGTAACTTGATTATTTCGAAAATTGCTAAAGGCGCGATTGAAGGGAACGCGCGTTGTTGGATATCAATGATCGCATTGCGGGAGGCGTTCTTGTTACTGCTTTATAAATTCTGTATCCCCCGTCGAACAACGCCGTGGCGCCACGCGATTGTCATTTTCATTTCAACTTCCGTTGTCGCATTCGTCAAATTTCATTCTGCAAATAGCGTGGAGAGGTATGGTGAATTTTGTCGCTCGCGAAACTCGATCATCGAGACTCTTCAATATCGCGCGGCAAACAAAGAAAGTGGGCTAATCGCGAACATGCCTTAATACTTTCTCGAGGTCTCGAGAGTCGTCGTCGTCGTCGGCAACAAGTACGCCTTGTGGAAATCTAGTTTGCTCCGTTGTGCGTGTTGTCGTTGGTCTCCACTGGGTGCCGTCTTGCTACTGATAACGCAATTGTCAGCGAAGAAACTTAGCGAGAGAGATGCTTATTTGAAGGTTTTCTAAGTAAAAAAAGAGCGGATGGCTGACTATAGATCGAGTTGTTCTGCTTATATGCTTTAAAGTATATCAAGGTTCCCAAGCTCTAAATCCTGTATCAGTTGTGATGTACGATCTTCCTTGACTGGACTCAAGAAACAGTTTGGGGCTGCGTAATTTGAATTGTTTGTGTTTTTTATTTGTCTATACGAAGTATGAACTAAATTAATTAATACGATTAATTCTTTAGTTTATTTATTTTTCAATTGAAATTTACAACTTGATCATAAAGTTATAAATAATCTTGTAAATAGTCAGAAATCTATCGAATCATACGTCTGAGCATTTTGGTAAATAATTTCTCATTGACAATAATAAATGAAATGTCGAATGCAAGTAAGAGGAAAAATGCAAGACCAATCTTTCTCGCGACTTTAATCCTATCCCAGCACCACAGGCACCAAAAAGAGAAGAAGTAGAAACCGATGACTAAACTGGTGGTGGACGGTGACGTCACGCGTCATCATGTAGGTCAGGACGACTGCTGGCACACTCGGATAGGTGCGCGCTCCTCTGACCTACTTAAGCATGGAAATCATCCCTGCCGCCACTTTACTGCCGGTCGTCAAGAACTGTTACGTACGGATCGCCAAGTGATCGCGCAACACGTGTATTGTGAACTTTTTTTTGTCACAAGTTCAGATGACTTCCAATTTCATTACGCTTGACTGATGAATGCCTCATTCATTTTCAATGAATCCAAATAAATTAATGCGTTATTTCAAACTTTCACGACGATATTTCAAACAAATTGCGCGTCGAATTTCTTTAATAAAAAACAAGTGATATAATCGTAGTCCAACGTCAATGGAAAGCAAAAGAATCAAGCTCTAGAGAGATAGAAAAAGACGGAAAAGAATGACTACCCACTGCAAGTGACAACCTTGTTCACTGGTGTCTTTATATATACGTCCGGCAATTTGTTTTCCGCAACAGCCGTTCATTTGATTATCTTGTCGCGAGGAGATTGAATTTCACGTTCGCAGCCTTGCGCGACTAGATAAAAAAAAAACGGAAATCAAGCCATGCGCCAATTGGAAAGCGCTGCCGTCGCGGATTACCGATGTAATCTGGAAAAGGACGTTAACGAGAGGACAGTTTTCATCTTGAGGACCATTTGTTCGTTATTCATTTTTGTTGCTGCTCTCTTCGATTCAGCTTGGCTGATTACTGCTTTTTATAAAATGTTATTATTTGCAATATGCTTTTGTTCGACTTGATGAATAACAATATTCATTGAAGACAAATCGGATATCGATTTTCCACGCGTACGAGTATCTTACGTCTGAATTTCATACAATTTGAGATAAAGTCAAGTATCTAGGCGGACTCCTGTATAACGTAATTGTTAAAACTTCTAAATATCAAAAGACATTTTTATTTCTCTTTTTCTCGGTGGGAAATCTCACTCTCCATTATCCTTAAATTCATGATCTTCACATAATGAAATCAATTTTCACTCGAGGTCGCGCGCGAGAAAAACAGTCTGTTAAAGTCCTAATAAAATCAAACTTTGCTTCTTTGGGAAGAAGAAATTCGTCGTGACATAGACTTCGTTGCTCCAAAAACATGTACCTCCTTACGTGTCTTGCTTTTTATCGTAAAGAAAATTCGTCGACAATAATATATCTGTTTGAACTGTTTCGCCTGTCTGCGGCAGATACAACTAGAGGAGGACATACGCCAGGTAAGCTAAATTCTGCTCGTTAGTGACGCTTCCATTTCTCTCTCTTCGTGGTTTACGTTAATCGCGGAATTTTTCCGTCGATCAACGCCATGTTTTGCCACGCTCGTTAAGAAGCTTTGCTTTAGAGTTGGATTATTCAAAAATTAAGTGCTATCCGAGTCGGTCGAACGAAAGCAAAGTCGAGTGTGCAAATCGCACAAAAAAGAAAAACTTTCTTCATTGAATTATAAATTAACATCAACTCGCGCAGCTGCGTAGTTGGAAAAGCATGTTTTCGCCCTTTGAATCTTAGATCCACGTACTTAGCTTCAGCCAACATTATGAAAAGTTTAATATAAGTCACGATTTACTTTGATGGAGTCGTAAAGCGTGAGCGTGAAATAAAGAGAGAGGAAGGCGATATCTTTATAAAAAGTCGCGTTAAAGGGTTAGATAAATCGCGCTCGAAAAGCCTTATATGATTTATTTATCAAAAATTCGGTTTCTCCTCTAATTACGCCCTGATTTTTCAAAGCGTTCGAGACTGAAATCTTTCGTATTTTCCCCACAAATTTCAAATAATCCAGAGACAATTTGAAATACTTACTTTACGAGACGTCATCACTTCGAGCGAAAATCAATAAAATACCAAGCACGCGGCTAGGAATTAGCGAAGGAAATCAGAGCCCCTTCGGTCTTTACCGTAAGATTGAGAGCGACGTTACGTCACTCGATCGATGATACAATCATAGGATACGTATGAGAGTACCTTTGCCACGTCTATTTTTATTGGTCGAGCGTTGATCTTTTGTCATTTTTGTTTCGTCCTACTCGTCTTACATATTTTTAGACGACCATATATCTAGTTCAGAAGCGAGATGAACTCCTCGGAATTTAAAAACAAGGGATCACGAGTTACTACTTGTACATCCTTCGTCTTTCTTTTCAGAGAGATGATATACGGAGGGATTGGAATTCGCATTTTTTGCAAACGGAACAACGTTAAAGAAACTTGAAGTCGTGACAAAGTATATTTTTTCCGAACAATTTCTTGTCATTGTAGTTTCATTTAGAAAGGTGTCGCAAAACCTCTTATTCCGCTCTAATCGTCGCACGAATCGACGAAATTCAATTCCCGCGAAACTGTATGAACGACGACAGTATTTTACCACACGAGTTGTTTGCGAAAGAAAATTGCTGCTGAAAAGAACGCAAAATCGTTGAGAAGAAATGCACGTTGCAAAAATTAGCCTATCCGCAACGCGCGATCGCGTACAAATTCTTTTTCCCGCCATTGATAAACCGCCTAAAAGAATTACGTGTACGCAGCCAACTCACTTAGCCAGCCCGTCGAATATTTGCCAGGTCGCAAAATATTTATACGGCGAGCGCCGTTCTTGTCGTTGCAAAAAGTCCCATCCAAACAGCTGCGCGAACGAGGTTACGCGCGCGCACAGGACTCTTGATCGAGTTGCAATCAATGGCCTCTGACGGCCGAAACGTCGTCGCATCGGTTTTTTAATCGCGTTTCGCTCTGGCGCGACGCGTCAACGGAGACGATCGTTACGCGCGACCGCCATTTGTTGCGCGAAGCTGTACGCGTGCGAGAAACTAGCCATCAAAACTTCGTAAATTATTCGATCGAGGGATGGGAATGGAAGGCAAAGAATCCATTTACGGACCTCGCCACGCTGAATTGCAACGTCGTTCCGGGCGGAAACCACTGGCAAACCAATGAAAGTTTCGGCGCGAGCTTACGCATGGCATAAGATTACTGACAACCGAAGCTTGCGAGAGTCCGTAAGCATTCGACGGATCCGCGTCGAATGGTTACAGATTCCAGCAATTGCCTCGTAGTTTTCTCGGAGAAAGGCTGATTTGCCAGACTAACTCAACTCGATATTTTACACAGAGACTGATAGCCGAGCTAAACAAAGAGCAAGAGGCGTTCATCGCTGGTAAAGGTGGCGAGAAAGGCGAAGCTGTTCCACCATGGGTCGGCGCACCCGACGAGGACGCACTGCGCGAAGAATGCCTCGCACTTTCGACCGTAAGCTCACCTTACATTCTGCCATTCATCTGGTTTTGGCGCATCAATCTTTCACTGAGCAGCCTCAATTTCATGGTCTTTCTCATCGACAATTGTTTGATCTTCACAGGACCGACGTAACTTCGTAAGATCACCACCGCCAGGTGTCGACTTCGCCTGGGACTTCGAAGCCATACAGCCGATAGCACAAGCGACTCTTGCCGTCGATTCCAATCTCGAATCTATGAGGTTCGAGCTTGTACCCAAAGTGTAAGTGTTGTTATTCGAGATTGGTCGAATGCGTGCGTCGAGACTTTGCCGACGTAACGAGGTAGGAATTGAAAACGAGCAAACGGCGCGTACGGTCTCGATCTCGAAAAGCGCGAGTAAGTACAAGTAATCAAACCGGGGGAAGCAAACTCACGGAAGGGAGCAAAGAAAGAAATCAGACGGTGTGCGTACACGAAACTGGAAAATGGAAAGCTGTAAAAGGCCAGGGGAGAAAAGTTGGTCGCAGCGCTCAGTGAACCGAGTTGCTAACGCGCGCCTCGTTGCTTCATTACAGAATATCGGAGGAGAACTTCTGGCGTAACTACTTTTACCGAGTATCCCTGCTGCGTCAGAGCCACGAGCTCAACGCGCTGGCCAGCCAGCAGTCGACGGAAAGCAACCCGAGCCAGGTCGCGTCGAGCCACAGCATCGACAATGCTCAAGGTACGTTTCTCGCGGTCTAACTCGCAGAGACGAGAGACCTACCATCGGACGCACGCGCACGATAGATTCGACACGCCTCTTCATCTATCTTTATATATATTTATCTCGCACTGTTTCTCCCACGCTAGTTCCCATCCAATTGTCGTTGCACTGACCCGCGATCTGACTTTCAGACTGACGATACGCATCGCTTGCTTATGCGCCTTCTTGCTGCTTGTAAACGGCTTTCGGATTAACTTTTTCTCTCGACGTTGGACAGCACTTGGTAGAACAGCTCTTTGAATTGTTCATTGCCAAAAGCACAAAAACAAGCTGCTAATCGAGGCGCATAAGCACGTGAATTATGTACGTAGAGCGATGAAAGGCAGCGACGCTCGACAGTGGTCCGCGTTGCTAGCCTGTCATTGCACGGACGCCTGTGTAAGCACGCACAGCGGCAGCAATGGCGGTAGCGGCTCGGCGTGCATACGACCACCAGACATCGACCGTTGAAAGCACCTTTGTGCAACGGTACACACACGCGCCAACTCCAAAGTAGTTTTGGTAGAGTCACTCCAGTAGCAGTTCAGTGTTCCTTGTATTGAATCACAGTAGGAGCTGCCGAGACGCTAGCCACTGCAGCCAAGCCGACCACCCACGAGAATGTTGAGCAGACGAACGAGGCGCTTGACAAGTTGACCGTACAGCCGAGCAAAGGTTAGTCGATGCTGCTTGACTAAAGCGCGTCTGTCTGTCCGTCTGTCTTCGCTCTCCCTGCCTGCTTTCATTCGTTCACGGTCTATACTTTGCCCAAGTCGTTTTATCCGTATGCGTGCAAATGCCTTACAAATCACTTGGAATTCGACAACGTATTGTCGAGTGTTGTCTCGCAAAACAGTGTTCAATGCATTTGAATCGGCAGTAGTCTAACGGACGAGAAAGCACTTGATGAATAAAGTATGAACAGGGACCAGCCAGACAGACAGACTGATTAAAAAGAGAAGCAACTATACAGCAAACCAGAATGAAGGCGACTTTCGGCCCGTGAGTATTGCAACAGAAAAAATACTTTTACAAAGAAAAGCTCGAAAGCTCATTAAAACAAACATTATCGTAGTTGTTCGTTTCGACTCTGACACGTACACGTACACACAAAACAGAGTTACTATCATTGAAGCAAGCCGAGTGTGGTTGTCTTGTTATTACCATTGTTGATTATACAAGTTTCTAATACATATCCTCGACGTTATCGTTATAATGCTTATTGAGACTCTGCCTAAACGCTTTTTCATCCATTGCACCATTAGCGAGAGTGTATTGATTAGCTATATCTCATACACGCGAATGTCTATCGTTTGATATTTTCATGACAACTAAAAAGTTTTCAACTATGTTTCTTGTATTAGAAGCATTTCTATTGTTTCAATCTTTATCTGTCACTGGAGGTGTGCATCATTTCAATATTAACTCGTGCCCTTTGATATAAGCTTTTTCATGTTTGGCTTCACTCACAGTTCTTTCTTATCACATTATTTTCTTCTTTTGTTCCTTAGTCGAATCAAAAGGTTACCGCTATTTTTTCAATCGATTGCTGACATTTCTCAGATTACGATGCTTTTGATCCAATACAATCTGTCAGATATTTCTTTCTATTTAATTTATGAAGATAATGTTTCGTAGCAAGTCGAATGAAAAATAATAATTTTTTTCGCCAAACAATTTATTAAATAGCAACGATCATTGGAACATAAAGCTTTACTAATACAAACTCGAGTCAATGATTTGCCCGCCTCCAATTAACATGAAAAAATGATAAAAATAAAAATCCTCGTACTGTAAACAACGAAAAATAACGTGAGCTTTTTTTGCATTTCTATGTTTTTTCAACAGCCTAAAAGAAGAGGACAGTTCGTTCCCCGTGTTACCATTTACCCAGAGCACTAGCACAGATTCCCCTCTCAAATCTTTCTGTTGAAGTACGATAAAATATATACATATTATAACCCGGATTTAGCGACGAAACAAACAAACCAACAAAAAAATATTAATGATGATGAAAGCGAAGAGAACGGTGAAAAGAAAAAAAAGACGAGAAACGAACAAAAACAATAGGCGACAGAGTCTCTTGTAAAATCAACCTCTATAACAAAAGCATCTTCTTTTTCTTTTCAGTTCTCTCACAAAAAAATAATAACGCTCATATGACATACTTCACGTATCTTTCTCTCTATCTCGATAGTTCAAATCATATCAAATCATTTCATTTTCGCATTTTCCTCGGCAACAATGATAAATATTCATCTGAACAATTGTTAACGGTGATGGTCATCGGCTGGAATGAGCGTAACTGTCTTATTGAAAGTTTAGGGATTTAGGGATTCGCGTTGAATTTCTTTGGTTGAACGTTTCGAGCATTTTCAATCAGCAACTCCAATCATCAGGTTCGTATTAGGTGTAAAGAAACAACATAAAAACGAGCGAGATTTAAGTTTAAAGCTAATAATAAAAATCGGATTTTTGTAGTTTGAGGCTTTTAGTCGGCCGCGCGGAAAATCGTCGAATTGCGTCGAATATCCACGACCTCGCGCTATATAAATGTACATAAGCACGCCATGACAAAGATGCAAAAAGGAAAGCAACTTGTAATTATCTAATTCACAAATCCTTGTATAGCACTGCGGAAACAAGAGACGCGAATGAGAACGGCATTGAAAAAAGTAAGTCTTTCGATCTTCCGCGGCATGTATATATGAAGAAAAATAAGCACACGCTTGATTTTCGTTGCTTCACACGTCTCTTTTGACGAACTAAAATATGAAAGTATGATTTATTTAGTTTTTATTTGGCCCTTTCATTTCCTCGAGTGCGATTATATCCGATTTTCCGCGCAAATGTGCTCGATGTGGACAAAAGAAAGTGGATTTTTTTGGAACTCGTTGGAGCACTATAAAAATTACGAAAAAAAAGTTTTTCGCGAGTTGACGTTTGCCGATGATATATTTCAAATTACTATCTAACTAAAAACCATGTCTACTCTTCTGTCTGTCGTCTGTCTGTCTTCGTCATTCACTGAGGATATTATATATAAATGAAATCAAGTACTCAATGAAAAAAACTTATACCTCGTCGCTATTTGAAGAAAAAAAATGTATTTATTATCTCTCTTCGTGTTAAAACAAAAAAAGTTGTAATGTAAGTCATACATCGCGCGAGAACGATGGCGAATTGTGTATGATTTAAAACGAAAAATCCTTCAAATAAACTATACAATTTAAATAACAATACAAATAACAAATGATAAAATGAAGATGCTAAAAGATTTCACGTCTAAAAGAAAAAGATAAACGATGTGTATCTAAGTACCTAAGTATCTTAATTGAAGAGAAGAAAAAAGCAACATATATAATGATGAAATAATAATAAATTCGTTGATTGACAATACGTGTGTGTTTATTAGTACAAGAGGCCAAAGCAAAATAAAGCCTCTAATAATCGCAAGGCTCCTCCAGAAGGACAAACCGAGCAAAGGAAAACAAATGAAATTCCTGTGTTTCTGGTTTCCTTGGATCCTTCCACCCGTTGGAACAACAAATTTTGCTTAACGTATCCTTCCTTCCCCGCGTTCAGATCGAGCTTTTATCATTCCTATCTTCCCGGAACAGAAAACAGAAATCTTCCGTGATACGTGGGCCTTTTTTTAATATAAAACCGTGGAAGAATATGATAATAAGCGCGTGCAGAGATTATAATTCATTCGGTCGCGTGAAACATATTAAAAAGAAAAACAAAACGCGAATGGAAAATTTAGTTTTTTCCTTTGTCTTTGTCAGCAAAAGAAAAAAAGAAACACTGAATCGAACAGTCAATTATATATCAGGAGCAGATCGCGGGCGCGCGCACAGACTATAATATATATTTAGCTAGAGGCGCAATGATGGAAAATCGCTGGGATAGAGTATTATATAGCTTTTGTGTTCCTTATTTGTGTATATATTACGATAATCTTCAGTTCATCTATCATTTCTCATTCGCCATATTAACATGCCTTTTGTTTTTCGTTAACTCTTCAGTTTGCCAAATAATCAACAAGACACCAACACTAATATACACTGTATGTGAGGAATTCTCGTGAAAAAAGCTAACGCCTTGTGTACATATTTACGTTTGCGTGCATTTCGCTCGAAATTGTTAAAATAGATGCAAACAAATGCTAAAGACGTACACTGCAATATCGACAGATTTTGAAAGATTATACAACAATCACGTAGTGATGTTATATTATAATAATAATAATATATTATTATGATGTAATTTAACGGCTAGAGCTTGGATTAACGGTATAAATACTGTTGCTACGACAGCGTGCTGTTTTTTTCTTTTTTTATAATTTTCTTTCGGGCACACCAAAATAAACTTCAAAGTATGTATTATATCGACGGAGAAAAAAGTTTGTCAAAGGAGAACAAAAAAAAGCTCTGGATGATTATTAATTTAGTGGCTTTAAATTTGTTAATAACTCGTGTTTTTGATTTGGATTGTAGAATTAACATTTGATCCGAGAATTATTACCAAATAATATTTGAAAATTAACCTACAATATTATCAACTTTTTTCCTTCGTACCAAAGTAAAGCAAATCCATTGTAAAATACAAATCTTTGAAGAACTACCTATCTAAAAACATGTACAAAAAACAAAAAAACGCATTATTACATCAAAATATTGATGTCATTTTGAGCAAAAGAAAAAAGAGGAGTAACACGAACAACTCGTTAGTGCTCTTTTCGAAGCCGCGAGTTTTTACCTAAAACTGTTTTTGCTAAAGAAAGTCCCCTCACATGCACTCACATTCCCTTACCCCTTCAAATTAAAAAAAAAGAACAAGTTATATTCCGCGCCGAAAAAAACACTTGTGTCTCGCAGAAGAGGATTGGGAGCGTGAATTGGATGCCGAGCTGAAGGATTACGAGGTGGTACCGGATCGACAAGCATCGTCGAAGACAGTCAAATCCAGTGACGACTGGCTCGAGGGTCAAATCGACGAGTTGCTCAACGACGACGAGGATCTCAAGTGAAGAGCGCTCGATAAAGACGAGTTCGTGATTGTCGATGTCGCGTGACACTACTCGCCTACTGTACATTGTGTGGAATTTTGAGAGTGCTATATTATAATATCCGTGTAGCAGGTTTAGGAGTTCTTTGGCGTGGAATTTTTTTTTATTGAAATTTTTATACGTTATTTACTCGAGGATTAAGTTATTTTTAACCATGTTTTGTATTTTTTTCTTGACAATCGAGTATTCAGTGAATAATGAGCGAATAATTTTAATTACAAAGTATTTGCGATTCGTTGTATGTTGTTCGCTGTATTCTCAAACATTGATTTCAAACGAATTGAGTAAATCGCTTTGTTACATTCACAATAGACAAATCAGTGTTATCTCTAAAGAACTCAGAGAAATTGTTAAAGCAAACAAAGAACCCAACTGTACGTCCCATTCCGTCTGAATAATCCAATTACAAAGCAAACGGCAAACGAGAATTTTAAACACTGTAAATAGCAATTGCATCCACCCTCTTTTTCGTCGTATAACACGAGGAACAGTCTTAGGAGTTGGCAACCGGAACCGTCTGAAGAAAAATAAACAAAAGCAAAGCGAATGCGTAAAAAAAGATACCAATAATCGCACAAGTTTCAATGGGCCTTTTTCATAGATAAGCAAATGAAACGACGCAAGCGCTTCATTGCGTAATTAAACAATAAAGGAAACAAGTTCTACTACTTCATTGTCTATTGTCGTGTTTTTGTTCAATTGGGCACGTGTTTTTCACGCATAGCATTTCAAAAGGAGATTGACCATTTTTGGTCACATGAAATGTTTCGCCATTTGTTGAGTCTTATGTTGATCCACTTTTCGGGTTACTCGAATTGGAAAACCAGTGAAGTACACGGTTTGGAGAATCAATCAGTCGAACAATAAACCTACTTGAATTTTAATGTATACTTAGGTGACAACATTGCATTCAATATTTCATAACTACTGTCATTCGAAATGTGCTCAAGAAAACAATTAAAAATAAAGCGTACTGGATACACTGTTAACCAAAGATTTGTGTGCGATTAATTATACGTACTTATAGTTTTCTTCCTATCGTTGAGTAAATCTAATTATAAGTTATCGAGCAAATTTTAAAAATCGTTTTTCGAATGAACGACAAGAACAGACATTTAGATGTTAAAAACAAATCATTCCGTGTAAGAATCGAGAAAGCGGTGTGCCAGTGTGATTGTGAGAATGTTATAAATATCTATATACGTAAAATGTAAGGCGTAGATAAATTATAGCTATTATCACTTGTCTTGTTATCTTCGAGATGAGCTGCGCTTTTCCGCTGCTTCCCGCAAAAATTCTTTGTATAATCATGGTTTTTTTGTATAGTTGGATATAATCAATAAGAGAACAGCTTGTTTAGCAACAAACGTTAGCGAAAGAATATATCGTGTAGTTATTTGCTATTTGAAAAAGTTGTTTCGTGGTAGTACTCGATGGAAGCGATTTTTCAATTGCGACTACTGGAGTGAGGTAAAGTGAAGAATACGAATCTTTTGAAAAGTATTATTATTTTCAAGAATCAATAACGAAAAGCGGATTTATTGAAATTAACAGTTGATAAATTTCTCGTACTCTAATTCATTTTCTCTCGATTTAAAATTACTAATGCAATAAAAAACAAACGCAAAGCAGCGAATTCATGAAAACGCAGACACGATAAGAAAAAAATTAAATGAAGATAAAACGAGTATTTGTACATTATATTGTTGTTCGTTAGAATTATGTACACATATAAGAAAAGATGATACATAGACACAATTTAATTATTTCGAAAACTATTTATAAAAAAACCATTTTTATTCGATTAAACGCCATACGTAGGTTCACGTGCCGCAATAAGAACACTTATAGAAACACGTATAACCTCTGCAGAACTTCTTACAGACGATATCTACAAAAAGGAAATCACTCTGATGAAAAGAATGTTAAGTGAAACAATGTGCATTATTTTATATTCGTCTTTCCTTCAAAGTTTCGTGTTTCTATAAGAAGACTTAAAAAATCTTTCGCTTTCATCATTTAAAAGGAAAGAAATACAATTTCAGAATCCTGCATCATATTCATAAATATATTTTAATTGGGGCCTAATTCCTTAGCAAAAGATTTTTGTTTTTTCGATTTAAACTGTCAGAGATTCCTTATGGATATAGGCGATAACAATGATTATAATGAAAACAATGTAGGAGAAAGTTGATTATTATAAAAATGGAAGCGAAAGAGATTTTTCAAAGCGACAAAGCTTCTATATGCGTGAGCGATGATTCAAGCAGATTCGAGGCAAGCGTCGTTTGACGAAAGGATTATGCAAATGAAAACCTAAAAAAATTATAATTATGATCGTACATAAGTGAAATAAAATTTAAACAGCAAAAAAAAACAAGATGCAATGCATTATAACTCGCGAAAAAGAATATGATATGGTGAACATTAATTATATGATACTTATGTATACATATATTATCAAATAAATATATATATATATGTTGTTGACTCCATTGAAAGTATGATATTCATATAAATATGTACCTATAAATGATGACAAGAGAGTAAAAGAAGCCAGAATCTTATGGTATAATGCACGATACAAAAGAATAAAAAAAGCAGTTTGGGAATTTTAGTGAGGATGAAAAAAGATAAAAATGAAGGTAATAACGATAATATTGTAAACAATATTGCCAGGTCGTGTACCTTGTAACAAAAATAAAATCGAATACACCTGTAAAACTATGTTTATATTATTTTGTTTTTGTCTTTTTTCTTTTCAATTCCTTAAAAGAGTTTTACCTACGACGTTTATTCACAATCGATACATGATAAATACATACGTTACTGTACAATTTCTTCACGTGTACCCGTTCATTCCATTGAATGTCGTATGGAGGATACTAACGAGAGAATTGCTCTAGGAGCAGTATGAACAAGGATAAGACGAAGCCTGAGGCGAAGATGGCTAACAATGGTGCAATACCCCAGATGCCGATAGGCGAGTGACTATTTTCTTGGGCTTGATCTAGTTGGCGAAAGTACCAGTAGTGCAGTTTTTTCAGCATACCGTTGTCCTTCAACTTGCGCAAGCTGCAATATCAGCGATAAAGAGATGCTTGTAGTTATTTTTCTGTTTGTTATTCAAAACTGAGTTGCGTGAACAGAGTCGTTTTTTTTTAATTGATACTGTTTTTGGGACAATTTGACGGAAGGAAAGCGCACTTGTAATTGATCGAAGTGATGTAAGGAGTCCTCTTGGGCATCGCCATAGCCAGACATTCAAACTGTCCAGTCTCGATGTAGGTGAGCGTGCAAGGTAAGTGACCGCTTATGCCTTTGAAGATAGCGTCGCTGGCGTAAAAACCAATGCGTTCCTCGCAAACTTGCTGAAAGCCGTCGTAAGGGTTAGTCGGCAGTTCTTGGGTGTTTTTCAACAGTGGCTTGAGCGCTGTCAACACTGGATCGGTCTCCGACTGTCGATTCGAACTTTAAAGTAAAAGCTTCTATGCGATTTGATGATCAAGGCACCTTACCATGATAATTTGGTAATCACTGCTGTTCTGCAGAACGATTAATTTGTACGAGCCGTCTTTAACGAATCCATCGGTGTCGGAGAACGGCAAGCTCGGCGATAGAAAAGTAAGGTAGCTCGTTATCGACGCCGAATATATTGCCCAAAGTATCAGCGTCATCAGCAGCATGGCAAAGTAAACCAATCGTAACGGCGTCACCGATGAGAATTCTGAATCGATCGAATATTCATCGTCCGTTCGCTTGAAAAACTTCAAATTCTTACCCGATGCTCCTTGCTGGCAGAATATCCCCCAAACTTGCATGAAATTCTCGAGGAAATAGTTGCAGGAGAGACGTCGGCTGTTGAAATTACCTACTGTTCTCATTTTGATGAAAGCCGCCAGCAAGGAGCTGCCGATTAAGATCGCAGCGATGGATAGCCACGAAGCCACAGTATAGGCCTGCGAAAGTACACAACCCTGTCGATTCTAGTCGAATGAACGTAGAATGTTGGTACTCACGCGGAAGTAAGCAGACCACTGAACCATCGCTCCAGCGGGCTGCTTCACGTAAATTCTGTTGGCCGACAGGATCAGCGGTATGGTGAAGTCGATGTATCGGAGGCGCAATTTGGATAGCGTGATGGGAGCGACAACCAGATCGACTTGTCCCTCGGTCAGTAATCCGACTAAACCCGACCACTTTCCCGTCCCACTGTCAAGGTGTCCGGAGGCGTCGCTCTCGTGCGCTCGCACCACCTTGAAGTTCATGAAGTTCTGTAGCTCGGCGAGGATCGTCTCGAAGTAGCCCGTCATCTTGGCATTGGTTGCCAACGTCTTCCTCGAGTGCTGTGGAACGGCGCTCGTTTTGAATTCACCGCGAGAGCGAAGGATCGACGTACCGTGGCGACGCGAATCTCCGTGCCGGCCAAGTCAAAGCGACTCGCGTAGTAGTTCTTGTTCACGTAGCTGATGCCGGATTCCCTGCTCCAGCTCGCCAATTGCAAGACTTCCGTTCTGTTGGTGAACAACGAGTACCACTTGGTGATGGCACGCTCGCCGTCACACATTACTAGCATCCTCGTGTTGAACACCAGGTGGAATGGGTTGCCCACGGACGCGTGGCATCTGCCGTCGCCGAGGAACTCCGTGAAGATGATGAGCCAAGTATGATAAGACATGTCGTGGATTGCGCTGACCTCGCTGAAGTGGTCTACATTCGCACTGGACGTGAACAAGGCCACGAACAACGACTGCACGTTGCGCTCGAGATACAGATCGGACCTGTTGCTGAATTTGGAGTAACGCAGCGCTTGAGATAGTATGCCCAGCTGAGATAGATGCCTATTGAATGCGGCGGTGTTTCTTTGCACTTCGAATTCTGCAATTTTTAGCGCATGGGGAGCTTTGTGTAACGCTTAACTCGATCATTTCGATTATAACATAGAAAACGACGTTTACAATAAAACTTTCATTTTTTTCATTTCGAAAATGTCGTTCAGACGAGAATAGATCTATTATTAAAAAACAAGAGTTGTTACTAATTTCATTGAACATATAACTAATAAACTAAGTTCGTAAGCTGTGAATAATTATATATTGTAAATAGTTTTTCGTTATAGAATGTACCATAGCCACACACAGGTAAATTTTTTATCTCGAAGATAATAATATTGTAATATTTATTTATATGGTCAATAAATTATTATTATTATTATTATTATTATTATTATTATTATTATTATTATTATTATTATTATTATTATTATTATTATTATTATTATTATTATTATTATTATTATTATTATTATTATTATTATTATTATTATTATTATTATTATTATTATTATTTGGAGGAAAATTTGCGCTCGTTTATTTTTCGAATTAGAGATATCGACAATTACGAATGAAATGCAAAGTAAGAATTTTTTGTCAACGTACAGATAAGAAAGCATTAAAAATACTCCAGTGACTGGATCTTACTCTCAGAAGCATCGTCGTAGAGAATAAATATCCCAGACGATTTATAATAGTCCTGAACGTCCGACAGGAAAGGAATGTACTTGCCAGTATCAATCTTGACAGCTTTCTTTCCAATTGAGAACATCAGAATGAAGGTAGCATGTCGACAAAACAGTCTCAACATATTGACTAGCATGCACGAAATTTCAGCAGCGCTAGGCTGTGTTACTCATGGGCACGTAAGATTCCTTCTACCGCACAGTTTTTACCGTATTTACAACAACTATCTATTCAACGTGAAAACTTTGTTATTATGCATGCAGTAACGCGTTTTTAACTGCGAGCTTGGTAAGATAAATCAATTCCGCGTGCGCATTGAATTTCAATGGTTAATAATTAATTGATTTCGAACGCTCGCGGATCGCCATACGCTTTATCGTCATTTCAATGCAGCAATTCATGAAACTTTGCTTCTTTCTATAGATGCACGCGATTTTGTTATTAAAAATATTTGCAAACTTATGAAAAATGTAACGTTTGGCTCGCGACTGCTTTGTAAATAAATATTGATGCAGTCTTTGCACTGCGATCGCTAAAATTGATCTCGCCTAGTAGTTAAATGATTCCCAAAGTTAAAAAAGCGAGCCGTTTTTCAAAGTAACTGTGCCAACAACGCGATCCAACCACGTGAGCGCGCGTTAACGAGCAGCGTCAGATTGATTCAGATGATATAATATCACCTCGAACCTAATGATCGGATCTTCGCCGTCGAGAAGTGGCTAAAGTGCAGTTTCGATATGATGCCGTTTTGGCGTAGCTCGTACAGGATGAAACGATCGACAGAACTGCTTCAAATCCAATTTGCCGATGACGCCGTGATATTTGCTGCTCTTGTAGTCCCAACAGCCGATTGATCCTTCCAGACAGCTGTGGACCTTGGAGAAGTTAAGGAACCTACTGGGATCCCTGAGGTCAGCGAGAAGTAGTCGTTAAGGTCTCTATTGCCTGGTGTAGCTTCTGCGCACAGTAGCGAATCCTACAAGCAGAGGCGCGACCCCGAAGACCGATCACGTTTCCGAATCTTGACCATCATGGCGAATATGCATCATAATTCCACGATTGGTACATCATTATACTCTTGTCGGTCGAATTCAATTCGCGCATCTTACGTTCACTGCGCTTCGCGGGGATCCCCCGCGCGAGTGTATATACCAATTGTATCGCTTCTAGAGCATGCCCTTTTATAAATGGCACATTCCAGACTATGACGATCAACGTTTCAGGGCTAGGTTTCAGATTTTCTTGAAACTTGGTCTACGTATTGTTTATATGGTAGTGTATTTAAGTATGGATTATTAGATCATTATAATAATTATATCAAAAGTTATAAACAATTGAAAATTTTTCGTCAAAAATTTTCAAATATTTATATCTCCGCAACCATTTAAGTTATTGAAGCGAATTTTTTTCAAATTACGCATAAAAGGGTGTACTTTCAAAATATTGAGTGAACAATACTTTAATATCAATTTTTCCATAAGTTATTAACATTTTTTTTAAACAATTACCCATATCTCAAAAAGTGTTATTTTTATGATAAAAAATATTTTTTTATTGAATTCCTTGACAATTTCGGATTTTCTTGAAACTTGGTCTACATATTGTTTATATGTACTGTATTCAAGTATGGATTATTAAATCATTATAATAATTTTATCAAGAATTATAAACAATTGAAAATTTTTGACGAAAAGTCGGTAAGTCGGTAAGTTTGATAGCAGCGCCGATAAGCGGCCGACAAGCGTCGTAAGACCTATCAGGGGGCCTATTCTGAAAAAAAATTTTAGCACATGTCATAAGCATTTATCACATCTAAAGTGATTAATTCTGTGGTAAACTGAAGTGACAAACTGATTTACCACAAAATTTTTTTTCAGAATAGGCCCCCAGCGTCCACTATTATCGTTCACTGTATCGCATCTAATGATCGCTCGATGAATTTTAAAACGGAATGTTAAGGAATTCAATAAAAAAATAATTTTTAAAATAAAAATAACACTTTTTGAGATATGGATAATTGTTTAAAAAAAATGTTAATAACTTTTGGAAAAATTGATATTAAAGTTTTGTTCACTCAATATTTTCAAAGTACATTCTTTTATGCGTAATTTAAAAAAAATTCGCTTCAATAATTATCTAATAATCCATACTTAAATACACTACCATATAAACAATACGTAGACCAAGTTTCAAGAAAATCTGAAACCTACCCCTGAAAAGTTGATTGTCATAGTCTGGAATGTGCCAAATATACTAACGATCACTTGGACATCGCTTGCGAACATTACACGCGTTAGGCCCCGGTCCCATAGATACGTACGGATGCGGACGGATACGGACGTGAATCGCAACTCTAGTAACATCACTAAAAATATCTAGTTCGATTATTTAGTACCAATACTACCGGTAGTAAGCAAAAGTAACTGTTGTTTAAAACTGTAGCGCCGAACGTACCACATTTAATGAACGCTTATCTAACCTTTACATTATTGCAGTCTATAAGATGGCAAATGATAGAGAATTGATAAACTTTCAACTACAATTAGTGGAATTAGGCCTTAATTTTATGGAAGTACTTGAATATATGAGAAGAAGAAGAAAAAATATATAAATGATATGTATTAATCATCCCAAAAGCTTTTTTTACATTAACATACTCATCAATAAGCAATATTCATGAGAATTTGAAAAATAAATTGTAGACCTGACATTTGAACATTAAATGTGGTACGTTTGGCGCTACAGTTTTAAACAACAATTACTTTTGCTCACTACTGGTAGTGTTGGTACTAAATAATCGAACTAGATATTTTTAGTGATGTTACTAGAGTTACGATTCGCGTCCGTATCCGTCCGCATTCATACGTAGCTATGGGACCGAGGCCTAAAAATTTCAAGTTCTCGTATTGAAAAATTCTTGATGTTTTTCCGTTGTCATTACACAAAAGTGACAAATGAAAGTACCTTGTCGAACAAGTAATTTTATCCGGTCGCTAATTTTTTCTGAAAAATGATATTAAAAAAAATATTTTAATGGATTTTACGGGTGACAAACTTAAACAAACTATTATTAGAAATTTATTTTAGACATAAGAACACTATTAAAAAGAATAATACACGTTGAAAAGCTTTTAAAACAATAACTTTTTATATTATCAATAATTCTATTAAAACAAGGTCGATCTAATAGTTTTATCAAATAAAAATTTTAATTAATTATGTTCGACAATACACGATGATACCGTTTGAAAATTACCACGAAAAAAACTTTCCAGTAGCACCAATAAAACTGATAAAGACAATCATCAGCACAGCAGGGTTTCCGATCGAAAAATCTCTCCCTAAAAATGATTTCACTATTTTCTATGGTTCAGTCCAAGTTCCCAGTTCCATAAGTATTGTTATGAAAGCCTCGTACTCAATAGAGCAGACAGATAACGATAGCTACGGAACTGGGAACTTGGACTGAATAGAAAATAGTGAAATAATTTTTAGGGACCCTGGGAGAGATTTTTCGATCAGAAACCCTGCAGTGCGTCACTCATTAGCGTAAAGACTGTCAAGACAACAGTCATCACTCAACAGGCAAGTCATTCAGTTGCAATGTTACCAATCGCTAACGTCTATTTTAGTGTACTGTTTGGTTATGATTGCTGATGTAAACAATAAAATAAAATTTGTTTATAAAACTTGAAAATACAGTGTAAGTTATTGAATAAATAAAATGAAGTGACAAGTTATATAATTGAATCGTGTAAGTCAGTAAGTGAAGATGAACGCAAAGCCGAAATTTTTGGCACCAGGTAAGTGATTTGATACCGCTATTATTGGAGAGGTTATTGTAATTAATGTTTTATTAATGAAAACGTAGGACAAACGTAATAATACAGATTTTACTGGACTTTAGTTGATATCAACGAACGAGTTCTTTTTTTTATGATAGCTTTTAACAATATATAAGAAATTGTACCATTGTTTTAGTAGTTTAGTGTTTACAAACTTCATAACAGTTATATTATTACAATTACATAAGTAATGTATTACTGGCCACAGTTTATATATCACTTCATAAATAATTATATAATTTACAGGTGAAAACAGTTGGCAAGAAGATAGAGCTGATATTGATGCTCATGTTTCTACACAGTTTGTTTACAATCCCAATCTCTCCTTGGCTCTTGATCTTCAACGAAAGAGGCTGCCTATTTTTAAACTAAGGAATCATATAATCTACTTGTTAGAAAAGTACCAAACACTCGTTCTTGTTGGAGAAACAGGATGTGGAAAAAGCACACAAATTCCTCAAGTATGTAGAATTTTATTTGGTCATTAAATATTTAGAAATTCTAAAATAAAACATGTTTCAAAATTTATTATTGACTCAAAACATTTTCAATAGTTCATGGTATTGTTTCTTCTTTATAAATCTAACTATAATCTATTACATTATAAATAAGTACTACTCTTACCATATCTAGTAAAAAAATTTATCTTCTCAATAGTGAGTTATGCTTCGTAAATTACTACACTTTCTATTGAATAATCTAAAATTTTTAAAGCAGGCTAAACATATTTTAAATTAAATGTATTTATAATTGTTTTGAGCTTCAATGAATATTTAATAGTATCAATCACAGTATGGATTGAAAAAGAATAGTAGCAATTTGTAAAATGTATAAGAAAAATTTTTAGTTTGGACAAACAAATCTAAAGCATTGAAATAAGTATCTTAGAGCTATTTATTTTGCTGTCTTCAAATACAGTAATAAATTTTTAACAATCAACTATGGCGATTATTATTTTTTAAATTATTTTGTGCAAATTTTGAACTTGATGTACAATGAAAATCAAACATTCATAGTACATTCGTATTAAAAAACGGAGAGTATTTTTGAATTCGAATAATTGCGCGAACTGGCCAAGGGTTGATCGTCAATCGCCATTTTAAAGTAAAACGTGAGAGAAAGAGAGAGAAAGAAAGAGAGAGAGTGAGAGAGAGATAGAGGGAGAAGAGAAAGAGCAGTCAGCGCGCCCTCATACGGATGTATCTAGGTTTCAATAAATCCAATAGCACTCCAACCAAAGAAAATAGCGCAGAATACGTGAAATTTAATACAGTGTAACGAAATGCAACAATTGTGACAATCACAAAAGAACAAGCGTTAAAAGGTAGGTTTGATGAAGGTGTAAAATTGCGCTAATAAAGGAAAGCAGCTATGTCGCTTCTATCGTCGTTACATGTCTCTGCATCGAAGCCGTTAATTAGAAAAGTAGAAAAACGTGATTGGATGGCAGCTGCGTTAACGGTACTATAGTACGAGGTCGACTCAGGTTCAGTGGAGAGAGGAGCGTGGAGAGAACTGCAGCGAGAGCCGCGAGAGAGGAGGAAGACTCAACTACTGCCGCAGCACTACAGCAGTCAGTAGTAGTCTGGTAGTAGGACGGCAGAGCTGAACGTGTTAGTTGCGCGATACTTGGACGCCACGGTGCTTTCGCATTAAGTAAAATCGCGGCGCGGGCGCATTGCCAATGTTTTTTGACAAGCAGTATCTTGAATCGTGATAATATTCGAGCTCACAGCCACGGCAACATGAGATTCAAGATTTTACTTGGCCTCCTCGGCAGCTTCGCCGCCTACCTGCTCTTAATGGACTACATCCTTTATCGCCGCATGCAGGACTACGCGATACGTCCCATCACGACAGAGCCGAGCTACTCGAGTAAAGTGCCTTGCGACGTAGACCCGTTTTGCGTAGTCACAGTCAAAGCTCTGATGCTCGACTATCCCAATCTGTACATTCTATCTCCGCTGGCTGCGTTGGTCGACAGACTGCTGGGCATAAGTACCAGGTGGATCTGGGTCACGCCGAACATGATCAGTGGCTTTCACGTGCTGGTCGCGATCGTGTCGGCTCACTGTGTATCCAGTTCCTCGCTGTCTGAACGTCGTCTCGGCGCATTTTTGTTCGAGTTGCGTACATGGCTGGACGACATGGATGGTCATGTGTCAAGGAGGCGGAAACACATCACTGGGGAGAGATCGGACGTGGGCTCGACGGGTTACTTGATCGATGGCTTGTGTGACTTTCTGGGCTGCGTTGCTTTGATGGTCGGCGTTTTCTTCTTGCTCAAGAAAAATCCGCCGAGGCGCGGCTACGAAAAGCTGCGCAAGGTATATCCGTGCGTAGAGAGCCAGGACATCGGCGACGCCGGGATCGTGTACAAGCGACTCAGATTCCGGGCTCTGCTCAGGAACATCTTGTTCGTCTCTGGGCACCTCTTGATTGTCTCGATCGGTTGGAATCGCTACATCGCGCTCTATCAAGATTTGCTGGAAAGCGACGAACCAACTATCACCATTAGCAAACAAGAGCTGTACACCAGGCAGAGCCAAGTTATGCGCTCTGGTTTCTTCTGGGTTGTCACTAGTACCTGGCGATTGATCAATTTTCACACGGCGATAGATTACCTTCTTGTGGCGATTTTCATCGATCGACTCTGGGAGTACATGAGATTGATCAGATGGTTCGGTTACGTTATGCCACTCATCGTCGTTTACCTCACCGAGTTTCACTTCCTCGAGTCTTATGCCTTCGTTCTCAAAGGATCTAACGGCTTTGTCACCAGGACTGAGAGTGCGCCAAACTTCAACTCTAGCAACGTTATCGGTGGCTTATGAGAAACGCGAAGAAGACCAGCGACGAGACACTTTCTCGCTTTGTTCGTGTTTTATTATTATAATTTATTGTGTCTGTTGTTTGAAAGATCTTCTGTATTAATTTGTGACTTGCGAAAAATGTTTTCGTTGCGTCATTCTTCTCATATACAAACTTTATTAAAGCGTAGTATGATTCGAGATGCGCAATCAGCGATTAGCGATTAACGCTTAGCGACAGATAATGAAACGAAGAAGAAATGTGAAAATAAGCTTGTTTGACGATTGAAATTAGCGCGAGTGTCATGCTCGTTCGACTTTAAATTATACGTTGTTTGCCTGCGAGTTAAGTGTATCTAACCTTTCGGAACAAAAATAGTTATTTTATTCAATGTGATTGCGCGCGATGTGGCTGGAAACGCCGATGCGAGATTTGGCCGGTGCCAGGCTGCTGATACTTTTAAATCTGACGTGTTTCCGAACGAGACGAGATATTGTGATCAATTGTATTTTTCAACGTGCTAACTTTTCTTCCATTAACGTAACAGTGTCAAGCTAGTTGTTGTAAGAGAGGCCTAAATTGTGCTTTCAATATGAAAAAGTCAGAAACTGCAATGAACGGATAATTAACGAATATTGGTGCGCGAAAGAGAAAAAAAGCGCGTTTATCATCCGATAAACTTTATCCGCCCACACCTGTGCGACACGTCACGCCATGCTAAGGGTGTCTCTCCAATACAGACGTAAATCGCACAAAGCAAGAATAAAACAAAGAAATTTCGTGTGCTGCCAACTTCGAAATTCAAAATGAATTGAAAAGACATAATTCCTATTATACGTAGCCTTAAAAAATTGTAAATGTAAACATGAAGCCGATTGACGAATTGTTGTATGGATATGGGATATGTTGTATGAATATAAGATGGACGAATTGTTGTAACATAAGAGACATCCCATATAATCCCATATAACCATTTTGTCATGACAATTCGTCAATCGGCTTCGTGTTTACATTTACAATTTTATGAGGCTCCGTACAATAGAAATTATGTCTTTTCAATTCATTTTGAATTTCTAAGTTGGCAGCACTCAGAATTTATTGGTTTTACGCTTACTGCGTGCGATTTACGTCTGTATTGGAGGGGCACCCTAATGCTGCATTAGGAGAATGCATACGCAGACGTAGATAAACGCACTCGCGTTAGACCTTAAAGATTTTATGATCAATGTACGCGTGGGTGTCCAAGGAAAAAGCTAAGCACGGCCATATATTTTTTCCTCGTGCAATTGTCATCAATAAAAAGTGCTGTCGTTTGCATACGCGAGTGTGTGTGTCGCTGATCTACATGTAGCCTTCAGAGTTTTGTTATGATCTGTAAATATATATTATTACAGAATGTATTTTCGAAAGAGAGAACATGTGCGATATATATTCTTCTGTAACAAGTATTTTTTTTATGATTATCGAAGAAATAAAAAAAGACAAGACAAAGCAATTTTCGTAAATCAGTGCGTTTTGTCAATGTGCCTTGAAAACTGTCATTCACTATTTTTAGATGCGTCCGAGTATAGTCGCTTTTTTTTTCTTTCTAGCGACCGGTACGAGGAAATTTTCTATTTTTAAGACGAATGCTACGTGTGCTTATTTACTCGACGTAATTTTCGCAAAAAGGTATATGAAACAAAGTAGAGCGTTCGCGATAAAACGAGTCAGTGACGCGAACAAGCGCAGTTCTTTTTTTTTAACGCTCGCGAGAAAAAGGAGCCTCGCGTGCTCGCTTGGTATGCGTAACTATATGTACAGTAAATATCTACAAGCTTCTTTCTCGGTCGTTGACTGAATTGAATAAAAACAACAGAGTGGTAAAAGTAATGGACTAGTAACGAAACTAAAAGAAGCGCGGATTATCCGATGAAAGTCCCGCCATCAGCTGTTATGTGATTATTTAGCAATCAGATTAATAATATTTTTGAATGATCTTCAAACTTGAAAGTAGTTTTAATTTATTTTTCACTGTAGATATTTTTTCCACTACAGCAGTGACGTTATAAAGAACGTTTTTCAAAATTTCGTCCTTCAAAATAGGGAAAAAAAGCAGTCAGTGCAATTATACCACATTGCCATCCGCAGGATACAATTAGCTGTCATCCCTGAAGACCTAATCAGTGTCAAATATCTCCTTTAAACGTGAAGCTGCAGTCTTCGTCCTGAAATTTCATTTGCCGACCCACAGATTGGTAAGACAAATAAGAAGAAGAAACAAGTATATTTATCCTCGTACAAAAGCTGCGGAAAACTACGCAAAGGTCATTGTATAATGAATATTAATGACCGTCCGAAACGAATTTCAACGAATAGTTATTCCAAGTTCTACGCGCCAGATTCCGATAAAACAAAAGATTACTGGTATAGAATGAACTCGCACGTCTCGACATTAGAATTAATCAATCAGTCATTGCGGGGATACCTTATTTATGAAGCGTATCCGATCTAAAAAATAAAATATGATCAAATCCCGAGCCGTGGAGGTTGCGTAAGCGTTTTGCATTTCTTTGATTTTTTCGTTGGCGGTTTGCAATTCGTCTGGCAAAAACAATAACAGTTGCCTTTTACATATTACGGTATTTTCAACTAGCGAAACGTCCAGCTATTCGCTTTGAATTCCCCTGCTGAGACTCAGTTGCAACGCTCCGAAGGCTCCATTGTTCATTTCGGTTGCAAATAATAAAGCAAGTTTCACCAAAAGACCACGTGCGAAAGTTGTTGCCACCGACTCAATCGACTCAATCAAAGGTACTTTACACACAGACGTACGTTTGTCTCTCTCTCTCTCTCTTCTCTCTCTCTCTCATCTCTCTCTCTCTCTCTCTCTCTCTCTCTCTCTCTCTCTCTCTCTCTCTCTCTCTCTCTCTCTCTCTCTCTCTCTCTCTCTCTCTCTCTCTCTCTCTCTCTCTCTCTCCTCTCTCTCTCTCTCTTCTCCTCTCTCTCTCTCTCTCTCTCTCTCTCTCTCTCTCTCTCTCTCTCTCTCTCTCTCTCGTGCGTATAACGGCAAAATTTACTAACCAATTCTCTCTCGGCGAGCTTTTCTTTTATATCGACTCGAGATCCCGCGGCGGTGCCCCTTTCGTTTCGGCTACATCTAAGTTTAGACTATTGTCGCGGCTAATTTTGTTTTGCACTCATGAATATAGTCACGCGTAATCGTTGACGGATATCAAACACAGATGACAAATCAAACTTCCGTTCAACTGTATTTTCGAAATAGCATCGCGCTGCAAATGCTAAAGAGAAGAAATGAATTGTCGCGAAAGGGAGGTTAATCGTGCCTCGATGGCGAATGGACGACGAAAGCATTATGCGCAAAGGGAAACATGTATACGCGCGCGCTAGTTTATTCCGGACTGCGCGACGCCGAGGACACTCGTTCTTTTTCAAACTGCTATACGTCAGCTTCCAATGAAGTACTCGCGCTTGCTTGTTCGAAGACGCGAATTTCGTGGAGCTCTCGTTGCCACTCTCGATTGTTCTCGAGCGTTTTCAACGCGAACGCGCTTGACGTGGGCTTACATATTCATCAGACTGTGATCGATCTGTAATAATATATCGTCGCATTCCGAAAACTCCCGCCGGCAACAGTTGGCCGCGGCATAACGAGGAGAAGCCACGCGTGAAGTATCCTCGATCCGATTGGTGGACATTTGAAATTGGCCAACGGCGAACCTATTGTAAGCGTGCAAGCGGCTCAAGTGCCTTTCCCACGCGCGCCTTCCATCTTGTTCTTTGTTCGAGAGAAAAGTCCGCGCTCGTCGCTCACCTGGCTCGACGGACGTTCGACTGGCTTGCTGACCGAGGCGCCCTTTCGTCAACGCTCCGCTCGAGGCAGGCCCTCGCTCGGATTCAACGCCACGAGCCTATCCTAATGCAATCAACGTCGATTACGATGATTGGCCAATTGCCCGAGCAACTCGTGCAATGCCGTGACTTTGTCTCGAATCGCGTACTCCGGGCTCGCGTGTGCTTCCGACTTCGATCTTGCAAGCGCAATACTGGTCTCGATTGCTTGCCTCGGTTCTCTCGTTCGCCAGCCGAAAACCAAGCGCGGTGACCTCGCCTCTAACTCGCTGCGCCGTCGTGAACGCCCAAGTTTTCCCATTGTTTTCGCCTCAGGCTTATCGTTTGCGACGCGTTAGAAAAGTTGGCGTTCGCTAGCAACAAGCTTGGTAGCACGCGCCTAACTAAAAGCGATAAAGATAAGAGTAAAGTACGTCAGCCGCACCGGTGGAAAATTTGCTCGGCGAGCTGCTTCTACTTGGCGACAATTATCGCGACGCGTGCCAACGAAAGGATTGTCGATTTGCAATGGTAACTGCCCGGTCAGAGACTACGGAGTAGCTCGCACGAGCGTCGCGCGTAACAATCTCGGACTAATACGCTTACGTCCACCTGTATTAGCCGACAGTAACGACGAGCCAAGGACGCGCTAATCGCTTTATTCCGCATTTTATTGTGCCGACTATCTAATGCCGCGCGAAAAAACTGAAAAAACCAATACCGCGACAGATATTTTAAATCGGCCGCGTACCTCTGTTAGAAACAATATTTGTGAGAAACCAAGATATTTTTCTTAAAATATTCCGATTTCAAGAAGCGTCGTTCATAGCTAAGGTGTTTTCTCGTTGCCCACCGGAGTACAACTGTCAGGGTAGAACGAGGTATATCGTCACGCTCTGTTTTCTCGATCCTGCTGAACTGAAAATTCACTGGCTTGTCGTCGCGTATCGATCGGCGGAAAGATTCGCAGCCGAGTTGCTTCACAGGTTGCCCTATAAAATATTCATTGAAGAGGCTCAATCGTTGACGGCTCTTGGTAAATTAATTTTTTTTCTTTCTAATTGAATTTAGTAAAGTCTACTTTGTCGACGGCATATCATTGTTTAACGATTCGCTCGCTTTTGTAAATGAAGCTTGTTGAGGCACGTTCAAGATTAGCAGCGAACGCTCACTGATTGAAACAATGCTTTGAACAAAGCAGAACTTGAGCGATGAATATAAATGTGCTTGGTTGACTTTTAGTATTTAGTGGAAGCTGGATGGACACTGGATGGGAAAACCGTGGCAGTAACGGAGCCACGAAGGGTAGCTGCAACATCTTTAGCTAACCGCGTTGCCGACGAACGCAACTGCGTACTTGGTGCCGATGTCGGCTACGCTATTCGCTTCGACGACTGCACCGACGACTCTACCAAAATCAAGGTATGCCACAACAGTCTTCAAATGGTTTTTAAGATTACTCAAAAACAATTGAAAAAAATCTTGGTATTTCTAAAAGACGATAACGATTATTCATGCGATTCTAGAAAATAAGCTATTTTATGAACCTTAAAGGATATCCATTCGCTTGATTGGCCAATAAATAGTTAGTCGATCGCGACGCTTGCTTACAATGCAGTTTTTGCGCTTTTTTGATTTTACTAATCGTATTTGATGATTATCAGCACAAGCTTATCACATTGGCAATAACGTGATTAGTTTACAACAACGCTCCAAACATCGTGATGTCATTTCGTTTCGGTGTATTGCAACGAACGATGCAAAACCGTTATGACAATGACGCGAAAAACACTGAATTTGTCGAGTTCTCTCGACATTAACAGAGGCAAAGATTCTTTTCTAACTGTTGATGATTATCGTATTATTTCAGTATCTGACGGAAGGCATTCTGCTTCGAGAGATGATGGCCGATCCTCTGTTGACACGCTATAGCGTCATCATGTTGGACGAAGTTCATGAACGAACGATGCTCACTGACATTATTATGGGCTTGCTCAAGAAGATTCTTAGGGTAATGAAACGACTGCAATTTTTTTCTCGCCGATTTCAACTTGTCCATTTTACAAAGCATACATTTCTAATTTTTGAAAAACAATTTATAATTTTTCAATTCTATTGAGTATCAATCGGGCTCAAGGTTGATTTTATGCAGTGTGGCAAAAGTATGTTAATAGCAATATATACATTTAGATACTGATTATTGTACGTGAAGTCAGAGTGAATTTCATTGAGTTAGATAGCTAAAACAAGCATGTAATTTGGTTTTTAGTTGCACACGATTGATAGATCGGTGAAAGAAAATTGCCCAATATCGGCACTTGTCCCTTCTCTCTCTCTCTCTCTCTCTCTCTCTCTCTCTCTCTCTCTCTCTCTCTCTCTCTCTCTCTCTCTCTCTCTCTCTCTCTCTCCGCTCTCTCTCCTTTAGTCTTCTTGTTACCCTCGCTGGGCCTACTCTCGGCTCGCTGATCATTATTGGCCGCTGAAAGAAAACAAACCGCATTAGGCGTACTCTAGAATGCGCCCAACGTCGATTGCTAGGCCAGCCGAGAGCAGAGGAAGGGAAGCGAGCGACGCACGACAAAACATCGTTGCCTACTCCCGTCACACAATATTACAATAAAAAAAATTTTTGTCTCTTTAGAGTTCTTTTCTACAGTGAATAGATTTCGAGATAATCCAAGACGAAAAAAAAAAAATAATTTTTTACAAAAACCGTTATAACTTTTTATCGAGTCGTAAAAAAATAGATCCTGTTGCACTCATTTGAAAGAGGATACAAATACGCAATTTTTCCGTTCGATTTTTTTAAAATCAGTCTAGTTGTTCAAAAATTATAACCAATTTTTCGCATCAAACAATTAAAAAGAAAAATTAATTTAAGTTTTTAACTTAAAAAATTCAATCTTCATTAAAAAAAGCTGTCGGGATATGAAAGGTATTGCTTTACATATTAAAATAAGCCCCCGCAGGTTCTTCTATGATCATATTAAATGGAGCTACAAAACTTTGAATTTCGACTGAATTATTTTTGCCACTGTAACTGACATTCCTTTTCGTTTTGGTTTCATAACATTAAAAATAAGAAAGAAACGAAAAAAAATGTAGAACTAATTTTATTACTAATATTCAGATATGAACTGTTTACTTTATTTAATTGATTGTCACACGAGACGAGATTTAGGTTAGATAAAGTATTTATAGCATATCACATTGCAAATCGCAATAAATGTGCCGAAATATGCATTAGACTGATAATACTGTTGTTAAATATATGCAAGATTTAGTGTAGTAACTACTCGATAGATTAAAATTATTAAAAAGTCTTGTAATAATTGTTTACAAATACTTTTCATTCATTATAAATTTAGTCAATGTTAAAAGTATTATGAAAATTAATTCCATAATCGACAAGTGCTATTTTTTGTACTATTTCGACAGATATTTAAAGGTACTTTTGACAAATTTACTAGGATACATTAGCACGTTATAAGCGCGTTAATTATATGACGTGTTATGTATACCCGACACGATAAACCAATATCAGTACGTTGCATCACGAAATTCCTCATACATCCTGATAACATGACTCCTTTCTTAGCAATATGAATATTGAGATACGGAAGTGATGTGGCATCTAGCGTTTTCGATGGCAGATAACAGTCCGATGAACGTTCAATCGTAACCCTCGTGCCAAAGCTTCGAGTAAGTTTTCGGCCATACCGTCAGATAAAGTCGCCTCCCTCAAAATTTGTACCACATACAAGAATCACGGAAACTAAAGGTATCTTATAGCGTGCGATGCGTAGAGCTACTCAAGAAAGAATACAAGAGTCAAACGCGCCACGTGTTACGTTCAACCCGCATAACTATAATTTTTTTTGTGTTACTGCTCGAGCAAGGGAAAACCATGCGACGTGTTTAATTAATTCATACATCGCGAGTATTAGCCAATGGTTATCATTTCGATAAGTAACGCAACCTATCTCTCTTCATGTTCTTGAAACAAGAAATATATTATAACTCGATATCCCTTAATTTCTTTATTCCCGTCTCCACAATTATCTCCATTGCGGAACGAACGATTATTTAGATTATTCATTGAAATCGATGTAACACGACCCTGCGCAACAAGTGCAAAAATTTTAGTTCTTAAGAAGCTTTTATTTCATATTAACATGAATTATTAAGCACAATCAATTTTCGTTTAGTGCCAATTATAGTCGAGATTCAAAATTCCCCTTTGCATTTATTATATAATAATTATAATAATTCATAACAGTAATAATTGTACCAAAGAGAAAACTTTGTCTTAATAAGTTCTTCAAGAAAATTAATTTCACGAGTTACATTTGTACCTACAACATCCAAGTATGAAAGTATTCGAATATGGTAAAAATAGCATAGAGATATTATTTCCATACTTTGTTGTTGAAGACAACAAAATTTTTTGCAGAACAATAACAAAGAAGAAAAGTAATATGCATTTATTAATACCATTATCAAAAATACGCTCACTTTACAGATAATAGTTTATTGATAAACTTGGTCTTGTGTTTCCTTCTTGTTATAGATATTGCATTTTTTTAAAGTCAGCATCTTTCTTTTCTCAACACATATCGATTGCTTTTACTTTCTGAAACAATCATTAAGGAAACTTGCATACATTACTCAGTAAATTAAATTACATAAACTTGACCATGACTTCTAATATTTCATGATGAATGTAGTTCTTCGTTGTCACTCTAACGTGCATTACTTACTGATTACGTATCCCTTGAAACGTACAATTATTTTCATTTTTTGTTTCTTTCACATTCAGATTCTAATAATAATTCTTAAAATTATACAAAATATATGTTTATTTGTTGATTAAATCTCATAGAAACGTCCAAGTCTCCGTGTAATCGTCTCATCAGCGACAGTAGATGCCGAAGAGCTTCGTGACTTTTTTAACAGCAACACACGGCGTAGCAAGAAACAGCAACAAGATGACAAAGATACAGCAACGATTTTAAGTGTTGAAGGTCGCTTGTATCCAATTAACATATATTACGTAGTCGAACCAGTAGCCGACTACGTTAAAGCTTTGGTCGACACTGCTTTGAAGATCAACGAATCCGAGGATCAAGGCGACATCCTTGCCTTTCTGACTGGTATGGAAGAGGTCGATCGTGCTGTTCAACTACTTTCCGAGCATGCCAAGATCGTCAAGGAAGGGCAACGTAAGGATGTTACTTTTAACATATTTGTTCCCCAATATGTAACAACGCCCACGAGGTTAACTCATACAATGTTTTGCCTTCTTCAACAGCGAAACTCTTAGCTCTGCCCATGTATGGCTCACTGCCGAATAACGAGCAGCTCAAGGTATTTCATCGTGCACCAAATGGTACAAGAAAAGTCGTCATTGCTACTAATATTGCTGAGACATCGATTACTATACCTAACATCGTTTATGGTAAGATATCATTGATTCGCTCTTTTTTGGTAGAGCGAACCACGGTTTATGGTTATTCGTTGATTGTTGCAGTTATCGATTGCGGTTTCGTTAAGCTGCCGTGGTTTGACGTGGAAACACAAACGAATAGTTTGATTGTAGCACCGGTATCGAAAGCTTCTGCTGACCAGAGAATTGGAAGAGGTGGTCGAGTAAGATCGGGTAAAGCTTATAGGTGAGCCAGCACATCAATAGTCTGTTATAGCCAATAATAAGAAAACTAACCCACAAAATTTTTACGTTTCAGATTGTACACTCAAGAAGCGTACAATGAGCTAATTGACACAACACCGCCAGAGATGCAGCGTTCGGATCTTGCGCCAGCTGTTCTTCAATTGAAAGCACTGGGCATCGATAATGTATTGAGATTCAATTTCCCATCGGCACCACCAAGCAAGAGCTTACTTTCAGCTCTTGAATTACTTTACGCATTAGACGCGATCGATGACAATGGTGAACTTACGAATCCTCTTGGACTTATCATGGCAGAAATACCACTCGAACCTGTGTTTGCCAAATGTCTCATTGCTTCTGGTACGCGTGCTTCTTTTTATTTAATGAATGAAGCGTTTTTTTTATTATTTTTTTTTTGCAAATGTGGTTTTATTATAACTTAATTTATGATTGGAATTTTATGATATGCGAAGCTATTGTATATAAAATGACTGGAAAATTTATCCAGCTAATTGTACAGCTGAGAGGGAAAGTATAACTGATAAGAATAATTAGGTTGGATTGTTGATTCAAAAGAGATTGTATTTTGGAGCCTTTTAGAAAGTAGAATTATTTAAAACTTTCAAATTTTAGTTTAATAATGTAAACTTTTTTATAGGTGAAATGGGTTGCTCCGATGAAATAACAACGATTCTGTCAATGCTTCAAGTGCAAAATGTATTTATACGTCCAGGAGGTGGACAAGCATCAATAAAAGCTCGCGTGGCACATCGAATGTTCGAAGTAGAGGAAGGCGATTTACTAACTTACCTCAATGTCTACACGGCTTACGAAAAGAACAAAGTAAATAGCTGGTGCCAAAAGTATTTTCTCAGTAATAAGGCACTGAAGAGAGCAACGGAAATTCGCACACAAATGCGCAAATTAATTAAAAAGCTAAATATTCCTATTGTGTCATGTAATGGTTGGTATTTATTTGGAGTAGAGTTAATTAACTTCTTTTCGCTAATGTAATAGTGACATGGGTTGTCTTTTCGTAGGTAATACCGAGATTATTCTCAAGTGTATTACGGCTGGACTTTTTTCTCATGCTGCTTACTTGCACTACAGTGGCGTTTACAAAACTGTTAGAGGGAATCGGGATTTGTACATTCATCCAAACAGTTGTCTTTATACTTTGGAGCAGCCTCAATGGTAAATTGATAAAAGACCAGATAAATAAATGAAAAGTCACTAACAAAACGAGAACCTTACAAATATGTAACGACTAAATAAATTTATTTTTCAGGGTACTATTCAGCGAAATTTTACAGACCAATAAGTTTTATATGAGAGAGTTGACTGTGATAAAAGCCGAATGGTTGACAGAATTAGCACCGCACTTTTACCAGAGGACAGCTATTGATCCAACGTGAACGTTTCAACGTTCATTTCTCTGTATTATATTGGAATATAATAATAAATTATTTTTCTACTCGCATCATTGAAAAAAATCTTAACATCTTTTATCGGGCATCCGATTTTTAGAAAGCCAAGTTATAATGAAGTGTTTTTATGTGTTTTTACTTAAAACAGACTTATAATATCGAAAGTCGAGAGCTTTAACAAATTTGACATATGCCCATACAAGTTAATACGCACGCTTCTACGTGTTTTTATATAATGCTACATTATCTGGAATAAAACTCACACAGGTGTGCGCATTGGTGTGTGGGCGCAGATATATGTTAACCGACAGACGATGTTAGACGGTGGTGCTTGTGCAACTATCATCTCAAATTATTTCCATTTATGATTTTTGTATTGCTGAGAAGCTCTTGTTACAAAAATATTCAATCTCTGCGTAAGTAAATCAATAAATAGTTATTCGTTTTGAATTTTGTTTATTACATTGTTGGACTTTTCGTAACTGACGGCTATTTTATAGATTCAAGCTTTTCGAGGTTAGGTTGTTTACCGCTTCTAAAGTTGTTTAGAAATGTTTACTTCAAGATCAAGAAATAAAAAATAATCATTTTTTTATTCAATAAATGTAGATTAATTCACAACTACGATACTTTATTTTTTAAAATAATCGGTATATAAGAATAATTTTACACAGAAATATAATTAAAACTTATCCTTTCACATCAATATTTGACTTGAAAATATTAAGGTTGTAAACTCTTTAAATTTTATATTTACCCAAGTCATATAAAAGTATTGTATTTTTAGTTGCAAATGATTAATTTGTTTAGCAAACTTGTCTATTATTCAAGGATTACCATTTAATTCCATTATTGTATATTTTAGAATGATAGAAGATAAAAATTGTATTGGCAGCAGAGTTGGCTGTGAAGGTCACATAGGAACTGTTAAATATGTTGGAACTGTGGGTGATACCAAGGGACAATGGTTAGGAATTGACTGGGATGATCCATCAAGAGGAAAACATAATGGGACATACGAAGGTGTTGAATATTTTCAAACATGGTAATTTACTCTTATAAAAATTATGATCAACTGAAATTGTCTTTGAATTTTCATTATTTTTTCTATTTATATTCTAGGCATCTTACCTCAGGTTCCTTTATTCGTCCAGGCAAAGCAAATTTTGGAATATCATGTCCTGAAGCCATTAAAGTTCGGTATGGCTTTGTGGATGACGAGTTGGCTGGCATTGATAGAGAGACAATAGCCAGTGTCCAGAAATCTCTAAATGCACCATTTGTAGAAATGGTTGGTTTTTCTAAAGTCAATAAAAAGCAAAGCACATTCAACCAATTGAAAATAGTATGTTTGCACAATCAATGTGTAAGTAGTGCGGGTCATTCTGGTGAACTAGCTGCATTGTGTCCAATAGTTGAAGAACTAGATTTGTCACATAATTTAGTGAACTCTTGGAGAGTGATTGCTGATATTTGTGTACAATTACGTAATTTAATACAGTTGAATGTCAGGTAAAGGTTATTTTTAATGGTTTAACAGATGATAGATTTATTGTTTCAAACTAATTTCATAGTTTTATAATCTACAGTCAAAACTATTTACCTATTGAAGATGTAACGCACATCCCAGATGATGCTTTTATTAATTTAAGTCATCTTACAATGGGACGAATGAAGTACGATTGGTGTATAGTTATAAAGTATCTTACTTTATTTCCTTCCATTCGAGAACTGATTGTTTCTTTCAATATCATTCAAACTATAGATTATATACCAATAAATTCAAATGTCATGAAACTTACTGGATTATCTTTGGAGAATAATCTGATTAATGATTGGAATGAAATACTAAAATTAGGAAAACTTCCATGGTTAGTACATATGATTTTTTTTAACAGTGACATAAACTTTTATATTACTAATATTTGATTGTTACAGTTTAAGGAATCTTAATTTAAATTCAAATAAAATTCGAGAAATCTGGTTCCCAACAAATGAGGCTACTGATAAAACTTCTCTGTTTATTAATCTATTACAATTGCATATCTCAGACAACAGTATTGAAAATGTAAGCGATTTTTAGCTAAATTTACATTGTTGAAATGAATTGTATTTTAGAATTGTTTTACTTTACCAGTGGCGATCTATAAGTGAATTGGAAAAATTGAAATGCCTTGAAGATTTGAAATTTCGTGAAAATCCAGTATTGCAACAACAAAGCTTACAAACTGGAATACAATTAGTGATAGCAAGAATAGCTACATTGAAGTATTTAAATGGAACTGAAATTGATCGATCAGAGAGATTAGGAGCTGAATATGATTATTTAAAATTATTTGCATTGGAATGGAAAAATGTTGAACAAGATATTCAAAAAAGGAAAGAATTTATCGTGAATCATCCACGATTTCTTTCTTTGATAGAAAGTAAGAATTTTATTTTAAGTATTGTTTGATATTTTGCATGATTCATTGTGATGACTAATCTAAAAAAACTGTTTTAGGAATCGGAGTGCCGGACACTCCAGAAATAAAAAACACGCAGTTATCCTCAAACGTCATAACTGTGGAGTTTATTTGTCCAGATGATCCAAATATTAAAAGAATAAAGAAAAAGTTACTAAAAAATATGGATGTACAAAAGCTGATGGGTATTGTTCAAAGACTGTTCAAAATACATGGAAAAATTCCTGTGCTCTCTTTCGTCCGGCCGAGTGTAAATAAAATAATTTATCTGTTTATAATAATAGATCGTTTTTATAATTTAAAAACTACGTCGTATTATACAAACTATATTTGTAGGTTTCCGAAGACGAAATTCCGCTGGACAAGCCACTACAAGAATTGAGCTATTACCTCATTGACGATGGTGATTTAATCTTCGTGCGCTGGTGATATTAAATTAACGTACTATTTATAAATGACTATTTTTTACATTGTTAATGTTAATCTTTTACTGCCGTATTTTGTTATTAAACTTTTTTAAACACATACATGAAAAGTAATTATTTCATAGCTTGATTAGTAATCTCGTCTGTATAAAACGCTTTGATACGTAGAAAGTGACACCTCTAGAAATGTCTTCAATTAAAAAAATCTATTTTTGCTACACTCATTACCTAGTCATATATATCATATTTGTTTATATTTTGTTAGTAGTCCTTTGTGGACTACAAGACACGTATAGTTAATCAAGGAAACCATAAAAATGCTAATGTCGTTTGTATGGAGATTTCAACAAAGTATATATTCATGGGATTCTGTGATATTAGATATTATTCTAAGCAAAGTTTCATGTAAAATATGGCCGCAATTTGCAGTATAAAAATTTAAAACAAATATTTTTTTAATTTTAACAAAAATTGCGTAGTGAGATAGTATATAAAATCGTATTCTAAATATGTTGCCTTCAAAAGAATATTTGTGATATTTTTAATTAAATTAGTGTCATCAAAAGTGCTTCGTGCGCTTATCTTGTGCTTGAATTCATTAATATTCGGTTTCATGTTTAAGTATTAAATCAAAATTATTATAGGCGAATTAAAAGAATTCTAAAATACACTATACATATATCAAACAATTCTATGCTTTAAAATGCTTACCATACGAAAATGTTAATTAGTAAATAATCCGATCAAGTTAATATTCGTTGATAGCAAAAATTTCAAATGTAATAAAGTTACAGTTTCTTAGAAGCTCAGCTATATATTGGTAATATGGGCAGCGTACCAAATGAATTGTTCTTTTTTCTTTTTCAAATAAATAGAATCATCAATTGCGCCTAACAATTAAATTTTGTTTATTTTTTAACGTGTTGGTTTATAATATCAAGCTTTTCGTAGGATGTCTATATATTAACAGACGTATTATTTTAATTTAACTGTTTTTCAACTATTTTTCCAATTTTTTATCCATAATCAATTAAAATTGAAGATTTTGTTTATATTTATAAATTCAATTCCAAAATAAAAAAAAATAAATTAACGTTGCCGCATGCACTGAAATCAAGTCAATGAATGCCATATGAAACATTAGTTTATAATTCTCTTCATTATTGATGATATTTATCCAAAGATATTTATTTTTACAATAAAGATATTCCGTAAAGTTATGTCCTATAAATAAATGTGTTTGGAGTGATGAGACTGTTGACAATGCGGGAGTCATTGTCTTCTCAATGCCTACAAATTATTATACTTATTTATTTTAATAGAATATTAATAGATGGAAAACGCCCCGATCAATTATTTAGTGCTGATTTATCCATATCCATGACCCACGTGACTATATTCTGTAAATTAAATAACGAATAAAATTCACTTTGCAATCCACCACTTTTTATATAGGAATATTTACAAAAAATGTAATATTATTATTCATGCACTCATAAATACTTAGTGAATTATAAGAATAGCCCGCAATTTTATGACCAATGTGAAATATATATTTACGCGTGTTACTAACCCGCAATATGATATAGTAAATGTAAATAGATGATTGCCAAAATAATTAAAAGCGAATAATTGACTCCTCTATTATACAAGTTGGTCGCATCATAGTCCAAATAAGCACGAGGTGTATGCTCTATTTACTATTCGTAAGTAAACAATGAAGTTTGTTAAGTCGTTCAATGTTCATTCATTTTTGTACTGTATACCTGTTCAAGTTTTTGTCACATAATGAACAGCAGTGAGTTGACTATGACCAATTATTTATTAAACGGTCTATCCGTCCAACGAAATACATTGAATTAACAAATAATTGTACGTTAAAGACTTTGTTTTAACATAGAAAAAATTGGCGTACGCCAGATTGTCAAAAGGTCCGTATTGTCCGATCTAGATTTTCTAGTCAAACTGCCGTATATGAATTAGCATTGGACCTTAGCCATATTGGAACAGGTGCGTGCCTCTTCGATTTTTCTGGAAAAACTAACCGCACCAAAGAAAATTCTACATTTTCAAATTGATACAGACAGTTGCGATGGTCTTTTTTTAAACTTCCAATTAGCTTGTAAGTAATTAAAATCTTGATCAATAGATATACAGTCAAATTTCGAAATAAAACCGTTGTTTTTGTTGAAAATGAATCGTGATCATAGCAATTAACGTATTCTTATTTACACTAATTCGATCATCACATACGCTTATTGCTGTGACATAAATGTACAGAATAACGATCCCACACAGTTGCGAGCTTTAAAGAGGAAAAGCACTATTCCGAAAGGCAATTGTGCATCATGTTAAACCTGCCACTCGACAGTCTCATCTTTTATGAGTCGTCCGACGTGACCATGTTGAAATTTTCAACGGAGCGTGAAATCTACGGAATCGATTTGTTGAATGCAGTTAACCTGTTACTGCAGTATCATTGCTGTGCAACAGGTTTGCTTACACTGCATTATCAAAGCAGTGTCATTCCACTTATCAATTTGCTCGATGAAGACGTCGATTTGAATCTACAACCAGAGCGATGACATGGCATTTAAAAGTTTCGCTATGCGTGAGAGACAAAGCAGTCATCAGATAAACGATTTCATGAGACACTTTTTCAAATATGTGCTTAGACCGATTTCAACTAGACTCCGTTATCCGCAAAATCGATGAAAATATGATATCGTAATCTCGAGGAAAGACATGCAGTTTTTCATTGATCCAGAATCGAAGATCGATTACAACAATGAATTAAATCGAATGGAGAATATGAGATTGATGGATTGATATAGTTTGGGCGACAAATTGAGGAAGGAGATTTGACGTCTGTGATGCACGAAATCAAGGGGCTGATCAAGGATGCCTTGTTGCGGACTCGCTTTTATGGTGTTTGGTGAAATTGTGATACTGGCAAATTGTTACGCGGATCAAGTAGAAACCACTGGTTACCGGTGCACTGTAGCTTCTATCGCGACCTAAATTGCAGGGATATCGCGCTGACCAAGGAACTTAAGAGCTACAATCTCTCTATTTTGCTTACCGTAGTTTTTGATGTGTGTCTCAAGAATTATAAGATCATCAAGACTAACAGAAGGTTTTTCAGTCGATCGTACTATCCATGGGGTTCAAGGAAAATGTTACCTAGAATATCACGTCAAATTGGGAAAAAAGAAATGTTTTACTACTTTTTTTTTAGTAATATTTGATAGTTTACAGACAAGTTGATTGTAAATGGTGTAATATACTTTATACAAGGATTTTTACACATTTTTTGAGCAGTAAGGGTCTGCAACCCAGAATCAGAACTCTTGAATTGATTAGATTCAATCGTTTGAGCCTATCGCAGTTTTATAATTAAGTACATTTGAAGCGAAATTTACTGCGTTTCATTAAGATCGATTATCTTCATATCTTTGTATATCTTTACACTTATTTGCAATAAGAAGCGGCATAACGCACAAACGACGAAATAAAGGAAGCATGTTGAAGATTTATAAAACGAGATTGATCAGAGCCCACAACATGTAGAATATTGCCAAAAGACACAGCGTGATGAAACCGTAATGCAGATACCAAAGAACGTAGTATCTACGCTCAGCAGCTTCGCTGACGATCTCTTCCTTTAAGATGTAAAGCTTCAATCCACGCCAGGTGATTCTCGTGTGTTCCTCCCACGAGAAATTGCGAATGTCGCAGTAAAATATGTCTCGATCAGCTGCGTTCATCTTGTCAATAACTTGGAGCGTTCTCGGCATGTGTATTTTCCAGTTACCGTTGCCGAAGTAATCGATTTTGTCCAAGTGTTGCGTCGCTTTCCAGAATATAGCGAGAACCCTGCGAGCGAGACGCATCGCGAGTTTTAAAGAGCCGTCGTGGGGTACGTGGTCGTCGCGGGACGGTGCATCGGCCTCGGCAACTCACCTCGGCTTTTTGCCAGACAGCAACAGGATGAAATCGATCATGCAGGCCGGTAGGAAATGCAACAGGAAGTGCAGAAGGTAAAAGAGCCACATGCGGTCGATGAGTAGCGGGTGGTTTAGCCACACCGCTTTGACGGATCTCTCGTTCGGAGGTATCACCTTGTCGAACAGATCTCTGATCATCACGAAGGTTATGGGATTGACCGTGCTGCTACCGTAATTGTAGACGACGGGCTGGCGTTGGTGCTTGTCCCTGAAAGCAGAGCAGGCTTGAGACTGCGATGCGACTGGCTTGGGCCAGGCATCGGCGATGGGGAACACACCACTGCACGTGGGCGTCGCGCGTGACGGCTATGAGCGCGTTGATGCACAGGTCGGAGGGCACGAAGTCCAGCGGCAGGCAGTAGTGGTAAACGGCACGAATGAAGCCCAGAGCCGCGGCCAGGAAGATGTAAACCGGGCCGTTGGTGTTGCCGCACCAGCCGGGCAGTGGCTCCTTGTACGCCGACACAACTACGCACAGAGGCGTCTCGGTCTTGGCGATCTCAGCGAAAGACGCGATCGGGCGACGTACTCACCGATGCTCGGCCTGTAGATCGCGTGCGCGAATTTGGCGTTGCTCGCGTACTGCCTGACCAGATCTTCGGCGATGGCCTTTGAGTAGGGATAGATGTTCGGGAATTTGCCGATGAGCGCCTGCAGTTGGTCCTCCGGTAGGCCGCCCTCGGTTCTCTCGTCCGCCTCGATCGCTTCCTGGACGGCCTGCAGATCGGCCGGCGGCGGATAGAACTGCTCCTCGATGTCCTTCTTGTAGAGATGCGAGTAGGCCGTCGACACGTACACGAACACTTTCAAGTTGGCGCAGTCTCGCGCGAGCTCCAGCATCTTCTTGGTGCCGAGGACGTTGCATCTCAGCGAGACGCTGGCTCTCACGTCGAATTTCACGTTCGCCGCGTTGTGATAGATGACGCTCACCCGGTCCTGGATCGTCGCGCGGTCTTCGTCCGACATTCCCAAGTTTTCGGCCATCAAGTCGCCCTTTACGATCGTGACCTTACTTTTGAAATCGGGATGTTCCTCCCTCAGTCGTTTGAAAACCTGGCAGCGAGCGAAAGATGCGTTATTCGGGGGCTATGACGCAACGTGGCACATTGACCGGTTCGTTTCTTCGTCGATGAACGAGACGAATAACAATTTAGAGATGCTCGCGGAAATACGTGAGAACAAATCCAAGGCCATATCGATACAAAAGAAAACATCGAGTCACGCATGGGAGTGAGCGCGATAATTTATGCCGAACTTGCCAATTCTGAATTCAACTTAAAATGTCGTCGCTCATCTCGCCCAAGGCAAAGCTATCCTTTCTCCACTCACCACGTTGTCAAAGTACTTTTCCATGCGCTCTTCCAGTAACTTCCCTTTGTGCTCTCGCATGAGAATGTAGATGTGTCTGATATCGGAGCAGCTCCGCAGTAATTTTTCCAGCAGACATTTGCCAAGGTAGCCGGTCACGCCGCTGATGAAAAGCGTTTGCCCGGCGAAAAACTGGTCGATTTCACTGTCACTCTTATCGTAGCCGTCGCGCTCGATAATTTCGATATCGTCTTTCATACCGTCGTAAATTTGATCAACGAGAGACATGCTGCTGTCCTTTTTTTCACCGACTCGCCATAAAAACCGGACACTACGGTCACTAAATACTACCGCGGCGCGGAAGGAACAAGGTTTGAAGCGATTTTCAGAGCTGCCGGCGCTTATATAGCTCGTAATGCATGCGCGCACTTGGTCATCGAGCGTCGAACGGATGAGAGGTGTGCCTTGGGGTCTATTTGAATTTGAAATTAATTCATGTGACGCTTCCGTTGACAATTTACGGAGGTCACATTACAAAAATAAAGAGCAACCGAATATCTCGCTCATTGCATTTAACAACTAAATAGTGCTGTTAATCGGTTTACATTTAATTTCACGTCGTAGCTTCATTCGCTCTATTTCGCGCCTAGCTTGAGCAAATTCCTCAAGTATTATTGCGGTTCATCGGCAATGAGCGTGCAAATTTAACAGCATATCGCGCTCTTAAAAATCGTTTCACAAAAAGCTTCCGGGCTTAAAACTTCTCCAAGTCTTTGGCAATATTCCGCCGAGTCGAAAAGTAGAATTGCTTAATAAATCTGTCGTCTGGCTCTCATTTGTGAACAATGACGCTTTTCCAAAAGAATCTTCATATATACAAATCAACCTTCGGCCTTTTTCATTTTGATCAACCGTTGAATTAATCGTCCTTACTTCCGATGGAAAAATACAAATATGTTCGAAAGTTACATACATATATTCCATTACGGCTATTGATGGATAAACTTGGAAAAGTCGACATATTTGACAAAAGCAATGGGTATTGATTAAATAAGTTGAAGAAGGAAACAAAGTATCGCATCTACGATCAATTCACTTGAAAGCACTCGTAACACAAATTGCAAGATTCTCAAAATATCAATTGCCACGCGAAAAGCGGTAGTTCTACAATTCTTAAGCTCACAACGCGATACGTGCGAATTTTGAAATGCCACTCTTGTCGCGCTTTAACTACCGATTGAGGAAATGCACGTCTAATATCCACGTGTTGGGTTCGATTCCCAGCGGATACCAATGGCTTTTTTTTCAACAAAATTCTATGAATCAAAATCAACACCCAACTAGTTTGCGCAGTGATTTGGATTCCACTGGGCCAAAGTAAAGTAAATTAAACTGTAGGTGCAGTATCGAGACTGGCAATCTCGATACTATAGGGTTTCCCGTCATCTCTTCCGTAGAAATGACTATGACTATATTAATATAGTACGAATATTGCTCGAGAAGATCCTCCTCTCACCATTACGCTATTACGTTCTCAAAAAATTACGCATGAGTGTTAGCATATCGGTGTCTCAATATAAGAAATTCACCGTCACTAAATTAACTTAACCTAATGTCCACGTGATGTAAACAGAACTTGTCAGACTTCAATAAGTTTTCAAGCCGGCAAACAGCAAGAATATAAATCATTCTGTCGCACTTATAATTGCGACTTGCGACAGTCAAAAGCTTTATGCACAAAAGTCAGTATATTAATTACTTTCACTTGGTTCATAAAACTTAAGTTTGAGATTGTCATTTTTATTGATTATGACGCGTAAAGTGAAGGTTAGACAACGTGATATTGTTGCAGAAATTTTCTTAAACATTGAAATATTTGTTGTTAATATTATAATTTTGTTTACAGAATGTTTTGTTAATGGTGACAAATGTTGGCTCAACAAGTTTGGAGCAGAATTCTTACGAAGATGAGCCGTTTATAGATAAGGCAAAATATGCTATGAAACTTTTGGTTGAAAAGAAAGTAAATAAATAATAATTTGCATTTATTTTTTATTTCTTCTGAGTTTTCACAAAGATACTATTTATATTCATGATTTTCCCAGCTTTTCCTGCAACCGAAAGATGAAATTGGCATTATAACAATGGGAGATGAAACAAGTGATAATCCTGAAGGTATGGATTATGTTAAAAATTACAAGGACCACTTGTTAGTACCTAATTGGGAAATGTTAAAATATATCAATAATTTAAATAATTCGAATAAGCCTTGCAATTGGATTGAAGGACTTCATGTTGCTTTGAATTTCATACAAAGAGAAATTATGTAAATCTTAAATATTATTAATTATTTATGTCTAAATTTAAGTTAATCACCAATATATGATATTCCAGAGATCCAAATTATAGAGTATTTTTAGTTATTTTTAATAATTTTAAAGAAAAAGATGATGATATAAATAGTTATGATCCTGATATAATAGTTAATGATATAAAGAGATGTGATAATATACATTTATTATTTGTGTAAGTAATTTTTAATTGTGAGGTTATTAATTTTAAAAATTTTAATAAATATTTGTTTCTAATCTGTAGACGTGAGTTTCTTTTCATTTTTTATATATTTTTTTAATTTGTAGAGGAGAAAATCCACTTGATGATAATAGCTGGAAAAAAAAATATGCATCTTTCAGTGAAAAGTTTGCAATGAAAATTATGAAAAAAGTATGAAGCATTTTTATTTAAATTGGATTTCATTCAATTGAAAAATGTAATATATCTTGTTATATTCATTTCTTAGTGTAATGGTCAATACGAGCAGATAAATTCCTTCATCAATAAAAGAAAATTTTATATTGCACCACCAGTTAATGCTACTGCATGGAAATTTAATCTTGAAATAGCTGAAATTTGTATTCCATGCTCTTCTTATGTGAAGGTTGTAACCTATTTATAATTTTATTCAAAAAGTAATAAATAAAGTATAATACGTAATGTTATTTACCAAATTATAGGTAAATGAAAATATTAAACTTGAATCTTGGAAAATGAAGGCTATCAATAATGAAGATTTATTGAATACCAGTACAGACAATTTGTCTAGTTTGTTACCATCACGCAATAATACATTTAAGGTTGTCAAAGAAAAGTTGAGGCTTGATGCACAAAGAAATGAAATGACTGCTGATGAAATTATCAATGGTTACAAATTTGGAAGGCATTACATACCTGTTTCAGGTATGACAAAGCAATTTAACAAAATAAATCAATGAACTAATTCAAGTCATACTATTAATACTGCAGAGGAAGATGAAAAAGCAATGAAGTATGAGGGTGGTTCAAAAGGTATGGTTATTTATGGTTTTGTTCCACAAAATGATATCAAATTAGAGTACTGGTGTGGAAAGGGAACGCGAATTATTGTTCCACAATCAGAAGTGAGTGTAGTTATTGTATTAATCTAGAAGTAGATTAAAACTTGTTAAGTTATTTAATTTATAAGCGATATTATATTTTGCTTTATTTTATAGAATGATGCTTCAGCATTTTATAGTCTTCTTCGAGCTATGGATGTGAATAAGTATGTAGCTATAGTAAGAAAAGTTTATGCACATAATAATTTACCAAAAATGGGAGCTCTTTTTCCCAGAATGGCTGATGATGAAGCCTGGGTAAGAAGTCTCTTATTCTTGTCAGTTATACTTATTATTGTCAATTATTTCAAAAACGTTATTTAGTTTACCTTAACGTTTTCAGTGTTTAGTACACTTGGAATTACCTTATAGTGATGAAATCAGATTTATTGAAAAAAAACCAATAAAATCATTGAGTAAAAATATCAATGAAGAACAGGTGAAAGCTTTGGATGACTGGATTGATTCTATGACTGTATCTTATGAGTGAGTATTTTTATCATTCTACCTATTTTTAAATGATCTGTAAAACGTTTAACTGATTACAGAAATTTGCCTTATTTAAATCCTGGTTTCTTCCCTAACATACCGCATCAGTACCACTGGAATGTCATGGCTGATAGAGTTCTTAATCCTGGAAATTCTTTATTACCTTTACCAACATACTTGTACCAATACTTAATACCGCCAGAGCAAGTAAAAAGACAAGCTAAACCTCATCTTGACAAATTAAACAAATTATTTGGCTGGAGCAATGAACAGATTGTAAAAAAGAAACAAATGACTACTGTTGTTACAATTGAAAAATCTAATCCTGATATAGGTGTTGCTATCGCTGAAAAGAATAGGGATTCCTTTGATAAAAACCCTAGTGATGAAGGAATCTTTTCTCCAGAAAATATTGATATCGACACAGCAGAGGTAAGTTGAATGTCATAAAAGTGAAATTGATGAATTTTGCAATGTCATTTATTTTCAATATGTTTGCAGTTGGATAATATATAAATTATATTTCGAAAAATTAATCAATATTGATTTTAAATTATTTCCCTCTTTTTTACTTCATTATTTTGTATTTTTGCCTAAAATAATTGTCAAAGCGCTATCTAATATCGTTACAAAAGTTGGTTCTTTTACCTTTAACTGAAATGTATAACTGCAATTAAATTATTTATTTTTAATAACTCATATTGATTGAATCATTTAATAAAAAATTCCTTTTTTATTTACAACTTATACAATACAAAGCATTTTTCAACTTTTACAAAAAATAATCAAAAACAGTAAAATATTACTTTTATTAACACTTAATACTTCAAAGTAATGTTGAATTTGGTAAAAACTACGCGTTCTTCAGTATGAATAAATACAATTTACATGTAGCTTTTATTGATATTCTTAATATCGACCTATTAGCGCTAGTGATTGCAAAATCTTGTTTAAGACATACTGTTCATTTATAGTAAAAAAATAATTGAGTTCATACAAAATAGACGATTAATTCTAATAATTATTATCAGTTTTGTTGAGCTTGCTCCTCAATTTTTTCCTGTTCTTTTTCTTGAAGTTGTTCTAATGTTAATAAAGAGAGTCCAAGTTGATCCTCTCTTGAGAATGGCTGAGCCATTTGCCTTAACCAACGTTTGCATATCTATAAAAAAAATTATTTTACAAATTTTTCTAACTTAAAATTACGATTTTAAGTAAAAAATAAACGTGAATTTTACTTGTATTGCTTCTTCTGTAGATAAATTACACAAACTGTCAGTTAAATACTCTTGAATCCATTTCGGTAATTTACTCCTTTTATCGGCGCGTGAAAACCTCTATAAATTAACATTGATACATAAGCTATCAATTGACATTTTTTTACTAAATTAAATAATATACCTTATCAGCAAATACCATAATACCATAATCGGTTTTGCCCCTGATGGCACGACCCACGCACTGCGCAGCGTGCCTCATTGCATCGAATGTAAGGAAATCATTTTCTTTAATCTATAAATCAAAGTTAAATGTGAACCTATATTTCACAACATTAATTTCATCAATAAAATAATTCATACTTGAAATTGATCTCTCAGATATTCTAATCGAGCTTTGAGGATGCGTGACTGTGTGTATACATAAGGAATACCAAACATGAGTACAGCTCTGCCAAGATGATGATCAAAATCCACACCTTCCGATACTTTACCCCTAGCTACTGAGAGTAAAACTGCACCTCTACCATTATCGCATGCCTTGTTGTAGTAATACAAAGCTAAACTCGTCTCTGCGGCGTCTTGCGTCTCGATAAATATCAATTTATATCTCTGAATTTGATCTAGAATTCCTTGATCGTACCTAAAACGAGTTAATACGTAAATTGTATATTGAGTAAATAATATAGATAATAAATAAATTATGTATTACCATGCAGCTACGACAGATTCCATGTACAAGTAAGAGGTGAAAAAACAAACGATGCCATCGGGAACGTTAGCCGCAAATTCGACCAGCAACTGTCCGTAGTTCCTTATAACAGCTACATCATCGCGAGTTTCGTATTTTGACGAGATGGCCACTTGATCGTTACCTTTTGATACAATCTAAAATAAGAAACATTATAATATAATATAGAATCAAGTCATAACTTCTAAATATCAATTAATTTATTTACTATTGGAAGAAGACACGGTCTAGCCAGTGTCATAGTGAACGACGACATAATCACAGGATGGAAATTCAAAATCTTAGGATACATGTCAAGTGGCGAAAGAGTTCCTGAAGTGATAACAACCGATTGAAATCTATCGAAAATCGGCTTCATAGCAATTGAACAATCGAGGCACGAAAAATACAAAACTGGATTATGCACTGTTGGTGCTTTGTCATCGAAAGGCTCGATGATAATTGTAAAACCTTTCGTGTAAGTAGCTACGAGAGTAGCAAGATGTGTTACACGAATGAGCGGTGAAAAATCCGTAAGATCAGAAATCTCCATAGTACGTAGGAGAGATGCAAGTCGTTCAGCGCAAAACCTCAAAGGTTTGCGTTCAATGCAGACTTTCTGTTGAACATCACGTAAAAAAGTGACTGGAGATTCTTGAACGACGTGTTGGATACGCAGACGCATTTTCAGGTACTCTACAAAACGTTTGAGGAAGGCTACGAAGTGCTCGGCTTTGCGAATGTTACCTGGTACGGCATCTGTAACATATGAAATATAAAAAATTGTTCTAATTATATATTTAATGAAGATGCATACCTTCAAGAACTTCGTTTGGAAGAACAGGATTAGCTAAAATTACGTCAGTCTCTCGAGCCACTTGAGCGTCTTTCAAACCTTCAACTAGTTTGTTATATTCCTCTTTCAATTTCATAGCATCGTCGTCTTTCATTCTGAAGAAAATATTTTTATGTTAAATATATTTATATTTGCATTAAACTTTCAACTTACTCAGCAACAGTCTTTTCAAGAATAGTTAAGTTGGCTGAGCTCTTCTCCATTATCCTACGGTTTATTTTACAACTCATTGAGTCTATGCATACATTGTCTGGAAAGACAATCAAATTAATCAGTCATTAGAATTCTGTTGAAAAGTTATCAAATATAAAATACTAACCAATGTTGTGAGCCTCATCAAAAACTACAACTGAACTTTTAGCAAGCTCCTTTGAGACTGCCTCGGCAATTTTTGGATCTAGCAAGTAGTGGTAACTATATACAACTATTTGTGCATGCAATATCTGTAAAAATTAGAGTATTTAAAATTTAGTTCTAAACTGAAAAATAAAATTATCAACATAAAACAAAAAGTATTTTACAGTATATCTAGCTAAAAAGTAAGGACACCAATTCCTATCCTTTCCGAACTCCTTCATATCATCAATTGAATAAATACCAGGAGGAATGATCATTTCACGACCTTCTATGTCAAAGGTTTCATAGAAACCACAAACAGGTGTTGAATCATCATAGTTATGTCTCTCTCGTACATAGGATGCTGTTAGTGCATGGCAGCGGCTGTCTACAATTTTTCCTTCTTTTTCTTTACTGACCTATGAATTTATATATTTTAATTAATTACTTCTTGGGTTATCTAATGTTAAATCAAATATTTATTACGTCAGGGTGAATGCACATGTTTTTCCTTGAACTAAGTACCAAGCCTATAATTTTTGGAAGTTCTTTTGTTTCCTTTTCATAATACTCCATTAACGTTTTTAATTCCTCAATGACTTTTTCAATTTCAGGTACAGTACGAGAGCAGTAAATCAATTTGGTAACCTCTGTTGGACGTTCCAACATGTAGGCTACAATTAGAGACAATAGGGTAATTGTTTTACCTGTACCGGAGGGCATCTCCAAAAGAATATGACCCTACAATTTAATTCATTTACTCAATCGGTATTAAGATATATTATATTGATGAGATTAAAAAGAACAAAATACTATACCTTAGCATCGAGTCCTCGTTTGAGATCCAGCATGTATGCATATTGTTCAGGATATATATAATCATATGGGAAATAAACTATCAAACCATCAACACTGATCCTGAAATATTTTTGTTTTATTGATTTATTTTTTATTGATATTAATGTGTTTAGGAATCGAAAATAACAAATAAATTAAAAAAAAAAATTTTTTAATTTTGAAATAAAATATTAATAATAATAATAATTTGAGAAAGCCCGAGTTCATACGTTTAAACTGAAAGTTTATACATAGTTGAAGAATATTTTGTGTAAATATTGCAAATAACCTTAGTCTTATACTATCAAAACTATATAACACACTAATTTTAATTTGATTCAACGAAGATATAATACGTACTTCATGACGAAGCATCAGCAGTGCTGAATTTAATGGTAAATTGTTAAATTATGTTTTGAAAAACAATAAATTGCCGATAAAATGTGTTATTGCACTCATGCACTTTTCAATCTAAACTAAATTCAGTTGCGAAAGGAGGGGATATTGCTTGTCTCTATTGGTTGTATAAGATTCGTGGGCATTTCTTAAATTTCATTTTATTTGTCTGATCAATCCTAAAATTTAACGGAGAAAGTGAAAAATACAAAAGCAAAAACTTGGAGGAGGGAAGAGTAAAAGAATAGGGTAAAGAAAAATAACAATTTTAAAAGTAAATTGTAGTAATATAACAATATAGTCCTTAAAATCATTTATATAGCTTCCTTCGAAAAGAAACTTTGTTATCCATTTTACTTAAAAATCTGCGATTAGAATACTGGTAATTATTTTGTACATTTATGGATGTACTTAAATTTACTACTCCAAAAACGCAATCAGAATATAATTATAAAAAAGAGCTGAATACTCATTTTAAACGTTTATACGATATTTCAATAATTAATATAAGTGAGTGGTAACTCATGTAAAGATGAAAATAATTACAAAATAGATTGTTAAAATCATGAGCATTTAATTTTTACATAAAGTTATTCAAATGTGAACTTCTGTATTTACTTCATTTGTGTGATAAAAACCTAATTTTTAAAATTAAACTATAAAATATACGATTTGAATAGTGTAACAACAATCGAAACTTAACTTCCACTTAGCTATTCGAAAAGAAATGTAAACTTTATAAGTCAGTAGACTAAATTATTTATAATTCAATATTGACTTAAAGAACCAATTATACATATAAAAAAATAAAATATATTAAACATTCAAGTACGATAATTAATTTTATCGAAATCTTATTGAAACTAATAAATATCAATTGTAGAGGCGCTAAAATAAATCGGAAATTGGGTCATGCGTTGGTCCGACACTACCACACATCTACATAGTCTTCTCTCAGTTGACTCGGTTCCATCGCCAAGAGTGGTATTACACGTGTTCCGCTTGTTTTTTTACAGCGGAGTATTGTCAATTGAGTCAATTTTACCAAAAACCAAGTAACAAATAATGGGGAAGCCAGGTAAGCTTAATTAATTTCTGTTTATTCGGCAATTTTTACGGGAAATTTAAACGAACCACTCGAAATGACTGATTGGAAGTCACGGTCCATGCCGCGTTGGTGTCCTAACCTAAATTATTTCTTTTTTAAATTGATTTTATCATGCAACGATTTGTTAATAGTTGGTTATATTATTATTTATCGATGTCTTAATGTTGATACAGCAAATTGAAACATGTTAAACAAATCCTTCTGTCATAGTTGACGTAAAGATTGTTGATCAAACTTCCCACGTGTCGGCTACTACAGCATTGTAAAAAATATTTCAGAGAGTGGCATTTTCACATATCTGATAGAATTCAAAAATTTTTTGAATTAAACAAATTCTTTTGATTTCAAGTATTATAAAATTGATTCTTCTGATAATTTCCGTACGTTAATATAATGCTTACTGACGTTCTTTGTGTTACCCAACTTACCAACTTTGAAAATTGCCTTATTTATATTGTATTTTATAGGATTTTCACCTAGAGGTGGTGGCGGCGGCTTTAGAGGGGGCGGCGGTGGTAGAGGAGGTGGTCGTGGAGGAGGCCGAGGTGGATTTGGTGGTGGCCGAGGTGGCAGTGGAGGTAGAGGTGGGTTTGGTGGTCGCGGTGGAGGTGGTGGTACACCGAGAGGTCGTGGAGGCGGCCGTGGTGGTGGAGGTCGTGGTGGTAGAGGAGGTGGGGGTGGCTTCAAAGGTGGCAAGACAGTTGTGATTGAACCACATCGTCACGAAGGAGTCTTCATTGCCAGGGGCAAAGAAGACGCTCTGGTCACAAAAAATTTAGTTCCTGGATCTGAAGTTTACGGAGAAAAGAGGATCAGTGTTGATGTAAGTTTAAATATTATGTGAAATCATTATATTGAAGAATTGACTGGAATGTAGACATTTAAGCCAGTGGAAAAGTTATGCTATATGAAATGGACTAAAAGTTTTTGATATATTTTTAATGTTTATATTTGCAATTCATACTTAGTGCACACAGCTCATAATATTTAAAATAAATTTAATTTTATAGATAAAATTTTTTTATTCTTATAATTTCTTTTTAACTTTGATGACAGGGTGATAATGGAGAAAAAATTGAATACAGAGTGTGGAATCCATTTAGATCAAAACTTGCTGCTGCCATTCTTGGTGGAGTTGATCAAATTCACATGCCTCCCGGAAGCAAGGTTTTATATCTTGGAGCTGCTTCTGGTACTACAGTCTCACATGTAGCAGACGTTGTTGGACCTGTAAGCTTCTTTCTTTTTATATCAAAATCTTGATATGCACACATTAGAGCCAAGCCAGTGCCTTCTAACAGCTTGGTGTCGACGTGTTGCAAAAGTAATTGCTATTTGTGTTGTAAATTAAAACTTTAAAAGTTAATTTATATCTATTTTTACAACAAGCATACATTCATCATAAAAGTCACTCAGTTTTATCTGTTGACTATTAAAAAACAACAACTAATTAGTTTTTATTTTCCAGGAAGGACTGGTATACGCAGTTGAATTCTCGCATAGATCAGGTAGAGATTTAATAAACGTAGCGAAAAAACGCACGAACATTATCCCTATAATCGAAGATGCCAGACACCCACACAAATACAGAATGCTAGTCGGTATGGTAGACACAATTTTCGCGGATGTCGCGCAACCGGATCAAGCCAGAATCGTTGCGCTCAATGCTCAACATTTTCTGAAAAACGGAGGTCATTTTGTGATCTCTATTAAGGTACATTTCCCCTTATTCATTAAGTACATCACGTGCATACTGTAGAGCTGAGCTAAACGTTAATGTTTAACTCAGTGGAAAAGTTATGCTATAGTATGTCTTAGCAATAGAAGTTTTCTTGCGGAATTCATTTCTTTTTGGAATTTTGCACTTTTGGCCTATTGCCCACATTATTTTACAATAATTTGAAAATTACTAATTCTGTAAACGACATTACTAAATTAAATTATTAATTATAGGCTAGCTGTATAGACTCAACGGCACAACCAGAAGCAGTGTTTGCTGCTGAAGTGAAGAAACTCATAGCTGACAAGTTGAAACCACAAGAGCAGATCACTTTAGAACCCTACGAAAGAGATCACGCGGTTGTAGTAGGTTCGTTTAGGCCGCCACCGAAGAAAGCCATCGCGTAACATTTTGACGACCAAATTAATGTCTCTAAAAAAAAGTATTGCATACTATAACATTCGTATTTTAAAAGAAATAACAATAACAGGTACAAAATATCGCTGTTAAAAACCCCAGTTTTTGGGTTAATGACAAACGTGATTCGATGGTATAGTGTTAAGAAAAGTGAACAAAAAAAAGCGTGAGAATGAGAGGCGCATTACAGTTAGTTGTCCGCGGAGCGCGTTTTTTCATTCTTCATAACTGTAGCAGTAAAAAAGTCGAGTTCACCTGCAGCATGTTACGACAAAAAGAAATTTGATCAACGATTCTTTTTACTGTCACTTCTTTACAACATTGGCAGAATCTGGTCACGTTTTAAAAATTTTCTTTACAGAATTAATTATATATTTTTCTTGCTCAGTTTGCTCATCTGATTGTGTAAATCATCTTCCAATTTACAAGATCAGTACTGTTTCCGAAAATGAGCAGTATATTTAATAAAAAATTAGTAATGTTCAAATAAATTTATCGATTTTTCTGAAGGATCTGGATTTTTAACACAATGAAGAAATGCGGCAATACAAAATAATAAATTTTGTAGGTCAGTTTTTAATAAATAATATTCATGTGTATGATTATTATTAGTTAAAGATTTGACCAAAACTTAATTAATAAGCCTTTAATAATAGTAGTTTAAGAATAGTAGCTTTAATATAAATGCTAGAATTTAATGTAAATTTTCCTTCTGTTGAAAAATCATCAGTATCAGGACATTCTTACGATGGTTATACATATAGCGGATATTTTCAAACTTTTACACCTTGACGAAGCAATGAAGTTAAAAAAATTGCAATCTTTCAAAGGAATAATTAAAAATATTATTGGAAGTATATTTCATACATTCAGTGCAAATAATTCATCTGGTATATATTCTTCATGTAACAGTGATGTCAAAGTGTTATGATTAGAACAAATTTCGAATTTTTTAATTTATCTGCCAATCAATATCTCAGATATATATAAAGCGTTCAATTAATTTTGTAATAAATATTGAAAAATCTTGTCACTAAATTAAAGTACCATTATTTCAATATATATATTTATAAATATACTAATTAAACTGGTAAATATATATATTTAAATATTTTGTATCTATATTCAAATTAAAGTGTATATTTACACCACCGGGTAATAGACACAAGGCTTTTAAATTTCTTATTTTTATCGATGATTAATGTATATATTTTTTATATACATTTTTATATGAAATGCTGTACTAATATCTTTAAAAGCTGAAAAAAATTATTTTACTATTTATTTATACCACTATTCATGAGTAGAACAAAAAAATTTGATCCAACTATATAGAAAGACAAAAATATAAAAATATTTCATATAAATTCGAATCTTTAGACAAACTGCAGTATTTCTGACTATTCTCCAATCAAACAGAAAGTATATTTGATTATTTTATTTTTACAATTTATTTTTACATTCCATGTTGACAATACGAAAAGAAGTATTTAGACTCGCTTCAAGAGACTTTTACAATAAAAATATTCTTGCAGCAACAAAAGAAAAGAACAACGTCGACGCTGGTTGACATCGTTCACGGCGATTCGTATTGATAATCGCTCGAATCAAAGTACATATTTTCTAAAATTAACAAGTTTATACGTGTCAATGTCTGAAATCCTTTCAACGTAAGAATAACCTAAGTATTACTTTCTGAAAAGCAGATTTGGGAATTATAAAGTTGTCAGCTAGCCCCAAAATCAAGCTCAAAAAATGAGCAAGATTTCAAGCAAGATCGAAAAAGGTTAGTCTCATTAGCGAACAATTTGCAAATCAGACTCGTAATCGACAGAAAATAAATTATGTAGACAGCGTGAGCGATGAATCAAGTGACTCAAAGGCCGTGAAATCCTACAGGCCGGTTAGCGAAACGAAGGAACGACGCAAGCCCGTCAAGAAGAAAATGCTACGGTAACGACGAGTCTGCGTCAAAAACAATCCATATGAAACTCACACGGCAGTAAAACGATAGATCAGGAAGCGGACGTACGCGTATGAGCGGCGGAGGTGAACCAATAGCGGAACAGTCGCAGCAAAGAGTGTCGATCAGAGAAGACAAGGATTCGAACCAGGAAGTAAATGTGTCGGTGAAGGAAGGCAATCAGATGGAAAACGATGCTACGGCTGAATCGTATCGTGTAACCGATACGCCACCCCCCAGTCCCGTAGGAGGCTCCAAGGACACGTTCACGAAAACAGGGTAAAAGCCTCGAGCCGGAGCGCGAGCGTCATCGAACTGAGCACCCCCTCGTCGTCGAATTGCAGAGACGCGAAAGTGGACGAGATGCTGGAGAGCGCTCTGAAAAACCTCGACGAAGCAGGCAAGGCACTGACGATTTTCAGCGAAAATATCGAGCACGAACAGAAGGTGAACAACGTTGATAGCGCGCGCAGCAGGTCTCGTCATGGCCGTTGCCCTTGCGGAGGCGGCGGCCGAACGAACGGCTGGTTCGTCAGCAGCTACAGCTCTTTTTGCTCGCGCCAGTTGTTCTTGGTGGACCTCATGAACCGGGTGCATAAGTGGTTGGCCACGGTGGACAGCAAGGCGCGGTGGGCGCGCCACGACCTGCTGGAGCTGAGCAGCCAGCTGGCCGTCCATGCGAGCGAGCTAGAGCAGAGCCGCCGAGAGTCGCAGCAGCTGCGTGACCAGCTGTCCCACGCCGACGTGGCATCGCAGCGCGCGTTCGCTGAGATTGAGTCGTCCGCTCATCTTAACCGTCCGCAAGGCGGCACCGGGGCGGACCAGGCTATGGGCCGCCCCGGACCGACGGCCGCGGGTGCCTCACCGGAGGCCCGCGACGGGCACCCAGCGGTTGCCGGCGCCGACCGCCGCACCGACCCCCGCGCCGACCCCCGTGCTGACCCTTGTGGCGATCCTTGTGGCGATCCTTGTGCCGATCCTTGTGCCGATCCTTGTGCCGATCCTTGTGCCGATCCTTGTGCCGATCCTTGTGCCGACCCTTGTGCCGACCCTTGTGCCGACCCTTGTGCCGACCCATGCGGATCCGGCCCGGCCTCGCCCTGCGGGCGCGCGCCCCAAGTCCGCGAAGGCGACGTCGACCTGGCGGCCTGCTGCGTCAAAGTAAGCGATGTCGCGCCCGCCGCGCTCCGCTCGCTCCACTCACTCCGCTCTCACTCGGGCGTCCGCCACGCGCGCAGTTGCAGGAGGAGATCTGCTGCCTGAAGCGGGAGAACGAGCGCATCGTGAAGGAGCGCGCCGAGTACGAGAACGCCATCCAGCGAGCGCTGCTCAAGGGCGTGTCCTCGCTCAACGTCGAGGCTCTGAAGGTGCTGCGTTGCAAACCCGTGCCGAGCGGCCGGCCACCCTGCTGCCCGGCCTTCGCCTCCGTGTGAGCCACCGACCGCTCAACCCGGTCTCGCGCGCGGCACTAGCCACTCACGAGCGTTCCTTTAGCGAGCCCGTCGCCGAATCTCGGGACTGCGCCTCGGCCAAAGCGCCGCAGCGCGACCAGTGGGGCAACTCCGGGCGCGCCGGCGGCAGCAGAAGCTGCCAGTCTTCGAGCGAGGCCCTCCATGGCTGCGGCAAAGGCGGCAGGGTTTGCCCTGGCACTGGCCACTCTGAGCGCAAGTCCAGGAAGTCCAAGAACTGCACGATGCAGCTGCTGCTTCATCAGTCGGACGCGGACAGTTTCGGCATACAGACTGGATGTGGTGAGAATCGGACGGGTGTACGCTACCGGTTGGTGCAGTCTTTCTGATTTTCAGGTGCCGGCATCGCGAACTCGTCCAATGACGGTGGCCAGCACAAAAAATCTCATTGCCATTATTGAATCGGCCGCGAAGGCAAACTTACACAAGTTCGTTTTTTTAATATTATCAAATTGGCACTCAAACCATAGTATCGGAAGACGTTGAACTTTTAGGCGCAAGAGAGAGAAAATATAACGTGCGTAATAACAAATGACATCTCTCGCTTCCATATGTGCGTAATCTTGAACTAATACAATGAAAAATAGCGTTTGCTTGGCGATGGAGAGAAACAAGACATTAATTAACTACTTACCCTCGATATGCTTTTGCCATAACCCTCCGTTGAGAGCATGGCTTTGGTCACTCACTCTCGGACGTCTTCAGTATAGGCCGGCCTCTCTATGTTCTCGATTTGAGCTTGCAGCAACATCTTGTAGCTCTGAGACATCCGCGCTATCGGAGCGATCGCGACTCGATTGTCAGTGGTCCAACTCCATTTCGTGCTAGAAGATGTTTTCCTTGTAGCCTCTTGGCGAACAAACCAAATACAATATTGCTGTAGTTTTCCAGTTTTTAAAAGCCACACGATTTTAACTTGGGAAATTATGGGTTATCTCTTTTAAATCATCATATCAACGCTCGGAGACTTGATAAAAATTATCATTTTAATTTCAAATTATCGTAATAACGAAATACAAATAAATCTATCGTTTTCAGTCTTCAAAATAATGTAAAATAACGTCAGTTTCTTTTTGTCGTAACATGCTGCAGGTGAACTCGACTTTTTTAGTGCTACAGTTATGAAGAATGAAAAAACGCGCTCCGCGGACAACTAACTGTAATGCGCCTCTCATTCTCACGCTTTTTTTTGTTCACTTTTCTTAACATTATACCATCGAATCACGTTTGTCATTAACCCAAAAACTGGGGTTTTTAACAGCGATATTTTGTAGCTGTTATTGTTATTTCTTTTAAAATACGAATGTTATAGTATGCAATACTTTTTTTAATATTACAACATCAATTGAAAAACAATTGAAACATCGATACGATCATGGTGTTGCAAAATAACATTTGAATCGACCTTCCCGAAAAGAAATGTCATGTGATCGTGGGCAGAAACGTACGAGGCTACATGGAGTGGCAGATGCCTGAGTGACTTGCTGTATCGCTATTGCTTCCCCTTGCTTCGATTTCTCTTCGTCTCGGTTCATTACTGCTCACTGTTTTTTACCTACAAACCTTCATTCATTATTGTATGTATTGTTTTAGCTTTTTATCGACACATGAAACGTGAAGAGATCAATAGAAAATAATCAGTGCTCGAGTTGATTGAGAATTTGGCCGTGTTTGAGCGATCAATATGTACGTGCTTGAGAGTGATTAATGAGTGCAATAGTAACAGTGAATCACGTCAGTCGTCGTCGACACCTGTTGCCGCTAGCGAGCCAATTTCCTCGTTTCGGTCGCACATACACACGCGCGCGACTTAAAAACCCCCACCCTAGCCAAATGCAAACACTTGTTGATGGCCGTGATTCTTGCGCGAGAATCATTGGATGTACTTTCGAAAAGCGTCATTGACAACCGTCGCTCGACGCTCATTCACGTGCCGTAAAATCTCTTGCTTTAAGCATACTATAATGAAATTTGAACCAACGTTCCTGTCAATAGCTGACGATCAAGTATAGAGTGAAATTTCAAGTTTTCGAAGATAAGCTGAAGTCATCTTATTTAGGAATTATAACGTTTTATGGACTGTATATATAGGTAACAATTTTCTTATCGTAGTAGAGATGACCATAAGCCTCATGTTTAATCGATCCAGCATTCGATCGTCTTCAATGAGATGATCAACGAATATAACTTTTATGATTATGTTCGTTTCCGAGTAAACTGACCAGCGTGCGAACGAAACTTCCAAAAATATTATGTGTGGAAACGTATTAAAAAATGCAATTGAAAACTAATATTGTTGAGAATAATTATAACATCGATATGGATTAAAAATTAACTAATTTTTTCTATAATTTAGTTGTAAGTTATAATATATGTTATAAGAATTAAGCGTAATAATTATGAGTTAAATCATTGTTATTTTAAATATGATGATATCTTTTTTCACCGACAGTTACACATCAAGCGATATCTACGATACAGTGTTACATGAAAATTTTGAAATTTGTTTTTAGAGAAGCATGCGAGCTTCCTCGAAGCGCTTGAGTTAGTGTAAAGAATATGCGCTGACCTAGGCTGAGCCGATAAATTCTTTAAGTCTATTAGTTTAGATTTATAGGGAACATCAAATATAAATTGATAAATTTCTAATAAGTTGAATAATTTGACCTATTTCGAGTTTTATCATTTCGAAATTTTCTGAAATTTAATCAAAAGTGTCACGTGCTCCATCATTATTGTTGTTTCTGATTATCGGCAATAGATACTAAGCTTCCATTAATCTGTTGCATTTATATGAACCAGGTACTGGCACGATCTTCTTTGTAAATTGTTATGAATCTAAAATTGGCACGATCTAAGCGTTCGATACGAGCCAGATAGGTCACGATCGAAGCTAATCAATTGAGCCATAAAATGGCTATATTTTAACCAATCACTATCCAGAGCGAGGTGTGGTGCAGCGGATTGAAATTGGTTATTGACGAGAGGTCAGCAAAGGGCACCGCCTACGGCTTTTGGGCTCAGAGTGGGAAAAAAACTACAGTAGGGATTTATTCAGCAACTCAGCTTACTCGGTGTTGTCAGTTTTTTTTTCAGCTCCATCATCAGGACAGGCAAGTGGTAGTTACCAAAGCATGCGTGCAATTTTTTTTTTGAATAAGTTGTCTGTAGTAGCTTAAACAATTTATATCTTCCGATTCATTTCTTTATCTTTAATAATTAAGTGCTTCAACATTAACTTAATTTAAATTGTTGTTGGTTTAGTGTTGTTGAAATGTGTAATCGCCTTTATATTTCAATTATTTTGATATTTTGATTGATTTCGAAATTCGTAAATCTTATTTCGCATTTCTAACATAAAGTCACTTTTACTCGCAATTTTCCTCAACGCGAACAAATTAGAATTCTTTTTTTTGTGCCAACCACATGCTTACCCATTCGTTATGGTTAACTATAAAACTAACTACATATACATGCAGTACATACTAGTTTCTAAACTTGCTTTAAGTAAAAGCGAATGTATAAAGTTAGCCTTATAGTCAAAGTGGGATAATTCTGTATAAGTCTACTGTGTAATTTTTACATGTTTTCTACTTGCACTATTTTCTTTTATACAAGAAGTTTCAGTTAAACTTCATTTTCCTAATAAAATAACTATATAATTGTTAAATCACTTACCAAACTTTTATTAAACTGCTTTATTAAAATAGCATTGATAATGTTTATACCATTATTTATTACTATGCTATCCACCTATATGACATAATAAAATTTGTATTTCTTTTTTAATAATATCTATGGTTATGAAAAAAAGTTACGATGAGTTGAATTCTCGAATTAATTTTGTGAGAAAATGCACTCAAAAAATGTACATTCATATAATATACCGATTTTCTAAATAAAATAAATGGATATGTAAAAGGGTATTAATATAATAGGCATGCTACAAAAGTAATAAAATGCTCGCCTGCGTACGTAAGGAGATATCATTACATTCTTGATTTTCATATAAATAATCGCTGTTGTAGATGTGGCGATTCGATATAATTAGCAAAAATAATATATAAAATAAATAATACAGGTTATGTACTAATAAAAGGATAAGGTTTTGAAGGCATGCTTGCTTAGTATAACAATTGCATGGTAAGGCTTTGTCGTCAACGAACAGCTATGAAAATTCCATTTCTTCTAATGGTACTGCTTTGGCGGATAGAATCGCAAACAATTACCAACTGATAACAGATTCAATTTTATCATTGCGTGGAAAACTGCGTACGCGCGTTTCTGTCCGTGTTAGATTGATCAATAATTGTTTTCCTTCTTTGCGGATACGTATCAATTAAGCTTTTTAGGCCTTATTGAGATGTGAGCGATTATTTTCTCTAATGCTTAGTTAGTGCTCGTTACAACTGTTGACGGTCTAGTGAAACTTGAGATTATGAGGTTTTTCTTAAGTGGAAAACAAGGATGCTTATAATTATATATTGTGCACTTACTTAAATGAATTTGCAGTTCAAAGTACATTCAGCGTTCATTTTGTCAAGTCACATTGCAGGTGAGCTCAACTTTTTTGCTGCTATAGTTATAAAGAAACGAAAAACGAGCTGCGCAAAATAACTGTAATGTACATTTTATTCTCACGCTTCTTGTCTACTTCTCGTAGCAACTTCTCATAGAATCACGTTCGTGGTTTTATGATTAACTCGGAGACTAAGATGCTTAACAATGTCAGACCTTTTATCGTACGTTGTTTGTTTAATAATACGCGTGTCATATAGCGTGCTATCTTTTTTTCCAATGTTGCGAAATCAATTGAAAAATAATTGAAACATCATTAGGACGATTGCGTTGCAAAATAACATTTGAAATGACCTTCCTGACAATCCGGATTGAAATAAGGATACTTGCAAGATGATGAAAATTAGAAAATTGCAAAAAAAAATTGGCAATCGTCCGAAAAGAAATGTCACGTCGTCGCAGGCAGGAGACGTACGAAGCTGCCCGAAGTGTTAGATTTCCTGGGTGTGTCGCTATCGACGCTTTCTAGCATTCTCGCCGTGCAAGAGTCGTCTCAACGGGCACGATTTCGCTACTGCTACATCCCCTTATTTCGACTTGTCTTCGTCGATAACTCCGTTCATTATTGCTCACTTTTCTGTATGTTTTGGCTTTTTTTTATCGATCTCGTTATCAGCGTTAAGCTGCCAACGAACGTAGGAAGGTGAATTCGGGACGACGAAATGATGAACGTGTGAAATAATCGACACACAAGCCTATTTTTTTAAATATCATAAAATTTATGTATAATAATATCTGAAGATGTCATTAAACTCTTAGACGCAAGAGAGACGAAGCAAAGCAAAGGCCGTAGCCGCAATATAATATAATATAACGTGCGTATTAACAAATGGCATCTCTCGCTTCTATATATACGCAATCTTCTACTAATACAATGAAAAATAGCATATGCTTGGCGGCAGGGATAAAAAGATATTAATTAATCACTTTGTTAACTCACGTGTATAATAATAATATATACTTGGGTTAACAAAATGTCTAGGAATACTAAATACTAGGCACTGTAAGGTGTTACTCATGCTAACGAAAGACTTTTCCACATTTTATCAAGATGAGTAACAACTTAAAGAATTTTCGTGCATGCTCGTAAATGTATTTCCGGAATTGCGCAAAAGAGCTATACACTTTGGCTGGATAAAAGTGAGAAATTTGCGCGTCTGGCTATACTTGCGCGCGCGATAATACAACTAATTTTCTCAACTCAAGTATATAGCTACCTTGTTTAATTTCGATAACTCACTTATGCGCATGCCGCGAAAATTCCCACGTTTATTTGTCCCGTACGAAATTGAGGAACTCCTCGCGGGTCTTGGGGTCGTCGCGGAACACACCGAGCATCGTTGACGTGACTGTCTTGCTGTTGATCTTCTGCACTCCTCGCATCACCATGCACATGTGTCTGCAAAATAGTACAAATATTTATACATTCTATGTAATCGACCACTTCGTCAACTTTAATTACCGCTTAATAACCGACAGGGAAATGGTTTGATTCTTATGTATTTTGTTTGAATGGGAATCATTTAAACAAATTATGAACAAAGGATTTTACATGACTTGATCTATTTTAAAAAGTAACGCTTCATGTCATTTCTGTGTAAAATGCGGAATTGATAAGCTCCAAAGTTGTGAATTTCGAAAGAACTCTAATTTGACGTTTTTCAGTAGCTTTGAATGCTAATATTTTTATTTTTTATAAAACGTGCCTTTACAACCTGACCAGTTTCAAAGTTCCGCCCGTGTCCTACAAGTTCAAGTCCGCGCCGTTGAAAGCGAACATATTTATCTGATATCTCTGAAGGAGTATGATGAATTAACCCGGCTGACAGGTCAAGCATTGACGTAAAAGGGGAAAGAGCTTTCACTTTAAATGACGCGTACTTGAACTAGTAGTAGACCGATTGAACTTTCGCGCTGTTGAGGTCATAAGCCAATAGCGGGGCTGAAAATATGTAGGAATCAGCCAATTTTTCTCTTGAGCATATTATTGCATAGGAGAGCGCGTAGCCATTAGTTCTACATTGTTTCGAGTGCTGCAATAAGATCAACTCATTGTGCAGGCACAGCGTTAAAAGCATTAAAAACCCGTAATTGTGAAAGAACAACCGGATAATCGATTCGAAGATTACAAAATTTTCAGCAAGACTGAACAAAAAATGTAGTGGAAGTCACGTCGATCAGTCAGCAAACTATGCATATCTGATTATTTTATGCAACGTAGTGGCGTATATTGATAATTGTTGAATATTTATGAGTCGGTATGAAAAAGAGGAGAGAGAAAATGATGAATTTCTAATGGTAAATTAATTGAGAGCTAGGAAGAATGTGTAGCGTGTCGTTTTTCCACGTCTCGTTATCAATGAAGCCATTATTATTCAGGCACGCGCACCAGTGGTCGCGCAGCACTACGAGGGTCGTTCCGCGAGCGTGTGACTTTTCACTGAAAGGCCGCTTAACGGAATCGAGAGCGAACGAGCGAGCTTTCGTTGACCGTCCGTCGCCGTGCGGAAGGGCCGAAAGGACGAAAGGGCCCACTCGAGAGGTCGAGAGGTCGATCGAAGGTGGTGGGGCTCCGAAAGAAAGAGGACAGCGGTCGCGCGCGCACCTCGGCGAGGGCAGAGACGCGCGCGAGAGCAACAGAGTCGGGCTTACACTCCCTCGACGACGACGGCCACGCCCGCGGGCTGGATCGCCTGGGTGACCGCCGCGGCGATCTGCTTGGTGAGGCGCTCCTGCACCTGCAGCCGTCGGCTGTAGATCTCGACGATCCTGTGGGCGGCGAGCCGCCGGAGAAATCAGAGGTAAGTGAGGCGGAAGCCCGGCTGGGCCGGCACGTTACCTGGCGAGCTTGCTGAGCCCGAGGATCTTCTTGCAGGGCAGGTAGCCGATGGACACCTTGCCGTAGAAGGGCACGAGGTGGTGCTCGCACATGGAGAACATCTCGATGTCCTTGACCACCACCATCTCGTCGTGGTCTTCGTCGAAGATGGCGTCGTTGATGACGTCTGCAAGAGGAAGCGCACCGCTTAGCGTCAACCTGTTGCGCGCGCCCGTCGGGCCGGGGGGAGCTCGGCGGCGCGATTCAGTCGCTATTGACCCAGTTCGCGGGGCGGCTGTTGCGCCCGCTGCCCGCTACCCGTTGCCAGGGCAACCCCTAACGAGGCTCGGCGCGCGCGCGTGGCTCAAAGCGCGGTCCCGCCACCCGTCGTGGACTCTTCCCGCGCGGCCCCCGAGATAAATTGGCTTGGCGCGCGCCGAGCGAAAGCTCCTTCGCGCTGAATAAGGCATGAGGTGGCGGGATCCCCCCCATCGACGCGCTACTCACCCTCGATGCTCTGATCGTAGCCCTTGGTGAAGAACAGCATGGCTTTGGCCGCTCTCTCGGGCGTCTTCAGCAGGCCGGGCCTCTCCGCGTTCTCGCCCAGTGCCTGCAGCAGCATCCTGTAGCTCTGCGACATCTGCGGTATCAGCGCTTCGCGAGTCGGCGGTCGGTGGTCCAGCTCCATGTCGTGGTGGAAGGTGCATTTCTCGTGGCCTGTTGGCGAACAAACCAAATCCCACGTCCCTGTAGTTTTGCCGCTTTGAGAGACCGCCCGACCGAGTTTCGCCTGCTCTCGGCCGCTCGGCCGGGCGCCTAATCGAGTTTCGCTCGCGTTCGCGCGCTTCGGCTGTGCCGCTGCCACGTTCCAAGCTCTCGACTCGCTTTCTCTTGTCTCTCTCTCTCTCTCTGGACGACGCGTCTACGAGCTAGCGAGACGTGCTCGAAAACTCATCGCTGCACAAACGCGCTGAAAGCCGACGCTAATTACCAAAGCAACAAATAATCGGAAATACGGGCGAGAGCTGCTAGATAACCGTTCGACATGCCAGCGCTGTACGCAAGTGTGCGGTCATGAAAAATGCATCGCGTCTAGTCAGGCTGTTTTGACGAATGAAAGCGCAAACCATTACCAACTGATAGCGGATGCGATATCGTTGTTGCGTCGAAAACTGCGTGATGTGCGCGTTCCTTCTCACTCGCGCGTGGGATCGATTCTTCTTCTTCGCGGATACCTATCGATCGAGTTCTTCCGCTTGGTAGGCCTTTACGTAAGCGGATCTTTTTCTCCGATGCTTCGTTAGCGCCTATTACAACCGTTGATGGTCTGTTGAATCTTCGGATTGTGAGGTTTTTCCAAAGTAAGTAAGAATTGCTCACGGTGATTGATTGTGCACTTTAACGTATTTGTGATTTCAAATACGTTCTTTCAAGGAATCATTCTTCATGTTTTCAAATAGAATGTATTTTATAAAAAAAATACACGTTTTTTTCATTTAATAAATAAACGCTCGGAAACTTGCCGGAAAGTACCATCGTAATCAAATTGTTCTAACAACGAGATACAATAAGGCTATAGTTGTCACTTTTCGGAATACCGTGAAAAGTGTTAGTTTTTTTGTCAAATCGTATTGCAGGTGGACTCGACTTTTTTGGTGCTACAGTCACAAAGAAACGAAAAACGAGGTCCGCGAACAATTAACTGTAATGCGCCTCTCATTCTCACGCTTTTGTCGACTTTTTGTAGCACCTTATCATAGAATCACGTTCATGGTTAACCCAGAAACTAAGGTTTTTAACAGCGATACTTTGTAGCTTCTTGGTTGGACTTTTTCGAAAGTACGAGTATCACTGTGAGCAATTCTTTTAAGTTATCAAATCAATTTGAACATGACAGTCAATCGATATGTAAAAAAATTTTGCAAATAATGTACTTGAGAGACGATGAAAATTAGAAAACTCAAAAAAAAAAAATTGGCACCGTCGGAAAAGATGCCCGAATAATGCCATGTAGTCGCGGACAGGAGACGTACGAGGCTACCTGGAGTGGTAGATGTCCTGGGTGTCCTGGGTGTGTCGCTATCGACGCTTCCAGCATTCTCGCCGTACGAAACTCGTCGCAATGGACACGGCTTCGTTACTGCTACCTCCCCTTGCTTCGACTTGTCTTCGTCGATAACTCCGTTCATTATTGCTCACTTTTCTTTTCTATAACCCGTTGGTCTTTAGTGCATGTATGTTTTGGCTTTTTTGTCGGCAAAGGAAACGCAAAGAGATCGATAGAAAATCAGTGCGCGAGTTGGTTGAGAATTTGGTCGCGCTTAGACAATCAATATGTACATCCGTAAGAGTGATGCGTGCAGTAGTAGTAGCGAATCACGTCAGCCGTCGCCGACACCTGTTGCCGTCAGCGAGCCAATTTCCTCGTTCCTGCCGCGCGCGCACACGCTCATACACGCACACGCACACGCACACGCACACGCACGCACGCGCACACACACACCCACGCACACCCACACACGCCCACACACACCCCCACACACACCCCCCCACACACACACAGACGCACGCGCGACTCAGGAATCCCCACCTTCGCCAGATGCAAACACTTATTGACAATTGGTCACGGCCTTGGACGAATTTCAATCGCGGCCGTGAATTCGCGCGTGAGAAGCAAGAATCATTGCGTACTTTCGAAAAGCGTCATTGACCGCCGTCGCTCCGCGCGCACTCGCATGTCGCGAACTCCCTTGCTTCGAGTGTGCAACGAAATTCGGACGGCCGTTCGAGCAGGCAGAGAAAGACGCGAAGATCGTCGGAAGTGTCCGCAAATGAGCCGACAACGTCGACGACGCGTTTCAATGGCCAAGTGGAGGTTGGCGCGTCGAAGCGATTAATCGCGGGACGAACCCGAGCGCGAAGCAAAGACGAGCGTTCGCGCACTGGCAAGCGCCGCTAAATCGACATGAAAGACAGCGTAGCGGGGCGCGAAAAATTCTCAACTGAACTCGCGCGCGAGGAAAAAAGCCAAGCCATAACGAAGGAAAAACGAAGTCACCTTCGGGAGCGCAAACTGTGTCGCTCGACGGAGTGACGCGCTGCGACTGACTAGAACGGCCGCGGCTCGCGAGAGAAACTATGCCTCGCTGCACGCGGAGCCGGGACACTTTCCTCGCCGCTGTTGCGCGCGCGACTGTGGCGGGACTCGGGCACGGAAGACGGCATAATGCGCGCGGGGGCGGGGGTTGCCCGCGAAGAGCGTACTCATTGTTCTCACTTGCGTCAGAGGGTGAATTCAGCGCACTTTCGTCAATTTCGCCACTCTTTTCGGCGGACGACTTTTCTCGGGGAGCGATCGCGTGCTTTCACGGCCACGTGGAATCTTGGAATGCAAACGCCCAACAGTCTCGTTCTCGGAATCGCGTGCAACCATTTGGCTCGTCGTTTCTCCAGCTTGTGCGGGCTAGACCAAGTAACAACGGTAATAACACGCCGGCGTATGATCATCCTTCAAATAACACTCACGTCACTTTTGAAAATCCTTCTCTTTCTATTTCAATTCGATAACAATTGCGCTTAAGCTCGTTACGTAAATAAAATGCTGTTCTAGCCATTCTCAGTGCCATTATTGGCATCAAAGGATATTATATTTTTTTCATGATGCGAAGGTGCTTTTCGAATAACATTTTTATTTGAAAAATTTTTCTTTTTTACAAATTATAAGTTTACGTAATAAGACGGCACATGTAATTATGAATCTGAAAATTTCTAATAACAACCGTAGAGTATACCTTGTTATCTGTTTGCGTACGCCTGTACTTTTCACGTCTAAACATCAATAATAACATAGATTGCGACATTTCACGACTAAAAAATCCAACGCAGAAAGACTTGCTGATATGTAATATCGCAACTTCGTAACTAATCTTGACGCGCTTTATTGACAAATTAAAACATCTAAATAAATCTCACAAAAAAACTAAATACGAGGATATTGTATAAGTTTTTTTCACTCTCGACCGATCTCGAAACTGTATTATAAGCCACTCGACAGCATTGACCCGCATATCGCTTTACATAAAAATGTTGCTGCCGCATCCAGCCGCGAAAAAAGATTTTTTCTTCTCGCCCCTCCTTTATCCTCGATATATTTTACGTAAAATTCCGCGTGCATATAAAGTTTGTCAATCTGAATCTTCATTAGGGAGTTTTTCCGTTTATAGTCCGTCGGAAAATTTTGTTCACGACGTTAACGAACCAGATATGTCTAATCGAATAGGATGACCGAGGATACAAATTTTCGGTAGAACTTGCTCTTTCTTTGGTTCGAATGTTACCTTTATGTAACGATTTTTAAGAACAATATTTTCAATTTCAGATGATTTACGTATTATGTATTGTGGTGGAGATTTAATTTTTTTTTATCGTACACAAAGATGAAAGTATCATCATTTGTTTCTGTTTTTGTTAATGGCACGATGATCGACTACGATATGATTTCGACTTAACTGAAAAGCTCATACTAGAAAAAGAAGTGCTAGGGTTTACGAAAAATGAGAGTCCTATGAATTTTTTTGATGTCAAAAATTCTTTTCCGGCATTTAGTCAATTTTTTACTGTACTAGTAATTTTCTTGTTCAATTTGAGAAAAGGGTCTTTTATATTTTATTAATTTTTTCTTCCTTTTTTTTATTTAAAACGAGAAATTTTTGAAAATAAGAAACTTTCGCTGGCTCATTTCGGGAATTAAATTCCTCGCGAATAGTAATTGTTTTTGTAGTGTGAGCGTTATAATACAGTTTGAAGAACAAAGAGGATGAAAAATCAGTTAAATGCGCTGGAATAGATCCTTTCAGCCGAAAACATTGAAGCTCGCGTACGTGCACGTCTCTGCAATCAGGATTGACTGGTTCTCTCACTCTCTCGCGGGACTATTATGTGTGACGTTATAAAATGAATTGTCATCGCGACACGCCGCAAGTATATAGTGGAGGAACATTGAACCTTTTTTTCCTCCCGAAATGACTCATAAAGTGGTCTCTTTACTGGAATCTAGGCAACAAAGACGAGATCCGCCGATCGTCATTTTTTATGATTGGAAAATGCTTTTAACGTTAATTTAAAAAAATACGCTCAGTTGAGTTTGTCTTTTGCATTGTCCAGCGAAAAATCAAAATGATGAGCTTTTTACTATTGCAAGCTGTAAAGGAAAAAATCTCGAAGACAGCTGTATACCAAGAGGATGAAAGTCAATTAAGCAGCTATTGAGAATCCTTCGCGTTAACGCTTTTAAGTACGCCAAGTTATCCTCGAGCAACAAGTGTAAAGTATGTAGAGGATAAAGATATGCAGCTCCGGAGGCGCTAAGCGCGCGTCCTTCGGATTCTCTCTTTCCGTTACGCGAATCTCTTTGACGTGACGGTGCGTCATGTGCTTCGATTTTTCGTCGAATTTCATTGAGTAACAGGTGGCTTTGTTCGCACATTTTGAAAAATAAGTATTAGTTGTACTTTTTTGCTGGGAATTTTTCAATGAAAGTTCTTCGAAAACAATTTTTGCAATATCGAGCATTATAACTAGCAAAACAGTCAAAAGAAAAATCTATATCGCGCAAAGGAAAGATCAAAATCGATTGCAAGAAATATATATATATGTAGGGAGAGAGAGAGAGAGAGAGAGCGAGCAAACATAAAAAGGCGGAACGCTTGGCGTTTCGATCGCGCAACCGAGTTATAAGAATGTCAAGTTCGTTTTTTTGATACGATGTCGGAAAAAAGTTCAAGCATTAAAAGAAAAGGAAAAGCCGAGCATATGAGCGCTCTGATTTGGAGTATCGGTCTCGGTCGTATGTAGATGAAAAAAATTGCTTCAAAAAAAAAAAAAAAGTGGTTTTCTCGATCGTGTAGCTTCCCGTTATCCAACGACTCGTTGCAACGATCTATTTCGAAGAAGGCTTCTGTTTTTTTCTTCAGTGCCGTGATTTTATGTAACGCGCATGGAATTACATTGTGCACGCGTTTGTAATTTCTTTGACCTGAATCGATCTAATTATAAACTCGACACCACTAGGTGAAACTGGAGTGAATCCGCGCCGCACGGCAGATATACGTATACGGTAATTAATATTCGCACAGTCGACTTTGTAACTCGAGTTTATACCTTCACGGATGAGAGTAATATTGTCTACGGATCTATTCGAGTTACCAACAGGAATATCGAGATTTTTCTATTGCCTGTCTTAGGTTGCGGGATATATCTTATCTTATAATCTTTCGTAAGCTTAAGTGTTGTATTTCCGAACTACAACTGGATTTCTTGTTTCGTAACTGTGTCTTTGTTCCGAAGTCAATGACTTAGGGAAGACACGTCGTTCCATTGAATGTTATGATTTTTTCCAACTTGTTTCATATGCTGCTGAAAGAAATCTTAAATCGACTGTATTCTTAAGAATATTTTCTCGAATTAAGAACATTTTTTGTAATTGAAGAACAAAATTATCGACTGGAGAGAAACTTTGTTTATTCCAAGAATTTATTTATCTATTTATTTGTGTAATGCATAGAAAATACTGAAAGTGCTTTAAAAAGGTTTTAGTCTCTTATAATCGCACAGGGGTTGAGGAGGTTGTAGCGACGTCGATTCCGATGAACTTGGCATTCGTAACTACACGCTGCCGGTCTCTCGGATGAATCTACAAAATCATGCGCTCGCAGAAATAGAGACAACAAGGGTCGTCTGCAGCATAAAGAAAATAATGATCGGCCGACGAAGTAGCGGTCGACAACGCGGATTATTCAGCGAGCCGCGAGTAAAGCCCGTCGGCGAGCCCGTTAGTCTCTGATTAATCGAGCGCGATACGAAGTCGCGCGTCTTACGTAAGGTGTGCGATAGCGACGCTTCTTCTCACGTGAAGCTTTTCGCATGGTCGCGTGTGCAGGCGCGCTAATTTATTGATGAATGACTGGATTATTCCCGATCGTATAATTGCGCGCGATAAACGCATGTTTTCTTCGGCGCACACGACATTTGTAATTTCTAATTACAGGGTCGTATAATTGCTGGAGACTGGATTTGTTTGCATCGTTGCTCAATTGATCGCGAGCGACTTTGTCTTACGAAACGCATCCGCGAATCTTGGCATTGATGGATGTGTCGAACAAGACAGTGCGAACTAAAAATAATGTATGCAAATAGAAAGTTAACTGTCTCTGCATCTTGTAGCAGGGTCAGGGCACCTTCACCTTTTTTTTCTTATTGTTTACTCGGATGTTTCTTTCCGTGCTCAGACGCATCTCCTCGCAAATGGCTATTTCTTCGCACTAAATCATACTACGTAAGCTATATATTTTCAAGTTGTAATTTCTTTCCTAATGTATTTAGTAATGAACGTCCCTATTGTTCATAAAGGTATGAATACGAAGAACCATCGCAGAGCGACAGTTCAATCTAAAACGAACTTCGTTCCGTGTGGATACCGCTGAGAAGCTCTGTCTTACACTTAATAAAGACACTGAACGTTTAATAGGTGACAGATGTATCCCGTTGAAAGTCACGAGTCGCACGGTCATCGCATTGCCATCGCTCGCGGCAATCGATCTGCGTTAAGGGGTTGGGTTGTAAGTCTATAACGCGATTCGCTCTCGGCTTTCATAGATCGAGTACGTGTTTTTCCTATACCGCAGAGAGAAAGAGAGAGAGAGAGAGAGAGAGAGAGAGAGAGAGAGAGAACTTGATCTTGAGTTTCGACGCACGAGTTGCGTAAAGGCCTCTGCAAGGTGCTTTGCGGGCCCTCGGCTTGCCATGCTTTCATGCTTTTCTTTCTCTTTTCTTCCGTTCATCGCGAAATATCGCAGATGTGTGGGTCTCAGGTTGTTGGCATATTCGCCACAATACACTTAAATGTCAACTAAAAAGCGTCGTCGCGAAGGCGAAAAGCGCAATGCTATCGCCAAACTCGTTTGAACAATTGTCGCATGCGTTCCCTTCTATCGCATATCCCTATCGAAAATTATTAAATAAATTCCCGTGTACCCGTGTACGAGCTACTGGGAATCTATTTCTACATCTTAATCAAATCTCTCGGCAAGCAAGTCAATTACCTCGGCTCGTCTCTCATCTCGTCGTCGCCGGTCGCATTACGCATTTTCCGCGTGTCTAGCCTTGCAATCGCAACGTTTTTCCTCTCCGCCGCGCCCGCATGGAAAATCGATATTCGCAACTATCAACGACGCGCATTGCTTTTCAGAAGATCGAAAGTTCAGTGGCTTTGGCAAATTATAATACGGCCTCCTTGGAAAGTTATGAGCTATCCACTTCTTTCGGCGGAGGCTCGAGTGGACACTATTGCGAATTATCCAAAGATAATATTCTCAATGTCAACGTTGACTAACAGCCGTTTCACTCATCTTAATGATGAGAAGAAAAAACAACGGACGCAACACGATAAGCTTCTGTGTTTATGCATGGAAATTGATTTCATACTATCAGCTGTTGCTGACACGTACCGTTACCATGGTTTTTTTTTATTGTTTCGTATCTCGGTCGGCTTGTGCAATACTAACGTCATCCACTTCGTATGTACTTGTTCCAAACTGAATTTCTAGCGTGGATGACAACGTCGTCGAACGATAACGATGTCGAATTCGACTTTGTGACGAGTAGCGCTTTCGATCGTCGCTCAAAAGCATCGTTTACCAGAAGAAAATAGAGATAGAGAAAGAGAGAGAGAAAGAGAGAGAGAGAGAGAGAGAGAGAGAGAGAGAGAAGCGAACGCTAAATACCTGTCAAACAGTTGCCATTTTGGCATCCGTTGCCAGCTGGTACGATCTGTCCGTTTTCGGTTTTCTCGGTCTTCATGATGTCTGCCCTCGAGTCCCCAATGAAATGCACAAAAGGAAAGCTTAGCCGGCACCGAGCGATCGAAAAAAAAAGAAAAAAGAGAAGCAACAGGCGTGCGCCTACGACGAGCGGACGAAAGCAACTGAGCGCCAGCGCTTTCGCTGTTTTATAAAAGCGGAAGCACCAAGTCTTGCGGCGGGACCCCCACTGAACTCTAACAGGAGCTTTTGCTCGGCGCGCGAGCGCGAGGGAGGGACGTAGCCGCTGCAAGCTTACGCTGCGCTTCTCTTTTCGCGTCGGGTAAGCGCTTACGGCGAGCACTTTTTTTTTATCGCCGTGTGGAGACTGATTACGTGAATGGATGATCGTTTACGTGATCCGCTGATTTATTGCGTGACTCGAGGGCGCTTCGTCCGATTCAATTTTTCAGTTTTGTGCGCCAAGCTATTCCTTTGCGTCACACTTGAAGAACAAACAAACAGCACGTTGGAGATGAACGACACGAATCTAGAGTACGAGCTGCAAGCGAAAGGCGTGTCAAGGTTTAGAAATGTCGGAGAAGCTACACTTTCCTCTTACGAAGAATGCTGGCTCGATAAGATATTAGCCTAATTAGCAGAGAAGGAACAGCTTTATCCGTCAACCCGCGTATAAAAGTGGCTATCGAGGAGTCGAGGTAAACAAACAATTTTTGCAACGTTTAAACGACGATGCATTAGAAAAATAAGGCGGACCAGATACGTCTTCACAAGATGAGATAAGGGCATAATTGCAGTGTATACACGTGTCCGCGTGATAACAGGCCAGATACGTAGCAGCACGCAGCCAAGAGGGAGAGAGAGAGAGAGAGAGAGAGAGAGAGAGAGAGAGAGACAGACAGACAGCAGACCGAGAGCGAGAGACAAGGCGAAGGTTGAGGTGAAGGTCTCGCTGCACACACCACCACGTGTCGGCGAGTGCGTCGATCGGTGCTCCTGTCGTTTCGTCTCCCAATGCTCGCGATCACGCGCTGGCGGTATCGCTCGACTTCTCGTTCGCTCGAGAATTCAATCTCGCGTCTGTTCCCTTGCGTCAGACGCGCGTAATATCCCAATCGCCCAGTCGGTCAACTCTAACTTTCCAATTACGCGCTGATTGCTTTCCTCTGACGTACCTGTCAACGTGCGTGCGCTTGGCAAGTCTTTTTCAAGGAAAAACCGCATCTTTGGCTGCAGCTTCGGGATGCCGTGTTCGCGCGAGTGAGCGTGAAAATCCGGAATCGTCATTGGTGAAACTTGAAAGTTTACGTTATTAGCTTCTAACAAGCCTAATAAATCGTTCTGAAATTTCATTTCCTTAGCCGTACGCCTCGCAATCTCAAATATAGCCCCGGAAAATCACGGCTTAATAAATCACTTTATTCATCGAAACAATTCAGCGCCATGCACGATTCCAAGAGTCAGGCTGAACGGAACACCTTTTTAGGGGCTCATGTTGATTGCCAGGTTCTCGACTTTCAGATGAGTAGAGTACTTTTTAAATTAATAAAAGTATTACGTTAAGCCCATATTCTGAGGCGTTTTTACGAAATCGCGATCAAGAAAAGTAAAGCTTACGCGAGATACTTTGTCAGAAAAAAATCATGGCGATACCTTCATTAAAATAGCTTTTACAAACCAACAAAGAAAGCTGCTACTTGTCACTGTTTAACAGTACCTATTGATTGAATTGATAATTATCCGTTAATCGCAACGGTCGCGATTCGTTTTACGATAAAAACGACGAGACGACAGCTTGAATAAATAATTTTCAGATTAGTATAAAAAAAATAATTATTCCATTCGATTATTTGAATATTCGCAAAGCAGTTACTCTCCGACATCAGACGAAAACAAAAACAACGCTCTCGTCTGTCCGACGTAACGTGTCGATAGATCCTTGAATGTTTTTCACGGCATAATAACTCGATCGAAAAAGATGTCAATCCTGATAACCCACATTACATAAATCTATGCTAATCCACTTTATATTTTTCGGATGACTAATCCTTGTAAAACACGCACGTAAGTGGGTAGTTCACCTATACGTCGAAGTAGGTCGGGCAGGTATATTTGCAATGCTGCAACAGCCTCAGGATCACAAGGCTGAGGTGAGAAATACGCAATTACGTGGCGATTTAGCCGCTATCTTTGAAAACTACACGCATTTTTTACGGATTTATAATTATACCGAAGAGCAACTCTTATCAGTACGTACAATTTGAAAAAAGAAAAGGTTTTTCATACGAAATTCGAAATTTCAACTGGAGTGCAGCATTTGAAAGTGAATTCAGAGAATCTTTTCATTGGAATCTTACGTGATAGTTACGCGCTCGGCGAAGCAAGGTCTTACACGCTGTTCTGTCGTGCAAGAGAGCAACGTCCACGCGTTTGCTTTACAATTGCGAATATTATAAATAATTAGGATTTACAGCGGCTTACAGAACAAGGACTTAATGAACGTTCGCTTGGCTAATCAGTCGGCGATAAATGATTTGTATACTCTTCTATTTATTTCTTGTTCGATACGGTAATGGTAGGACAGGTATGTCTAGGATCAGTTATCAAAGATCTCGTCGGAGAATGTGAATTTCGATGCGTCATGAAAGGTCAAACTACAACACTCCAAAATAATTGGCAAGCCAATCGTACTTGATTGCAGATTATTTTAAAGTATCGAGAGGAAACTATAATAAGCCTGTTCTTATCAACTGGATTTTATTGCGTAAGTTCGTTCGTCATTTTTTTGCCTTACGCACACACACGCAACGCGTGTCAAAAATCATAAAAGAACATCCATTAATAGCAATGCATAAAGCGTTAAATAGCTTTTTGTCGCCAGTGTGCCTGTCTCATTATATAAGTCAGATACGCGAATAAAAAGCTCTAAGTGCCGTTACAACGCATTCGCTGCATCTCGATGACCTTAGCCCCGTGTGCGTTATAAAAAATTGATCCTATAATCAAGTTGTGTGAATGGAAGAAGCAGCAAAGCATTGCCAACGTTGTTTTGTAAGTTTTGTTTGCTAAATTAACAGTAAGACAAATTTGATGAGAAAAAGTATAGCAAAATAACGTCTTATTGCTCAGTATCGTTAGGTAAGTATACATACATACTTATAACCACGTCAATAGTATATGGTTACGAAGAGAACAAAAGAAAGCTTCTCGGTACATGAGTTATTTGTCTTAAAAGTTAAAAAATTGCTGTAAATAATATCAGATCTATTTAAAAGTGGTAGCCATACCAGCGTAACGTTATCAATGTGAAGTTGTACTTCATTTATTCTTTGGGTCTGTTCTTTCATCTTTGATCCTACATAAATTATTTGTTGTACAATATAGAGAGCTTATAATACACAAATTAATTATTATTACATTCGCAATCTCCTATTCTTCAATAAATCACGCATATGCATTTCAAATTTTTTCCTCCTTAGTCTCAGATAATATGAAAACAATTAATAAATTTTTTACTGTCATGTCAATTCTTATACTGATTCAAATTAAAACACATTTCACACATTCTAACGTTCATTTTGCTTAATTTTAGAAGAAACAATTTCAAACTTGAGATCATATTTCATCAAATCATCGACCATTGAAGTTTTCGCGAAAGCCGCGCCAGGAGAAAGAACTCCGCCACTAAAACAGAGAATGAAACTGTCAATATTCAATCTGAATGCAAATAAAATTGACGCACCTGCCAGGCATTCTGTAAGATTCTTTTACGATCATTAGGGCAGATATCAGAAGAGTAGTGTTCGTGAGTCCGTAAGCGGGATTGACTCCCGTGACTTTGGTAACCAACTCTTTATTGGGCGGCTCCTTGTACTGATCGGTCGGATCGGTCAATTTCTCAGTCCATCCTTTAGCGAGAAAGGTGATTGAAAAATGTGTGTTGTCCATTATCTCTTCCTTCGGTCCTTCGTGGCTGGCCAAGCCCCACGAGAAAAATTTTGGATGCTATCCGCGGATAAAAGACGCATGTTGAACTAATGAAACGGATTGCTGAAAAAATGCAGGTATACCTTCGTGAGCAGCGAGAGACCGCATCGGCATTTCGACAATACAGTGGACATGCCACCGATTACAGCGACTTTAGTCAGTTGCCACAGCGATCTATAAGTACAACGAATTGATCGATAGTCGGAATCGAATACATGTTAATACGACCATACCTGAACGTCACGTATGTTTGTACTTGGATGGGTCGCACCTTGTATCTTTCGAACATGAATCTCTGAGTTCGAAGAGCTACCGATAAATCTGGACCGGGGAATACAACCGAGTAACCTGGCGAAGCAGGATTGCGATGTATGAAACTTCTGAAAGAATTTTTTTCAGCAACCATTCGGACAAGTCGCCACAATGAAAAATCAAGTGAGCGCTAACCTGGTCTTCAATACGGGCTTAAATTCCGGCAATTTATCAGGATACAACTTACGGCGAAGAGCAGCAAGTTCGCTCTCATTCGCCAAATGATGCAGAGCCGACTCCCAAGTGCCGTGGTGAAGAACTGCACCACCAACGTCGCTTGTCAGCCAACCGCTCAGATAAGTCTCGATGCTATTGACTTGTCCGCTAAATTTATCGTCGGTGAACGCTATGCCCATCTCGAAGGGTATACTGTCGAAACCACAAGCACTAACAACGTAGATGCCAGCTTCCTCCGCGGCCTTGTTGTACTCCAACTGCATTCTCTCCATATACTGTCAACAACATTTCCAGAGTGAACGAAAAGTGAAGTGACAAGTTTGTGAAATACGGGTTTGGGCAATACGAAAACAATTTTCATTAATAAATAATTTAAAAAATTTACTACATACGCGAACATTTACAAGTTCAAAAGTAAGCAAATTTATCTAAAGAACAATTACGAGTAGTTTTCTTAATTTTTGTAGTTCTTATCCGTATCTTATTTCATGTTTTAATTTCAGGAAATTGTTTGAGTAAATTGTTCGAACGATATCGGTGTTTATAAATTTACTGATTTGTCTTTAATTTCTGAGATCGTTTTTGTTTTCAGATACGACTTGAGAGCGAAACTGTGAAATCGTTAGAACACTCCAAGACATCAAACTGAAAAATTGTCTTGCGTTCTCGTGCGTCTTGTGTTGTAATGTAATAAAATCCATTAAAACTACAGCCTTGCTTTTTTTTTGAATAACTCGTGTTGTCAGAAATTCTTCGGTTCTGTGTACCTCAGGCTCTCCGCTCACGTCGACATGATGAGTTTTCGATTCGATGCAGGCTTTGATCACCGGCTCGCCGTAAAATCTATACGGGCCGCAGCAGTTCACTACGACTTTGGCTTGCTGGCACATTTTCCTGAGCGATACTTCGTCTCGCAGGTCTGCTATGATAATTTTCACATTATCTGGAAAATTAGAATAAGAGGCGGTCGATAACAGGCTTAGGGCCAATTGCCGGATTTGTTTATACTTGAATTCGAAGCAAACTCTTGCAGAACAGATTGCAAAGCTTCCTTCCGTCTGCCGGCTATTCCCCATGTGAATGGCATGTCTTTGTGAATTCGCTGAGCCTCTTGCACCGCGTATTTGCCGGTGAACCCGGTCGCTCCGAATATTACTACGTCCAAGCGTTCGTCCGACATTCTGCAATGATTATTGTTTTTTGAATGAAGAATAATTTGTTAAAGAACAAGTTTAAATCTAGATGTGCTACTATTGTATGACAAGCTGTCAATTTATTTAGTAGTTCAAGCTAGAAAATTGAATCCGAGTTCTAGTGAAAATTCAAGTACTGCCGACGTATACACGTAAGAACTAATTGGACTTAATCAACTAAGATGATGGATAAAACTTCCAATGAACGAGATATTTCATTTAATACGTTTTTCCGCAATTAGGAACTACGATATTTCTAGTAAAACTGTTTCGAGCTTGTTTCCAAAGAAAAAGCACGCGCTGAGCTACATGAGCAAAGTTTACCGTCATATTTTATTTTTGGCTGCTTGCGTAATTGTCTTCAGCACAAAAGCAAATCTGTCGGTATTTAAAATCACTGCGTGTTCGAGATACATTACAATCATCAGCGCAATGTGAATATTTACCTTCGCGTATTCTCGGCAGCTTTCAATGCCAAATTAAAAAAAAAACGCATCCTGCACAGGAACAGCAAAGTCATGCTAGTCGCTGATTAAGCGGAATTATCGATGCGAGTTTGATGTTTTGGAATCGCAAACAATTATGCATTAATCGCAATCAGCAATGGGGAACGTGTAAATCGTCGTTTCCATTTTACAGCCGTTCGATAAGTCATTGCCGAACAATAATGTATCATTCGAAGTTAGTAACGTGGAACAAGTCGAATCCCCATCCATAATATTCAAAAAGTGCATCAAAGAAGATTATTTTTCGACGATTGTCCGTGATATTCAAATCGAATTTGCTTCCAATATAAAGCGATCGCGATCAATAAGATAATTGCACTAAAGCGAAGAATTACTCCGGCATCGCGTGTATATATCGTGTGTATATATTGTTATTAGCAGCACGAAGGTTGCATCGCTCGCAATATCGCGCATACGCCTTAGCTGCATAATTTTTTTATTTTTATTGTATATTCTCAGATGTTTAACTTCGTAACAAATCCGCAAGCGCGTTATCGCAAAAGTTTGCATCTGTAACAGCGAAACAAAGTCAAAGGGTTGTGCGTACATGGTAACGGCCATCGTTGCTTGGAGAACGTTCGACAAGAAGAAGCAAAAGCTGGACGAATAGGCTTCGTGTGCAGATGATCGATTCGAGTGCATTAGGAGAAAAGAAACTCTTATTTACCTGAGTTGGTTTGATATCCGTAGACACTCCCTGCGAGCCGATGATGATGACATGAGAATCCAGCTTGTTCTGTGCGCGTTTATACTTCCTTTTTTTCTTCTATGATTGAAGTAACTGGTTACTTCAGAATGGAAGTTGCGGAGCTAAAATCCACTAGGAGTTCGAGTATGTTAGGTTGGCGAAGTATGTTTACTGGTAACTTATCACGCTAGGCATTTTTGAAGTGGATTTCATACGAAGAAAACTTCTTTTTTATGATCTTTTGCATTTGATATAGTTTATAACAATTTACATGTCTATTCTTCATTCTTCAAATCAGCTGCTGTAATTCAAATGTTCTCTACCAAAGCTCACGTTGAATTGTTGCTGATGCTTGACGATTGTTGCTGTCGAAATACGTGTTGCTTAATTGTTGGCTTACATGGTTGACGCTAAAGGTTGTTACAGTTTGACGGATCGGAAAGAGAGGCTTCTCTATTAAGAACAAGCAAATAGGATTGAAGTTGTGAACGGACGAAAGTGATCACTGTATTCGGAATTATTTATTCAAGCCTGTACTTTAATTTATTTAGCACGCGTGATTATTAAAATTCTTATTTCCGATAGAAGTACTACTAATGTTAATTTGACGATTAATGCGTTGATTCAGAAAACGGTAAAATATTAATTTAAAGACGAGCTGTTGGTCAATGGAAATTTTTTCAATTTTCTAATTCTTACATTACATTCGTATTTCAAAGGTTATATAAATTTTAAATTATCTTATTACCTCTCAATCGTTAATGTGCTACAGGATATAATGACATTTATATTGACATTTTGTGAAAACACAACTTCAGACTAAATAACGTACAGTTATCAATAACTTTGTGTAATCAGGGAAATAAATGTAATAGGCTTTTTCACACCATAGATAGGATTTATTACATCAAACTTTTAATAATAAAATATCATAGAAAATTCGTAGTAACTGCATATAGTTAGTTTATATAAATATAAATATTAAGTATATTTTTGTAGCAATGAAGATTATTCACTGCTCTGCAGTGTTTAATGATCGGTATACTATATGTTCGTTACTGTTCTTATTACTTCAAAAACTACATTCGTTTTGAATGCAGCAGAGGAACACTAGATATCTGTACGCATTCATTTTAGTTCCTTAAGTTACGAGAGGTATGCAAGTGGAAAGCTGTAGGAGGAGTAATACACAGGCATCATGACTGGATTATTGACGTTAAATTATACATGTTTTTTTTTCGTCACATGATTTTTAATATTTTCATCAACTTAGCAAATAAAAGGAAAGAATTATAAAAAACTTTTGCTTTGCATTCAGTCTAAACATTTGAGCTCTCAAAATGAATAGTTTGATTACAAACACAATTTTCTTGTGGCAAATCAAACACCAAAAATGGGAAATATTTATCTAACAATGATGTGGTAATAACAGTTGTTATAAAACGTTAAATTCAAATGACACTTTGAATATCGGATGAACTAAATTATGAAGAATATCCGATGTTAAGAAAATATCTCTTGTGAATATCACAATTACACAATTAGTACGTAATATCGGCTTCGAGTAGTAAAAACATTAATCCACTAAAAAAATACGTATTCGATCTGTTGAAAAATTCGATATTGTTAAGCTATAGCTTAGAAATAACGGAGTATAATTTAGTATAAAATGGATATTTAAAACTACTTTAATGTTAAACGATATTCATCTTATACGTTTTGTTTTTCTCAAATTGAAATAGACAAAATAATTTCTTTTCAAATTCAACTTCTACTGACGGCAGTTATCATTTTTCTCGAATCGTAACAATTTTACCGGGTATTATGCCATAAATTTTCTTTTTTAATTCTCAATAGACGATATAACTTCAAACTTGAGACCGTGTTTGATTAACTCGTCAACCATTGACGTTTTGCCAAATGCAGCCCCAGGAGGAAGAACGCCACCACTGGAAAAAAAATATATTTAAAACGTGTAATTTATTTCATTAAACAGAACTGTGAATATAATAAAACTATGTCAAAAACGCACTCGCCCGGAATCTTATCAGACTCTTTAAGAATCGTTATAGCAGACATCAGTAGAGTTGTATTGGTAACTCCATAACCAGGGTTAGTTCCACTAACTTTAGTTATCATTTCTTTGTTGGGTGGGTCTTCGTATTGATCGGTGGGTTCTGTCAACTTTTCTGTCCAACCCTTGGCAATAAAAGTGATTGAAAAGTGTGCATTTTCCATAATTTCAGGTTTAGGTCCTTCACGGCTTATGAGACCAAGAGAAAAGAATTTTGGATACTAAACAATAAAAAACAACAAAAATTATTATACTGTATTTTTTTAAGTTGATAACACATTATCTTTAATTTTACCTTCAACAGCAAAGAACGTCCACATTCACTTTTTGCTAGTAAAGAAAAGATACCACCAAATACAGCAGCTGCAAGAACTTGCAACAATGATCTAGGGCATTAGAAAAGCTATTAATATAGTACAGTTAAATATCACGCGTGGATCATATACAAAATATTAACTTACTTGAATGTCACGTATGTTTGAACTTGTACAGGTCTTTGCTTGTACTTTTCATATAAAAATCTTTGCGTTCTAAGGCAAACCGAACGATCAGAACCTGGGAAAATCGTCGACCAACCTTCGGAAATAGCGCTGCGATGTAAGACACCTCTGAAAAAAAAAATAAATAAAACAATTGTTCATACCACGATACTTGTGAGATGTACGAAAAAAAACCTTACTTTGATTTCAATGTCGGTTTCAATTTTGGCAATTTTTCAGGATACAATTTAGTACGAAGATCACGAAGTTCATTTGCATGCGCCAATCCGTACACAGCTGATTCCCAAGTGCCATAGTGTATTCCGGCACCACTGGCATTCGACGTAGACCATGCATTTAAATACGTTTCTACGCTGTTGACTTCTCCATCGAATTTGTTCTGAGTGTAGATTATACCTAAATCAGACGGGATACTGTCGAAACCGCAAGCACTGACTATATAAATTCCAGCTTCTTGAGCAGCTTTGTTGTACTCCAATTGCATTTTTTCCATATACTACAATGAAAACAATTCTATGAATAAGATTATATGTTATAGTCAAACAAATATACAAATACCTGTGGTTCACCGCTGACATCGACATGATGAGTGTGAGTAGCAATGCAAGCTTTGACAACAGGTTCACCGTAAAATCTATATGGACCACATGTATTTACCAATACTTTAGCTTGCTCGGTCATTTTTTTCAGTGAATCCTCATCTTTCAAATCGGCAATGATGATTTTGATGTTCTCTGAAAATTTAATTTTAGCTTGAAAATATTTCAATTATCAAAACCGTACAACAGAAATAAATTAAATTATCGATGCATATTGGGTATAAATTTTTCTGCTGCCGCGCATTGATTCGTTGGCACGAGAATTTAAAAATAGAGTTTTTGAAAATAAAACTATCAAAAAACAAATGGGTCTTCGTTCTATATTTCATATCAGAGTTCTCGTTGTTATTTATATACTTGATTCAGGAGCGAATTCTTTCAATATAGCTTCCAGAGCCTCTTTACGTCTGCCGGCAACTCCCCAAGTGAAGTTCTTTTCTTTGGCCAGTCGTTCAGCTTCTTTTACCGCATATTTGCCTGTGAAGCCGGTCGCTCCGAATATTACAATATCCAAACGTTCCTCGGACATTCTGAAAATCGAAAGTATGATGACGATCAAAATCTTTCGTCTTATAAATTTTGCTCGTAAACGAGATACTTTTACGAATACAAGACGAAATTCACCGATGGAATTTAAAATTGGAAACGATCTCTTGTGTGAATTATCAACGTAAAGCGCGAGATATCACAACACACGAGAAGATTCCAGCCATCGATAATAAAACCTAAATACGCTCGGCTGTTTTCAGTGACGGGACGCAATAAAATTGCATGCGTTTACATTGGATTAAAATAGAACTATATAGAAAACAAAATAAATTATCATTGACGCGCGTGTCTGTTTCTCCAGCTTGTTACTATTAAAAAACCCGTGAGCTGTTCGAGAACAATTTTTACAGACTGATTTGTAGGTAATAGTCAATGACCGTGTAATTTTTTTTCTTTGCACAATTAGCTCGTTAGCGAATTGTTTCCTAAGCGACCTAAAAAGAAATATGTACCTATATGGCAAAGCACTTACTTATGACGAAAATTAGCGCCATAGAATATCTATACAGCGATGCATAATGAGTCGTAACCGGCAGTGACTCACAGGCACAGTTCTTAACAGCTATAAATAGATTTGCGAACTTATATATATATAAGGAAGTACCGATGAGAGCCCGCACGAAATTTGCAATCATGTCTTTCACTGCAAAGATTTTCCGAACCTCATGAGCAATTTTCGCCTTGCATCACTTTAGAGAAAAAAGTGAAATGAACTTTAGCCGGTGTCAACAATGGCTAGTTGCCAAGAGTGCCAAGTAAGGAGTATCATGCAACTGCCATTGCTCCGAAATTACAAACAAAAGAATAATACGCGAGTAGTGCGAACAAAGACGATTGTATTGACAAAACTCACCTGAGATGATGATTGTAGTGTCGATTTGTCGTGCAGAAATTTATAAATAAATTGTCTTTCGCTAAAAGGCAACTCCCGTGAGTAAAGAGGAAAGAGTGCTGCGGACTCGACGTGTGCGATACGTGTGACGTGTGGTAGGGGTTAAACTGCTGTTTCGATGCGACGTGTATGCGCGGAAAATAAGGCGTAATTGATACACACAAAGAACGAATTGGATAGAGAATTTCGAGATGTGGTATATTATCGATCGATGCTAAAGTAGATGCCGAGTTGAACGACGGCGTCGCACGGTGGCAAATACAAATCGTGACTTTACACTTTTTGGAATCCGGAAGTGTGTGTTGTATTTCATAAAGGTATAGTAATAGAAAATGAAGCAGAAACACCAGTGTAACAATTGCATTAACTCTTGTTCAAAGTACACTTGTGCGCAAAAATGTTCCGTGTATTTTTGTATAACGGCTTCCCATCGCAGCTTGAAGTGATTTATGTTGAGACTCTCAGTAAGAAACGACAGTATAACACGTTGTACTGAAATTACTCGATGCCTCTACAAATAGCCATTAGTATTCGCTTGTGAAGCCGGTTGCTTTGAATATTACAATATCCAATCAATCTAAATTCACGATTATTATTCTAAAAGTTATTCAATGATGTATTCGCGCAGAAAAATTATAGTAGACTTGAGATGCCATTGTGCGCAAAAAAATAACAACGATCGGTACTCCGATAATTTTCTACATAACAGCTTGATAAAAATTATCGGAACTATATAATTTGTTCTTGTCACTGTGATTGTTCTGTCTGCTTATTTATGAGTACGCACATTAGAAAGTAGAAATGATCAAGGATAATTGGAGTTATAAAGAAAGCTCATGATTTCTCGATTGCATTCAGTTACAATTTTGAAACTCCGAGACGCGCATTTGTTCGGAGCAAAATTTATGCTAAACCATCTCTAGGAAAAAAAATCTTATATTTCAGCAATTCCAATTGAATTTTACCAAAACGAGATATTTTTAATGCAAATATATAGAAAATTACACGGTTGTAATCTAGCGCTCGGCATTTTTTAAATATACCATTGAAATCAATGTGAATAACACACTAGTACTTGTTGCTCAATGCGTGTCATTGCTATCGGAGAACCAATTCGACTGACCCACGCGAAACGGATATTGAGAAACCCGGAACTCTCATTTTCAGTCAAATCAAGGAAATTGGCACTGTTGTCGCTTGAGAAAATTACCCAACAATGTGAGCTGCCACCGGACGCAATGCGAGCCGATGCTAATCGTCCTGTGGCAAGGACAACGGCTGGTCATTATTTCGTGTGCTGTCATCGCGTAAAAAAGTAGCGAGCGCGCGATCAGCGAATTGAGCGATCGTCAATCCGAAACGGCTGCTCTCTTATCGATAGATGCTAATGAAAATGCGCTGTTGGACGGTGGCGACCGAACCGCTTTGCCAATATAGTCTCTAAATGTAACGTTGTGACTTACGAGGGACGCTTATGAATCAGACAGAGCATAGATAAGCCATCGAGCTCGATTCGTACATGCGAGTATGCGTTTCCGGCGAACTTCAAACGAACCCCGACTGCTGTAATTAGCCTTTACTTCGCGTACATTTCTCCTATCAAGGCGAAAACACCCCGCGTTCGAAAAATGCTAATTGAAGTTGCGGTCGAAATAACGCAACGAATCGCGCGTGAGCCCGTCGCGAACGCTCCCGCCTCGCTAATTTCGAACAATGCGGGCGCGAGGGGGCACAGCTGCCGCGTTAATTAACAGCGGAGCAATTAATGTGACGCTCGATTATATATGTATATCGATGATTCTTCGATTGTACAATAACGATTGTTCGCGTCTGCGTACAAATCGTGAAACGACGGCTTGTTTTGAGAGCGCGCGTTCTCGCGTAATTACAAGACGGATTAATCAAGACGGATTAATCAAGACGGATTTGTCTTGAAAATGTGAGGGATGTATTTTTTAATCGCCCGTTTGCCGACGAAAAATACGAAAATTGACAAAATAAATATAACTGACGATACGAGTAAAAACATTAAGAGAAGCAGATGGCGAGACTATGCAAACGCGTTGATGTCGAAATAATCGTGATTATCATTCTAAATGTGAGTATAGTTGTAGTTCGCAATGTAGGTGTGGATTGAGTAACCGTACACACAAGGCAAAATAACGTGACCGCGAGTCGGAAATTCGGAAGCGAGTCGGTTGGAATTTCGTATTCGCCGTAGGAAATGGAATACGAGCTGACAGTAGAACGCGTAGAATACGTTAATTATACCTAATGACGTATTTCAACTGAAAAACTGAATAATCCGATAAACCGCGAGATTTAATCAACTTTCACAATATTCTCACCTGCAACGAGGAGAAAAATAAATCATTCGCGTCCTAGTAGTTCGTTGTAACAACGAAGGTCGGCGGTTGGTGACACATAGACCACCTGCCTGCCCTCCTAAAAAAAGAGGCAGCGAGAGATACGTTAACGTTTGCGCGAGGCTGAAAAATCCGTTATTCGGATTTGCACTTAGCGACACGGGAACGGAGCGCGTAGACAGCGGTAAAAGGGAGAGGAGGGAGGGGTGCAACGAGAGTGAAAAGGCAATTCGTTTCTCTGCTGATGAGCGCGTGTGCATTTACAAGGGGTGCGCTATCCACAGCGCGCGATCGCGCGTTCACTTTCGTGCGTTAAATGCGGATTGGGATACGCACGCCTTGCTGTCGCTGAATTCTACGATGCAGTTTTTCTTCTCGAGGATCTTTCATTTAGGTGCGAGATAAGCGAGATGTTAAATTGATTTTAAAGACATAGCATATCTCTTGTTTAATTTGGAATCTTCTATGTAATGCTTAATAATTATATTGATGTACTTTGACATTAGTTGAAAAAAGAATGCGACTATATTATTCGGAGCCAAATAACGATAAATCAGACGTTTTATTACGAGTATAAGTATTTAGGGAACATGACGATGTTCGTGACCAATGCCTTGGCGGGGTCGTTTTTTTCTCTCGTAAATTTAAGTTTCTTTTTTTCTTTTTTGTCGTGAGTAGTAATTCAAGTCGCAATTCACTAAAGAACGTTAGGCGTGATAATCTCATCGAGAATTTTTCGTCGTAAGCTGTGAGATCAATATCTTTAATAATTTTCGGATTCTGATAACAGTAATCGTTCGATCTCGAGGTGGTATCGTCGCAACCGAACAACCGACTGACTTGCAATCTCGTTGCTGGTCAGCTTCCCAACTTGAACCTCATGAGAGACAAGCAACGAGCGAGCCGCGCGCGTGCAGAGATCGAAAAATTCCGGGCAGGTACAAGTTATATACGACTGCGCGCCAGCGACGTAATACAACGAGGGAGGGGGAGAACACAACGAGCCCAACGGAGAGTAGCACAGCGAGCAACAGCTTAGTAGTGGTTCGCGTGCCTTCGTTTGCGCACGACGACAAAAAAGATACCCGCGAGCTGCGCGTGCTTGTGTGCTTTCCGCGTGTAGCTTCAAATCTGAAGTAGCGTCTAGCGTTGAAGGTTCTTCAGAGAAACTTTGAGATAATAAGACTGGCAAGAGATTTTTTACCGTGAAGGGTGAGTTGACAAGTTGAGATGGGCACATTTTTACTCGAATTCAGCCGGTTGATTTAGGAATTGACCAAACGAATGTTGCCATTTTCGGTCCTTGAACGACTCCGAAATCGATGAGATATCGAGAGCTGAAAATAGTTTTAAAATTGTTTCTGGAATCTATTCCTTATATTGAACATTCTTCCGAGTGTCGCGAAGTTAAGATTTTTAATTTTTTTCCTTGGAAATAACATTACCATTCCAGTGCAAAATCATAATAAGCATAAAAGCATTATAAGTTAAAAAATAAAAGAAATTTGATGCATTGCGCGACTGAAAAATCTAAAAAACAAACAACATTGAAAACCCGATGTCGCGTACACTATCAACGTAAACGTTCTCAACAAACAAACATTAATCGTAGTTTCGCCTAAATATCAATGAACGTCCGTCTATTTATAAGCGTTGCTCATCAATAGTAGATTGCACAAGCGTCCGAATGAAGTCTCGGTTCGCAGCCGTATAATCGCTCATGAAGAAGGATGAGCGAAGAGTTTTGTGTTTATGTTCTCTCATCAGCGACGAGAGTATCATCCTCGGCGCGCGTTTAATTCGCAAATCACGATTTCAATGAGCCATCTCCTCCTCGGTGATTGCGCCTCCAATTGATGCGAGCCTTCGGCTTGCAAAAAAAAAGTAGAATCATTTAGGCGAGCGATGACCGCCGGTACGCGGCAGCATGGCAGGCGCGTGATCGATCACTTGCGCGAGAAACAATCGGTCCTTAATCGACGACGAGGATGCGAGCGGTATCTCCGTTCTTGGCCCCTCCCACGAGTCTCTCTCTCTCGTAGAGCTTATTATGCCGGCGAGCGAGAGCGCGCAACGTCACCTACTCGTGTAGCAGGCACACGTAAAGTGTGCTAAAGGGCAAGAACCTTTTGTGCTCGTGCGGCTGCGTGCGAGCGGGCGCCGCGTTACCCCCTTCGGGGCTCACGCGCGCCTTCGCTGCTTTTCACGCGCTCGTCCCGTTGACACGTGCCTCCGGAATCTCGGCCGGACGGCCGGCTTGCCCTCTGAAGCTGGCTTTCTTCCTTTTGGCGCGCCGACAGCGCGAGAGCCCTCGAGAACGCTCATCGAAATTTCCCGGTCCCGCTGCTGGCCGCCGATCGAGCTCCTCCCGCGGCTGTGCGCCCGTGAGAACGCACCGCGTCGCGCGATTACGCGCTTTCGTGCCGCCCAATGGGATCAGCGTCAATTTGGTCGCGCGACGAGTGGACTGGGCGTCGTCGCCGACGCGTGAGAAACCGGGCGAGTGTCAGTGGCGTAGAGCGACAGAGCGCCCCGGCTCGGCTTCGCGCTCGCTCGCTAGATAAAGCGAGAAACTGGAGAGAGGCGCTTGGCTCTGCTGGTCTTTCTGCGTCGTCTTTCTACGTTTCTCATCCCCCGTGCGAAAATGCCCGCATCGTTTCGCGCCAAAAGTGGACGTCCTTTCGAGACGTTTCGCCAGCTCTGCTCGGCGTGGCTCGTCGATTCGCCAAGGTCGAAACGAACGAACGCAACTTTTCGCAAAGGACGAAACGAAAGAGTCGCAGTAGCAGCCGCCACCCATATAACCAGTAGCCGTGTGGGCATCGCCCGATGAGGCGCGAGAGAGGCGCTCCCCACGGCTTTGACATAAGCTTGCACGATGCGCGCGAGCGCCAATTGCGAGACGATCACGGCCAGGCAGAACTCGTCCGGCCAGTTCACTTTCTTCCTCCTTGTTTTTTTTTCCGCCGCGGTAGCCGCAGCTGCCGCCGCTGCTCCCGTTCGCTTTTCTTCCTTCTTCTCGTTCCGATTCGGCTATTCGTGCACGCGCCGAGCACTCCTCTCGGTCCTCTCCGAAATCGCAAGCTTCTGTTCCGCGGGTCGTACGACTCGCTCGGACGCACGACGACGCAAAGCCGTAGCTCGCCTGGGGCACGTGGAGGGCTGCGCGTATGTCATCTGCTCGCGCATCCAAGACTATCGAAGCGCGCGATCTACTTTGTGCTAGCCGCGGCATTGTCGGCGCGCTTCCGGTTGTTCGCACGCGCATCTCCGATTTATCGCGCTACAGTGGCGTTCTTTCTTTGCCGAGATCCTTTTTTTCTTCTTCGCGAGCAGCTAATATTTCCAACGAGTGAATGGGCATTTCTCGAGCGTAGATCGAGTTTACGCGCGTATTTATGGTTTTACAAAGAAACATTAGCAGTCTGCCCGATTCGGATACTCTTGCTTGGCCGATATGCATCAGTTTCTAATGTCAATTCTTTGATTTGGGAACAAATCGACTTGCTTATCGAGTTCTTCCGGTCCGCGTCCATGGAGAAATGTCGGTCGATGAGAGTTATTCGAGTCAATGCACTCGCCGTGGATAATAATCTTTAGGAAAAAATTGACGAGCCGTGCGACAGCAAAACAACTGATCGCTCGTGTCTACGAACCGGAGAGCTCGTCGGCTAAACGCGACGATGGCCATTCTGCTCTAGTATTTTAATTGCCGTGTTTTCGACATTTCAATGCGACGACGAACAGTGGCGCGAGCAGCGTTCGTTGGCACAGCTAAAATTAAACGGTTCGGAGCTGCGCGATCAAACAACGAGGCTCGAAGCATTCGACCGCAGGAAGCGTACGATAAAATCCTGGGCTTTTCAAGCAAGGCCACATCTGTCAATCCTCAAATTACCGAATTTCGAAGACCGAGCATCTCCTTCGCGGACGAACGCACGCACAGAAGTCTAAGCATCGAAAGCATCGTCGTCGGCACACAATGCCCGAGGGGACGAAAGCGAGGGTACGAGGTCCGAAGCACGCTGAAAAGGGATTTAGCTCTCCTCCTCTTGGACGCCCGTACGTCCCCCCGTACGTAGCACGACGCGTACGCGTGCACTGCGAGATCCGTTAGGCGCTCCGACCTTTTCGCGACTTCGCTCTTTCTCTCTTACTCTCTCTCCGTCGCGCGTGCACGCTCGCGACTTCCGTTTTTCTGTCTCCGAGGGCCGGTCCTCGCGCGATCACGAAATCCGGATGCTGAGCATCTGCCGCGCGCGGCGCGCGTCGTCGATCTTTTGTCCGGGCTTCTCCGAAACGCGCCGCGAGCGATCGCTCGTTCAGGGATTTCCACGCGACGAGCGCCCACTCGAGTGCGACCGTACCTTTCGACCGCACCGGCTCGAGCCTTGTTTGCTTTTCCAATGCGCCGGCTGAGCGCAGATGCGCTCGTCTCGTTGCATTGTTCGCCGGCTATCAAGTCCGTCAAATTCTTAATGCCAACGCCGCGGATATATTGTACACACATTCGCCGACAACTGGGTGCAAGAGCAGAGCATAGCTTTTAACGAAACTCGGGGCAGCACGAGGATTCCGCGACGTTGTATTGCGCAACGATAGGCAGACACGGCCTCGGCGTTAGCTTCGGTATTGGATAGCTAGTCGGTCGCGTCGACGACTGTCGGAAGTAGGCATCCTCCATTGTGCCCTCGGTGCACATATCGTTGGTCCAGTAGCCCCGCTGTATCTGGCCGGTGTTTCTGTGGTAATATATGCCGTAACCTTCCTTTTTGCCGTTCGCGAATTGGCCTTCGTACACGTTGCAATTGGCTGGGAAACGAAGCGAATTTCTCCATGAAGTTTAGTGTCTGTGCCGGCGAGGAAGGGGGCTTCTGCTGGTAGTCACTTAGGTAGATTTTGCCTTTGCCGTGAAACTGGTCGTTCTCCCAGATTCCTTCGTAGTACTGGCCGCTGTACCACCACATCTGGCCGTATCCTTTCTTCCGGCCGTCCTCGAAGTAGCCCTTGTAAAAACTGTCCGCGTACCAGTGCAGCCCGTAGCCGTGCTTCTTTCCTCTGCACCAGCAGCCCATGTGGATCACCGTTCGGGATTGCGGGCACTTGCTGCTCGAGATTTTGCTCAATGTGCCGAATCCATGTCTCGCGCCCTCCTTCCATTCTCCATTATAGACGTAGCCAGTTCTATGAGCAACATTGATGCTTTTCATTTGAAATGAATTTAATAGTTGCGTCGATCACACTGCGTACCTGTAGATTTCCATTCCCCTGCCCTCTTTCTCGTCGTTTCTCCACTGACCTACGTATTTGTCTTTGGGGTACCAGTGGGTACTGAATATAGAGCGTCTGAACCCATTTCTCTTTGCTCTTTCTTTGAGGTCGCACGCCGAATTCGCCGGTCTGCTACCGATACACGCCATGCTCGACTGATAATTTCATTATTGTTAGCTGTGAATCTGCCGATACACGTGAAACTAGCTGCAATTCACTTCGTACTTCCGATTTTCAAATCAGCATATTTCGATATCCTTGGCTTTCCGCTCAAAATTTGCCGGATAATCCGACCGCACAGAGACACTTTCAGCGAAAACAATTATCACGCAACAAACTTTGTTCGAAACGGACACATCAATGATCTCATTTGATTAAGGATTCTCACGCCGTAAGCTCAAGACGAAATAGCAGAAAAAAAACAAAATAGCGAAAGCACGTATCCAGCTAATCATCAACAGTCGCAATCAGTCGAATCACATATAGAAGGCCACTCCTATCCACTTTTTTCCATAAATCTTTTCTGCAGAGCAAGGAAAAAAAAATATTCGTGGCGTAACGTAACCACCAATTTTTTCGACGGCATATAAATGACGTGAAGATGACATTAGAGAGAAAGGAGCGCGACAGGTATACGACGCGTGACGAGGCCGATGATATTCTCGAGGGTGACGTGCTCGATAAAATTCGGTCGACGAAAAACGAAGGAAAACAGAAACTCGCTCGAGTAATAAGAACACAGCGAAATATATCTTGCCGGCGAGGGCTGGCGAGGTAGGCGCGTTTGTCCAGTCGAAATCGATTTGCTTTTTCTCGAGCGCGGCAGCTAGCTAGTGTCGTTCACGCGAAGGCGAGAGTGAATTTCATTCGCACTTGGCGCGACCCAGAAGCGCGCGAAACGCTTGGCTCGCGACACGCACCGTGCACGAAACGGAAGATCCTTCCCTGGGGGGAAAAAACAGGCCGACTAATAACGTAATAAAGCCTCGCCTAATTACGCGACTTACGTATACACACGGACATCGCCGAGCACGGGCGTGGATGTTTTCCTTTAATTCATTACAATTGTATAACCTACGCCGCGACGGGTCGTCAGGAGTTTAGTGGCGCTCTCTCACGCGAGCATTTCTCATCTGCAATGGCGAGGAATTTCAATGTGAGCGCAACGAATATTCAGCGTACGCGCGAACCTCGTTGCTCACGCGTGAAGCTCCAGGCCTCGATTGTCATCCGTTTTTACCGTTACTCAGAAATACAATCTAGATCAGGCTTCATGCGCTCAGCGAAGTCGCAATAACGTAACGCAGCCGCTAATATTCCGCGATCCGTCAATTTGAGAGACGAACGCATCGCGGCGAACTCGCGCGCGAACAAACCGAGAGAAAAGGAGCGGATGAGCCGTCGTCATCGCCGTCGACTGTCGTTAACCCAGTTTATCGCGCGTGCCGAAAAACTTCAAAGATAAGGAAAAATAAGTAAGGGAAAATTCTTCGTTTTTTACGAGCGCGAGCTAATAAACGAGCTAGGCGGTCGCTAACACCGAGCAGCTCGTAAAAGCGCTGTACGCTCGCGTATACAATTCAGGCGGAAATTGGTCGTGGATCTCGGATTGGCGCGCGGCTCTTGGCTGCGCGCGCCGGGCGACGAGCTGCGAACGAGAAAAGCGCGAGCGCGGCACCGAGCGGATGTTTGTAATTGCCGACAAAAGGCGTGGGAGGAATCGAGAGCAAACGCTGCACTAGCACGCGCCCTAGACGATGCCCGTCTGCAGACCCGTACGCTCGCCTCGCCCCATCTCTCGTCGACTCGCCACGGTCACGGATTCAAGCCTCCATTGAAATTGCCCGAGTTGACGTTGTAGGTCGAGCCGCTTGGCTTGCAGATCTCCGTTTAATTACAGCGTGAGCTTTCAAACGACATCGATCTTCCAATCATCGCGCCGGCGAGCGAGACGCTTGGGGATTTCCAAGCAAACGGGTCCGTAAAAAGTGACGAGGGACGTCCCGTGGCAGGCACGCGGATTAGGCCAAGAACCTTTGCAAGCTTGCTGCCGGTCGGGCGATACGACTCGATTGCTCGAGCAAACGCGCGTATCAAGAAAAGCGTGGAGTAGCCAAGCCAACCGCGGCCAATCAGCCTGATCGCAGCCAACGCGCACGACGGTATCCGCTCGCCCACGCTCGCGCGCGCGTAAACGTCTCGCGGCCGGATGGAGCGCGATCCTCTTTCGCTAACTGCGTAATTACGCTCGAGCGCGTCTCTATTATCGCGCGACGACAGTTCTTACGAGTCAGCGAACGCCTCACTCGCGCTTTGCCGTGTCGCGGGTACGATGGAACTGGCCGTTCGCTGCGAGCACTAGCTGCTTCGCGCCGACACGCGGAGCGCTCGATTGCAATCAATGGAGCGCCGAATCGAAACATCGGCTTGTCTTGTCTGCAGGCAGTCGGCATCGATGAGCTGATCGAGAGACAAGAGAACAGGATGCAACAGGGCGTCGAGCGATGAAGCGTCGCAAACTCGCCGTTGCAGACGCCTAGTCGTTCTCACAGGAAACAAGGGAAATAAGCGCCTCTCCTTCGTCCGGTCGATCAGCAAAAATACGGCGCTGCGATGAGCTCGACGACGGATACGCTGGGCAGCACGAGCGAGCCCAGGGACACGGCCGAGGCCCGCAGGAAGCTCGTCAACACCAGCCTCCTTTCCCTCAAGTGCCTGCTCTTCTTCTTCTTCGGCGGTAATCGACTCTGCCCGCTCTGCTTCGACAGCAACGAAGCTCGGGATAATTGCCTCCTTCGCCATTGGCCTGTCGCAGGAATGGGCTGTCTGCTGCCCTTCCTCCCTCTTCACATGCTGGCGGTGGGTCTGAGCGCCGCCGAGATCCGCACGATATCGATGATCTCGCCCGCGGTCGCGATCCTGGGGCCGCTGATCGCAGGACCGCTGGCCGACCGGGCGGCGTTGGCGACACACCGAGCGGGCCCCGACAAGCCGACGCCGATCGGTGACCGGCCGAGCAACGGCAGATACCTCCGAGTGATGATTGCCGTCTGCTGCGTGTTCTCGGTGCTGTTCTACTCGCTTCTGCTGCTCGTGCCGGCGGTCAAGAGGATCGACCTGCCGCACGAGCTGCAGCCCGCCGTCAAGTTCTCGTGCGACGAGCGCGGCGCCGTGGTCCACCAGGAAAGGTAGGCCGAGCGCGAGGCCCGGGTCGATCGACCACTGACGCGAGGCGTGCGCGCAGGTGCCGCAACGCCATCGGCTGTCACCGTTGGACGAACGAGGACCAGCTGGGCACGCTGCGTCTGGACGGCTGCCGCTACGCATGCCGCGATGCCCAGAGAGCCAGGCAGGCGCCCGCGAGCGGCCTGCAAGCCGACGAGCCCGCGAGCGTGGTGCCGCTGCGGCTCGCCGCGGAGGGCGCCGCGGAGGGCGCCGCGGAGGGCGCCGCGGGCGGCGACCAGCTGCCGGGCGTGGTGCCGTTGGGCGGACTGGCGACCGCGGGCCCGCCGACCACGGGGGCCGACGTGCTCCGAGCAGCCAGGGCAGGTGAGATGCGCGCGAGAGAAGCTGCGGTCTGCCCGCGGCCGAGTACAGCCTGCGTTGCGCGCGCGCAGGTGCGAGCACGGAGGCGCCGCTGAGCGAGGCCCCGCACGTCTGCTACAAGGACCCGCGCGGACGCAAGATCTGCCACGTGTTCTCGAGCGGCGCGGCGACGCCCGGCGGCCTGGCCGTGCGGGCGAGTCTGCGGCAGGCTGTGAACGCCGAGGACGCGGCCGACTGGTGCGCCTACCCCGTGGCGCAGTACATGCAGTGCCGGATACCGACGCGCGTTCGCGGCGCGGCGGCCAACCGGAGCTGCGCGGTCGAGTGCTCGCTGAGGGCGCCCTACGACGCGGACCCGGGTGAGTGGCCTGTACTCGTCGCGAGGGGGGGTTGCTGCCTCCGGCTGTAACGAGCATCCATCTCACGCGCAGCGCCGGACCAGCTGCTCGCCGAGAGCCAGTGCAGGCAGCTGATCGGCAACGAGCAGCTGACCTTTTGGATGTATCTGGCGATCCGCTCGCTGGCCGACATCTTCCCGAGCGCCGCGCTGGCACTCGTCGACGCCGCCGTCGTGATCGCCACGCGCGAGAGCTCTGCCGGACGCGGCGACGTCGGCCGCCAACTGGGTAAGCCAATCGGCCTCGCCGATCGCCGCCGCTGACGACGCCGATAACCGGACGCTGATCGCTCGCTTCAGCCTTCGGCTCGCTGGGCCTGGCTCTGTTCGGGCCGCTGTCCGGCTACCTGACCACGCTCCTCGGGTCGCAGCCGGCGTACTACGCGCCGTTGGCGCTGCACGGGCTGCTGGCGCTGCTCGCCGCCTGCGTCGCGCTCTCGGCCGACTCGATGCCGCTCGGCCCGCCCGAGTGGTGGTGGCACACGAGGAGCGGCATGCTGGCGTTGCCGATGAGCTCGGTGAGGAAGTATCGCGGTGAGACCGCCGCACTGTTCCTCGTGCTCGTCGTCATGGGCGCCTTTTGGGGCGCCATGGACACCTATCTGCCCATGTGAGTATCTGCGCAAAGAGGCTCGTGCGCCCGAGCGTTCAGTTTTTTGCTTTCTGTCGGCGTAGACATTTGGCGCAGCTGGGTAGCGACGAGCTCGCGATTGGACTGGCGCTGACGTTCGGCGCCTTGCCCGCGTTGCTGTTTCTCTGGAAGTCGGAGCACCTCGTCGATTACTGCGGCCACAGCAATCTTCTCATCACTGCCTTCATTATTTATATCGTCAGGTACGAGCTACTTCGTCCTTTTCTGTCACTTTTCGGATGCACTTTGCGGTTCTGCTGTGAATTATTTGTACGCCTGGTATTACATATATCGATCGTCAAAGGATAATCAACTTGCCAGTGCTTTTTCAGGTTCGTCGCATTGAGTCTCGCACCGGATGTCTGGTGGGCCTTGATCTCCGAATCGCTGGAACTTTTCACTCTTGGTGTGATGTGGGTCACCGCGATCCTCTACTTCCGTCACTTGATTTCGCGACAAATGACGGCCACCGGTCAAGCGTTTCCGGTCATCGCTCACTTTTGCCTTGGTACATTAATTATGCATATTTCGCTCATGCGAATTGTAGATCATTGCTGGAAATTATCGTTCGTTAAAAAAATGCTCTTTTCGTAAAAAGGCCGAGCAATTGGAGCTGTGATTGGTGCTTGCGTTGACAAAATCAAAAGTGACAATGAAGTCGATGCTATGAGATGGATCTACAGGTACATGGCAGCAGCCGCAGCTGTGATGGCTACCTTGTACTTTGCCATTTATCATGGTCTTCTCAAGCCCAGATGTCACACACAGACTGTGCAGGGTAGCCACAGACAACCGCCTACCATTGTTCAAGGTACAGTTAGGCATCACTGTTGTTAAACCAAGTGATAATTGTTTAGTTATGATTAGCTTTCCTCCAAGATAAAATATTTTTTGCGATAACAAGGGTCATTTCAATGAACAACACAAATAGATAATTATTGAAATGCTCGTCACTTTATTTTTTATAAACAAATATGTATATATATATATATATATATACAGACTTCGTTTTTGGCGTATTAAAATAAAAATTCGCAATAGTTTCATTTTTACAAAGTTAAAGCTAAACTTAAATGTAATAATTGCATTATGCTCGTACACAATGTCAATCACAAAAAAGATTTTGGAAGTCGTTTTTGAGCATCTAGATATCGAAATATATCTATAATGATTGTGTTTTCTTTCATGTTTGTTGCAGCGATAAATGGCAATGGCAATTATACGCCGCTAAGAATCTACCACAATGGTATGGGTCGAAAAGGGCAATTCCGATATTGAAGAAACGAATTAACATTCAATAACAGTAATTCGACGCTTCTTGCATTTATATCACACATACGGAAATTTATTTTTTTATAACTACTAGAACTGAAAATTTCTGTCATTTCCATATCATTCGTTAACGCGTTATGTTGCCCAGTGAGTGATCTTCATCTTTTTTTAGACGTTTAATATATTTAATATATTATATTGTAAATGTATGAATGAATAAATATTGAAAATAATTGTAACAGATTTTATTTTATTTTTACAAAGCTTTCTAAAAAATGCCAATGAATCGATGATAGTTGCATCAAGAATCTGATTTGATGATACTTCTTTTCTCTACCTAAGAGTTTTAGGTACATATGCAATGTGAACGTTTAAACTACAGATCTATGAGTCTAATTTTTCATTTCTCAAATGAAGAATATTAAAATTCTCTTTAGGCATTATCTTACTCTGTTAGTGATCATTTTTAAGAGACATATCTAGACAACGTTAAAAAAAATCTCACCTATTTACAAACGACAATAGCATTGATCCTCGCGGAAAAGGAAAACGCCTGCGTTATAAAAATGTAAAATATTCAGACTTTTGAAAAGTTATATTAGGTCATTTCAGAATATACACGGATTTGTACACTGCTTCAATAGCAAACATGGAGTAATTGAAGATATAAAATTTAAGAATTATCTTCAATAAAGTCGGGTTCGTTTCGTACAAATGTCGATTCTGACACGACTTAATTTTATACGAATTAAAATATTTTGTTTATTTAACATAATAATGGCTTTTCAGTTGAACAGAAAACATATAATTATATTCATTAGAAAAGAAGATACTACCGAATGTGTAAACTTTCTACAGAAAATTCTTTTGGAAATAATACAACAAACTATTCTACATAAAATATTTTGCAGAAATACATAACATTTAAAAGAATTATATGCTTAGGATTCTGCTCATTACTAAAATATAATCAAATTTACGAATATAATGATTTTATCTTTTTTTGTGCCAAATCAATCATTTGTTAATTGTTCTGTGGAAAGATATATCAGATTTTTATATATATTTTTTTTTATATCGTATTTTATTATTGTGTTTAATGGACAAGCATTACCTTAAATAAAGTAAACAAAAAAAATTGTATTCAGTTCAGTAATCACGTAAAATCGGTATATGTATGAAACGAACCCTGCCTTCAATAAGCATAGAGATTTGGAATTTCGTTTTGATCTACCTCATATTTTGTTTTTTAGTTATTATCTCACATATTCTATTCACTGCTATAAGCTTACAACCTGTGCTTACTTGTAGAATTTGTAATGATTAACTCTTATGCTTTCTTATTTGCAATTCGTTTAATTCTTATATCTATTATATTCTTTGTCAGCGATTTTCTTTTTTCTCTTGAATCGAGAATTCTCAAAAAACTTTATTTCAATAATATTCGTTACATATTTTTTGAAAATATCCCGAAAAATTGAAAAAAATAATAAGATTAACGTCCATTTAGAAATACCTATGTACAAGTCTCACAGTTAGGAATCTATATATAAATCGATTGTACAAAAAATATGCAAGACGATTTTTTTTTGTTAAAAGATAATATCGGCATTAAAAAACCGTGACTTCTTACAACTCTGTGATAAATATTTTCAAAACCCCTAACAACGGTTGTCTTATTAAAGAATTGATTAAACATCTCTTATCTGTAGGTGAAATCAACAGTTTCAGAATCACTTACTCTGGGGTACAGAGATCGTTTTTAACATAACGAGATAAGAGAGAAATTGGATAATTAATTGCTTCTTGAAGACAAGGTTTATTAATTGATCGTTAACTAGTCAATCGTCGTACAGTCATCATCGGCGATGTCATTACTAGTACACATATCAGTGTCCATTTTGTGCTCTACTTCGTAACTCTTATCAACCACGTGAAGGATTGAATTTACCGCATCACGAGTTTCTTGCTCTAGCTCAACATGACTAAGCTTCTTTTCCTCGTTTGTCTTTTTCTCAGCGATTACCTGTTCGCTGCGTAAATCTTCATTCAACTTCGTTACCATTTTAACAAGTTCTTCCACAGCTTTGGACGTTGGCGCCGCGTTCTCTTCCGATTTTTTTTCCGACTCTTCCGGCGTTTCATTCTCATTAAGACATATTTCCATTTCCGCTTGATCTGCGATATTTATAATATTTGGATCCGAATCGTCAAAGTTACCACCATTCGAAAGGGTCACAGGACTCAGTCGTTCTAGCATATCTGTAATAAAGGGCGACGTACCATCAATCAAATCTTTCAGTGGAATTTGATTCGGATCAGCTAATCCCTAAACATAAAAAAGCAATGAAAATTATTTTATATATTGAATAGCTATTTTTTATATTAAAACATACTCCAGTTACTTTGCAATCACATACCTTTGAGTCGTCGGTTTCGATACCATGATCCTCGATATGCTGCAGATAGAACAAAAACTGTTCTTGATATTTACCAAAATTCTCGTCAGGCGTGACAACAGGCCGAAGTATCTCCTCTTTTGTCTCGGGATCGTAATCCGACCTCGTAAGTAATGAGTAACCGATACATTTCTCGTAATCTCTCCAAGGCACATCGTCGACTTGACATGCTTTGTCTTCCGTCCACACCGACGCGTTACCACCGATACCTTTGACAGCCGTCACTTTGCGTTTGAATATTGTTAAATGATCGAGAATCGTCGCGAATTCTGGTGGTAGATCAGAATTTCCTTCAATCACGCGATTTTCACCATCGAAATTTTCGATGTAATTGTCGTCATCGTCGTCATCGTTGTCTGATTCCGATGCTGACTCTCGCACGCAGATCATTTCCAAGGGAATGTCTTCTTTGGGTTGACTGTGATGGAGAAATAGCAACAATCGTAAGAACCAGTCGACATTCAGACCATTCGTTAGATTTTAAAATTATTTGATGCCCGTACGAATAGCCTTTACAATTAACGGTCACTGCAAAATAGCGATCGGTCGTAAACAACTCGTAAAATTACAACAAACTCACCTCTTCTTTTTCACGCCACTCTTGATTGAATTCTTCCTCCAGTGCAAGTAGTCTTTGACTAACCTGTCGTTAATTTGTGACAACTCGACAAGTGCTTTCCTCATAGCTCGGTGAAACCTTTTGGTACACATGGCCGCTGAATTCAACAGATCCTCATCGTGTTGAGGTCGGTTATTCGACAATTGCATTAATTTCAACACTTTGGTCTTCAACTTGCCAATGGTGCTGTCAATCTCTTGGCTCTGAAGCACGAGCATCTTTTTGAAACGCTGATCGCGTTGTTGAGTCTTCAGAGGTATCATGCCGTCGACGGTAATCACTGGCGGTGCTGCGGAAGCTGATTTTGGCGATTTCTCCGAGATCACCACCAACTCGTCGTCCGTAATCTGCTGTACAAATTTACGCGTTACGTAGCGACTTCCAAGCATCATGGTTGTCTTTATATTCGTTTGTTAGCTATTGTTAACCAGTTTCGTTTAGGAATGCATTTTGACGAAGGAAATCAAGAAAGAGAAAGGAGGGAGGAGAGGTTAAGAGACAACTGCTGCTCTCTTTGTTATGGTTTTGAGAGAAAGAGAGAGAGAGAGAAAGAGAGCGAGAGAGAGAAACAGCAAGGATGTGTATTATTGATTTTTGCTAATTTTCTTGAAGTGTTTTGATGAACACGGTCTGAATTTGCTCTGTCGTTGAGTTTTTTTCGATTGAAATGACATTTACACAGATTTTGAAAAAGTGAAGAACAACTAACAAATTACTTTCTTGAAGGAACAGGGTGGACGCGAACAAATGAGACAAAACTACTTAGAGGTTATAAGTATGCCGGCAGCGCGCGCTCGAATAACAAGATGGAGACAATTTTTAAGAGAAAACATCTGGTCCTTTTTTTATTACACTTAGCTCTTTGGTTTTTGATAAATTAACAATGATAATTTAAACTAATTTCGTTAATGATTTAATAAAACTTTACATCTCAATAGTGGCCTCATTTGAACGTCCATTAACATTATTTGAAAATTTTTTTTTTCAAATTATATTTCGTGGAAATTTAAAATAAAAATAATTAAAGTCATTGAATAAGTATTTTGTAGTTTGATTTCTTATAAATTGCTGTTATCACTATAACAGAACGTTGTCAATAACGGTTTCGAAACATTTACGATTACGTGCTAAACAATTTAGATTTTAATACATAAATATGTTTTACTTGTAATTTTTAGTTAATATACGTTGCAAAATAATTGTAAAATATATTTTAAATTAATAAAAAAGTTACAGAAATTTTACGAAGTTACGAATAATTATTTTTGTGAAACTAAAAAAAACACGCATCTAAATTTTAATATCAATAAATTTTTTTTAGTACGGTAGTATCGCAATATCAGATTAAATTTTTCACGACTCTGTGTACATTATTATTATTATTTTGTACAAATTTTTTAAAATGAAAAAGAATATTGTTCTTACCTGACTATTAGGCTGAGCAGTGTTAGCAGAGTTAACGGTATTATCATTATCAACAATGAAAGTCTCTTCAATTTCCTCGATTTGATCAGTGATAGTCACATGTTCATCTGACACAACACCATTGTTCACTTCGCAATTGTTATCACAATTATCCAAAATCACTGGTTCGTCGTCACTATCTAAGTCAATGACACTTGGTGATTGTTGCTGTTGTTGGTGCTTCTGCTGCTGTTGTTGTTGCTGTGCAGTTGACGGCGGTACACGAACCACTTGTTGAACTACTGGTTTCATTGTATTTTTCGGCATGAGGAAATGTGTCGGCGGTTTGACAAAGTTTATGCTACTCGTTACTACACCTTTCGGAACCATCGACATAGGCACTGCCACTAATTTTTTATTCATTCCACCAATTTTGATTTGCTTCGAGGATATTGCCACTTTAAGAAGATTCGCCAGGGGTACTGGATTTATTGCCATATTGTTTGGAGCGATTTTTTTGAATTGCACTTGCCGTGGTTGCTGACGGATTATGTTAGGTGTTGTTCGTGGTGACTGCACGGGTTCCTGTAATTAAAATAAAGCTCGTCATTGACTATTTTTAGATTAATACTAATATATTAAACAATTCATTATCAATAAATATATGTACATACTTGAGTGGGATCATCGCTGTTCAAAATTTCCGAATCCCCTTCGACCATGCTTTGCTCGCACGTCATCATGAGATCAGTGGGATCAACGTCAGAATTATTTTTCTCACGACGATTACTGTACTCGTGATCGTATCCATTGCTTAATACATTTCGCACGGTACCGCACCTAATTTTACGTTTTTTCGCTGGTGGTGAATCGGCTCTTTCAGCCTCTGGCACATAAGACGTGTCTTCCTCCTCATCATCTGACATTGACATGGTCCGTCGTCTTCCACGCTTACGTTTCCGTGAACAGCACTTTGTCTCGTCTAAATGCATCTTCTCTTCTATCTCTTTAAGGCTCATATTCTTCGCATTTTCTAATAATCTACAATAGAAAGGTTGATTAGTTTATTAGTAAGCTATTGGATGGAATCCTATGTAGCTTAGAGCAGGTGTGTATGTGTCTGTGTGTGTGTAGTTACTACTTGTGCTTTCATCTATTAGTACTAAAATAATAGCTTTTAATTACCTAGTCACTGTTTCTATATGAGATAAGAGTGCTCGACATAAAGAGCGTAGTGGATACAAGTCTTTGGGATCACAGACAAAACATTTCCATGACTCCTCTTCCTCTATCCTCTTGATGGTTGGAGGATCAAAGTTTCTTTTTATACAGGCACTGCAGAATGTATTACTGCAGTAAGAACAGCAGAAGAGGTTGCCACCATTTGCACACCAACGACAATACATATCAGTGGCATCGTCACCTTTAAAAATTATCAACAAAATATAATCGTACCACTACGTATACCATATAATCGTATCACTACCTTGTTCAAAAGTTCCAGTCCCATAGAATTCACGACATTTGCCACATAGCAGGACACGCAAAACTGGATGTTCATGCATGTTATGTGCTTTATTTGGAGCAGAGCCAATATGTTCAGCACAGCTAGTGCAATGGAGCTTGAGAAATCGTACAGAAGCAACATCTAACAAATATCAATATTGAATAGGAAATTAGTTCATCTTTTTGATAACTCAGCTTATATAAAAAATAATCAATAGTGTAACTCACCACTACCATATGTCAGTTTGTAAAACTCATTCTCTTCTGAGGAGAAGGTGACGCATGGAAAGCGCTGATGCAGTTGGAGATCTGGTATTACTAAAATTATAAAAATTTTTATTAAATGATATTATCAAAAATTCATATTATTTAGTTAAATGTCTTTTATGAATTAAAAATCACTCCAAAATGAATAGATTAATTCTCAGTCTCTTAATTATCACCTCATATAAAAATTAGTACAATTGTCAATTTTTAATGTCAGTTTTGTATATTGCTTGCATTATTTAGCTATTTAAAAATTTTTTTAATTATTTACAATAAAATTCATCAATCATTTTTATTTAAATTAAAATGCATTATACTTTCCACAGAAAAAAATTAACTTAAAGAAAGTTTTAAAAAAAATTAGCATGCACATCTTTAATTTACAATAGTAACACTGAAAACAATAGTAATAAATAACAATGACGATACAACATAAAACGTTGAAATGCACCTATGTACCTCAGATTATTTATACCATCCAAGCAGAATTTAAAACACATGGGGAGAAGGTTTTGTCTGTTGAAGTGCTAACAAAGCGCTAATAATCAAATAATTAAACCAACTCGCACTTCACAAGTGACGAAAGGTGAAAAATAATTACTCCGAAAAAAGGAAATCCACTCTTAATAAAAAGAAAAAAAATACTATGAAAATTCTGGCTAAGGTCGGAGAAAAACGAAAGAAAAATAAAGAAAAAGAATCAGGGGTATTATAGAAAACCAGAGTAGTAAGGTTAGACGCATATTTCCTTGAAATTTACAAGTGAATTTACACAACATACCATTCTCTTTGCTATCGGCAACCTCCTGGACCTCGACTTCGAGCATCGACGCGATGTCCATCGTGATGGATACTGGTTATTACTACACTTATACCTATATTATAACTTGGCGAAAGAGGCGATCCTCGGTTTCGCACAGAGCCTCGCGCTCTCTTTCTCTTTTTACTCGCGTCTCGATCACCGCGCCGCCATGTTAATATCACGCGCACGTTATATATTACACCTCGATGGAATATATAACAACCGGGGTGCGCTAGCGCTGGCGACGATGTTCAAGCATCAAATTTATAAATCGTGATAGTCGTCGTCGCCGCCACCGGCGAAATGCGCGACGACGTACTAGCGCTGCGAATCAGGCGAACTCTACATACTGCTTCGTGGAGTCTGCTGCGAGAATAAAAAACTGCCGCGCGCGCAGCATGCGAATAAGTTCCGTCGTGATTTCATCAATCTAAAATATGGTGGGGGAGCTTTCTTATTTCATTATCAAATATTCATCATCTTATAATATGTGATTAATAATTGCTATTCAGTTTAGAAGCTAAATCTCATTTTCTTTATAAAAAGTATTATCGTGATATTAAATTATGATTAAGAGTTCGCAACCATCAGTTTGCTTTGTTTAAAAATTGAAAGCTCATTCACGTTTTTCCTTTTCATGTAAATTTTACGAAAATTTTTACTCCTCATGTCATATGTTCTTATTGAAAACTGTATTTGATATTTATGTTTTAATTCGAGTATAACATATTATAGTATAGTACAATTACGTATAGCCGCGCGGTGTTTATCAAGTTGTTTACAAATGGCGCCGAGCTTTATTTTTGTTTTTATTAGCTCTTTGGATAAAAGTAGTTAAGCTTGAGAAAAAAATATTTTAATGATGGAGAACAAGGATCAATTGAATGAACTCCAAAAAACTGCTAAAAAATTAACCGAAGATATTCAGAATATGCCAAATTATAAAAATTTATACAATGAAATTCAGGTATAACGATAATTTTTTGTCACGAAATTTCACTCTGACTTGAATACTATTATTATTTTAGAGATTGGTTGCATCTTCGGCAGTAAAAAAAGAAGATTTCAAAAAAACACTGTTTGAAGCTTTAAAAAAGGATGGTTTAGAAACTCACATTAGAAATACAGTTTTTCATTGGACAAGATCGCAAGTAATAAATGGTTTTTATATGTCAACTGTGCGGCAAAGTAATGCTTTTATTAATACACTTGTTTCTTTATAGAATTCAATTGAAACACCCAATGAGTATGAAGCAGATTTGAGTTACTTGAAAAAAGCCCAGATTCAATGGGAAAGAAGAATACAGAAATCTTTAAACTCTATGTGTAATGAACTAAATGTTCCACTTGCAAGAATCAGACCAAATGCTGACAGAGAAGAGCTTTCAGAAAAGTGGAATGAATTGAGTACCTGTGATTTTGGTGAATGTCTTGAGAAAAATTAGTTAAAACTGTATAGTGTGATTTATCAGAACTTTTATTTTGTTTCTAACAGATCTGACTAATTATAGACCTTTGTATGCTCCAAAAGACTTCTTAGAAGTACTGTTTTCAGTCAGAGATCCATCATTTAAAAAGCAGCAGTAAATTATTACCTTTTACAAACATATTTTTATTGATACAACTTTTGAATTTTATTTAATTATTTCAGAAATGAACCAAATTGGGAGTTTAGCCATATTCAAATCAAAGTGAAAACTTTATCAGAACTTGTGAGCATTTTGCAATCAAAAATAATGTTTTAAATGTTCTTATGATATTGTATTTAAAAAATCATTTATGTACAGAGAGGAATATACAAGGAACTTTCAGAAGGTGTTGCACTTCTTGGTGTCAATGGCAACATTCCATCTATAGGTAATTTTCCAAATTTAGAAGCTGAAAGGGCAAATCTGGGGGAAAAAGTTTTGAAGGTCAACCATGCACCAATTGCCCAAGAATTTTTAAAGTGTGGATCTCCCAGAGCTTTGAGAGGGAAACTTTGGTCTCTTGTATTAGATTCAATTGTTAGAGAAAATGTAAGAGTTTTTCTTCTATTTTTTTTATACAAAATGATACATTTGTTTCTAGAAATAATTTATTACAGGATGTTGAATACTATAAGGAATTGCAAACTATGGTTTTACAGTATGATATAATGGTAGACAAATTAATAATTAAGGTAACATAATGAGAAGGTCTCTAATAAAAATTTCATTGGTAATTTATAAAAAAACAATTCCGTTTTTATAGGATGTTCAACTGACAGCTAGTAACGATGACCAATATTTTGTTTTTGAAGATGTTCTATATAAAACTATGTTGAGCTTTTCAAGAGACTCTGAAGTCTTACCTACAGTAACAGCAGACCAAAGTGCAGGAGGTCAGGTCATTCATGCAGTTCTTCAAGGCAAACCTGCAACCCTAGAAAATACTTTAGTTTTTCCTCCAAGTGGAGTTATTCCTTTTCATGGTTTTACTATGTATGGTATGTCATAGCAATGCCAGAGATTAAGAGAATTAGCTTAATCTCTGGTAATGTAGGCTTTCATTTTTTAAGTAATTATAAATTAATAACTGGATCCTTTTAGCTACGCCTTTCTGCTACTTGTATGATGATCCATGTGCAATGTACTTCACATTTCGAGCATTTTATTTGAGATACTGGTTTCGTTTGCACACAGTATCCAGTCATGAACAAGGAATAGTTGCATTATGTCTTTTATTTGAAAGATTATTGCAATGTCATGAGCCACAGCTGTGGGCACATTTTAGAAATCTACACATTCAACCGTCAGTACTTTTTAATATAATATTAATAATATTTGGTATATTTTATTTTTTTTCAACTATATTTTTTACTTTAAAATCTATTATTTCTTTAGAATAAAAGTTGTTTTCAAATGGCTGATGAGAGGCTTCAGTGGTCATCTACCTCCAGAACAATTGTTGTATTTGTGGGATTTGATTCTTGGATATGATTCTTTGGAAATAATATCATTGCTAGCTGTAACTATTCTCAGTTTTAGAAAGGAAAATTTGATGCAAGTGAATACTTCTCAGCTGGTTGAAGTAAGTGAATCTTTAATTTCTGATCATAAGAAAAATATAATTTATACCTTACAATATTTTAGAATGTTTTGGCTGATTTATCATCAATAAAAGTCATGCCACTATTACAACTAAGTCTATTGAATGACTGAATAAAAAATGTGTGATTGAATTTATATGAAAAAAAATTATATGGAAATTAAACCAGAAAATAATTGTAAACGCTATCTACAAAATAAGATTTAAACATTTTTATTACAATTTTATTTAATGTTCATATAAATATATAAGTTTTTAGAATACAAAATAAATATATTGCTATAGTTTAATTAAATATTTATGAAATAGTTATAATATATTTAAAAACTAAAAATTACTTCATTATTATAATAAGTATCATTTTTTTTCGAAATAGCTAAGTAATGAATTCACTAGTCTTGTCACATATGATGTAAAAATTGATCGATCAAATATATAAATAAAAATCTCCATGAAAATATTGAACAAACCGTTGTCTCCTCAAATCACAAAAATAAAGGTACTATACCTATATCTACGTTGTACATACACACGGTTGCGTTGTGTACGTGGAGGGGATCAGGTTAGAAATGAATCGTCTGTACTCCACAGTCATATAGTCGCGTTATGACGTGAAGAGGGACGCCACTTTTCAAACCAAAAAATCGTCCGATCCAAAACGACGAAATAAATAAATTAAAGGTAAGTAACATTTTTAATTTAGTTCGTCATCTTATCATCGTGAACAATGTTTCTCGTGTTGCTTACAAGGGTTCGAACATGCAAATATTTAAAAATATACAATATACTCGTAGTTGCCACTCCCTATGATGTCCCCTCCCATTGTAACTGTTGAGTCCAGGCGCTGCACATATTCTTACATATGAGTAATACGACAAATTCATTTTCTTTTCGTTAATTAGCAAAGAATTTTCTGGGATAATTAACGTTTATTTTGGAAATCTTGTACAAATCGCAGAGAATGTATCAGTAAACAGGTTTTTGCAGCATATAGTTCATGCATCTATTGAAGTTAATTTAGAAGTAAAGGGTAATACACTCTGATTATATTATTATTTTTAAAGATATTTATTCTCATTTATTTTGATAATTATATTAAATGGTAAACATCAATCTCTTTTTTAAATAATCATCAATGTTAATGCAAGGATTAAGTGATCCTTATAAATAATAATTTTTTATATCTTGCTTCAAATTGCTGAATCATTAGTCTTAGTAATTAGAATATGATTTCCATGTACATCTATTATATTACTGCTAAGAAACTGTCATTTTTTATTGTATTTTTATATTTCAGGCAGTATAATGTCTTTGATAATCCATCTAATATTTATTATCACAACAATAAGTGCTGTGGCATCCCAAACTCTTTATTACAATGAGATAGAACGCAGATGTCCTAAGCCATGGGTAATGTACCAAGATTCTTGTTATCGATTCATTAAAAGCTACAGGCTGAGAGAAGATGCAAGAAGAAATTGCTTAGCATATCAAAGTGATTTATTATCTATCAACTCTTTGGAAGAGCATGGTGCTATTCTTCGTGAGCTATTGCAACAAGATCCTCAACATCGAAAGTGGTATACCAGTGTGAGAATGCAAGGTGGTTATTGGACAAATGAAGATGGAACTCAGATTATTAATATGGAAAATGCCTTTCTACCTGAGAGGTTTGATAATGTTTTTGGCAAAGATTACTTGGTGTATGGTTACAGCGAAGGACTGAAGAGGTGGGGTTTGGAAAAAGTCAAAGGTGATGAAGTTCATTACTATATCTGTGAAGCTCTCGCTGCCAATTTAAACTATCTGCTGAATGATGATCGAACTTACCAGTATGGTCTTGAAATAACTGATCCATTAAGCATACCAAGGGGACCATATTTTATAAAACAGCCAGAAAACAAAGTGTTTGATGTCACGAAAAGGGTTGTAAATAATGATGTCTTTCTGAGTTGCCTTGCTGGTGGATATCCGGCCCCCACTTACGAGTGGTTTAAGGAAGATTTTCAAAACGACAGATTGATAGCTAAGAATATTGATCCATTAGCTAATGACAGGTATACTATCAGTGGTGGAACTCTCATCATTTTTGCTCCAAATCAGGTATTTATCAAAAATATTTAATTGTATTGTACATATCTTTGTATACTAAAATAAGCTTTTGAAAAATTGTAGACTGAAGATCGTGGCACTTACCACTGTAAAGCTACGAACCAATTCGGCACAATTCGCTCGGAGAGTGTCGAGCTTTCTTTCGGTTATATTCTCGAGTTTAATTTAAAACGTCCAGAAGAACGTGGTGATGAGCATTGGGGTAAAGCCGTGTACTGCGATCCCCCTCAACATTTTCCTGGTGTCAAATATTATTGGGCAAGAGAAGCTTTCCCTTATTTCGTGGACGACGATAACGAGAGATTATTTGTTTCGTACGACGGTGCCTTATATTTTTCGGCCCTTGAGAAACTCGATCAGGCAAATTACTCTTGCAACGTACAAAGTACTGCTTCTGATACTGGACGTAATGGGCCATTCTTCCCACTCTATATTATGCCGCATCGTACGTTGTGAATTTTATTTACGACTTTTTAAAAATTGTTTAAAGTTATTATATTTTTTAATTAATTTTTTCATGTGTTTAGTTACGCCGCAAAGCTTGAAGTTCCCCAACAATTTTCCTAAAATTTTTCCCGAAGCTCCAATTGCAGGTGATGAAGTCCGAATGGAGTGCATTGCCTTTGGATTGTAAGTAAATGTGTATTTAGTTTTACACTTAATAAAATAAATAGTAGATTATGCAAATAATCAACGCCCGAAATAATTAAATGTCAATAGTTAATATTTTTGTATGAATTCACAGCCCTGTACCTTCGTACAACTGGACTCGTATCGGAGCCGAACTACCTCGAGGAGCCTATTTAATGAATCATAATCGTGTTTTAATGATCCCACGTGTACGTATTGAGGACCAAGGCGAGTACGTATGTCGTGCACGTAACGAAAAGATTTCAATTACGAATTCGGTCTATTTGTCGATCCAAGCTGCACCCAATTTTACCGTTCCTTTAACTGACAAACATATGGACAATCATGGTGAACTTACCTGGATTTGTGAAGCATTCGGTATTCCTGATGTTACATATAATTGGCTGAGAAATGGAGAATATATTGATATGTATAATCTACCGCCGGAAGACAAAGACAGATATCTAATTCAGGATAATGTACTGAGAATTCACGCATTAGATCCTGAGAAAGACGAGGCAATGTATCAGTGTGAGGCGAGGAATCAGCTGAAGACTAAGTATTCGTCAGCTCAACTGCGAGTTTTATGTGAGAACTATAAATTATTTTATGTTTCTTTTTACAAATTAATCATTTTGAAAATGAAAAATAAATGTTTATAGCTCTTAAACCATCGTTTAAGAAGCGACCTTTAGAACCAGAAACCTACGCCGGTGAAGGTGGAAATGTTACGTTGATTTGTAATCCTGAAGCAGCGCCTATGCCGAAATTCGTTTGGAAAAAAGATGGTAACGTATTAGGTACTGGCGGTAGACGTCGTATCTTGGATACTGGTAATCTAATGATTAGCCCGGTATCGAGAGATGACGAAGGTACCTATGTTTGCCAAGCATCTAACCAGTATGGCAATGATGAATCATCAGGTCGACTTATTGTTTTGAGTGAGTACATATTCAATACCTGACTGATACGAAAACATTCAAGATCATGGATGAACAAAATCAATACTATATTTTTAGATGGACCAATACTAATCGAATCATTACCACCGCGCATTATCACTCAAGTAAATCAGAACCAAACACTTCGTTGCATGGCTCAAACAGACGAAATGTTGGACGTGGCTTATATCTGGATGCACAACGATATGCGTATTCGAGACAAAGATCTCAAAGCGAATCCGCATATCGTCATAGATGGTGGGACTCTCGATATCATCAACGCGACTTTTGCGGAAGCTGGCGATTACGAATGTATTGTAAAGAGCGCAGTTGGTAGAATTACTTCAAAAACAACCATCACTATTGAAGGACCACCTGGACCTCCTGGTGGTGTGCAAGTTGTTACTATTGCTACAACTTCAGTGACCCTTGCGTGGACAGATGGGGCATACAATGGTAGAATGATATCGAAATATGCCATTGGAGCTAGGACATCTTATAATCAAACTTGGTTCAATTTGACGGAGGGTAAGCTTTGCAGTTGTAAACATTTTTTATTTAATTCATTTGATGTGAATATTGATAAAGTACTTTGTTATTTTAGATTATACTAACTTCCGAGAAATCGACAGATACAATGGCCGAAAACAAGTATCTTTAGAAAATGTATTACGTCCATACTCGACCTACGAATTTCGAGTGCAAGCTGGCAATGAGCTTGGTTACGGGCCAGCTTCGATGCCTTCCCCACAGTACAGCACACCATCCGATCGACCAGCTAAAGCACCTTCAAATATCAGAGGCGGTGGCGGTAAGATCAGTGAATTGACGATTAAATGGGATCCCTTGAAACGCGAAGATCAATACGGACCGGGAATTTACTACAAAGTTTACTGGCGTAACAAGAAGGATGAGCGTGAATTTCAATCATTGTCTCTTAAAGAACACGGGAACGTTGGCATGGCTGTCGTTGCAATCCAATCCAAATACTTTTACACTGAATACGATGTTATTGTACAAGCTGCTAACGATATTGGATATGGGCCAAAGTCAGAAATCATTACCATTTATAGTGCTGAAGATATGCCACAGGTATAGTTATAAAATACTTATAAAAAATATATAGCAATTTTATGCTAATTTTTATGTTTATTCTCTTTAGGCTGCACCTCAACAAGTGAGTGCATTGTCATACAATAGTACGGCTCTCAATGTATCATGGGTTCCGATTAATCAATCTCGAGAGTTCGTGCGTGGCAAATTGATAGGTCATCGTATTAAGTACTGGATGGAAGATGGACGCGAAGAAGATGCTGTCTATTATTTATCACGTACGACTCGTCCGTGGTCTCTTGTTGTTGGTTTGCAGCCTAATACTTACTACTATGTCAAAGTAAGATTTATTATTTATTTTGAATTTTGATTATTGGAGAAAAAATTTAATTTTAATATTTAAAAAAAATGTATCTTCAGGTAATGGCATACAATTCCGCTGGTGAAGGTCCTGAGAGTGAGCGTTTCCTCGAACGAACTTACCGTAAAGCACCACAAAATCCACCATCATCTGTACACGTATTCGGTCGCAATCCGACATCTGTTCGTGTGACTTGGCGTTACGTGCAGAATATGAAAGACGAAGAGCCTGTGATCGGTTTCAAGATACGTGTCTGGGAAACAGATCAAGACATGAGTACTGCCACTGACACCCTTGTTCCAGTGGGTTCAATTGAGGCGATTATAAATAATTTGGGTGTAGGTAAAGAGTATTATCTTCGAGTTTTGGCCTACAGTAATGGAGGTGACGGCAGAATGTCTAGTCCCGCGCATAGGTTTCGTATGGGAGATGCGTCGGATTATGGCAACTCTGCCGTGAATAAAATGTTGAATACCAGTTTAATCATTGTCATGCTAGTATTTATAAAGATCGTCTTTTACGAAGAAAGTATTTTTATTTAAATCTTCTACACAGTTTTGATTAATACGAAAAATGAATCAATTTCTAAAAATTGTAATGTATAGGATATATGAAAATACCTACAAAAGATGACAAAGTAAGTTTCTCTAAGAGAGACAAGTTAACTTTGACCTATTACTGTATTATAGCGAAACTATGCTGGACAGTACTGTGCATTAGAATAAACATTAGGTTTAAAAAAATATTTTAAGTGAAACGCTCGTTTCAGGATTGTTGATAATGGAACTGTGTTTTCATCTTTCAAATGCATTCTTATGGTTGTACTCAATCAGTCTTTTCGATGTATAATGCAACAAGCGCTTAATTTATCGCACAACTATCTGAGCAGCGTCAAATTTTTTCTTAATGATAATTAAACGTACTATTCCTCCATGCGACAATACGCGCGTTATCGTTGGAGTTAATTAAGAATCTCAGAGTTTCCGTCCAAAAGAATTCAAGAATATCGTGACGTATTTTAAGAGATTTTTATAAGAATATGTGAACAAATGATATATTATTCTTTGTATGAGTCTTGTAGAATATATACATACATATAAATATATATATATATATATTTAGCGTACGAGCGCATTTTGCAATATATGCTAAATCTCATTCTTTTCTGATCCTCTTATTCGTACCTTCCAGTCTGTACAATGTTTTTATTTTATCAAATATATTGTACTTGATGCCACAAACACCAACATTGTTCTGTACTTTTTACATTGTTAAATCTTATATATGAAAAATTAAACAAGAAATAAATAAAGTGCTTTTTTTACATTTGAAAGTATAGTCGTACATTTTTTTCTCTGTGTGCTCATAATATTTGTTCGTCTATGTTCAGGAGCTCCAGTATATAACAGCTGGACCCCCGTTGTCGTCGTCGTTATTACCCCCTCTTGCGTACTATATGGTGATTGTCATCGAAAGCGTTGCGCATACATCCAATAAAGACCGAAATAACGATGACCAATTTTCGCTTTTACTGAGAGTTTCGTGCCAGTCGAATTGCCAATCGACTTTTAGTAAGTCAACAATTTTTATCACAGTATCGGGATATTGATGATCGTTGAATGTTGTTCGAAGTTTCTATGAAGCTTTTGGTTTCTACACGCTATGAACAATAAATTCATGACATTGCAATCAAAAGAGTTTAACGAGCTTACTGTCAGCTCATAATCACAAACGATTGTTTCATTTTTCTAAAATATCAAAGCGGTATCGATTTCTACATCAAGGTCATGGTAGCGACCTGCGGCATGAATACCGGAGACGCAACTAGCGCGACACTACACACCGTTGAGTCAAGTCGTGCTCGCTTCGAGCTTGGTTCAAGGCCTGAGAGAGCTCTTAATTAATTAACAATCTCGAGAGCATTTACTACTAGCTCGTCGGCAACTTATTTCGGGCTCACAAGACCTAGCTAGCACGAAGAGAGCACGTTAATGTTCAAGCTTGATGGCAGATTTTTAGGTTCGCCGGCGAACTCGCTTGTGGACATAGGACTCTCAAGCGACTTGCTTGCATCCGCAAAACCCACAAGGAATAGTTATATTGTTATAAACATTTGTTTAGATTAGGTACTCTCTTTAACCTATTGCGTGATTCTGAATTGAAATTGTTACATTTTCAAGTAAGTATTTATTTTGATTGACGAGATACTATTCTATTAAACCCGTCACAAATATAAATTGAAATTGAAATTATTATCATTTTATATTTATCACGATTAAAGATGACATACAACCAACTTTTTTTAATGGAAAAAATATTGTATTTTGTAATGCAAAGTATAACAATAGAGACGAAAAAATAATCATTTATGCGGATAAGTAAATAATTATGAATCAAGTCCATTTTTAGGCCAACAGGACGAAATAAATATGTTGTATATTTTCGTATTATTGTATATTTATACCAATATTTTATAATTAATGAATTTTTCAAAATAAATAATTATTAAACTATAACTATATCAAATGTATTATTCTATTTTATATAAAACTCTATACTTTCAAGTACATTAAGTATATCTGTTTTAATGGTTTCTGGTGGTAAACTAAGTCAGGTTTTAAGATTGTTAATACTATTTCTTTGAATTGAAATAAATACATTAATAAATCGTATTTTTCAGAGAAATATTCTACATCCAATATATTGTGTAGCCATATTTATTCTGGTAATTTATGTTTGCTCCATGCATGAACTTGGAGAAACTTTATTACATCAACATTATCGGTAAAATGTAAAGGTCGACAGGCCTCTAACTTTACATTTATATATCGAAGCCTACAATTGAATCAGTCTTACTATTACTGATATATCATTTTCCAGGACTCTCCTGTGTAATAAAGTCATGTCTGCAGACTTTAGTTCAGTATTGACGATATTGAATTTGATACATGGACAATTATTTATGTACAATGTGTTACACACACATATATATATATAATGGATAAATTATGCTTTAATTATTGTCCATGTAATCGATTCTATTTCATTAAACATTTTAGAGAAATTAATTTTTTAATGAAAATGAAATTCTTTTATAATTTAACTTAATAATATCTACAATGGCTAAAAAGTTATAAAGTGTTGGGAAATTCCGTAATCAGTGCAGTGAAAAAGTCCTCATAGCGCGCGTGTCTGGCCCCCCTTGCGTGCTCAGTGGTGATATATTTTCCAGAGAGAGAGAGAGAGAGAGAGAGAGAGAGAGAGAGAGAGAGAGAGAGAGAGAGAGAGAGAGTCGCGGGTGGGGCGCTTTTGTTATTCGTCCTGGCCCGTAGACAAGGACAATGCTATACCATGACGACGCGCCGCTGCTTTGTTCGAGCTGACCGTCAGTTGACTGCAAGTAAAGAAAGTCAGTGGGTTTCACTTTCAGGGATGGATCTAGTCGATCGTTTTTCATTTTCATTAGGAAAATTTTTTTTTTGTTAGCGAAGATTATTTATTAATGAAATTGCTACCTGACTGATTTTGATAGTCTTTGAACTTCAACGTCATTGTTGCGAAAAAGGGGACATTTTAGTTTAAGCATATAAACAAATTACGATCAATTAAATTATTAGTCTTATTCGTCAGAAAACTATATTTATTACGTGAGTCGAGTTTTAATCAAAGGTTTCCTCATTAATTATGCTTATTAGTCGTTTCATAATTGCTGTATGATTTGTCGTCAGAGATAAGCCTGATTCAATCATCGCCGAATTTGAAAAGTATGACTCAACTGCTATAAAGCAGCAGATGCGTATATGTTATATATAATGCTATATAAGTGTAGTATTTATTTGAAAACGCATAAATTTTCGACGTCTGTATTTCACATTCTAAATAACATTGTCTGTAAAATATTAGAAATGAAAATTGAGTTATAGAAATCGAGGATTATATGATCAATCAATCTATTTGAACTACTTAAAATTGTTTCAATGTTCATTTTGTTAACTTGTAGAAATCATTAATTAAAAAACGCGCGGAGAACGAAACAATTAATTAATTTTCTTTTGTATATATTGTAAGTAAAAGGGCCTTAAAAGTTATTATTCAGCCCTGGATAAATTCAAAATCCCGCTATAAGCCTCGGTGTAAAATATATGATGACGTCAGTATTGGGGTAATAGTACAGTCACCAACTACAAATAAAGCCCAAGAATGACGAGGGAGGGAAGGGAGAAATAGCGGTGTAAAAAAGGGGAGGCTTCTTCCCGTTTCCGGCTGTCAAGAGTAGAGCGAGAGAGAGAGAGAGAGAGAGAGAGAGAAAGAGAGAGAGAGAGAGAGAGAGAGAACCAATTTGCTGTCGTGCCGGTCAGTGCTGTGCTGTTGTGTTGTGATCGTCGTCGATGCTCTCTTGTGCAACTTGGAGGTGTGTATACTTCGTAGGTATATATTCCGCGTACACACGCGAGGTCATTGCCTTTTTGTTGTCGCTCTATAGCAAGCGACCGCAATGTTAGTTTCTATTTTCGGGGGTTACCTTCCGTTTCTTTCTTGTACTTACATCCGCTATACAACACGCAACCCCCTCCTCTCACGTAATTAAACTTTACAACACTGGGCTTCTTTCGGTGATATAAGACTGGTTAGTGAAGATTTTCACGTAACCAAGCTCTTTAAATGCCTTCGATTTGTGTTTTGTCTGGCTTGAACGAATGTCTATTTTCATGAGTAGTTGGAGTGGTATACCGCCGCTACAGCGATTGCTTCGATAAAAAGTGTATTTGAGGGTGGGTTTTTTTTTGTTATCGAGCCGGTTGGTGCGTATAGGTGTTTGTTGTATATCAAGTGCTGAGTGTATGAGTGAGTTTTTTGTTTTGAATGCTGGACTTTGCGCTGCTAAGACTTACACACGCATATACGTCTTTTTTCTGCAGATAAAGAATGTTTTTGGTAGAAAGTAACACTGTTTTCTAATGCGAATGAATCTTTTGAAGTAATTGAGTTTAGTTTATTTCAGGGTAAATGGATTTATATAATTGATGAAACTATTCACTATTAAACTATTAAAGTTCATTGTCAAGTTTGGGGTCTGTATATTTAATTTATGTATCTTGTATTGCATTTTTTAAGACATTATGTAAGTTCCGTTTTATCTATGAATTAAAAATATCATTATTAAAAATTGATAGTTTACAGAAGTAAAACTAACTGAAAAAAATTATAGGATTGAATGTTTTTTTGGCAATAGAATAAACATATACTAATGAGTATTGTGTAATTTGAATTTATAACTATAAATGGTTTGGTTAGTAGGAAGTTTATGAATGGAATCAATTAACAATTTTTATTTTCATCCAACAATGACAGATTCTTTACAATTGACAATCTGTTTTGACACATACTTTTATTTTTATTTTAGATTACATGATTCAGTAATACAAAGGCTAACAATAAAACAATAGTAGCTAAAAGTTAGAGTCATGGCGTGGAGATTCAAGGCATCAAAGTACAAAAATGCAACTCCTATTGTGCCAAAGCCTGAAGCATGCATCCGTGACATATGTGTTGGATCTTATCAAACTTATGGGAATAATATAGCTGCTTCTGCAGCTTTTATGGCATTCAACGTTGATCATAATGGTGCGAGCCCATTTATTATTCATTTCTATTGTTTTTAATCCATTTGTCCTAGATTAGAATTAGAATGTTTCTTAGATAATATATATAAAGCTGTTATAAAAAATCAATACTTAATGAGCATGAAAGCTATTTATGTAACAATTAACAGAAAGCTCATGGAAGCATAAATTTCTTTGAAAAGTGATAAACTTGTGATAACAATGTCTTGCAGGTTCTAGTCTGGCTGTTTTACCATTGGAAGATTGTGGTAGAAAGAGCAAAACAATGCCTTTACTCCATGCACATGCAGATACTGTAACTGATATAGATTTCTCTCCCTTTCATGATGGACTTTTAGCAACTGGATCTCAAGATTGCTTGGTATTATTTTATGGCTGAAACACTTTTATATGTTTAAATATTTTACTTGAAACAAAGTATTTCAATTTATGACTATTTATAATTATAGGTAAAGATATGGCACATTCCTGAAGCTGGTTTGGAAGAATCTCTGTGTAACCCAGAATGCACATTTTCCCATCGCCAGAGGAGAGTGGAAGTTGTCCACTGGCATCCTACTGCTGAACATTTGCTGACAACTGTTTCTTATACAAATTTGTCTCTCTGGGATGTTCTTGCACAGAAAGAATTATTCTGTAGATATCCCTTATTTACTCTTAATTCATTATTTTTTTACAAAAGCTTTCTAACTATCCAATATTATCATAGCCAATAACGACCATAAGGAAGTAATACAATCAACAAGTTGGAAATATGACGGTACTCTACTTGCGACATCCTGCAAAGATAAGCAAGTAAGAATTATAGATCCACGAGCTGCAAGAAACATTGTTCAAGCTGCTTCCAGTCATCAAAGTATCAAGGATTCCAGAATTGTCTGGCTTGGTAACAGCGACAAGGTGTTGACTACTGGATTTGATGCAGCAAGATTAAGACAAGTTTATATTCGCGATGTGAGAATGCTCAGTGATCCGATTAAAACATTAGAACTAGACTGTAGCACTGGGTAAGCTAAATTCTTCAGCTACAGGGATATTTTTTTTTTTTGCAAATTAAAAAAACATTATTTTTTAAATGAACTTTATCTTTCTAGAATTTTGATGCCCCTCTACGATCCAGACACGAATATGCTATTCCTTGCTGGAAAAGGCGACACAACGATATTGTATATGGAAGTAACGGACAAGGATCCATACTTGGTAGAAGGTATCCGTCATAGTGGCGAGCAAACTAAGGGCGTATGCCTCGTGCCCAAGCGAGCCTTGAACGTAATGCAGGCCGAAGTTAATCGTGTATTACAACTCACCTCAAGTATGGTCATTCCGATAATGTACCAAGTGCCACGAAAGGTAATTTTCATTAGTTTCATCGCTCAGATTATTAATTAAATCCGCGAATAATATGTATATATCATTTATCGTTCACAGACTTATCGAGATTTCCATGCGGATATCTATCCTGAGACAGCAGGTTGTGTAGCGCAAAATACCGCTGTTGCATGGATTCAAGGACATAATCTCGGCGTTCCCAAGATCTCACTTGATCCAGCTAAAAGAACCAAGGGCGAGGAACCAATCACAGTACGATTTTTTTGTTGTAATTTTATGATTTTTTTGAGATTTCAGTTGATTATTGCGATACATTAACAATAGATTGTATGCTTGTGAGTGTGAGTGTGTTAGTTGACGTTTCGTGTATTATTATTTTGTTTCTTTCAGATTATTAATATGTATTGCACTTATTATTTTTTTTATTAATATCGTTGATTTTTTTTATTCCATGGTTAACAATTAAGTCATCTGTTATTTAGTTGCTGTGGATTTACAGATAATTTATACATACACTTTTGGCACATATCTATGTCGTATTTGTTGTTATCATTTGATATTGTTCTTTCACTTTTTTCAGATATCCGTTTAAATTTATGTAGTTTATTTGTTATTTCTCTCTCCTTCTGAAATCTGGCACCGTTAAACCGTAGTTTTTGTATATTATGTGTAAGTAAGATACGATTATTTATTAGCTTATTTATTTTAATCATTTAATCATTTATTTTTAATAATTGTTACTATATAAACTTCTCTAAGGCGATGTAAACTTATTAAATGATTTTTGAAATATTAGTTTAATTAGATTTTCAAAGTTCACAACGTCTTAAAATAAAAAAGATTTATAAATATATTTCGACAGTGACTAGTAAATTTTACGTAGCTTGCTTGTAGCATCAGAGCAGTACAACCAGTGATTGCCAAAAACGACCACATGTACACTCCAACCCCGAACCTTCCCCCCGCACACTAAACGACCTCTCAAAATCTTCAGGTACACAAAGGCAATCTAGCAGATTTGAAGAATAACCAGCAAGAGGTGAAACTCGAAGTCCGCCAGCAAAAAGCAATTGCAATGTCAACACCAAAGGGCTACACAAAGATGCAGTCCTACATCATTCAAGACACGAATGATGTGTTACCAGAGAAAAACGATTACAATGACGATAAAGAAGAGTACAAAAAAGCAGAGATTGATAAATTGGAAGACGAGAAATCATGCAAATTGCAGAACGGCACGCAACCAGTGCCACCGAAGCCATTGCCAAGGTCTTCCCGTGCAAACAGTCTTTCCGACGAAAGCGGCAAAGATGAACCGAAACCTGTTGCTAGACCAAGAACCACTCAAAGTCCTGGTTCTGTCGTCACTTCCGTTAATCCCAATTGTATTGGAGGATATAAGGTTTGCCGATGAAGGATTGACGTTTTCTTTTTTCTCGTTTAGGATGTCTATATTGTATGTGTGTGGGTGTACGTGACTTGCTACTTATCAAGAATACTCATAGTGCTCATTATATATATATGTGTGTGTGTGTGTATATATATATATATATATATATATATATATACACGTATGTATATAAACACACACTTGAAACTTTTGTTTAACATTAGCCAATCAAAATTAATTTATTTGCTTTAGTTTCATCGTTGCTCATCTCTTGCCAAAAACCTATTAACGATTGTGTTGTTTACAGCCTCGTCTAGGACCAAAGCCATTCCAAGCGAAATCAGCTAGCCAAGAGTTTTCGTTTGATAAAATTTTCTCAGTGCCACAAGCACCATTAAACGATAGCAATGGTCACAGTGATGTTTATGAAAATTTAAAAGACAACGACAACGATGTTGATAAATCACCGACTTACGAAATCGAGCGTAAAGATTCTGAAGCTGCCAAGAGTGATTCTAGTTCGATCGAGGAAGATGCCAATTCTAGCGATTCGGGTTACAAACCCAAGACACCAAGTACTGCCGAGAGACGCAGACTTTTTGAGAACAAGGTTAAAGACGAATCACCGGAGAACGAAGATGCAGGTAATTTCGAGAGAGGAGGTTCCAATAGAAACTCCATCGCCGAAAGACGAAGATTGTACGAGAACAAGTCTGCATCGGTGACCGATGGAAATCTTGCGGAAAAAGCTGCTTCTTGTTCGCCTACTTCTATGAAACGCAGAGACTCTTTCAAGAGTAAGAGTGACATTATCAAGGATGATGATACAAAGAAGATTGTTCCCATGATTCGACAGCAGAGTGTGCCTGCTGAGAAAATTGAAAAACCGGAACCAGTTAGCACTCCTACTCCTAAGAGAACGTCCACTGTTTTCGGTTAGTATGTTAGATTCCTTGAGAAATTATTTTACATCGAAGATAATATTTATTGTGAATGTTGATTTATTAGGAAGAGTATCTAAATTCAGACATCTCAAGGGTACACCTGGTCATAAGTCGACGCATATCGAGAACATTCGTAATATCAGTCGTCAAATTTCTGGCGAGTGTGATGGATTTCATGGTTAGCAATCAATTCTAATTGAAAAATATAAAAAAAACAACGATAAGTAACATATGATTTCATGTTTATAGCTAATTCTGATCGCGTGGCAGTACCGTTAAGCGGGCCAGGCGGCAAGATAGCCGTTTTGGAGTTGAAGAAAACGGGAAGATTGCCGGATGGAGTGATGCCGGCTTTGGTGCATGGAGCTACTGTTATGGACTTCCAGTGGGATCCTTTTGATAATCAACGTCTTGCAGTTGGCAAGTTAATCTTTCTGACAAGAATTTTTTCTTAAAATGTGCCGAACATAATTTTTCTTTCGCTACTTCTAGCATGCGATGATGGTATAATCCGACTCTGGGAAATTCCAAGCGCTGGCTTGACTGAACCTACCAATGAGCCACACGATACAATCGAAGCTCACGCGGATAAAATTTATTTGATTAAATTTCATCCTCTAGCTGCTGACATTCTCGCATCTGCATCATATGACATGACCGTGAAAATATGGGACCTCGCACCCCTTAAATCCCGAGAATCAATTAAAAGTCAGATTACTTTGCTCGGTCATACTGATCAAATCTTCAGTCTTGCATGGTCACCTTGTGGCCAATATCTTTCTACCACTTGTAAGGATGGAAATTTGAGAATTTATAAGCCTCGCAGTAGTGATACTCCTATTCGAGAGGGTAAAGGACCTGTTGGTACAAGAGGTGCAAGAGTTGTATGGGCACTCGATGGACGATTCTTAGTTGTTATGGGATTTGACAAGTAAGTTTATTGACATAGTAATTTCGAGGAATTCTTTATCTCACAATTAACATTTGTTTTTTAGAGTTTCCGAGCGACAGATAATGGTTTTCAAAGCTGGTAATCTTAATGCACCTTTGAATACCATTGGTTTAGATGTTTCTCCAGCAATTTTGATGCCATTTTACGATGAAGATAGCTCTACTTTGTTCCTCACAGGACGGGTATGTTTGGAAAATTTTTATGTGATTTTTACTTGAGATCTTATTTTTAGAACTGATCTTGTAAATAATACAGGGAGATACAACAATCTACGCGTTCGAAGTAACAGAAGAAGCTCCATACATTTGCCCGCTAAGTCATCATCGCTGTGCTTCTTTGCATCAAGGTTTATCATTTTTATCGAAGAATAAGTGCGACGTTGCAATCGTTGAATTCGCGTCAGCTTTGAGATTGACAAATAATACGATTGAACCTTTGAGCTTCACTGTACCCAGAATAAAGGTAAAATATCTACAAATAAAAGTTTTATATGCGACGAAAAATTATCTTATTATGAATTTTCTTCTCTATCTAAGAGCGAACTTTTCCAAGATGATTTGTTCCCACCAACAAAAATTACATGGAAATCAACGATGACTTCGAACGAATGGCTCGGGGGAGGTAATAAGCAGGCGCCGAGGATTAGTTTGAAACCTCCAGGAATGGATAATTGTAAGTTTTACACTACATTCAATATTAAATGTTCATGGATTTTAATTAAATTTTTTTTTTTCATTTTAGTGACAGAAAGTCAGGGACAAGCGGTCGTAACTGCACCAGTTTCGGTCAAGCAAAACTCAGGAAACATATCTACATCTCAGCCTTATAATAGACTGTCTCAATACCAATCAAAGTATATGGATGTAAGTAACCTTTCTTTTAGCGTAAACGAGCACGATTAAAAAGAAAATTATGAAATAATTGGTATTATTATCGTGACTGATTATATTGATGCATAAATTTTTTTATTTGAAGTTTATCAATTTTTTTCTTTAAATTTATACAGCAGTAAATGACAATGTCAAATTTTATAAACTTTAGTATACATAATATTTTATCAATTTTATAAATAACGTGCATCACCTATGTCGTGCCAGTGTTCATTGTAATTTTTTTGATGTTGTGTGAACTATAGATACAAACTAAATTGAGCAATCTGGTGGGCGATGTAGTGACTGGCCCACTAGAACAAGATTACATGGAAGGTGTGGACGAACATGAATGGGTACGCTATGGCATCTCAGTTTTCCTTAATTTAATTCTCACACTTCTTATCTTTTTCTCAATTGATTCTATGTTGCTTTGCTTTATTTGCGATCGTTTATGAAACCGGTAAACGAATTTATTTATTATTATTATTATATTTTGACCATCGCTGAATTTGTCAGTATTCTAATGAAATTGTCCTTTTTTTGTTTTCTCTCTTACAGGATGAATAAATAATTGCATTTTGACGGCTGATTTGTCAAGAATGATAATTTTTTTACGTCGGACGAGATTTATTACGTGTAGAGGGGTATTTGTGCAAAGGTATGGAATTGTCCAAAGTTACGTGAATAATTAATGGTTATGCCATAAGCATAATTCCTATTTATTTATTACATTGTACACATAATTTAGCTGATCTTTATTCTTGTAACATTTATTGCGCTCTGTTCGTAACTGTGTACGAACATAATGATGCGGAAAAAATAGCTGATCTATTTGTATTGTATGTTGAGTGATACGCATTCGTTTTTTTATTTGTATGAATTTTATTAAGTAGCTAAAGAAACGAAAGTTTAATTGTGCTTAAAAAGAAAACAAAAAAAAAAAGAGAAAGAGATCAAGTGATTAGCAAGGAGTTTCCTACAATAAAAAAAGAAAGCAAACGTGATGATAGTTCTAGTCTGGAAACGCGTCTCTTAGGATCTTTCTATTAATGCCTAATCTAATACTAACGATATAGTATTATTATATCAAGAGCTAAATTATAAGCGATAAGTTGATAAGAAAGGTGAGGCAGAAAAAGAAAAAAAATCAGAATCACACTCTTATAATTGTTCGGTTATCAGAGAAATGCGCTGTTGATAAAGTCTTTTTCTATATTGATGAAGAATTTTAATCAGTACATCCAAATATCATGGAACAGTGGGACAGATGGAGGAACGTTTTATAGAACGAGATACATATATTGATTTTAAAAAGTACTACCGTTATAAGAGGAATAAGAAGCTCATTTTATTCTAAGTTTAAACGCACATTTTTAGGCTATCTATTAAACGAAGTATTATTGTTAGTGGTAGAGATACGTGTGATCAAATATTTGTAATCTAGACGAAGTACTACCAGACATAATTAAAAAAAGAACAAAAAAAGGTTCGTTCATGATCATCTTTCAGTATTTGTGAAATGTAGACATTTTATCGTTTCTTTTTGGGGGAATAGAAAAATTGCTAGCTTTGAAATAGAGAAAAATAACAGTGTGCAAAGAGTCAAAATCTATTTTACACTCGCTATAATGACACACTTTTGCTACGACGTATTTTATTACGAATATGACGATGTATAAGTATACACCTTTTTACACAATAGTCTTTTGAGAAAATAAAAAAGTAGTTACCACTTCAATAGTGTCATCTGTGCAAACTCGAAGTGCTCTATAAGGATAAACATTTCTGATATCTTATACCGATTTTCTATGACGCTATTAAATATAAAACATACAAAAGTTTCAAGTGCAATCAAAAAGTCACCTTTTTGGTGCCAAACAAGGATAATTTTAATGAATTATTAAACTTGCATTAACCATGACTTTAAGGACAACTGCTTCAATACATTCCATTGTGGAACTACTTTTAGATTTTAGGTATAATGTTACCTAAGGTGAGATTATAATGAAGATTAACAAACAATAATTTAAAATTACGATGATACATCTTATTCGGTATTCATTTTATGTGGGAAAAACTGAACAGAGTTAGTACTTTTATAGCGCAAATGTTTTTACAAATGATGAAAAAAATGATGTAAGCGGGTTTTGATAATTAACTGCAAAAAGAGATCACATCAATGAGATTATGATGTAGTTAGATCTTTGTAACAATATTATATCTTATATGTAATTCTCTTATAAAAAAAGTATTTCTACTCCAAATGGTGTTCTCTTTTCCCAGCTCCATTAATTAATAAGACGAGGAAAATTCGTGAAATTTTTTTATTGTAAATTATATTTTAATCTGTTAGTTTCATATATATATATATTTTTTTTTTAAATTGATTTACTTAACATACAATGTTTCCAAAAATGAAACAAATTAATTGAAAATACAAGAATGGATTATAAAACACGTATATAATTATATATAAAAAATTATATTATAACTTAATTAAAATCAACTAGTGTGTCCAACTCTGTCCCTTGGTATTAACCTGAGTTCTGAACCATGCTTCAAAAAGACATTACCTAAACAATTTATTTTCATGGAAAACAAAAATCACAAATTTATAAAAAAATTTAAGAATCGTTTTTAATAATACAATACCAGCAGTTTGTTGTGGATTGATGCCAACTCCATCATCTGTTATAATAGCAGATGTAGCAGGGGCAACTTTAAATTCCTCAGCTGCATATTTTAACACAGCAGTGAAAGGTGTCTCTTCTGGTACTTTGAGGCTACAATATTATATACATGCTTACAAGGAACCCCTCCCCCCTAACCCGACCCATTGATTTCAATATTCTTTTGATATGTTGTAAATTATAAAAAAATAAGTAACACGTGCTTTCTTTTTATCGATAGAAAAATACTTTGAGGGGATGAAACCACCGTCAAAAGTCCATTTTCAAAAATGAATTTTGCAATTTATCTCAAGTTCTAATTGATATTTTACACTGAAATTAATTTTATTTCACTTCTCATGTAAATGCGGAACTAATACATGCAATTCCGACCATAAGGGATGCAACTCAACCTTTTTTTTTATCGACAGTTCCACCATTTTTGTAAGTCATATGTAATGTATATTATTATTGTAAATAACCTACGATGTTTTTTCTAGCTTGTTGGCTCATTAAAATTTTTTTTTCATATAAATAGGCACAAAAATGGTAGAATTATCAATAAAAAACAGGTTGAGTTACATCCCTCATGGTCGGAACTACATGTATCAGTTCCGCAATTACGTGAGAAGTGAAATGAAATTTATTTCATTGTAAAATATCAATCAGAACTTGAGATAAATTGCAAAATTTATTTTTGAGGGTAGACTTAACAGCAAATTCCATCCCCTCAAAGTGTTTTTCCATTGATAAAAAAACGTGTTATTTATTTCTCTATGATCTATAACATTAAAATAATATTGAAATTGGTAAAGTCGAGTTGGAGAGGTTTCCTTGTTAGATGCACTTAATTTACATAAATCTTTTGTCAAGACATGCATAGAATATCCTATTGGACTAACAAAGTCAATCCTAATTTATTCAATACAATAGCTGAATTTTACAAATTAAACAACAAAACATAACACCACTCTTAAGTGTTTATAACATGCAGTGTTTTTCTATATCATTCCAAACCGCATCTAGCTCCTTGGCTGTTTTAATCCTATTAATGATCATTTCATAAAGACCATCAGGGCCATCTAGCAAACAGTTTATCACATTTTTCAAATCACTGTAAGAAAATCCAGAATCCGTAATCCAATAATTTTCTTTATCATGGTTCATATTCCTTCCAATGTAAAAAGTGGTATCAACATAGCTAAGTTGAAATTTTGAATTATCGTTTAAAAGTTTTAAAAGAACTTTTCTATCAAGATCTTTCAGCTCAGAGTATAGTTGTACGTCATTACCTTCTAATTTTTTAGTGAAAAATTCTAGTATCATTAGATTGACTGTGCTTTCTGATTTTGATTTGTAGGCCATTTTTATCAATTTTGAAATATGCTGTTTATCAAACATTTCTATCAGGTATTCTATAACTTTTTTTTTCTTTCCAACTTTAATTTCATTTTCCCATGAAGCTATTCTTAATTCATCCTCAATATCTGATTCAGAAATATCTAAATTTTTGAAAAGTTGCAAGATAGTATTTGCTTGCATTGAATTCATCATTATATGATTAATGTTTGTTCTTAATCTAATACTTCCACAGTTTTCAACATAAACTTTGATAACTTCATCGACAAACTCATTTGATACTTTCTCTTGTTTTAAATATAATTCGAAAATTTTATCACAGGCATTGCTTAAATCTGTACATTTGTATGTAATGTTTTTTTTTTTATTTAACATCCAAGTTTTTATATGACTTTCAAATTCTATTTCTTTTTTCTCTTTTTGCACTTTTTTAATCAATTGTTCAATGAACATGCAAGTTTGAAAATATTGTTTCATTAGATTCATATCTTCTTTTGATAAAACTTCAGGATTTTCGAGAGTTTCGCAATAGAAGTCTATGATGGTTAGTATTTTATTCATGTTTTCCATCTTGTTGTGAACAATCAAATAGAATCCTATTAAAAGTTCTACTCCTTTCTTCTTACAACTTTAACTTATGTATGTATTGTTCAATGACATTACTATTATGATAAAACAATTTGAAAGCATGTCTTGACAAAAGATTCCCTGTTACATTTTAAAATTTCAACCTACACTTTGAATGGCAGCTTTGGATCAGATGTTAGCGTAATCTTGAAGGTAACTTTAGACCTGCAAAATGAATATTGAAACACTATGAATTACATGCATTGAACTCATTGACTTTCATTAATGTGTTTATATCAAAGTTAAGAGAAAGTTGTTAAAAAGTTTGAATTAAGATCACTATCTTAAAAAAATATCACATCGCAGTTTTTAGAATTTCATAATCAATCATACGCATTACTCTATTTACATGAAACGTAAAGTGAGAGCTAACATATGCCACGGATATTAGAGGAGTTACACTACAAACGTGATTATTCCTTCGCTATTCTTATTTTTTTATTATTTAACGTAGAAATTAAAATAAACTAAATTAATTACTTACGTCATATTATATTCTTAAAATTAATTACTGCAATAATTAACGAGCATGGAATGATAAGTAGATGAATTTCGCTCCCGCTTTGGTAGCAAAATTGACGAACCTGAAACCAGCTGTGGAGGGCATTTTGAGAATGCACAAACTTTCATTTGTGTACTGTGCTGGGTTGAGCTAAGAAAAAGTGGCCAGCGGTGCACTTCAGTCTATATATTTGTGGCCAGTTCAGTATCCGTGATAGCCACAAATGTATACACTGAAGTGCACTGCTGCTCACTTCTTAACTCGATCCAGAGCTGGTCGCACAAAGCGCGCTATAAAGGCTAATTCACACTAAATTCAAAAAAATTTTGTCAAAATGTATATTTGTCGATTTTTTAAATATATGTAGATGTAAATGAAAAATAGTATTTATCAGATTTTATACATTTCAATAATCCTATATTTCTATAATTTAATAATATATGTGGTGTAGATATAAAAAACGTATTTGTAACATAAAAATGAAAAAATTGTTTGTAATTATGAAGCTGATGGTTTAGAGATTTATAAGCTATCTTTCATTATTGTAATGTAATAAATTTATTGTTTAATATATTTTTATAATAAGTATTTATATGTTTATTTTGTGATTTGTAGAAAATGTTTACTTATTATATATTTGATTTCCTGACAAAGAAACAGCTACCCTATATCCGCTCTTTTCATCGCTTCGGTCGCTTCGATCGCTATGGCTGGTCACTTACAAGTACTATATACATTTGAGGTTCGGGAAAAATAAAAGTTATTTAACATTTATATAAATTGTTAGTTACAAGTATTTTAACGTATAAATTATTTAAAACATTGTACCATTATTTTCATTTTATCATTACTTCTAAAACTCTATGTATTCCAACATAGTAGTTGTCATAATTGACATACTTTCAAAATTGTAAAAACAATATTCGAGTCGATTCGATACAAATAGTTATTTATAAATGTAATGACTGTCCATTTGATTATTTGTAGAGTAAATTTACTATTCAATATATTATGTAAAGTATCTGAAAGTAAGTTTCAGCATTTGTGCCGTTTTAAGATAGATTTCATTATATACTTTCAAAAATTTGAAAACTTTTTTTCATATTACAAGGAACTTTGACAATAAGGTAAATATATTAACTTTGTAAATTTTTTACCATAATGATCACAAATACGTTCAGCCTTTCTTATCACATTGTAAATTAGATTTTTCTACAAGTTATTAGTATAAGTGACCAGCCATAGCGACCGAAGCGACCGTATGTATAGGCGTATATGGTCGCTGTTTTTTTGCCACGGATTGATTGATTATGATACATCATAGATTACTAATTACTATACGAATATGGATTTATTATTTACCTTTTTTAGATGAAACATGATAATAAGATATATAAATTATTAATCATACATTATAATTTATGAGTGGAATAATTAAGCAAACAAGGGTTTTCCATCATCAAAAGATCATACTGTATCATTCGTAATTAACTCAATACATTTATTACTGTTGGTTTTTCTTAAAAAAAGAAATAAATCGCTCCTCGATCCTCATCGCGAAAGGCTAGATATTTCTATATTGCCTATATAGATATATCTGCAGTCCATGCGGTCTTTGATGGCAGCGCAGCAGCGAACTCGCCATGTGTCTCTCAGCCAACATGGCCACCGGCAAGGGCCTCGTCGCAATCCTGCGCCCGCGGAATTTTGGCCTCCTAGGCTGCAGCAAATCGCACACTGAATTGTCAACAAGTTTGCCACGATGTGCAGATTGTCGTCGACATCTTCACAACGGCACCCTCACTGTCGAGCCAGGACTAGGGCTCACGACACAAAAGTGTGAGTAGCTGATTACATCATTTCTTACGCTGTCTTGTTTGTGATTTTCTCGGAGTGTCGCGTGATTTTTGCATGTAAAATTTAATTTTGATAATTATTTTGTCGTTCTAGTGAATAAGTATGAGGGTATATTTTAGTTTTGACATTTGTACGTCGGGTCGCGATAAGATTGACATAACCTTTAACGGCTACATGTAATAGCTTGTCTTTATATCACGTTGTGATTCGTAATGTATTTTTCGATACTCCGTGCGCAAAGTGCGTCTTTCCCGCACACTCGATAGAAAAAGTGCGTTGAAAATCACACTTTCCACACGTATCAAAAAATACGGTACGGCACATGTTCGGGAAAGAGTTTCTCGTCTCGTGTACCTTTCCACCCTCGCCTCGCTCGGGTGTAAACGCCACTCGAGACAAGAATCTACTTTCCCGCACTTGTATCGTAATGTACTATTAATCGGGTTTCTTCGTTTCTTTCACTTTTCAATCAATTCCGACATTTTGCGTTAAATAGTTGATGATTTTTAATTTTATTTATCCACTGAAATTAATCTCAATTTTATTTTAATTTTATTTAAATATTCGGATTTTATTCCAATATTATACTTGATGTATTATAGATAATATTATAATTTAGATATACATTTTGTATGTAGATCGATTACTTTCTCTATAAATACTGTTTGTTATTGCATGCAAGTGTTGGCAACATTATAGCAAGTTTTAGTTCATTGTAAAATCACTGACGGTTATAACTACATTGTTTAATTTTCAAAGTGTAACTAACTTACGTTCTACTTACAGTCTCATCAGCTGGACAATTACAAAGTCACAGGAAGTTTCACTTATCAAATGGATTATTAGCAGCAAAAAGGAATTACTATGAAATACTAGGTGTATCAAGAAATGCAGCAGCGAAAGACATTAAAAAAGCATACTATCAATTGGCTAAAAAATATCATCCAGACACAAATAAGGATGATCCAAATGCCAGTAAAAAGTTTCAAGAAGTTTCAGAAGCTTATGAGGTTCTTAGTGATGATACCAAAAGGAAAGAATATGACACATGGGGAGCAACTTCGGAACAAATGGGCATGGGACAACCTCCACCTGGTGGAAGGGATCCAAACCATAGAGATTTCAATTGGCAGTTTAAATCAACCATCAATCCTGAAGAATTGTTTAGAAAGATTTTTGGTGAAGCTGGCTTCAAGAGTGGAGGTTTTTCTGATTTTGAGGATTTTGCAGAATCTAACTATGGTTTTGGTGCCGCACAAGAAGTAAGTTTCAAATTCATTCAAAAATACTATAGTTCATTAATTCTTTTAAATAAGATTTATTTTTTTAATTCCAGTTGATAATGAATTTAACATTTCCGCAAGCTGCCAGAGGTGTTAACAAGGATATAAATATCAATGTAGTCGATACATGTCCAAAATGTCAAGGCAGTAGATGTGAACTAGGTTTCAAACCGGTAAAATGTCATTACTGTAATGGCACTGGAATGGAAACAATAAGTACTGGACCATTCGTTATGCGTTCAACGTGTAGACAGTGCCACGGTACCCGAATGTACATAAAACATCCCTGTAATGAATGTGAGGGAAAAGGACAAACGGTAATTATAACTTGCATTAAATGTTCTAAAATAAAAATTGCATATATTGATATTTTGTTGGTTTTTGATTCTTTCTGCAGGTTCAGCGCAAAAAGGTGACAGTGCCAGTACCAGCAGGCGTCGAGGACGGCCAAACAGTACGCATGGCAGTAGGCAATAAAGAAATCTTCATAACATTCCGCGTGGAGAAGTCTAAGTACTTCCGTCGCGATGGCCCAGATATTCACACGGACGCTGATATAAGCATCTCTCAGGCATTATTGGGTGGAACGACGCGTATCGAAGGTGTCTATGAGACATTAACCATTCAAATTCGACCTGGTACCTCGTCTCATACACTCGTACGTATGAATGGCAAGGGTATGAAGAAAGTTAACACTAATGGATACGGCGATCATTACGTTCACATTAAAATCAAAGTACCAGTGAACCTCAACAACAAGCAAAGAGCTTTGATTCAGGCTTACGCGGAGTTGGAGGACGATACGCCTGGCACGATACAGGGTATTACTACGAAAACGGATGGTAAGGAGCGTTGGAACAGTTGATGCTTTCAAGCTGAATGATGAATTTTTTGTTAATCGAGATAAAACTGTAGAGATTTGAGATATATTTACTGTAGAAGCACGCCGCGATCTTCTTATTTTATCCCGAAGCGCGAGAGTGAGAGAGATTACGAGATTGGTAATGAATATACTTAATTACCGCTTGAGTTTCCCCGCGTGTAATCGTATACACGTTTGTTATAGCTTTATTTATAGTACTTGTGAATAAAAGCATTGAAAAACAGATTGTGATATGCCTTATTTGAGAATTTTTCTAATGTTATCTATTGTACTTTGAATGATCGTCAATAAAGTTGAGTAAAGATACAGAGTCGTTTTGGTTTTTGAAATCACTCAACACGATCGACTTTGTAAAAGAAACTTGACAATACTGAAGCACGAGGTAGGTAATTCTTTTACCTTTGAAAGTGTATGCTTTGTTAAAAATGGCCCTGGAAAAATTCTTTTTGCGAGATATGGCATTCGAGTCTGTTTTGAGTTGTTTATGTGAAAGAAAAAAAACAAACTTGTCGATTACTTTTTCTAGGCACGTGGGCGCAAACTCAAGCGAATGCAAGCGATTCTAGCAAAATGAGTCAAGGTGAAGGCTTGCTTAGTAAGGTCAAGAGAGCGATTTTCGGATAGATTATTATTGTTAGGTGAGTTAGGTGAGTGCGATTAATGATCTTGGACAATGGATAGTTTAGCTTTTGTGTAATCGTGCAATGAACTTTTCTTTGTCGATTCCCACAGTAACAGTTAACATACTTCGAATTTTGATAATAGCCCTTTTAAATTTATAAAATCTAATTTTTTTTTAATTACGTAACAAGAATGTAATTTTTCAGGTACTAAACATTGTTGCTCAGAACCATTCGACCTCATGGATTTACTTCGAGAAGCTTTACGAGACGACAAAGTACCAGTAAGAGCCAAGTCTTTAACTGTAAATGATCCATCCGATAAGATGCAAGAAACTTCAGACGATGAAAACGAACGACGAAAAATGCCATAAATATACGCACTCGATATTGTAAAAGTCAAATATATGAAAAACAGGAGACAGACCCTAAAGAATTAAAGTTACAAACTTATTTCAAAAAGCGCCACCAAAGATCAATTTTATAAATTGAATGTTTCTTTAACTTTAATAAGTAAAAATGATAGATAATATAGATGAAACTTGGTATCTAAACCTTTTTGGAAAAAGTTAATATTTCAAGATATTTAACGAATTGTTCAACTTTTAACGATTAAGCTAATTGTTTCACTGTAACAAAAGAAATATTTCGATTTATATCTATATCAAGCGCTTTTCAAATGGTTGTTTATTAAAACATACTTGGTTGCTGTTTTTTTTTCGTTACATTACTATCGCGTGCGTGAATGCTTATATACAATTAAATAGAAATAAAAGAGATAAAAATAACATTTACTTTTTCTATCTATTTTCTTTCTTTTTTTATTTTATAAGTACATATTCTTTCTGAAAAGCAGAAAATGCTTTAGGTTATTAATTACGGCTGTTAATCACTTTTCATCGTTCGTTTAGATAGTAGAATGTTTTGTTTTCTTAGTGAATATTCGTTTTCCATACGTTTGTAGCTGATTGTTCTGTTAAAAAATTGTTTTTAATAAATCAACATGTATAGTTTAACCTAGTAGTTTTTATATTTCCAAAGCAATATCTTTTTTATTTAATATTTCACTAGTAATGTCAGACGTGCTTCGAGCGTTCTTGTCTTCTTTTTCATTTCTTGTCATATTAATTAACATAAATTACTTTTTTCAAACGTAGATTTTTCAATTTTTTTACAAAAACCCCTATAATTATAGCGGAATTAGCAAAGCAGTTGCGCGTATTCCAAATTCATAATTTATCACATAAAAAACTGCTATAAATAATTAATCTTTTAGTTTTTTACAACTGTATGGGTCACATAACTATTAAAAGATTATTCTACTCTGAATAAAAAGTGTAACAATATAATATTTATTTCCATATAACAAAATTTCAGATTACCGATTAGTAATAGAAAATATTCAGAACAATTCCAAAGCATAACCTCTTCTTATTACGAAACAATTAACTTGTTGCTAGTTTCATAACATGAGTCGTAAAACAATAACATTATAGTTTATTTTTTTACTTTTATTATCTTCAAATTGACCCAAATCAATTATGATAACTTGAATTTTACTACTAAAATCTTAACTTGAAACCATAAACACACGCTAATTATCCGCCAGTATATTACGTGGCCATATTTCAGCCAATCACATAACGAATAAAATACTTCAACATGTCATCTATCACATTTTTATAAATGCACATTTTATAAGGGGATTATATAATTATAATAAGTAGATTCTGGCGGACCTGTCGTGTCTTCGCTCACTCGTGTTTCAATAAATTTGTGTTCTTCACTGTCTCATACTTATTAGTTGCCAGTAATTATAATCACAGTTATACAGAAATTAAGAACGAATTCTTATACATCATGATATATTTTATGTATAAAAAAAAAATAAAAGAAATTACTTTGTACAAATATAATGAAACTGTTTTACAATGAATATATAATGAAACTGACCAAACAAATTGGTATTTCTAAAATTACATTTTCTCGTCTTTTAAACACTTGGAAGATAAAATTATAAAAAATGCAGACAAGTTTCGTTTGAAAATAAAAACGGAATTTCGAAAAATGTAAAAATAACATTTAGATAAATGAAATAACTAAAGCGAATAGTCAACTTTCAAGATAACTGCTTTTTGTTTAGATTATTTGCTACACGATTTCATTTGTAGTTCATTAACTGATAAAACTTTTTTCAAAGTATCTATATAACGTGAATATACTTTTGAAATACAAAAATCCTCAAATCTGTTAGGACAAATAATCAACAACCTTGTCATTTATTTGAATACATGTTACATTTGAAATATTTGGCAGTGAAATTTTGGAGTGGGAAATTTAATTTGAAAAATAAACTTTTTTTAAGAAACAAAATAAAAAAACACTGGAATACTAAGATTTTGATTGACAAAGCTCGGTGTAGTACGTAACTCTTAACACAGATTTCTTAAAAAATTTTTCAAATGAATGATCTAACTTCAATGTCAGCAATACTGTCGTCATTTATAATTTTATATTTTAAGTAACATGGGAAATGAAATAACTAATAACTATCTAAAATCACAATTATATTTTTGTGAAAGGATCAAAATTATCATAAAATAAAAAATTAAAAAACCATTTTGCGGTTAATATTATTCCAAACCTTTTTTTATTGTACGAAAAAGGCGTCTTTTTTAAAAAGCAACCAATAAGGTCCATTGTTAGCGTCTTTAAGTATATAAATATTCATTTGACTGAATTTCAATAGAAATACAATGTATGCGTATGTGCGCGGGCGTATGTGTGTGTATACTATCGTTACATATAATATATCGTTATTCGATATAGCCGATTTTTTGATTGCTAATTTTCTTCATGTCAAAGTATTTAGATTCTATATGTTAAGTAAGTAGTTGATATTATCTTTTCCTCATCGTTTACATATTACATGAATATCGAGTGAATGTTATCGAGTAAACGTACACTCTTGGTCGGATAACTTGTGGAACGTATTATTTATACATGTGGCAACATGCTCGTTTATTATTTATACGGATTATGAATAAGTTTTCTTTGTTTTTGTTTTAAATGAGCCTCGCACCGAACCATCCACCATCGTTAAAAGCTACGTTGTAACAAAACTATACATTATTAGTTAGTAATACTTTCTGTATGACTCGTGCACAATATCACCATTTTCCGAGTAATTTCTACATTGTCAATTCGCCATTTTTCGAATGTAAATGAAAATGTCGACGTTACTTGGCGTGTCCAGCATCTAATGGATCCGATAGAGGTTGCGCCGATGAGCACCGCTGTCGAAGAAAGCAGCGTGCCGCAGGAGAGATGACCGGCAAAGCTCGAAGGCAGGAGCAGGTGGCCGTTAGGCGGGCACGAGAAGGCCGTACCGCAAGCCAACGTTCGTCAGGCTCTGCGTGGCCGACACCTTGAGCACGGCCACGGCGACCGCGGCGATCGTCACTGCGCCCTCGAGGTACAGGCCGTAGAGGACGCGCACGTAGCCGGCGACGGTGGACAGGCCGCCGGCCGCCGTGAAGTCCAGCGGGAAGAGCAGACTGTCGGAGAGGGGGCGCAGCCGCGCCACGCCGAAGCACAGGATGCCCAGGACGTAGTAGGCACCTGCGGCCGGACAGACACTCGTGTGAGGGCGCGCTCATCGCGGGCTAGCTGGGTCGCGGCTCACCGATGGCCACGAAGGGCGCGAGCTTGACCCACGTCGGCATCGGCGCGGAGTCCAGGCCGCCCTCCGGGACGCCCCCCTCGTCGCGGCGGCAGCTCCGGCGCGTGCCGCAGCGCTTGAGCCTGACGGCGAGCAGCAGGCCCAGGTTGAGCACCAGCAGGAAGTGCGCGGGGATGCCGACCGCCGCGAACGCGAGCGCGACCGCGCGCCCGGCCGTGGTCCGCGGCACCGGGGCGCCGAAGCCTGCGGCCCAAAGCAGAGCGGCTCAGCGGGGGCGGCGGCGCGCGGGCCCGGCGTACCTAGCGTGGTCAGCACCGACACGGCGAACAGCAGGCAGCCGGGGAAGGTCCACAGCCGGCCGCCCTCGCCGCCCTCGCCGTAGCCCGAGCTCACGGCCGCGAGCAGCAGCCGCTCGTGCTCGGCCACGTACTGGCGCACCTTGTTGCTCCACAGCGGCTCCATCTCCCTGTCGGCGCTCTGCAGCTGGCGCAGCTCCGTCGCCAGGCCGATCGCCAGCTCGCGCTGCATGTCCTTCAGCTGGACCACCTGCTGGCGCTCGCGCGGCCCCTCGGTCGCGTAGAAGGCGCCCGCTCCCAGCACCGCCCACAAGCTCAGCAGCCAGGCGAGGCCTGCGGAGCGTCGAGTCAAGGCGTTGCCAGGTGGCGCGGGAGTGCGCGAGCGCTCCCGGTCGGGAAACTCACCGAACTGACACAACGCCACGCGTCCTAGAAACCGAAGCAGTGGAAATATCTTTGCCGACAATCGCTCGGAATCGGCTGCTCGGCTGTCCTCGTCCGCGATGTCCTTCAGGCTCGGAAGCACTCTCAGCCTGTACAGAACCGCGTCGGTCGTTTGCGCTGCCACCGACGTCGTTGAGGCTTTCTTCCTCGGTGCTAAAGTTGGCCGACAGTTGGCCGATGCCATCGTCGTTTGTAGCTCCGTTCGTATTGGCGGCAGCGTCGCTTTCAGCGGAGGCAAATGTGCCGTGATGTGGTGTACATGTTCCTTGTTTGCTGACATTTAAAGCAGTATCGTTGGTCTCCAATCGGATCGCAATCAAGCACGTTAAGCAGCGATACTCGCGATTGGCCAGACGTGAATGCTGTCTGTTCGTCCAGTCAGAATCAATTGCTCGTAATTCGCGAAATCGCAATAATCGACATAAGACACGTCTGCACCAACCTGGCATCGCTCAAAAGCTCCAACGGAACTGTAAAGAGTCCGTCGTCCGCGAAAAGCGAGAAATTTCCGTGACGTAAGGTCGACGCGCTCTGTCGACTGTTCTGTCACTGCGTAACAGCGTGTCGCACTCTAATCTGGTTTCTTGCGATTGACGCGGTGGTTGAGTGCCTTAAACGTCATTTCAATTTTCGTATGTGCAAATAGCTACTCTATTGTCAGTGATGCAATCATCGATAGACGTTCGACGGTTTTCATAAGATCATTTTTCCATTTCAAATTTACGTTAATTTTATAATGAAACGTGCAGTCGTTAGTACGCTATTTATAATGTCGGTATGCAAAAATAGTGAATTACGCAGAAAGTACAATTATGTAATGAAAACTATTGCGAAAGGAAATCGATGACACGAGCATACGCCATGGAGTAGTATATTAGACGAAAGAAAAAAGAAATCGTCGCAATTTATCAGGAATATCGTTTGAAATAATGGTATTTACGGTTTGCTAACAGGACGAAAATCAGTACACTGTCCAATTATTCAATAGAGTCAGATGTAACCTCGCCACAGAAAAATTAATCGAGTTTATGCGACAATTTCTTTTGCTCTGCGCGCTCGTTTTACTCTAATTACTTCGTAGTCTCAATTTTCATATAAAATGGGGCTCCCTACACACACACACACACACACACACACACACACGCGCATACACGACTGAATACTTCTGGAGGTGCGATTTCGCTGGACATGCTTGGTCGCGTGACGTTTTCTCTCTTTTTTTTCGTTCCTGACCTCGCAACTCTAACGTGCGTACCACTTACGATTCCGTAGACCTTGAACTTGAAAAAACAATTGAACTGCTTTTTTAAAGAATCTACGACAGGAAAAGTTTTGCCACGGAATGTGAATGAAAGATAAGTTGCGTTTCGACTGATTGATGATGATTGTAACGTACGTAAAGGCCCCGGAATTTCCGTAGTTATGTGATATAACGCTTGCGCTGAGCAGAAATTAAAAAGGAAAAGTTAGACGAGGAGCATGCAATTCATTAGCGGTGGAGCTCGAGAGTGTTTTTAATTACACAGCCGTAGGGCAATGAATGCCAAGTGTCGTGCAACAGGTCACCTTTAGTGATGGTCGCGCGATAAACCACATCGCCTTCGTTGACTTCATCCTCGGAGTTCGTCCTCGGGGATGTCTCCCTGGAACATTTATTTAGTTCGTTATGTAGACGCATTTTTTAATCTAATAACGCTCATTTAATTGATATTGTGCTCAGGTAGCACTATGCTTTTCTATTGTTTCACAGGGCCGTATCATTTCTATAGACCGAATATTTCGTTTTCTAGATAAGTTTCTTTTTAATTAACGAAGACTAAGTAAATGAAAATACAATTGTAAGTTGTTATTATAATTCGAGTTATTACCATAATGAAAAATTGAAGTCAAAAGTGTCGGAGTATACCGAGTTTCATTACGGAAATGATACAGAAAGTAGAGTAATTATTAGTTTGGTCAGACGTGCATTTATAGTTTAACAAGTTCTTGAACTATGGCAGTCGTATCTTCGTACCCACTGAACACATATTCGCCAAGTTTCAATGTATCATCAGAAAGTATATGTCTTTTTCAAAGGTATCTTTACGTTATCTTGTCTAAAAAGAAAATTTATTGCAGGAAGTTCATTTTTTAAATACTCTCGTATTTCGTAACGACGGAAAATTCTAATGACATTCTTTAAAAGTGAAGAATACACTTTTATATCTTTACTCGATAGTTTGACGAATATTGATTGTTCCATAAATACTTTACTCCGTAAGGACAAACGATTATTAAATTCCGTGTTTATATTCGTAAATTCGTGATTCATTTGTGTTGAAACATTTTAATAGTAAATGCACGTATTTACACTAGCGTCAATCAAAAAGTTGTTTCCAGATATATTTTTTAAAGTTCAGTTTGAATGAACTTTTCACATTCGGTTTGGCTTTTATATAAATAGCTACGTTATTGACAAGAACGTGAATAAAAATCATTGAAAAAATAGTAGTGTGATCGATTTTTCATCAGGATTATATGTACTGAAGACCCTGCGTTGCGGTATAGTCAGTACATATGTGTGTCCGTGATGAAAAATTAACGAACGATGATACTACGTCGACTATGCGTATGTGTGCGCGCACATCAATAAAGTTTACGACTTCTCCCCCAAAGTATATTCGACAAATGCCATAAGCGGGAAATACTGATTATATATGTTCAAGAAATTCAGTATACAACGATAGTATAGGATATGATTGACGGATTCATGCAGCTTTTACGAATGAGCTTTTAATTGATACGGATAGGACGAATTATTAAGCTACTGAAAAAATATTAGATGTCACGAAAAGAATATCAAACAGACGTTATCGTTTCAAGAACATCGATCGTCGACGTGCGCTCACGTAACGTATCCTCTTTATTATTGGAAAATAAAGAGAAGTTGGAAATGACTTTAACGTCGCGGCCCTTTGTTTGCAAAACACAAACGAATGGCAGAAAGCTCACCGTATCCTCTCGAGTACAGTTTTTGAGGTGGCAGACTCGTCATCGTCGGCGTTAGCGGGACACCTGGATTCCGTCATGGTGAGCCTGAGCTGGGTAGTGAGCCTGGGCTTGCGCGCCTCGTCGGCGCGGCGATCACAGGCGAGGAGCGCGGCTGCGGTGGCGGCGGCCGGTTGCACGCGTCGTCGTGACGGTTTGCGAGCGACGAGCCAGCTCGCCGAGCGCGGCCGGCGCCGAGCGAACTCGGTCCTGCGCCGTTGTTGCCTCGATGCCAAGTCCAGCGACACCGAGCGGCTGCCCGCGCCGAGCGTCGACGTCGCCGCCAGCGGCGGCGCTGCCGGGAACCGCGGAATCTCCATCGTCAAGTTGCTCGTCGTCAGTATCACGTATGGCGAGGCATGCACTTCGTGTCGATCACAACGATCGCGCGGGACGGCTGGCCTGCTGCTGGCCGCTGCAACGCCATTCCTTTCATTACTCGCATTCTTCGGGCGAAGAGCTTTCGCGCGTGCACACTGCAATCTCAGACGCGAGCTTCACATTGCAGATTAGTCTGGAACTACGGACTTTTCGGGACACATCGCCAACGTTATTTTACTCAGTCTCGCGTGACAACAAGTTGAACAAATTTAACCTGTCGTTATTGAAATCGTAACGTCACGCGCGACCTTCGCAGACCTTTCGGAGCGTCGATCCACACCTTCGCTCGTTCGTATCCACTTTTATCCAATCTAAGTAATGCATGCGTAATCTTACGTTACCTTGCATTACATTCCAGCCAGATTTGGCCAACGTATACTCGACCAATAGTAGTGTAGAGAAAAGAAAATCTGTTTTCACTTAATCGAGAGAGAAATTGAATCAACGTGAATTCCAATTCAACAATTCAACAGCTTACCGGGAGTTGTACAACGGATAGTTGTTACGACGGATGCAGAATGGTATAGGATTGCGATAAAGGCAGCGCTTTCATTGCCAAGTGCTTGCGATTGCAGCTTACCGAATCGATAGGCACGCTTCTTAAGTAAATCTTTTCTAGCGTCGCGTAAAAGTTCGAACGATGCACGTCATGTTGAATTATTCAGAAGTATTATTGATTGAATGGCGACATTCGTGGATCAGAATAACGCTAGCGATTACTTATGTATGAAGCAGGACAATCATGTTTTGTAGTCAATAGAGAATGAATAGGGTGTAGATAAAACCGTACGGAACCGCGACAACGAGGTGCGAAGAACAATTGTGAGACGAGCGTTACAAGCAAAATTGTTACCTCAGCTGCAACAGGCTTGATTCTAGCTGCTGGGCTTTTCATTTGCGGATCTACGAAACTGTTTGCCGATAATCGCGCCCTTCCGACAGCGATTGCCTCGCGCTGGAAAGAAAGCACAGAACTGCGAAAAAACAACGATCGAACTTCGTCGCCCGGAGGGAAAGAACATTAACTTGCCGCGCCGTGAACGCAACGAGCGATCTGTCCCGATAAACCTGATGTAGCACATCTCTTAACGATGCGACCAAAGTTCATTCGCACCAGCCGCATGCAATATCGAATCTCGAGTTTCCATCATCGGCGCACGCACACGCGACGACGTCGGGAATGATACTGACAGTAGCAGTGACACTATATATCGCTTCGAGGTCTCCACACATACACACGCTTCCGTCTCTATGCTATGCACTTGTCGCATGCTTGTAATGCGCGATGATCGACTGTGCTTTAAAATTTTCAAAGCTTTAATTGAGTCACGTTTGAACCGTGCACGGGTGTCGACGCTGTACACCCCCCGCCGCTAATCATTTATGAGCTCGAGTTATTTTTAATGGGGTGTGTATCGGTTCGCCAAAGTTTAAAATAGCTTGTTGTTTCTTATGATGAGAGCGCACAAGAAACGCTGGAAAAATGCATTTTATCTTTCATTTTATTCGGAAATCTAACCGAGTCGCGTCACGCTTATTTTCGATATGTAAATTCTGAAATCGTTGTCAAGGATAATGAATCAATGGAATTTTAGAGCAAACGGCGTACAGAGTGCAATAAATTGAAAACCATTAGACGTCGAAAAATCTGCAAAATCTGCAAAAACAATGTGATTTGGAGAGAAATAAAGGTGTTTGGAGCCAGGAGCCACAGAGAGGAGGCAGAGATTGGCTCCCAACGATAGGACGCAAACAATGGAGTTGGTTTTCCGGTCACGCGCGTGCTTCCCGTGCCCATCACGCGCAACTTAATTTCGCGAATGGCATCAGCGTGCTCGCAGTAGCTCGACGTTAACAAACTCTCGCACGGTTGCTAAATTCTCACCTGTGGCGAGGTCGCTCGTTCGCATGGCCACTGAAAAGTGCAGTTTTGTTTGAAAATCGCGATCAAGCTCGACTCGCGTCACTCGCGCCTGCCAAGGGCCTCGAGATCAGCCTCTTATCGGCGTCGTCGCTCAGTCTCGCTTGTTCAGCGTCGACGCTCTTCGCGCAAACAATTGGCTCCGATTGCCGCCGTTGCCGCAAATCGCACGCGTATCAACGGTCGCGTGTAAGTCGCGACACGCGCCTGGCTTGGATTCTTCGGCAATGCCAATCCAAACGTTCCGCCCAGTATTTACCGGATCGGCGATCGGCTGCATAGCTCGCTCGGATCAGCAGGCGCGCCGCAATCTGCACTGCTGGCCGTGTCGAGGCGCGAGAGCCTCGCCCGGGCAGATCGAGATAGCAAGAGCGCGCAGCGCGTACTGATAGTCGAACTCGCTTTGTACGCTCGATCTCGCTCGTGCCGGTGCAACGGCGCCGCCGACAAGAGTTGGCTTTAATTAGACCCTGGCCTTATAATCGATGACGAACTCTGGGACAAGAACAGGGGAGGGGGAGGAGGGTCGTCTATCGGCCAGCTGCAATCTCTGCGCTTAAAAATAGTAAAATAGTAGGCCGATTTTTGCATTCTGGCACGACAACCGTCTTCCTTTTTCCAATTACTGACAGTTCGGTGCAAGAGAACGGGGCCAAGTGGCTGCTCGCAGGCTAGTTGCTGTTCTTTTTCCCTCTTCGGCTCTCCGCCATCCGGAGCAGCTGGCTGGCTTTGCTTTGTCATTCACGCATACTGGTACTTTTCGCGTTTATTTGCTGGGCCTTCCAATGTTCATCGGACGTCACTTCAGCAATCGCGCAATAGTGACGTTGCCCAAGCAACAGTTGTAAATTGCCGTCATCGTGCACTCCAGGACGATGCATCTGCTTCAAGCACGTACGCGTCTGACTTGATCCTGATACTCGCCACGCGTTTCTACATCGATCGTTGTAAGCAAGCACATGCGTTTTACGGAAGATTCAAATGCAAACGCACTAAGGTTTCTTCTGCCTAATTTTTTCATTCCAACTGATAAGAGTCGAGCGAAGATTATTGCCATCGATACGTTGATTGTCCAGCTGGATTGCGTTTGCACGTGCGAGGAAAGCCGCGCACTCGAGTTGTAAGTATTATTGGAAAAGGCATACGGTACGGTGCAGCGAGAACTGTCTTAGGGCAAAAGCCTAGCACGCTCGACGATCGATCGGTCACGCTCGCTTTAAAGTCGCAGGGTTCTAATTTTGCCATGAGTTAATTTGCTCAGTTGCGCGCGTCCGACGGAGAATCGATGGCTTCGCCGCGTCGGGCAAAGACCCTCTCGCTCGAGCGCGAGCACGTGCACTTTGGCCCGCTTTGCGTACTTATATCGATTCGCCGCGAAATCAAGCATGCTTTACGACCATTTCGTGCTTCGCAACGCCGCGGCGTACTGTGTACTATGTTCGCCCTCCCCCGTCCAAATGGATTCAGATTAGATTATCGCTAAACTACCGTTTGACCGCTGTTTCGCGCAGACAGCGTGGCTGTGTTAATTTTCGGCTAACGAAAAACGAGCATTCGACAGCTGCGCGCATCGATCCGCCATTGATTTCGCGGAGTACTTCCGCCAAACGAATCACTCAAGCGAGCTTCCCACTAGAGAAATTCACGTGACGCGAAGAAGCAAACGACCGCGGAGAAGTGGCATTTGAAAGGAAAAGCAGCGTGCACGGCATTGCACTTCTTGGATAATGAATGAAGGCGTCTGTTTCGCGAAATTCTCTCTAAGAGTAGCGAACTCGAGTGGAAAGTAGGTGACACAATTCTCATTCTCTTAGCATCTACAAGCAGCGTGAAAAGAACTTACTTTATGTCGGCGCTCCCTCTTTGTAAGGTTTTTCAAGCTTGAATAATTCTTACCGGCAAACTATTATTATTCAACGCCGCGTCGTTTCAACATTAACAGTTCGCTGTTTGCACCGAAGAGCTACATTTTTCAAGTGACTTTCATCAGATGAACTATTTCGCGAGTAGATGGTGCGTCAACAAATGCACGTATCTTCGCTAACGCATAAAGAATGCACGCTCTGGTCTTTCGTTCGAGTTTTTCACAGGCAGCCTTCTCGAGATGAAAGACGTAAAAGAAAAGTTGAGAGCGGGATAAAAGCGAGACAAGCGCATTGTTGTGGTGGAGCGCTCTATCGATCCAACGGTGCTCAAAAAATTTCTGATGTCTGCTCGCACAGTTTCCTTTCTCTGCACTGTTCGTACGTTTCTACTTTTTAACTATTATTTTTCTCGCGGTGATTTTTACTCGTACGCGCGAATATTTTCATAGGAAATAATTTTTTTTCGCTCGTGAATATCAATTAGTTTCATGACTCCGGTGCAAAGACATTACAAAATCTGTTGCTCCTGGTTACTACAACCGGTCAACGAGATTCAAATTACGTATGTGCTGGTGTTACAGTTTTATAAGATTATTCTATATTTTTAGAGTGTACAGGTCCAAACGCTTCTAAAATCTATAAAAGCACAATCTCTAAAAAGATCGTAAAATCTTTCGTAAAAGTTATTCCAGGTATAACTAACTCGATTAACTCGAGAAAGTCTTTATCAAGTAAATATTGTAAGGCGCATACGCAAGGAAATGAACGTCAAACTCAAAACTATCAGCCTAAAGGACGTTCCGTAAAAAAGTTGGACGTGCTATTTAAAGGGGACTCCAGTGCAAATGATATAACTGCTCGATATCAAAGTTCATGCAAGTTCAGTTCAGCATATTAAAGTGTGATCTCTCCAAGAATTTCCGTCGGCCGTTGAGCATGGATGACACGTTTTAAGCAATCCACTGGTTCAACATTTATTGCGTTCAGATTTTAACTTATTCTTAAGAAATAATAACGGGGAACGGTCCGTTATTGAAAATGCTCGAGCACCGAGATTGCAAATTATTTGAAAATAAATCTTAGGGAAGGATATGTAAGTTGCGACGAAGTAACTCAGTGCTAAGGCATATTTTCCAACTAAAATTTGATAATTTTATTTGAATCCACTTGTCCAAATTGAAATGGCCTATTGACAGCGTCGTAATGTTCCAGCCGAACGTTCAAAATGACAGCTAAAGACAGAAGGCTCGTGTGGACGGAAACGAGCCAATCGAAATTGGAAGGTCCACTCATCGTTTGGATCTTGGTCAAGCCCTGCGGCGCCGCGAAACAGCTGGACAGTCGGGAAAAGCGGAAGAGTCGTCGGGGCAGAGCAGCGGAAAGGAAGCCAGGCAGGAGGGGCAGGCGATCGAAGAGGGCCGGGTTACCGTCGGCCGCGCGGCAGCGCAGCTAGCCTCGGCGAGATGTCGTTGGGGTCGGCGATTGTGCAGCGGCGCTCGCTTGCCCGTGTTAGTGCACGTCCGTGCCTCGGGGTGATGTAGAAGGCGCGCGCGAGGTTCAGTGCGGCAGCAGCGATGCGATGGCGCAGGTGCGGCGCTCTGGCGCTGTCCGCCTGCTGCCTGCCTGTCGCGCTGCTGCGGCTGCTGCTGCTCGCTGGCGGCTCCACGACCAGCCGCCAGCGCCGCTCCGACGCCGCCGAGCCCGTCTACTCGGTCGCCGGCGAGGAGGCGCCCGGCGCTCCGCGCGGCCACTTGTACTTCGCCGGCGCTTACATGGCCGAGACATCGCCCGGCAACGTGTCTCACTGCAGGTACGTCCTCTCCAGCGACGCGTCGCAGGCTCGACTCCGGCGCACGTGGACCGCGCCGAGCTGATCGCCTTGTCCGCCCGCGTGCTCGCGCTTACGAAACACCTCGTCCCACTATCGATTCCAACTTGATCGCTCCGCACCAAGTGCGTCGACCTGATTCGGCTCGTTCTCTCTGCTCGGTGCACCCTCGATCAGTCGACGTCGGCGACTCGTCCTCGAGGAACTTGGGCAAAGCCCGACGTGCTAAAATTACCCGGAGTGCCATTTGCGTACGCGGCCTTGCAAGTCGACCAATCGATTGATATCTCACGATCAAAGTCCGCGAGCCCGACCGAGTCACGCAACAGACGCGAACGTAAGCGCGACTTGCACGTTCAGTGAGGACTTGGCCACGCGCCTCTCGCACTGTTCTCAGGTGGCAGTACGACCTACCGACAAAGTTGGCCTATCTCGAGCAGGAATTAATTGGCAGTCCGGAGTCGCCGGCAGGCCGACCCTACCGCGTATTGCCGTTCGTTGTTCGGGGCCTGAGTCAAGCACCTTTGGCACAGCTGACCCTCTGCACACACGCAACGGCCGATCAGGTGTACAATGTCGTCGAGCTCGCTAGGCGATGGGAAGGACCTGTCAGTCTTGCCGTTTTCGTGCCTGCCAGAGATGCCGGGATTGCTGTCAGGATGCTCGATCGGGCTTGTCGATGTGAACCCGCCATGATCAAAGTTGGTGCACTGCATTCATTTCTCTAATGCGTAGTCTTGGCTCTAATAGATATTAGGAATTGCTGCGAGTTCTCCAAAAGCGATTGTCCTATGTTCGAAAGCTTTCTTTGATGCCTTATTTAATTGAATTTTCGGCAATGTCAAACATTACTCTGAAACGCAGCGTTGAATTTTAATGGTCATCAGGTCTCCGTCCACCTAATCTTCCCTCGAGACATGCCACCAGAGCTCACTCCTCCGCTGTCGATAGTCCATCAATCAAGCATTACCGCGGACTGCTCGGCCAGCGACCTCCAAGTCGACTCAGCCAACGTGACCGAACGTCGTCGCTGGAACGTCGCTTATCCTATCAACGTGGCTCGCAACGTCGCTCGAACTCTGGCGCCGACTCAGTGCATCCTCGTCTCGGATGTGGAACTATTGCCGAGCGAGAAGCTCGCCTCGAGGTTTCTCGCGATGCTTAAAGGTCGATCGCCCAAGCGAGCGATCGCCTTTGTTCTGCCTACCTTCGAAATCGAGGCTGGCGAACCTTTGCCAAAGAACAAGAAGGAACTGCTGGTTGCGCTTAGAGCTGGTCTTGCAGTTTATTTTCATAGGTCGGTCCTATTTTGTACTCTGTACGATCGATTATGTATAACAATTCTTATTTTCTTTTAACAAACTTCATCCCAAAAAATCAGTCTCTTTTTCATCATTTAGCTCGGCCTTGCCTCTAAACGTGCGTTTCTTCGAAAATACTATTTAACGATATATTCAAAGTCATTTATTTCTACCAAAACTCCCCTATAATCAATCATCGGAGCACGCCGATCCCCTCCACTTACTGGGCACACAATCAACGAGAATAGAAGAGTCGCCGTGTTGATTTTATACATCGTGGCTCTTAAAAAAGATTAATTATTTTCGATAACATTTTTTAAATTACAAATGATTAGCTTAAAAATATCGTTTTTTTTTTAACAGTCCCCTTAAACGGCCATCCCAGCGTTAGAAAATAATGTTGCTAGATTTATTTTTAGCATAAAAATATGATTAGAGGGCGCTAAAAGTACAGGAAAAAATTTGCTCATAAATTCAGTTTATATTATACTACAAAATACCGGAATTTTTTAACAACCTCTAATAATGTGAAGACAATATAAAATGATATTTTAAAACTTAGATAAAAAGACTTTAAAAATTGATAAATGAAAATAGCCATATAATAATTGATGAAAGTTCAATCAATTAATTTAATTCATGTGGAAAGGACTTTTTGTTAATGAATTTATGTCATAATTGTAAGATAATGCAGTATTTAGATCACCTCATGCCTCAATATTAAGTGATATTTTTCCGACAGTTTCCGAAGCTAGATTATGTCGATGAGAACAGTTAAACTTGTTACGGTAGTTGCTTTCTATTTAGAGAGTTTACTACACTTTGCCAGCTATTTATTTTGCTCTTGAATTGCCTGCTTAAGACTTCTTCTACACATCGATTGTGTCTCTATATTTCCAAATTGTTTAATTGTATCATAATCATTATTCAAAGTACTTCAGCAAAATGCCTGAAATCATTAAATACAAAAAAAAGGATGAAAAAAACTTCTAGTCTTTTTCTATTACGGATTTCGTAATCAAGTCATTAGCGATTTAAATATATGTATATATCATACAGACCGTTCAATTTATCAGGGCTAAATACGTTAGTACACACCATTACCTGAAGGTTTATTAGGATACCAAAAATGTAATGCATTGACGTTAATCCATATACTCAATTTTTATTAAAAATAAAACCTATTATCGCTTGAAAATAGTTACAATCGGTCTAGAAAACAATCAGTCAGTAGAAAATAAACGATAGATATGACGTTCAACGATATTTCATGTTTTGAAACTATTGATTTTGAAGTTAAAAAGTAATCTCGTGTAACGCGTGTCCCTCTTCACTTTCGAAAGTTGTTCGAGTCGAGTGACAATTTCAGCAGGCCCGAATTGCACCGGTCGTAAAAAGTTTATTAATTTCTATCGCCTGGGAATACTCGACAGGTTCTCGTGTTCACACTGTCAGAGGTTTCCCGGATTGACTCGCTGGATTCTACGACCAGATCCGGGAAGAGTGAGACCGCTGATCATCACGAGGAGGGAGTATCCTCACCACAGGTGGGAGCCTATTTTCATCGGGACGAAACACGATCCTCTTTACACGGAGGAAATGTCCTGGGAGGGACGACAAGATAAAATGACTCAGGTAAATATGAACGCGTACTACGAAAATGTCCGATGATGCTTTGATTCGTGTACTACGTACATGGATTTACATGTAAATCATCGAAATTATGAAGAGTCGGAAAATAGTATGTTTTACCGTGTTAAAAAAGTCATTCGGTAACCATTGACATACTTTTTGCTTGTTTTTATCAAAGCGACTTGGTCTCGTTTGCAAAATAAAACTTGTTTGCAGATGTTCGAAATGTGCCTAATGAATTACCGTCTGATAATCCTGGACGGTGCTTTCCTGGTCCACACGCCGGGCATCAAGCGTCGCTCTTTGGCGGACGAGGAGCAGCAACAGCAGCAGCATTCAATGGACGAGCGACAGCGCGCCTACGAGCGACAGAACGCGCGAATTTATCAACGAGTCACACGCCGACTGCTCAAGCAATATCCCGTCAATCACCGCTGCAGGCCTTGAACGACGATTTGACCCCGCCCACGTAGATGTTTACTTGATGGGATTTGAATAACGCTGACAATACACGTGTACTAAAGGGGCGACGAGGTTTTTAAGACAATTAAATAAAATACAAGTAGTCGTTGTAGGGCTTTAGAGTCTCCTGGTTGCGATGCTGCTCAAGTTTTGAATTTTCAAGAGTGAGTACATCGATATGATTTTTAAAGCGTGCGAGGCCATGATGGTGGTAGTTTCACGATAACTTGACCGATCAATTGCCTTTCAGTCACGGTCAGTCAGAGTTTACATTATAAAAATACTTGACAGATCGAAACCAAGAGATCCGAATAATAATAATTAGAAGATGTAAGGATAGCAATAATAACGTAACAGGCGTTCCTTGGATTGAACCATTGCATAGCATACGTTTGATATCAAAAGTAATAACATTAAACATAGCTGCTGAGCCAGACGAATTGTTTTTCAGACTCTGTCGTCAATAGTAATTTTGTACAATTTACAACGTAGTAACAGGCAGTAGATTTTATCGAAAGAATAATAATAATAATAATCATAATAATCATAATAATAATAACGAGAATAGTTCCTTTGAGAAACAAAATCTCTGTTAGCAGAGCAAGTCTATCTTTCTTCTCCGTGAAAGGCAAATTTTCGCTTGGCGAATGAAATTATACATTTTAACTTCTATATATACATCACTTTTTAACACGAGCACATTTTAACTTACGCACGGATAAGAATTTTTTCGATCAAGATTTTTTGAATCAATAAAGTCCACTCTCGAGTCGTAATAATAGGTATAGAAGAGCTTTACAACCGTTGAATGACGGAGACTAAAGAATAAAATAAAAACGTTAGTTTTTAACGAGTTTTTTATAGAACGACTTTTTATAGATACATAGAACGCAACGCTTGAATAGAAACATATTGAGAACGCGTAAATACAACAAAAAAGGCGTTCGCTAATTAGAGTTAATGAATTTGCATAGACTGAAGCACTAAATGCTCATATCAACGATCGTAATTATGTAAGTAAGTACAAATTGGACTTGTGTGTGGTTTTTTAGACAAAAATTAAAATAAGAAACGGAGGTGACTTTCAATTTCAACGTCGTTTTTCGCGTAGAGTCGGTAATTTTGCGAGCGAGACAACACACCAAATGAGAAAACAAAGAAAATCAGAACAACGACAACGATATATCATCGACATTTGTAATGTTTTGAATATCCCTTTTATCGTCGAGCGTCAATTGTAATTTAGGATTTTAATGTACGCGACGAAGTAATAGCTTTGCAAAGGTGCATCGCTTGTTTTTATGCGCTAGTTGCAATTATACATAGTTTATAAGTATTGCATTTGGAGAAATAAAATATTTTATCCCTTTTAACTTGCATTTTTATTTTACTCACCAATAGACCACATTTCAGTTATCAATATTTTTCACGCAAACCTATATAGATATACCCTAGAAGAACAGTAGCTTGGCGAAAAACCTACTTTTCTATTTAGATAATAATACGGAGTTTTTGCTGTTCTTTTCGTGTCCCCGAAGGGCATGCGGAGACGTGAAAATGCTGCGTGCGCAAACAGGCCCCACCCTGCAATGGTGGCGAGGGGAGGGGAGCCCAGAAAATTGAGTCCCGTGTGGCGAGGCGGATGGGCGCTTGGAGAGGGCGACATGCTGGTCGACCAAGCTTGCTAGAGGTAAGTCGTTACGTGACCTTTCTGTTTCTTCGCTTTTATTGTGCCGTGATTACGCATCGGTGTTGTGCCCTTTTGTAGCTCTCTTTAAGTTAATCTCGCGTTTTAGAGTAATTTATCTTCCTCGTAAAGCAACGACGTTTTCGACAGTCGTTTTCGTACGACTTTGGCAATTGACGATTAACCATCCTTACCTACCTACATCGATCACAACAACGTACTTTCAGTTACAGTTACAGTTCAGCAACTATTACAGCATTCTGATTATACCGTTGCATGTTAAGCTAGGCAAGTTCAAGCGCCGAGCTTGCAAGCTCTACGCCCAGATGTCGCTTTGCACGCAACGTTTCAACACACAATCATGTAGCAACAAAAATATCGTTTTCCTATTCTATATATGCAAGTTTATTAATATCAAGAGGTTTGGAGAGTGACGGTGCATTACCCAATAGGATTTTGTGACGCAGGATAAAAGAACCTACGTCACTAGGTATTAATGTGTTGGAGGCCGGGGATCTTTATTTTTTGGGGATTGTTGAATAGATTGCATCATCATACGCTTCTGATCCCTACGGGATCAGGATACTTTGATGTGTTTATCGAGTCCACGAACCAAGGGAACAGTCTGATTGATATGCTTTACGTTTCGAACGCATTTGACTCATCTCTATGATCTGCGCGGCATAGTTTATTTTTCCCCGCTTTGAGCTTGATGGACAATAGGCATGCTTTTGTGAATAATGAGTCGGTATATCTAAAATACTCGGTTTGGCTACGCGAGTATTGGAAATATTTGATTTCTCGAAACTGCAAGTCGCAGTAATATCGTCTAGCAATTTCCACTGGTAAACAAAAATTGAACGACTTTCTAAAATTCCAAATAAAATCTACGAAATAAGGAATCAGCGAAATTTCGGATGCCCTCAATATATTGCATGCGATACTCCTTGGATTGGGTGTGCAGCTAAAATCACATGCGCGTGATACGAAAGGCCTAATGCCGAAGTTCGATGCAGCAAGATATCGCGCTTTGGCAAACAAGCAAACTCGTTAGGTCGTCAAGGCGAAAGCTTCGACGTGCTGTTTACGTAGAAAACTGCAGATCGAGCTTATTCAAACGATGGATACGAGAGAATCGTATAGACTTACGAGAACATGCTTCGAAAAAATTTCAACGCATATGTTCTTTCGTCTTTTATTCAGGTTGTTAAGCATTGGCTTCTTCTTATCTTACGCACATCGATGATACTAACGACGCTCGAGTGTCCGAAAGACAGACGGCCCCACAGGAAGGCCAATTAGTTTCGGTATATCGTATTTCTATCCAGGCGCAATACATTGATATCCTATCGCACGGATTGGACTCTCTTCCAAAGTTTTTCGACGCCTAACTGTGAACTACGTTGACCTCGTGTGTGAATGGACGCTAGCATTGCTGTGGGTACTTTTATGAATAATCTCCAATTATAGTAGATCTTTAGAAAGAAAACTTCTTCTTTTGAACATTTTTTTTGTAAATATAACTCAATTTCTATTGTACTCGAATGAAAAAGACGCGATGAAAAAGAAACACGTCATTTTCAATAGTCCAACATCGAAGCAGGTATTATTACATTTTTTTTCACAAGTATGACACCCCACTAAGGAAAATGGAGGCCGTACGAAATTTAATATTTATTAATAATTGTGAAAAATGTACTATCAGAATAAAACCCAACTGTGTCCTTTTAATAAAAATTTATCCCTAATAAAACTGCATTACCAAAGGTCCTTTCGGGATGGTACAGTTTTTTTCTTTCGTGTATTCAAAATGGTTTTTTCATATATGAAACTTTACTAATATTTACTTGCCGTCATTATGTATTATCTGCTTATAGTCGAGAAAGCAATTGCTCTGTTTTCACCATTGCGAACTGCACGGATATTTGACGAGGCGTGTATATTTCGACCTGATGTTCACTCGCTGAAATATTGATCGCGCTACAGCGGATGAGACTATCTACTTGCGTAAAGCATATGTCGAATGACTGAATACTTCCTCGTGTACTCCTCTATTCCATTCTTTATTTTTCGTTCAATATCATACTGATGCACGCTTATTCTTCGTTTAATTGAAACTTGTTGGCTTTGTCGTATCGTTCAATATTATTCCATCGGGAAATTGCATTGGCTCTCTTCGCGAGAGGTGAGATATCGAAGAGCTTTACAAGCGACCGGGAAAGAAATAATAATTATTTCCAGTAGTTTTTAAAAATTACTTGTAGACATTGGAAAAAATATGGGGAATTAGGTTGCAATAATTTCGAAATATCAACAACAGATGTACATACGCCAATGTTTGTTGAACATATGGCGCCTAGCAAATGGAAGTTTGAAGATATTTTTCGATTTTATTAAAAATTAGTTTTTTTTTCGACTGATACAAGTTGATGTTTATATTGATAATGGAATGATAAGAGTTCCTTGATTGGACTAATGTTTTTAACTGAAATTTACGACTGTTATTTATATCCAGTAACGTTACTTCTAATTAGAAAAAAAAACTGATGCTCACCTTGTACATTATTTTTCAATTAATAATTAGTTTTTCATTAAAAAATAACGAAAGTAATTTATATTTTCAACGATTATTTTGTTCAATAAAATGTATACAATTTCAACAAATTCACGAATTCAAGTTTGATGAAATATGTGATCAAATGCGTCATAGAAAAATACTACGGCACTTTTCGCCAATCTCAAGAGTCAACCTGCTTCGTCACAGCCACTAGTGAGAAAAAATAAATCTTTTATCAAGGCATAGCGTCGTAGCTCAATTAACTTCGAGTTTTCTAAAAAGCTGAGTTGCCCCTCATAATGTTACACCACCCTCCAAATAGCCTCGATTTCCATTGCACCGTTAGCCTTCCACAAGCTCGAGTGGCACTATCCGACAACTGCTTCAATTCCATTATCGAGCACCCTCACCGAGCAAACAACAAGAGAGAAAGAAAGAACTAGCAGCTGGCCTTGGAAATGACGTGAAAAAAGAGGCAACTTGTTGCTCAATTCAGCGCGCCACAGGAGAGATATAATAAGATGCTGGCGCGACGGCTTCTCGTCTTGATTTGTCGCGAGTGATTTCTGCCTCACCGCGGTCTTGTTATAACGCGACAAAACAATTTTCCCTACAGAGTTCGTTAAGGGACTGCGCGCTTACATACGCGGAAATTCGTTCTAATTTCGTGCTAGTTTTTTTTCCCTTTCTTTACAAGTAAATATCATCTCTGCTGATTGAATTATTCGGTTATTCTCGTTCTTTCGCCTTGGTCACCAAATTGTTGCGGCAAAATCATAACAAGGATCTGTGTAGTGCGCAGCTTGAGTTGTATTATATTGGGATACTCGTGTACCTACATGCGACTTTAACAGTGGGCACATGGGCTTATACCGTTTGATTCTGTTATAGCTTAATTTCGTGCACTTGTTTATCGCAAAATCGTAATATAATTTCAGCAATGTTGCCGCAACAAATAACTTTTACTTGCGAGCCATTTGATCATACGTTTTCACAAGCCTGGGCATTACAAATCTAAATATTAATAATACAAATTTATTCGTCCATTAAAAGATCAAAAAGCGAAAAGAAAGCGTATACGAATATACTTGTCATCAATACGCACATCACAAGGCGTTTGAGTTTTCATTTTGCTCTCCATTTGGCTTTGACACAACTTTTTTCTCTGTATATACTTCCAATCACGCCAATGTCAGTCTGAAAAGCTATAAATCTCCTCATGAATTTTTCACTCTGACGTTAAAATGAAAATAGGAAAAAAGAAAGTTCGATAAAGATCCCTTGATGATGTCTGACAGTTCGTGGACCGTAACTACTGAAAAAACACCCGAAATTATTAAGAGAATGATGTTAGATTTCAGACGTTCGGGTTGGGTTGAGTATTTTTTGTTCTTTCCTCGGCAGTTATATACTAATATACTGATATATATATATATATATATATATACGTTATCGTATTATTTTTTTTTGCCTTTATAACAAATATCAAAGTTGAAAGCGCACATTTTTGAGGCTTAAATCTGTTTTTCTGCAAATTAACTGTAATGACGATCCAATTGTTTTTGAAGACTTTAATTAGAACATAAACTGTGCTACGACATTTTTACATTATTACGTAATAGTTTTTTACGTTAATTATTCTTACGTCGGTGAAAAGATTGTTCTTAGAATTCTTTGAAAGCCGATGAAAGAGCACGACATCGTACACTTTAGTGGATAATAATAAATATACTGTTTAAATAATATCTGTCAATATAACTAAAAATTTATTCGTAATTTATTGCGAATCCACTTCTGTATCTCGTAAAAGAGAAAGTAATTATACCGTGTATCGTTGTAACAAAACTTAAGCCTATTCAGTCCGTACCAACGTTCGAGCGAACCGTCGTGATATAATGATTTAAGTTAGAAAGAGGAAAGAACGGCAAGAGAAGTAAAATTTCTTGAAGGTGTTACGTACAATGTGAAGTTTCTGGCGGCGTACTGTTCACTCGGTCAAAACCGACACGTTCTCAGATATACTCTTTGCCGGAGAGAATATCTTTTTCTTATTCCTAACAAATAAATTTGCCCCCCCCCCCCCCCCCCCCGACACCAGCAAGCTCTTTTACTCGGTGGGAGATAAACTAATTTTAGTTTTTCATGGATCAGTGCGAATTTAGTTTTGTGATATCATTGGGAGTTATACTTATTAGGACAGATCTCATGGGCTATAAATTGACATTTTGCTTTTTCTTATTCATTCCAATCGTTTTTCTTATAGCTTTTTGAAGTGTAGATTAAATATACTTATCATATGAATTCTTACTACTTGATCAAATATTATTCGAAAAGAAGGAACGTATAATTTAAAAATTAACAGCTGACAAAAGAGAGCATGGTAAATGCATCGAAAGACCGAGTCACAATAAGAGTATGAAAAGCCGTATCGCAAATGCGAGGCCAACAGCGATAAGACGACGAGTACGACGTTTCGAGAGCAAAGAGCCGCTGGAGAAGTAAAATCGCGACTGTATGTATGTACATCGATGAAAGCGCGCGCGGCTCTTTTCAGTACGCCCGCGTAGGCGACTAGAAGGGCGCGTTTCACTACCAGTTGCGTCGCAACCAGTTGCACGAAGCTCATATTCCTCTTTAGCTGCGGGAGGATCGAATGCGTGGGAGGAGAGACAAATTGTTTTTGAGGCCTACTTCTTGCAGTTATTTGTTCTTCCTCTCTTCAGTGCCTTTGTGTTAGCTCGATAGAATTGACTTTGATAAGTAACTCTTTTTAAATCATAGCTTTTTCTACAAAGATAACGATTCCCTTCAATTTTCACGTTTCCAAGTTCAACCTAATCATTATGCGCTTCGTTCATTTTTCATCTCGCCTTCGCTACTGACATTGAAGGTTCTTACTGTTAGAGGCAAAAAAATACAAATGAAGATATTTGTACCTTGATAATGAACACTATCGTTAGCACGGGGGGATTGCTTCGGCTAAATGAAAAATCTTTATTATACGGCAATTTCGTTTGCATGTTGACCCTCATTAACGATCTATACAATTACGTTCGTTTTACGAACGGAATGATCAATTAATTTCTCGCATTTCCTTTTGCTAACTATTAGCGTCATAACTAGGATCGTTTGCAAAGTTTCACCAACGACTTTTCTCACCTGGAAATTCCAAACAATATATCTCGGCATTTCCGACATGTTTCAAGCTTCAAATATTTAACTCCAATCATAATAATGCTGATCACTCAAATTTGAAGCAAGCGAAGAGAAGTTTTTAAGCATCTAATCGTATTCCAATATTATCTGCAATTCTAGGTAAACTTCGCAAGAGACTTGCGAATGAATCTCCAACTCTCTGAAATGTGCTTCTTGCATCATTCTGACTTCGCCGTACAAATGAATCCAACTGAAAATTTAATGATTGCGAAATCAATCGTTAATTTTCCATTACGAGACGAAACGATATGTACAGTGCCTGATCAAATATAAATTATTAAAACGAATTATCTCATACGCTTCAACTTCCCTGTGTACAGCGTGTCCTTTGATTCGCCCGTGAGTGAATATCATTCTATGAAATCATAAAGTCGCCTGGCTACTAGTTAAATTACATAGATAGATTTAGATTGCATTCAAGGAGAAATTGGAGTTATATTACAGATACGTAAAGATTTATTTGTGAACAAAAAAATCCAATTTGAAATTGAAAGTAAAATTATTGTAAAAATCGACTAAATGCTTGATACCAAACCACATTTCTAGGAGCATTTCGGATCAGTCAAATGTTAGTTTGAAAAATCATGAAAAAGAGAAGGAGCTTGATCAATGGTCGGTTATATACACATCCTAAGCAGTCGATCGCGCGCGCGGCGTTATACGCGCGGGCGCGGCCACGCCTCCCCCTGGTGAAATCTATAAAAGCGTGCGGCTGGGAGCCAAGAGCGTCACACACACGCTAACCCCGCTACCGTGAGATAGCCGCCAACTAAACATCACCTCTCTGCTCGAAAACAACGCGTGAGTTACGGAAACAAAGTCAAGACTATCCAATCGTTGTGCAATAGTAACAGTCAACAGAAACCAACTACAAGTTGCTGACATGAAGATCGGTCTGGTTGGGCTTGGACTCATCTGCCTTGCGCTTGCCGCGCAACGTGCTAATGCCGGTCCTTACTTAGACGACGGTGAGTTTCACATGCTTCTGCATTTTCTCGTTGCTCGTCGATTTCTTTTTCTTTTCATTAAGTTTCCTCGCTACGGCAGTCAGTGCTTTTTTTTGTTCAATAACGAAGACACCGTTCGATACAACCGTACTTTTTTTCGTATTTTTTTCTTCTGTACACCAATTTCAAACGAACGAAATCGTAGTCGAACGACGAGGCAGGCTATCATTTCATTTCATTGAATAAATACACGAACGATCGATGAATTAATTTCATCAATCAAGTTGCTTTGCTTTTTTACAATTTATCGAAGTCAAACAAACGCTCGCGTTCGATAAATTATCAACGAAATTTTTTCTGCTCCACGTTGTGATGATTGGCGTTTAACTGTATCGCCGATGAATCAATAACGGACGCTGCCCTTACATCTTAAACCATTATGATTGTACCATGCAAAAACATCAAATTCCAAATTCGTTATTTGCTAAGTTAGTCGTTGATTTTCAACGGAGAAAAAAAAACGATATGCACAGTAACTGAATTATTGAAAAAATTATTTCGTACGTCGAAACTTACGTATGCACAGTAGATAAGGAGTTACGAGGAAAGAGCTCCCTAGATCCTTTTTCCGTTCTCTTCGCACGCTCTCCAGAAGTATACGCACTTCTCCCACGTAAAATTACCATATGTACGCGTTTGCGTCGCACGAGAAAAAGGCAGAGGAAGTTTGTTAGTACAAAATTTTTATAAGTAGCGTTGAATAATAAGCTGACGCATTGCCTTTTTATTATGGCTCTCGAGGGGGACAGATGTACTCTTTCAGCGGTGACAGGATCATTTGAACTAGCTGAATAATGAACGAGCCAAATGAAACGTTGAACACACAACGTATACGTACGACGCGAAGGAACCTAGTTTCAAATTACGTCTTTCCTCTTATTCCGCGATAGCGTTTGATGTACTTTAAGAACGACGACTAGCTAGAAATAATTTGCGCATGCTAATGAAAATTATTAATTTCAAATTAATTTTTACGGAAATTCACAGTAACGCGCGGGTTGCGCTGAATTATAATGCCATTTTCAGGAGCTATAAAGTGCGATGGACTGTGAACGACGTAATAAAATGGAACCAAAACTACGATCCAATAATGCCGTAACTGCCCGCTCGAGTTTATGGCGATTATTTGGAATCAAATTCAGCGCACGACATTAAAGAAAGCCGTTTACAAGTCAAAGTATTGCTAGGTGCTAGTAGTGAGTTCTTATGAGTTCCTGGTCAGTAAATAAGTTATCTTTCAATTTTCAAAGGCAACGAATATCGTGTCGTCCCCTCATCCAAACTATTTTTCCGAAGTATCCGCAAATGAAATTTGGATATCGAAAAGATAGGTAGAGTTCCCTAACGAACTTTCCTTTGAAATAATTAGCTAAGCGAAAGACAGAAGCTCGCTCCGATAATAATTTCGTTTGCCCATCTCCAGCGCAACGAACGCTCTTATGCACGAGCGCGCTCGCACGGTAATTTGTCGCGGAAAATTGCGTATTGTGCGAAATTAAGGTAAACAGTTTCGAGGCCAAGTGGAAAAACCTACGTGACCTGCGCGAGAGAGCTCTGAATATTTTTATACGCGTAGAGCTCGAACTTTTATTTATTTGAGTCGTGGTGTAGCTTGGAAATGTACACCCGTGCAAATTCAATCCTCCGGGGTAGCAGCAAACGGAAAATTCTCGCAACTGAACGCTTCTAATGGACTCTGGCGATGTAGCTGCTGCGACACTGACGGCCCGACGCCGGCTAAACTGAATTCCGATGAGTTACCAAAGTAGTTTACGAATGAAATGTCGGGTGCACGCTCGCTGAGTATACTTTAACAAGAACTTTCTGCGAAAGAGTGTTGCTTAATTTTTACTGACAACATCGGAAAGAAAAGTTCGAATGATATTAATGATTCATTATTGGTTGATCGATCGAGTGCCCTTTATAAAAATTATCCTGATCAGCATACCGTCAAGAGATTCAACAGTACTACACAGCTATTTTATACATTGTCCAAAATATGATTGATCAATATTTTATTCGTTTTATTATACTGTTGGCCGTGCAATGTAAGCTGTATATGATCAAAATTAAGCTAAGTAACCTGACTATATCAAGGGGTCATCTATTATACATTTCATGCACCTCACGGCTCGTCAGCACAAATCTCAAGTATGAATTATCTTTGATAAACTTCAGTATCTGGATCCGATTTGAAAGCAGATGCACCTTGCTCGATGCATCTTGTCCGACTGAGAAAGAGGAGAAAATTCATCCGATCGATCAGGCGAGATAACACGAGGATCTACATAGCCGGGGGATGAAGCAAGAAGTCGTCGCGACATTATTTTTCAACGCGTTAGCTGTTGTCGGGCGACGAGAAAGAAGACGCAGTCGCGCCACGCAAAAGTCGTGATCATATCGGAGAAATTGTCCGTCTCGCTTTCCGCAATTTTTCCGCAGTGTCATCAGAAATTTATCACTCAGACCAGCGAATTCCGACTATTTCTGGAGTTTACATTGCGTGTTTGTTTGGTAGGTACGGTGATCAGTGCGATAATGATCTTTCTTTCGACGACTTATTTAAGAGTTTCATCTGTTGGGGCTGCCAATACAGAAGAGTATAGAAGAAAATCAAATATCGTCTTATCGCATTTCCGGGATAATCCGGGACACGCAAACTGCCAGCAGTTGGCGTTAATTCCAATGAATCACCGTTCGTGGCCTCGGTTACTGCAAACAAACCACGAGACTCCGTAGATCCGGCAGTATAATTAAACGAATCTTCCTCTCGTTCGAACCTCAGAGACCTGTCGCTGCTACAGACACAGGTGCTTTTCGGGCTTTCCTCGCAGGTATCTCACGCGGCTACGACCGACTTTAATAAACCGACGACAAATCAAATTAGATCAGTCGAGACGTTGTTGCTGTCAATTTATGACGATCAACTGGCTTACGAGGCAAACAAACTTGACGGACAGAAAGAAAACTTATTGCACTTTATTGCAACACAAGCGGAAGAGCAAAGTTACGCGTTGCTTTAATCAAAATGGGTTTTACGAGATCCTACCCTTTTAGGTATTACAGTCGCTCTTCCTTGACCAACTTTATATCGAATTTTAGAGTTTGCTTCATTTCCCAAGACTGTACAGAGCTAAGAAGTGTTGTGCTATTGTTATTTTGTCTAGAATGTATCCGACATGGATTTCCATTTCGACTACCGTGAGTAATATTGAGAAAATCATCAACATGATAAAAATATGAGATCTAAATATTAAGATGCATTTTTAATGTCGATTCCGTGATTTTTAAAACTCGAAAAAAAAATCGAAAATTTCCGCTGTGTTAAGAGGCTGAAGAAAAAGAAACGTGCAATATGAAAGAGGCACGATCAAATCTTTCATCAAATCATTCATTAAGAATCGTCCCAATATTTAAGGGATGCCGCGGGTACTCACGACTTTGAGTATTACAAATTTTTCAACGAGAATAGCAACTTTCGTAGTTTGAAATCAAATCATTCCACACTGGTACTTGTAATAAAAATACTAAAAGACTTTCTGCCGATTTTCCATTCGCGGCTTGTGCAAAAGCTCGCACAAGATCATTTGATCGCACGTACGCGCGAAAAAATTAGACAGCCAAATGGAGTTCACCAAGTAGGAAAAGTGCTCGTCACGCGCAAAACTTGTAAAAGCAAAGAGATAGAAGGGAAGGAGAAAAAAATACGAGCGTGACGCGCGTGCATACAAAAGCAAAAGGGGATTTGGGAAAGCCCGCGGGGCACGTAATAAGACGATACACAGCCGCGAAATTAGACTTGGAAGCGAAGCTATCACCATTTCTCTTACTTTTCTCTCTCTCTCTCTCTCTTTTCTTTTGCTTTGTCACCGAGCGCCACGCTACGGATTTGCCAAGGATTCGGGATACCTGAATTTTATGAATTTATTTGGATTATTATTCCGCGCGTCGGGGATTTTTTCTTTCCAGTTTTTCGTTATTTTCCGAGAAATTTCCAGTGGTGGCATACCGCTGAGATTTACGATTTGCATATAATACATCACGGGTGCAAGCGTGTTTTTTCTCTTTCTTGCTTTGGATTAAGTTTTGCACGGCATTCGTGAAATTTCGACGACGCGCACGTCGGGCTACTCGAAGGTGCATGCTTTAACGTAATTCGCTATTTCATTACAGATAGAAATGCGAAAGAATTTGGAACTATACTCGTATGTTAGGATTAAAGTAACGTGTAATTGACCGTGAAGTCTCGCAATGTAGACCCCTTTTTGGCACTATAAGAAGGAGAATTCGTTATGCCTACGGTCACTGCGGACGATTTGCAAGCTCACAATGAATAACTTTAGAATAATATTAGAAGTTGGTAAAATTAATATCTGCAGACACGTTATAAGCTTACATAAGTTAGAATATTTTGACTGTGGTATCGAGCGCCAGTGACACGATCGCACGCGTAAACGGATCGAACTATATTAATCAAAGTGCATGTGCGCAAAGTTGATCGATTAATCTGTGCAACCGTTGAATTTCGTATTTCGTATGTTCGCAGAGGAGCAAAATGCTTTGGCCGCTGCATCGGAAGACGACTACTCCGACAATGCGATAGACAACCTTCTGCACGCCGTGCAGCAAAAGTAAGCACCCGTTGCACTCTGTTTACATGTACCATGTTCCTACGCATGCGACCATTGTGAAAGCTGAACTTTTGTGGAAGTTTCTTTTGTTTGTTATACCGAGTTTGTTCTGAGGAGAGTGAACGAGCTGGCTTGTGTCTGGAGGAAAGCGCCCCGGGCTTCCCAATGCGGGAACAGATCCGCAAAAATATGTGCTCTCGCCAAGGACGCTTTCCTCTGCTGTACGTGTGCGCTCTGTGAATGTGTCTCAGATGCAACTCCACAGCAGACGCGGACATTCAGCGGTCGATCTGGCCGGCAAGTTTGGCGCTTGCCCGCTGAAAGTCCGCGCCTTTTTGTCGCTTCAGCGCAGTTTTCCTTTTGTTTTCCTGTTCTATCGTTGACTTTGGTTGCCCAGGCTGCCAAAGCAATTGAGTGTTGTCGGTGTTAGGCTAAAGCTAGAGTCGCAAGTAAAACCAGAGAAACAAAGAGAAAACAGACAAAAGCAAAACGATCCTCTTTCGATTTCCCTAATCTGGAATAGACGTGCCTCGTGGATCTCTATGTTCAGGCGTGCGTGCGTGCCTCGCAACGGCATCTGCGACCATCGGCCCAACGACTGCTGCTTCAGCTCGTCGTGCCGCTGCAACCTCTGGGGCTCGAACTGTCGCTGCCAGCGAGTGGGCCTCTTCCAGAAGTGGGGATAGACGCCCGTTGAGCGCCTCGGCCTTCTGCTGCTCCATCGACGTGCACACAGCTAAAACGACAACAGCAACATCACCGACAATCCGACAAATCTTTATCTGTCATTCTCTTGATTCCCTCGCTAATTGGTGTGTATGTTATTTATTCGTCACTGTAACTCAGCAAATAAATGCGAGTACGCTCTTCAAAATCAAAATTCTATTCGGCAAATAATGATCGATGATACGTACGTAAGTCGGACATGCACTACCGCGACCAACCCCATTATCCCGAGGCGACTTGAAACTTGCGACCGACTTTGATGACGACTGCGACTGCGACTGCGACTGTGACTGCGACCGCGACCGCGATGGTGACGTACATCAACTTTTAGTTGTCAGATATCTTTCCTTATCATACACTGTACTCGTGTAGAATGTAGCTATCGTAGAGACAGAGAATGCATGTATAACCGCTATATCGCGAGCTCCGTGTTGGCGAGCTGAACAATTCACTCAAGACTGTTGATTTTCTTTCGAGTATATAACAGGATGATTATGATGATGACGACGCTGATGATACGCATTAGTCAGTCTCGACCCCTTGTTTACCAATTTAATATCGGTAGACCTAATGCGACACTTTCTATCTATGTGATTAAACATTTTTCAACAAGTCATTTAATCGTCATTACGATATGCGCAGAGAATATCTGTACTGTCGATAAGACTCTGCGCTATCGGATTAATTAATGTGCAGCCAACAAGTTTTTCAATTCTGTAGACTACTAACTACTAAGTAGCAAATACAAAATAGTCAATGGTTTCAACGAGGCATCGTTGGAGTAAATAGTAGCAAACACGAGTAGTAAACAAAGGGGTCGACACATCGTTGAAGCTGCGCTTGCGAGTTCGCGCGATCTGCTGGTACGGACAATGACACAAACCTATATATATTCTCGTTCACAAAAGTTGGTTAGTATATCTTGCAACTTGACTATCTCGCGGCTAACTACTTTAATTTGTCACTTCTAGTAGAAATATACAAGTACATGCAGGCGCACAACGTTTCCTACAAAGTCTTGAGCACATGGAAAAACCAACAACAGAGATCCTTTCGTTTCCGCTCGTAAAAAATACTTGCACACAAGCTTACCGAGATCTTCTAGTTGTGTCGAGGAGCCATGTATTAACCGGGGGGAGGGGGGTAAGACTGAACAAAAAAAATCCCATGAAGTATATATAATATATTTTGTAAGAAAGCGATTCCACTGACCAGCAGGTTTCGGACGCACGTAATGTTGCAAAAGACAGCGAGAGACAGATTGGGCAAGAGAGAGAGAGAGAGAGAGAGAGAGAGAGAGAGAGAGAGAGAGATTGTCAAAGAACCCTTTTGCTTGCTGACGCGTGTCGCGACGCTCCCTGTGTCGAAACACGCGTGCTACCCTCGCGAATTTTTTCTCTCTTCTGATGCAGAGCCTCTGACGAACGAATCAAAGACGAACAAGACTAAAGCAAACTTTTTGATAACAATAACTATGTTACTGCTTCATCGTACTGGAACTTTCGATCTTTCTTCTCGAAGGTATAGATGGAGAATACTTGCAGATCAGTCGAACGTCAATTGTTGGGAAAAGATGAACCGAGGGAAAAGCTAACGACGCAGCGTTATTTTTCACACCGACTCGGCGAGGAGCTCGCAAAAGAGGGTTAATGAATAATCTTTCGCCGGCGGCGAGCCATACGAAATGACGTATCATTGTCTCAGCTAATTGTATTACCATAGCTATAGCTCTATGTGACTTCGTTTTCCGTCTTTTTTTGTACCGTTGTCTGTATTTTCAGTTTCCTTCCGTTTCTCGCGCGTTTCGTTTTCCGAAGCATCGACGAGGCGAGAACATGGCTAGTTTTTTTGTCTCTGCGCGTGGGCCATTTCCAAAGCAAACAAATGAATAAACAATACCTTGGTATCGGATTAGTCTGCGATATGTACTGTACCTATTGTTTATTTTTTACCTGATGTATATGTATAATATCATGTATAATATCAAAGAGAATCAATATAATATATGAATTATATGAAATATTAAAAATAATTATCACATTCCGTACAAGACTACTTTATTTCTATTATGAATCACGTCCCGTGAAAAAGAAAAAATGGTCCGGAGGAGCTCGTCGCCAATTTTAATTAATTTCTAACAATGCCAAGTTCAAAGCCGTTCATGGCGAAGTTTACCAAACTCCGACAGATGCAGCCTCGGTTGGCTTGTCTTGTTAATTTTTCTTGTTATTTTCTTTTTTTAATTAAAACATCATCGTAGTTCCTCAGCTCATTTCAAACTTTCTTCCTCCATCCTTCTTTCCTTTTCTTTTACTTCGACACCTGATATTGCAATATGCTTTGCACTGCGTATTCTTTTAACAACCATGATTCGTAAAACTTTAGAGATTAATATCGCTCAATAAATTGGCCAAAGCACCGTCTGCAATGTGACAGTCTATGGAAAAAAAAGGAAGAAAATACACAAGGCCTTCAGCCTATCTCTGTAAGGGCCAGAGGTATCAATATTGAGCTCTCTGCCGTGAGTAGACGTGTATTGTCGGGGAGTTTCGATTATGTTGTGAATATGACTTGAATCAAACTTGCTATTGCCGCCCTTGAGGAGCATACAAATCAGAATCGCTTTTGTGACGCGTCAGAACAAAGTCAGAATCTCGCTTGAAATTCCGTGCTCAAGAGACGACAACGCTTCATAAATAATAACCTGCTTTCATAGAAAGGCCGTGTTTTCCACAGGCAAACGTCGCATTTGCCGCTGATTTGCAATGCATCGATATGCGGAAGTCAGCGGCACGTGCAAACTCAGTTTTTTGTCCTCCTTGTGCTCTTTTATTTTCTAATGTGCTTAGGTGTTGGCAGCTCTCCGAAGCCACTTGACCCGATGACTCGGCGATGTGCGACTTAACGCAACTTTTTGCTCCCCTCTATCTCCTTTCCTTTGGTTCAGCCACGGCATATGTGCCGATCGTGCCATGGTCATGACGAGTTTACTTGCTGCTTGGTGGAACAGCGATCGGGATTTCATTGGTGTGAAGTTCACGTGTCGAGCTTCATCATGAGAGAACGACGGTAATGCCATCAAGGCGGTCTTTTTAGTCGGCCTAGTCGCTACAGCCATGCGGCGTAAATAACTATACGGTATTCGAGTGCCTCTAAATTCTACATCAATAAAATGGACATTGATCCACTAAACGAGAGCAACGAGGTCGAAAAGCTTTCTAGGCCAATCAGGCCGAAAATGGACATGAATAAATTTGGGAAGCGTACCTCGCGGTCGTGACACGCGCTCGCTTGATTACGCTACGCGCGTGTCCGGAAACTGTATTATTGTGACTCACGCGTTTTCCTCCAATGCGGAACGATTACTCGTCACGCTTGAATGACTTCTCGCGTCGTTAGACTGCCTCTTACGGCAGCGACGTCGCGATGCTTTACTTATTTGATAATGAGCAACAGGCGCGCGCGGGAATTCAACGATGCGAGGGCCGCGATCATAACGTGGCATTGTTCTCGAGTGATTGGATTGGTCAATTATAAACGGTAGAATGTTTACTAGCAATTGTTATATTTGCCGAAAACACAGAAAAAGAATTCAAGGTTGAATTTAATTTCGCTCGACAAATAAAAACAAGAATACACATGAAAGCTACGAAACGTAATCGACGATATTCGCCGCAGACATCCTTTCTTTCAATCTTCCGAAGCGAAAAGACAAAGAATGAGATAAAAAGAGATAGGCATTAAGCAAAAGGAAAAAGAAAAGCTCATCGCCGTTAATTGCACGGGCAAAGTCGTCTAATTAGACGCTTCTCTAGCGCGGTGCGGATATATCTGGAGCGAGAGACTGTGGCGCGTTCTCGCAGGCGCCTCGCTGATATAGCTACACGGCAAAGGCCAATTGTTTTTCCAGGTCGCCGTTTTAGAGACCACGCGTGTGAAAACAACCGCGAACGGTGTCTTCATCTACCGCGAGGCAGCGCACGCGACACTTTTCTTTTTTTCGTTCGGCAATTGAGGCTGCGTGATGTGGGAACACGGCAGCTTGGAAAGAACTGCAAGAGCAATGGTTAAATTAACCGATTAATTTACGAGCAATGCTGGCCGGGCGAAATTGGCATAGTTCGACCGAGAAATCAGAACGATGTACGACGTTCGAACGGATAAATTATTTGTCGATCGGATGTTGGCTTAAACTTAACTCTGCGTCCTTCGTTATCGCGTCTATGCAAACAGTTCTCTCCAATCTTACGGAAAGCTTTGAGGGTGTACCTCTTATACTCGCCAAATTTTATGTTCTATGTATTTTCGCGGAAGTATTTGCGCGCGCATTATAATGAACGTATTTTGTAAAGAATTTGGAGTTTTGTACAAATTGTAATTGCAATTTTGTACGACGCGTACATTCGTCGATGAATTTTCTGCAATTGAAACTTAAAGTTTCATGAAAGGAAATACATTATGCATAGGTAGAACTTATTGCTCGATACTCTGATATGTAAATGAAAGTGCGGTGAAAATGCTTGGCGCACGAAAAGAAAATATTAATCGAAGGACGCATTCGCCGGCGCGAGTAATTTGGAGATAGCGCTGAAAATGAGCCGCTGAAAGGACACATCTGCGACATCGGAGAAAAAAAATTAGTTCAGAAAGTGCACCTCGGACAGAGTTCTTTTTCCTCTGGTTAATCGCGCGCTGGCAGACCAACAGTACGTATATGTGAGCGTACTCCAAAAAAGCAGCGGCACGTAACGGCACGCTTTAAAAGCCTCTTCTCATTCTTACGAAATGTCGCGCGCGGTGAAAGGCGCAGTAGTGGTAGTGTGCGAGAGCACGGGACCGAGACGAAATCGTCTTCGGACAATGCCAAGCGCTACTACTACATTTTTTGCGCTAGAGCGTGGCTTAAAAAACAAGACTGAATACGTCAGCGGGGAATGGGATTCCGGTAAGCTATTTAAAGTCGATTTGGTAGGTCTGTTTTTAATTAAGGGGATTTGCGTGGGCTGCTGCTGGGGAGTTCATCTCGCTTGTTTTTCTCTCAAGTTTCTCGATAAAAAGTACAAGTTCCGTTCGCAGGGAAATACGTTACCGTTAGCCACATTTTTCAGGATTTTTCTTCCATTTCTATTCAATAAGAGATTTTTTCTTGGCACACGCTGACTTGTCGAGGTTTAAAATTAATTTGCATATTCCATTGTGAATGACATATCATCTGTACATAGAGAAAGAAGTTACCATTCTGATAGGTTATTTCAAGTGGCAATTTGATCCTCTAATAATTCATTTTACACGTATTATCGTTTGAAAATAAAACTTGATTTAGAAGGCACCAGATAAAAATTAGAGCCCTGGAAGAGAATAACGGAGGACAATTAAACAGTGTACAAACATAAAGTACGAAGTGGCTTGAAAGAAGGGCAGAGAGAATTACACTCGAGAGTGCGGAGAAGACAAATCTTACGTCGAGATCTAAAGGACCCCCAGATTATTTGATGTTTTCTCTCTTCACTCCGAGTATACTCTTATCTGCCTCAAGTTATAAACTTTTCCTATATAAGTAAGAAACGATTACCGAGCTGCTTAATGGGCTTTGAATATATTTTTAACTATGGCTCCGAGGCAAATCTCAAACTAATGCGATAGCGAAGAATGGAAGAATGGGAAATAAGCACGAGGCAGTAAGCAACGCTCCGGACGTCTCAAGGATTCGTTAACTTTTACTTTTTTTCCTCTCCCAGCCTAGCGCCTGCGAGGCCGAAGATGCGCGAGTGAAAGTTATGATTGGTTCTCTCTTTTTCTCCCTCGGCATTGGAAATCACCGGCGACACGTGATACTGACCGCGGCCAGTGAACTTGACTTCGTTCCCGAAACGGGTTCTCACGCCAAGAAAGTGTGCAGAACAGCAAACGACGTCGCGTCGGAGATGATGCGGCTATTCACGCGTACGAATGAAAAGCAGCGATTGGACAGGGCCGCGCGACGCATTCTTCCAAGAGCGCGTCGATGAGGCGCGGCAACGCGGAAAAACCAAGCGGTCCAGCCTCGCCATCGCGGCAACTTGTTCAACGCGGAAATTGCAAGTAATTCCTTCGTTAGCGAGCGCAAAATTGCGATTCGCGCACGGCCCGTAAACTATGTCAAGCAGCCGCGAACAAAAGTGGCGCGGCAACAATCGCATCCTATTTATTGCTTTGCCGCAGCCTCGCACGGCGACGCTCCAAATCGATGCCCCGTTGCCACGAGGGAATAAATACCTCAAACCAGATGGAAATGCGGCACGTCGATACGAAGCGAAAAAAAAAGAGAGGGAAAGCTGCGTCGCGCTCGACGTGTACTTTTCAACGTTCGTAGCAGCGTCATTGCGCGACTCTTTGCAAAAGCCATTAACTTGCGCGCGCCTCTTCATCTTTACTTCGCGCCTCGCGCCGTTTTGCGGCCTACATTCCCTTCGGTCAATGTTGATGCGCTCTGTTAGCGAGTCCAAAAGCGGAATAGAATCTCCGTGCAAATACACTTGTATCCAGAGCCAGCTGCTCCGATAAGGGAAACGCGCTAATTCACGCCCGCGAGGCGCGAATTTCGTGAATTACTATTCGCGTTTCGCTGAGCACCGTGCGCCGCACGCCGCACGCCGCACGCCGCACGCCGCACGCGGGCAGTCAGCTGCGCAAAAGCGCGTATCGCGCGTTTAGTGCACATTTTTGTCGCATTTTCTTCGCAAACTGCACTCGCAACTCTCCGGGAGATCAAGTAATCGTTCGTCACGCTGGTGCGGGATCTCTTTGGAATGAACTTGCTGCAGTTTTCGCAGGACAGCAATTGCATTACTTCGTTATTGTCTCGTAGTGTTATCGCGCGCGTCGTTCCATCACGTCTGTAAATTAAGAATCTGCAATTGGTGTTTTATAATATCAGGATTATTTGACGATTATTCGCCTTATTGATTTAGCTTTTGTATTTTCAAACATTCATTTTCATCAAATATGAGTATATCAAATCAATGACGCAATATTCCAGCTACTAGCTATTGAAAAATTGGCAAAATTATTTTATAGGTAATAACTGAATATGCGTTAAACTAATCGCTTTGATTTCTAATAATCTCTGGTGACTGTTTATTGAGTATGTGATAACATGTAGTTACCGATATTTCCGTAAACTCGATTATTCTCTGTCAATATCATGTTTTATTGTGAATAGGTGGATCGTCCGTCTTTCCTTGTGTATAGTCTCCAAATATGCACAATTCATTGTATGAAAAAAATGGAAATCAAATAAGAATACGCCGCGTTGGGGTCCTCTTGATTAATAGCTTAGCTTAGACTAGAATATATTGGCTGAGATCAATGATGAAGCTTTCGAGAACAAGCGAACTGCCTAAGAAAAATCGTCGTGTTTACGGGCGCAAAAGTAGTCCGAGGACGTACCCGTGGAAGAAACAGGGCAGCACAGAGCATACGCACTCCAACAGTGAAACGCGCAAACGACGATTAGCGTGTTTCGTTGCTGTCCAATAATCCAAATCGCTGAGGCACGGACATTTGCGAAAAACATAACGAGACCGATATCTCGACCGCTCGCTTCTCCGACATGGCCGATTGACGTCAGTTTTCGTATGGGAGTATTATCGCTCATCCACTGGTCAATTGAAGAGCCGTCAGCGATGGGATGCCCACGCGCGTTCTAGCCGCATGTTTACGCGCGAATCAACGTATTTGCCTACGTAGGCGCGAGCTTTCGGATGAAAGCGCATTCTGCGGATGGCAGGATTTCATCCCCGCGCGTGGGAGAGATATGGATGTATATATATATATATATAGAGTTGTGCGCGCGCGCGAAGACGATTTTCGCAACAGGTGTCAAGAGTCGGATGTGCGATCGCGGAGCCGACTGACAATGGAGCCGCGTGACGCGACGGCTCGACAGCGGCCTTCGGATCGTCAAGCGAGACGAGCTACGCGAATCTGCGCGATCCGCAGCTGTTCCTTTATACGACTCAAGTTCTAATTTGAGCTCCGCGGTAAGCGCTGCCGCGGCATCAATAATCCACTGCTTTGGCACTCGAGAGGATTCGCGGATAACGTACATCTTGCGATAAAACCAAGCTCACGCTCCGACAATTCGCAGATGCGCGATCTCCGAGTGCATTTTCCTTCAAAGTAATCTCGCGTAGCAGCCAGCTCGGAAGAAAGTCCTCGGCTCCGCCCGTAGCCACACTCCTATCGGTAAACACGACATGCACCCAATGCATCAGTCGTACGCGTTGGAATGCAGCTGACGCTGCGCGCCTCTGACGCAACGCGACGAAAACTGTTTTTCCTGCCTAGCTCTTCTCCCGTCCGAGCTAGCGCGCTCGGAGGGACGCTCTCGCACATCCGTCGACCCGCCGACGTTATTAGCGATGCGCTTCGTTAAGAGTCGATCGCGCGCAAAGATAATGAGTTGTTATCTGCGCGTCGGAGTTTCGTAACGACGTAATTGGCGAGTTCGGAAAAGCGCATGCTCGCCGACGGCAGCTTCAGGAGAAAGAGAGCGATAGTGCGGATATTCAATCGTTGACGTTGGCTATCGACATGCGAAGCGAACTAGTTGACGTCTCTGGCCCCGTGGCTCAGAAAACACAATACTTGGAACGAAACCGCCGGGGCACAGCTTGTGTTTATAGAAAATTCATTTCATACCGTGACTTTGATTTGTTGATGCAACGTGCTATGCTCGTGAAAAATGTATCTCGAATCGACTCAATCGATTTATCACGATTGCGCGCACGACTGTACTTGTACGCTAAGTGGATTACCAATGAAAAAGAAAGGCGAGCGAATACATTCCTGCGAACAACGAACGCCCATCGACTCTCTTATCCCGAGGATAAGCGCCGAAAAGTCAAAACACACTCGGCCAGTCTCCCTCGCTATATTTAGCCGCCGAGTGCTGAATAAAGATTTCCAAGGAGTGCGAGGAGTGTCTCTCGAATATAACCGCGCGCGAGGATTCTCTTCGCGTGGCGTCGCCGCTGAATATGCATGCGAGGATGACGAGTCGGTTTTTGTGCAGCGCATTGTCACCGATACGGCTCCGACTCGTCTTCTTTCTTCGGGCACAGCTGGGAGCAGGTGGCATCGCAGCCTTTACAAGATCAATTGTCCGAGGAATGCATTTATCGCGAACGGTGAGTTTTCCTCGTACGTGTATTTAGCAAAAAAACTGTGTGCTTTTGCAATCGCTCAGGAGTTGTCGATCACTTTGAAGGCTCGACTAAACGTCGCAATTTTTATTTTACGCTTAATTACACGATTTTGCCGATTAGGACAATTAAAGAACAAAAAATGACGTAAGTGTCGCAATGATCTTGTCGCTTACAACAAACGAAAATGTCGAAACGAATTCTGCTCAATTGTCATGTAAAAAAGAATAATTTGGCTCTAAAGAGTAAACCGCATACACAATTGGAAGAAAGAGGTCCGAGGTTGCGGCAAATTGAATATCGCGCACAGAAAGAATTTTTGTTCCATTTTGTTTTGCGCCGATGTGTTCTCTGCGCGACGTGTTAAACTTTAAAAGCCTCGCGTGGTAAGAACGCGTTTTACCGGTTTTACTTGCCAAACGGAAGGACTCTACTTCGGTTCTGTCATTGCGTTATTTGGTTCACATGCTCTCCACAATGTAATACATATTTTCCGCGAAACGCATTCTGCCCTATGGCGTGAATCTCTCCCCCGTCGTTTGGAATGCAGATCGCCGCGAAAACGAAATTAAGCTCAGGCACGGGTTTTGTGTGTGCGTACGTGCGTGTGTATACGTGAGCAGTGAGCGACTCGCGGAATGAACTTGTGCTCGCGTTCGAGATGATTCCTCAATTACATCGTCTGCCGGAAGAGATTTGTTTACTTTGAGAAAACTGGCTGCCTGATTGTTCCATTAATTTTGAGAATTACGCGTATGATGCGTCGCGGAATTCTGCACGGATCGCTGCCAAACTGGTCGCGCGGGCTGCTTGCTTGTGGAAATGCTCTCTGCCTCTCTCTGGGGTTTTTCACGATTCGGAGGTCGAGTATTCAACTCTCAAAATTGGTATTTGCTCAAGCTCGTCTCGCTGACGCGGATCCGAAATAAAAGAGCAAAAGTGCATGCGGCGCGCGTAAAAATTCAAATCTACACGCTTCATAGCCAGAACGCGTCCGCAGGAGAAAAAGGCTGGCGCGCACACACGCACACCTTCGACTCTCCCATAGAGAGCATAATACCGAGGTGAAGGCGAGGAGGGGGAGGGAGAGAGAGAGAGAGAGAGAGCGAAAAACGGAGCTCCCTTCTCTGTCCGCGGCGGCGGTGTGCCGCGACTACGGCTCTCGCGCTCTCCTTGTCTGCCTTCAGTGCGACGCAACGCGCAGGCTCGCGCGCTTCACCGGTGCACCCACACACAGTCCGCTCGCACACAGCGATCCCGCGCGCCGTTTAGTTGTTATTATCATTCCTCCCCCCGCCCCTCCCCGCCGCTCTGACTCCCCTGTGCTTGTGTGTATGTTTTCTGGTTCGATGGTCGACAAGTCAGTGATGTGCGTAACAGCTGTGTGTTGTTGATAAAAACGCGGGCATCCGTACACTATGTGCGGCGGGAAAGAGTTGTGCGCGGCTGGGAAGCACAGGTGATATGTAAAAGGACGTCGACGGCTGGTGTGCAGCGTCGGAACGATCGATAGAATCTTCTTTGTTTTGCTTGCTTGCACAAGCCGCGCTGTGCCGTGCCGTTGCCGTTGCAGGATGACGAGCATCGGCGGACCGACACTTCTACAACTCGCAGGTGAGCGTGGAGAACGCGCGGCTGAGTTTTCGCGCGCGCCGTGGATTCCGGAAAAATTGCCGCTAGCAGCTCTCGCCGAGAGATCGCCGGACGACACGGAGCTCCCCCGCGTGCATCTTTTTTGCTCCTTCTTTTACGTAACTCAAGTAGCAGCTCCCGGGCGAGAGATTCAAACCAGTTTCTCCGATTGATGTCTCGACGGACGTTCCGTATCGTTTGACGATCTCGTCGTAGGCCAAGAGCGAACTTGAGAGGTTTGAGAGGTCGATCGCAGGCCTAACAATCGCGCGTGGAGGCGTCGGCGGGGACTGTTTGCCCGCTCCGCCCTTCGTACTGGCCGGCCGCGGGACGTTCGTTGTCGCTCGTCGCCCTTATCATTTTGTTTGCCCATCGCGCGAGCCGCGATGCAAGCGCTTGCCGCTCGCGCGCGCGCCCGCAATATCGATCGTTTCGATTCGCTACGTACACACACACGCACACACGCACACACGCACACACACACATGCACACGGCGAATGGCTGCTATATAGGTTACAGTCGCGAGCGGCGCCGACACGACACGTTCGCGTGCATTGAACTCTTGGCTGGCTCTGTGCGCGAATCAGAGTGGCATCTTCCCCGGACGCGGTCGATTTCCTCGACGAGCAGGTTCTCCTCCCAGTGCGTCGAGGTCACTGCTTCGCCCGCGACCCGCGCGCGATTACGTAAACCGAACGACAGCGCCTGGCGCTCCCAACGAGACTTGGCGACGCTATGCGCCGCTGCGGCCAACCTTGAACGCTCACCTGTGCAGCGCGATTTAGAAAGAGGCGACGGCTGGACGGCCGCTGCTCGATCCTGCGTTTCGTAAGCGGAGCGGCGCGGCAAAGGTCGAGCGATCGGGCCCCGCCGGTCGTACTTATCGCACGGCGTCGACGCGCGCGAGCGACTCGAATGTAGATTACGTAACGCCGCGCGCCGCGAACGAGGACAGCCGTCGCTCGCGATCTCACTCGTTGAATGTGCGTTTGCAGAGGTCGCCGAGGCGAGAGGAGCTGCAGCAGCGCGAAGGAAGTCAGGCAGCCACGGCGAGGCGCAAGAGTGAGCGAACGTGAAAGGAAGAGCCTGGGCGAAGGCAAAAAGACTCTCTGCGGCGTGTGTGCGAAAACCGGTTCCGCGGTCTTTTACTGACCAACATCTTAGCCACGAGCGCACACGGAAGGCGATCGAGATCCTCGAAACGAGACGGAGGGAAGAAGCGGAGCCGCACGCGAAAACACGGAGGCACGGCGGCACGGAGGCACGGAGGCACGGAGGCACGATCGACGATGAGACGGTGAGATCGGGCGCGCGCAATCAAGGAATAGCGAGAGAGAACGCAGAGCTGTGCGAATGCGGCTATGAAGGATGGCCGAACACCGGCGAGGCGAGAGGAGCGTGCGCGGCGCAGTGGGCTTCGCCGACCAAGACCCGAGTCGGGGCGAGAAGAGAGCCGTGGCCGCAAGGTGCGCCATGTGGGCACTGTGCCTCGGCGTTTTCGCCTGTGTGCTTCAGTGCGCTGCAACCGCTACCCCCACCTGGGCGTACTTTCACAATCCGGACGGTAAGTGCGCGCCACGCGTTGCTCAATCCTCTCCGCGCGCCCGTGCACGTGGGTTCGTTGGCCGCGCTATTATTCCGAAGGCTGCCGATCGAATGCCAGGCCGTATCGCCGCCGATCGATTTCCAGCGCCGCGTCGTTGAGCTCGTGTCGGTTTTCATTGCTGTCGATGGCGATTTCCGATCGGAAGCGCCCGGAGGGAGACCGGCTTCTCCCGCTCTTCTCGTAATCGCGATTTCATCTTGCCGTGACTTTCCGTTACGTGCGAATCGAGTCAATCAAGTTTTCGGAGGGAGCGCCATTGCGAGACGTTGTCGTGTACACGGTTTCTCCCCGGAGGGCACCGCGCCGCTTCTTCGACGATGAAAGCGTCGCGCGCGTTGACTTTGCCGCGATTGCTTGCTGTCCGCATTCTTTTGGTTAGGCGAAGCGATCGCGGAGTGATACGGCGGCGCGGCCACGAACAGAATGCCAAAAGTAAGTCGACAGAATGTAATCACCAAGAAATTTCGTAACGTTGTGGCCGCGCGTGCGTGCTGTCTACAGTCGCAGTTGGACAACGGATGTCGGCGGTGTTACGTCCGATGAAAATGAAAAGCGCTCCAATCAGCATCAGAAGTTCCGGCAAACGAACGAACCTCGTTATTTCGCTTCGCTTTTCGCTTTCTAATGAGACTAAATAGGACCAGACTACCGCCCGGCTGGCCGGATCGTTGGACGATTCGCGTGCCTCTCCACGGCATTGCGCAAAAGCAGCAAGCATCGTTTGTTATGCCAGCGTCACCAGCGTCCAATCAAACGCATAGCTCGTCCTATATGTCGAGCGGACAAAAAAAGAAGCGTGGGACGACGGATACTCTTCCGGGCTTTTCCCCTTCGAGATTTTTCAATACAGAAACGAACGTTTTTGTATTGAATTTCAAGAAACGTAGAGAGAAATCGAGCATCGAGGCTAGGACAGAAATTCAAATTTGACCGCGTGTGATGGGAGAGAGGCTTCCGATCTGGACAGTTGCAATTCAAATTTACAACTTATTTTCCAGTCGCTCCATAAAACTACATATCCTTCGTTTGCAAGTAACAAGTGAAATAACATCGCATTCCGGAAAATCACATCCGCGCGACGCTTTCGCGAGATCGTTCCGACTCGCGGCAGGAAAAAATGCATTTGTTTCTCGTTCAATCATTCGCTAATCCGCGAAGCTGCGGGCAAAACAGGCGCACGTTTAAATGAAGCCTCGACGCGGCCATGAACAAATATTTGCGTGCACGTGCGTCTCACGCCTTCTTTATTGCGATCGAGCTTTCGTTGCTCGCAGCGCTTGCGCATCAATTACGCTCGCGATAAGCTAATTTCACCTCCTGTTCATTTGCTTCGGAGAGTGCCTCCTAAGCGGCAGTTCGTTGAAGATGCGAAGCTCCTTGATGAGGCGCGGCTTTGCATTACTCACTTTCTTGATAAAAGTAGAAGGAGGCACCAGCATCTCCATATTCAATCCAGGTCTAGAGGCGAACGCGTCGTATAACGCCCTGGGACCTTGCCCCTTCAACGTCGGCATGCAAATGCGCGGCACTTTGCATCGGCCGTCCATCTCTTGTCCGCCGAGCAAATTAGTTGGCGCTCACGATCGCAATTTTTCTGACTGTCGCGGCGGTGCCTTGAAAAATTGAGCGCGCTTATTCCCCGACGAGGCGCAAGCCATCACGAAGAGGCGAGTTGTTTCCTTTCGCTTGAGCCGTCGATCCGCAGCTTGTTTGGCCGTCAAACTCGACGAACACGAGACTTGGTTCTTCCGCGCCAATGTCGTCGTTGTGTCGAGGTTTAATTAAGTGGCGCCATGCGCATCGCTCCTCTTGTTCGTTCGTTAATCTTATCCCTTGAAAAATCGGCCTCAAAGGCATCTTTCGAAAAAAGAAAATTACGCCGAGGGAGGATCAGAAGGGGAGGCAAGCACGAGCACTTGCGTATGTTCGACGAAGAGGCAAGCCGTCCAATCAACCTCACCGAGCAAGTCCAGTCCTATTTGGAGGTGGCCGATAAGATTGCTCGCAATTATTATCGGCCAGTGTATCGTGTATCTTTTTACGAGCATTTCCCCTCGCAGCTGGTCTTACGAGCCGCCAGTCGCGCTCGCAAGCTTCTTTCTTACGTACTTGCTGTCGAGGCCGGCGAACGACGGACATGTAGCTTTTTCTCTCTCTCTCTCTCTCTCTCTCTCTCTCTGCCGCGACAATCCGTTATACGCTCTGGTCGCGAGTAACAGTATGTATATCCTTCTTGCGTGCAGTCACTGTGTACGCGATGCACCTGTGCGATCGCTTCTGTTCCGAGAGCTCATTGCGTAATCGAGTGTGCGACTAGCCATATTATCATGGTATTTTCGTATCGAGCTGGAATGAGAGTGTGCCAAGAATGTATCATTAGTGACAAGTTTTATAATGCAGATACGCTTGTTGTCTGATTAATAGCTGCGTTCATGCTATTCCGTGATGCACGTCAACTGATTTCCCACTTCGAAAGGAATGCACCTTGACGACCTACACTTTCGGTCGTTTGCTTTCTAGACTCGCAATAAACTTCCGGAAGCATAGTGCTGCTGTAGAATTTAAAAATCTTTAATTGGTGCATCGCGCAGAAGGCATCAAAGTCACGATCGCCAAGCACACGCGCCAACCTACCAGTTGAACAATCAAGGCGCAGAGCAAAAGCCTCCGCAACGTCATCATCGTCCACTTAGCCGTCTTCATTATGTAGAAGACGTTTTCGAAAGAGGGAGCGATCCAGTCGAAGCATCGAAGAAAAGTCGGCATTGTTGCGACGCGGACGTACGTATAGGTGGGCGCGGGCGCCCGGGGCACAACCTATTACGTACTTTGAGTCGATCAACGGAGTCGAGCTCCGGAGCTGTGCGCCTCATTTCTTTCGCGTCGACCTGAACGATGCTCGGAGATTCCTTTGCAAATATCTCAAAACAAGTTCACGTTTGAAGGTGTTACTGCGCGACGTATGACCCTTCTTCGCTTTCCCGTCGCGATCGTACATGTCATTGCGCCCCGCTGCCCTGTTTTCGGGAAAGCTTCGATGTTAGTTCTTACAGGGGCAATTGTATCCAGCAGCGCAAGTCTCGAAAAGCAGCTATTTGCGAACTTTATCGTTAGTCAGGCAGCGGATGAATCGTTGCTTCGAACTTGCGCGTCAGCCTCCGCCAAGGATTAAATGTAAGTTAACCCGATGCATGCGCAAGCGCCTTCAAATCTCATTATTTACTTTGTCAAGTGGAATTTCACTTGCACATTGGCGCACATTTCCTTGCTCTCCGTGAAAACGAGCGTCCAGATGAAAGACACGCGCACACTCAGTCAGAGAGTTAATAGGAATATCTGCAAGTTATTTCACGCGCACGCTGCACATACAGCACTTGCTAATCGCGTGGAAATGCCTTTTGCATTTCGTAACGATCGATCTTGGGAAATCTCTCTCTCGCGGCTGGCTAAGCAGCAACAATGCAATCTCGCAAGGCGACACGAGTCTCCGTGTAGAAGCAAGTTCAAGATCTCGAAACATCGAGAGAGAGAGAGAGAGAGAGAGCAGCGAGCGTGCCATCGGCGTTGGGAGCCTATTAATAATCGATTAGCGACGAAATCGGTCACACCTGCGCGCGAGACAATGACAAAGCGATCACGCTTTCGCCATTTGGACACAAGATGACGAGGATGAACTGTTCGCCTGGGGCTATGGGACTCCGACTGCCTTGCTTCTAATCGTAGTTTTTTAAATGAAGCTGCTGTTTTGTTGAGCAGATTTGAAAAACAGTCATTCTTTTGACTACAAAAGAGAAAAGAACGCGAATTATAAAATACGAGCAAAGTGTCTCGACAATTGCATCGAGTTGAGTGCAAAGGCTCGCGAAAGAGGGAATGCTCGCCGGCAAATTGTTTATTCGGAGGACACCCAGTATAACCGATGTTCACCGAGAGAGAGTGAGATACCGCTATATAGACTCTGCTGGCAAGAGTGCAACGGCCTCTCTCCTCGCAGTATATACCTGTCTCACTTTCTTTGTCTCTCTCTCTCTCTCTCTCTTTCTCTCTCTCTCACTCTCTCACACAAACTTCTTTGCCATAGAAATTTTTTTATACATACACTACTCGTTAGGGTGATCGACGAGCGGCGCGATTTTATTCTGTTCTTCGTGCACATGGACTAATTAAGTTTCGAGCGTTGAGATTAAAATCTTGAAAAAAACGGGTATTATTCTCAAAAGCATCTTACGATCGCGAAACTATAAACTTGTTAGTTTTGCTCTGCTTATCGTTCATAACCAGCGATGTTATAATTCCTGCAGGATTATTTGTTATCAGGGAGCAGCGGTTATTCGAATCCAAAGGAATCGAAGCAGAACGACGGTTCGACAGCCTATTGCATACGGTAATTGGTCAAACGCAGTATATATTTCAGTGCTCGCATAGAAATATGAAGCTTTTGCTTACCGGCACTTGCTTGTGCAACGCGATTGCGCAAAACACACGCGTGCATAATCGATTACACGTGCTTAGTAACACGCAATTGCTCGGTTGCAAAAAAGAACAAAGAGAAAAATTCAGCTCTACGCGCATCACGTTAGCCGTACTGCGAGAAGCACGTCTTTAATCGCACGCGTTAGATTCATCAACGAACGCTAATGCAGAAAATGCGACGCCTTTTTTCGAGCCAATTAACTCATTAACGATCACAAGACGCTTTTTTGAGAGTTTTTGAATTGTTTCCGTGTAATGAATTCGATTGGAAAAAATTCAGAAACAACTGGTTGCATTATTTTTATAGGTATTTTTTTCTGTTATAAGTCCCGTCAAAAAAGTTTCATCGTCGAAAAATCAAAGATGTAACAAAAACCCTTAATATTTTCATTGAATTTTTTCTTTAAATTAACATTTCGTTCCTAAACATTTTTCAATATGCCTGAAATCTATTTAGATCGCGGCCTCGATGTCTAAGCTAAAGT